GGGTTGGGGGGGGGGGGGGGGGGGCGTACGTCGGTGCTGGCTGCGGGGAGGGCTTGTCTTCCATTTTTGGTGGTGATGTGGTGATGGTGATGGAATTGGAATTGCAATTGGGGTGTGGTTGAGGTTGGAGTGTGGTTGTAGGTAGAGGGAGAGGGAGAGGGAGGGGTGGGGGTGTAGTTATAGTCGTCAGTCACTTAGATAAGTAGAGAGAGGGGCGGCGTGGGGGGAACCAGACGGAGACGGAGATACGGAGGAGATGGAGATTACATAAAACATCACATGATGATATTTGGGGGTGGAATTATTAATAGGGATGGTTGTTATTAGATAAGCCTAGGAGTTGGGTTGTTTTCAGTTGGCTCGGTGAAGGGGATTACTTGGGGGTATGGAGGCCATGATGATGGTTGATAAAGAGAAGGAGAAGTTTCAAGTCAGCCTTATACTCTCGTAAGCGTGGTGTTTAGGAGGTGTGTGACGATGTGGTTGCCGGGTTAGGGAAAAGATAAGCGGTATCAACGAGTCTATCAAACTAGTAGTCATCAAGCATATTGCATTGTTGGTATGTGAGGAGTGAGGATCTGTTTGAAAGTATGGCCACTTGCCTTTCGATTCACTTGAGACACTCAGTCATATTTCTGGGCTGCTGGTTAGTTGCCGTCTTGACACATCCTCCCTGGTAGACATCGTGGTTGCGGTGATTTCGCCATGGTGGACAATGTGCAAGCAAAAACTATCAGAAAACATCCTATAGGAAAATGCCTCGATCGCTTTCGAACCTCGTTTGAGATGATATGTGAAGCCAGAGACCTCTCTTGCACACTTGACACACTTCACCACCTTGCCCAAGGAAAGACAACCTGTCCATTTCCCCCTTCCTACCTGTCCTCCATCTGACTGACGTACAGATATCAAAAATCTTACTCTCGATCTCTTGTTCACTATCTGTTCTTGCCAACAAGTCGGACAGCGAGATATGGGATCATGTCTACAAGGCAGTTACCGATCCCACAGTCACTACGAAAGACGGCCAGCGATATATTGAGATAGACAAGGACGGTCAGATCGAGCGTCTTGTCATTGACGGACTGATCACCCGGGCACCTTGCGCAGGCCGAGCAACTGCTTGCTGGAAAGCGCATCGTGAGGAAGACCCGGGTGCCCCGCTGGTCATTAAGGATTCTTGGCAGGACATGACGCACGACGAAGGCGAATTTCTCCGAGAAGCGACCGATAAAGGCGTGGTTAATGTCGCCAGGTATTATTATCATGCGACGGTTCAGGTACATGGGGAGGTTGATACTCGAGGAGGTCTGGACAGCATGACAACGGGCGATTATCAGCTGGAAATATCATCTGCTGCCTCTTTGCCATCTAGTAAACGATCTCGTTCGGCATCCCGAAACACTCTGCAAACCCGAGTATATCGGCGTGTCATTCTGCGCGACTATGGCCGACCGATTTACGAAGCAAGTACCCGGCCGGCATTTCTTGCGGCGCTCGAGGGTTGCATTTCAGGACACGAGTCTTTGCACCGGGCAGGGATTCTCCATCGAGATATCCCCATCAACAATCTCATGATCAACGAGGATGAAAAAAATCCTTCCTGGCCCGCGTTCTTGATTGACCTCGATCTTGCCATCAGGGATGGTGCTTCCAAGACAGATAAGAGCAAGGGCACGAGAGCTTTCATGGCAATTGGCGCGCTCATGGGCGAGCAACATTCCTTTATGCACGACCTGGAGTCCTTCTTTTGGGTGATCTTCTGGATATGCATCCACTACGAAGGGCCAAGCAAGGGGATCGTTGTTTCAAGGCTTACCGGGTGGAATTACATGGATGCAGAGGAGCTGGCTTGCCTGAAAACAGGAGTAGTAGTAGTTCATGAGGGGGATTTCTTCAGGTACATGGACACCTACTTTACCGCGTACTATCAGCCGTTGATTCCGTGGGTCAACCGACTTCGACAAGCCGTGTTTCCTAACGGGCTGAGATGGGTGAAAGAGGACCGCGAATTGTATGCTCGGATGAAAGCGATTCTTCGGGGGGCCCAAGAGGACCCAGACATGGCGGGGATGGATGCCATGAGGCCCGCCGGTCTCCTGACTGACTCCGCCTGCTTCCCCTCATCTGCAGCCGCCAGTCATCTTCCCCAACCCCTTCTTTTACTTTCTCCATCCCCATCCCCACCCCCCAGCTATCTTTGCATCCCGAGCATCGTTTTTTCTTACCTATGCGCCATCGTCTCACTAAACGTGCGTGTGATGAGTGCATCTCCCGCAAGGTCAAGTGCAGCGGGGCCTGGCCCTGCGAGACCTGTCAAAACGCCCCCAAGCAGGTCAACTGCACCTATTTGAAACCCGCCCGGAGAAGGGGTCCTAAAGTTCGTCGTTATAATGGGGTCCCAGAAGAGACGGTGGTTGATACTTTGACGGGTTCGTCTGTCGATCATGGCGCGGTGCGTGTTTCAAGTGTGGAGAGAGGGTCTGCGCCGACGGAAGATCGGGACTGTGCTGCTACCACAATTCCCATGGAGAGCTTAGCATCAGTTGTGCGTCTGTATCAGCGGGCCTCGTATAGTGTGTGGCCGGTCGTCAATGCAGAAGTGCTTTTGGAGAAACTCGAGGGTGGCACGCAGGATGTCGGTACGTTGTGTCTGGCTATGGCGCTTTGTGCGGCCACCATGGCACAGCTAGAACTCGCGCCTATAGCTGTGGATGACTGGGTCGTTGATAGCGCGGCCATGGCATCGGAGTGTATGAGGATGCGTGAGGCGAATAAGTATCGAGAGCATCTTGATAAGAGGAGCATTCTGGTCTCGTTCTTCCTGCATGTGTATCACGCCAAGATCAATAAACGGAACTCGGCTATGATGTTCATTCAAGAGGCTGTTTCTGGAGCTAGGCTGTTGAAGCTGGATGAGGGTGTGGGTGATCGAGATACGTCGGGTGTTGTTGCTAATGAGGAGATTATGTTTCTCTTGCTCTGGGTGTCTGAAAGGTAAGCCTGACCCAGATGTGGTGTGCGTAGCTGACTGCTCGCAGAGGCTGGGCCATGCATGTTGGCCTGGAACCGTCATATTCGAGTCCCCTGAGGCTGCCAGATGACATTAGCGTGGGCAATAATGCGGATGTGAAGGGTCTACTTGAGTTGGCCAGGTTGTTCGCCACATTTGATGGTTTTTCCTCCGCACGCAGGAATGCCGGCGGCAGCGGCCAGCCGGTCATGACTGTGGATGGTCTCGCTGAAACGGAGTCGGTTTTGTCGATGCTTTCATTTGGCCAAGGCGACAGACCTTCCACCCGCATTGCAGATTACTGTATCACGAAGGCATGGATGAGGACTATCATCTGGCAAGAAGCCCTGTCTCGACATTTGCTCTCGTCAAAGTCCTACACTCAGCTCATGACATTCAAATTTCCGGCTGTAGTCAGTCGCGATCTATTGAAATCCTTACAGGGCTTTACTGAATCCGACTTGCTGCCTCTCGGACGCGATCAGGTGGGTCTTTTCCCCCGCTTGGACATTTGATACTGATCGGATTTAGCTGCTGAAGTGCTTTGAGATTGCCAACTCACTTGCAGATACTGTGCTGTTCACATCCTCTGTCTCGGCCTATCCGGCCTTCCAGCTTGGGCCACAGGATTTCCTGCATGCGTTATATCAAAAGCTACTGCCTTTTCTGGAACAGGATCCCATGTTAAAGTCCATACTGCATACAAAGACAGCCGATGCCCTAGTCAAGGCCCCTGCGCGGTTATTGAGCATGGAACATGATCACTGGTCAATCGATGATGAGGATATTGATCACCCAGTAGAAGCGCACTTAGATTCGCCTGAACAGAACGTCGATCCCCAGTGGATACTCTATGAAGATCAATTCGATGAATGCATTGTTTCAGAAGAGGTGGATTGACTGCACCGACAGCTTTCTTAACACGAGAAATTACTCTGAAACTTGAAGCACGATTCTGCCTGCAATGTCACCCTTCTCCATGTCCTCGTACACCTGAGGCAACTCCTTGAACGATCTGACCTTAATCTCCGGTTTCACCACCCCACGCCGGACCAAGTCCACGGCCTCCATGCACTCTTTCAAGGAGCCGATCAGGTTACCGGTAATCCGGAGGCCCTTGATCACAATAGTGCAAATTGGTGTCTCCAACACGGGACGCCCTGGAGGAATCCCAACACAACTCAGACTGCCCCCAACCCGTAGCATATCGCAAGCGTGGGCAAAGGCTTTGGCACTTCCCGCAGTGACAACTACGGCATGCGCACCGAGGCCCGTGATCTCATGCACTCTCTGCACCGGATCGGTTGAGGTGAAGTCGATATACTCGGTGGCTCCGAGTTTGAGAACAAAGTCTCGCTTATCGCCAGCATCGACGCCAATCACCAGTGCTCCTTGTGCCTTGGCATATTGGACTGCCTGGTCAGCGTGTGTCATGAATTGACTCCGAGTAGACATACCAGCCAAGTGTCCGAGACCACCTCCCGCACCTACTACCACCAGCCAGTTGCCTGCCCGGATGTTCGCGTTGAGGACAGCCTACATGCTGTTAGCAGTGTCATAGGCCATGCAAATAGGTCTTACCTTGTAGGCAGTCACTCCAGCACACAGTACCGGCCCAATGACCTTAGGATCCACATCATCAGGTAGAATTGTCAAATAGTCGGCATCTAGGGCGATGTACTCCTGAAAACTGCCATCCTCGTGGTGCAGGTGGTTCGTACTCTTGACACAGTACTGTTCCGTGCCAGCCAAGCAGAACTCGCACCTCCTACAAATTCGACTGGAGAATCGGATACCAACGAACCCACCAACCTTCAGGTCAGCACCGCAGTTGGATCCTAGGGCCACAATTCGGCCCACACCTTCATGGCCTCCAACATGCGGTAGTTTAATCTTCGTGATGGGGTCTCCATCAGCGCCGGCTGCCGTGCCGTTTTTCGTGTGCAGATCTAGCAACAGGTGAGTTGGCCATTATGCGGGTCAACATAAGATCATATATAGATATACTAACCACTTTGACAGACCCCTGTGTAGAGCACCTTGGCTAGAACTTCATTTGGGCCTGGAGTCGGGACAGGATAATTTTCGAGGAACTCGACGGTGCCACCAAGCTCTCGGACGAGAGCCACCGTTTGAGTCTCGGGGATCTCATTTGGAAGGGACATTGCACCCATTTTGCTCTGAGCTTAGACTTTGTTTGGAATAATTTTTGGAGTGATCTTTGGGAATGCGGGTGATATAAGTAGTGTCTGGTCTGTTGATATAGACCAAAACGTAGCCCAGTAGCTTTGATACCATGGAACGAACTGCGCAAATAGTATAATTCTCCAATTGGCCGATAGGCCTTTCTGCATGCCAACAGCATTGTGTCGGCTATTGAACCAACATTCTGTGCCAGGCTAATTCTCCGAGGAACCAAACAAAGCTTGCGATGAAGCTCAAGCGAGGACCTCTGCTTAGATAGCAAGCTCCTCCCTTCGCTCCCATCTCCTCTTTTTCGACAAAGACCCCGCCCCTGCTCCATTGCCTGCGGGTATACTGCAATCTAGAGCTCCGCATTTTCTCCGCATATCATGCCGCACCAGAGTCCTATTTCTCCGAGCTAATTCTCCGTCTACAAAGTGACAGCTCCACTTCTCCTGATAGACTTCTCTCGTGAAGCCTGACTGCTCTATCAGGCATCACGTGCACTAAGTTTTCTGTTCGCGGAACATATCGGACCCTCAGGACATGTACGCTGGCCAACTGGTCTTTACACAGAATATGTACTGCGTTCATACATTCGACATGTGTCTACTGATAGAACCCGATATCCTCCCTTTTTCTGAATACATGCTTTTGAATCTCAAGGCAAAGTCTACTTATTGAGATGCAGATATCCCCCGGACGAGATACACCTACCAAGGCAAGCTTCTTTCATGCATGTTACCTGTTCGATGGCCAGTGAATGAGAGGCTAAACACCAATCAATGGCCTGACCTCTCTGAATATGGAGATTCAAGAAACACCCCGATCAAGTAGATTAGATGGAGATTCCATACAATAGAAGATATTGACTTCTTTTCTCTGGCCTCTCAAACAGTTAAAAACCCATTTCTTGGGAGTTAGTCACCCGACTCATCTTCACCTTTAACACCCAATCTATACCCCCTCGACTATAATTCCTAACACAGAATATCTCGCTCGCATCTATTCCTCTCGAGGTGTATTCAATAATCATGTATGACGTAACTCAGCAGCATCTTGGAGAACTTCGACGTGTATCATGACAGATGAAATAAATGGGAGCTGCTGCGAGCCTTCGGGGACTTGAAATCAAGAGTGCTATGATATGATAATGATATCGATATTTACTTTAGAGGTAGCTATAGCTTCTTGTTTACTTGGGTTTGGGTTTCCTTTTTTCTTTTTTTGGTGAGTACTTGCTGGAATTTCCATTTTGGGCAGTTTCTTTTCTGCTGCACCATGGGAGAAATGATCCCCATCATGATTACTAGATTAGTATTATTCTAGTAGGTAATACGAGCTTTCTTGTACTTGCGTGTAGATGGATAATTATTTGGAAATCGCTTTTGTTTGTTTTCGTTTTGTTTGACTTAGATCGACATGCGGGTTGAGTGTGGTTTATCGTGGTTATTAGATATCTTCCCCTAGTACTCTAAATATTTCTCTCTGATGCGGTTGTTGTTTTGTTCGATCTGGAAAATGATCTAAAGTGAGGTAGGGTAGTGAATTTCCTCCAGTTAATTTATTTTACCTATCGATCGACATACATACTATATTTACTCATGGCATGTGTATCATGAGTGGTTATCTTTATCATTGGTGGATTGAGTTACATCCCCTGCATCAGACACCGGAAGGATTTGTTTGATTATTCATGACTTGCCTCTCTGGAGAGGTCATGTTGTTATTATTATTATCCATTACCATAGCTCCGTATGTATCCCATCATCTGGCATTCACATCATGTATATAATATCACGTCTAGTTTATGAAGATGCACATTGTCATTACCTTGTATCGAACCAAGGTCTGGTAGATAGTACGTTACGGATTAACCCTCCTTTGGCGTGGCGGTGGTGGCGTTTCGGTTGTCTTCGATCTCGCTGGCGTGGGTCTTGTCGATTGTTTCAGTGGTGGTGAGGGTATCGGGGTCGTTTTTAGGATTGGTGTTGGTATCGCCGCCGAAAACGTGTTGCATTTCTTCGAGGGAGTATTTGGAGGTCTGCGTACTAGTCAGAATTTACCAGTCTTGTGGTGGGAAATGAAGATGGAGATAGGGACAATTTGCTGGATGAAGAAACGCACCTCCTTCAGGAAAATGTACGAATACACTACGATCGCGTAGTTGAAAATGGCAAACATAAGGAACATCCTCCATCCGATATTCTCGATCGCATGCGGAGTAACCTGCGACATCATAAAATTGAATAACCACTGTGAGGCCGCGCCAACGGTGACGCCGATCTCACGAGTGCGGCTGGAGAAAATTTCGCCGACGTATAACCAGGGCAGTGGGCCCCAAGACATATTGAAGCTGAATGCTTCAAAGTAGGTCATGAGGATCATGGCGATCCCTGACGGGGAGGCGCTGCCCGTGTCATTGGAATCGGTCGGATGCGTGGCCAAGATGCAGGCGATGATGAGCATGAAGGAGCCCATGGCGGCGGCACCGACCATGAAGGGCCAGCGTCGACCGATGCGATCCATAACAAAGATCTGGAAGATACAGACGCCCACTACTTTGACCACGCCAAAGAAGCCCGTCACCAGCTTGCTGGAGTTACCTGCCCCGACGGCAGAGAAGATCTGTGTGGCGTAGTATGCTAGAGAGGTGTTTCCGGTGAGCTGGGCTGCAAGCTGGATGGTAAAGGCAATGAAGAGTCGATACCGGTTGGCGGGGAGAAGGAGTTCACGAAATGTAAAGCCTTGCTTGATTCGTGCTTCTTCTTCAATGCCGGCCATGATCTCGTCGAATTCTTGCTGCAGCTCTTCGGTCTCTTCGCCGCCTCGAACCCATTTCAGCGACTCGCGCGCCTTCTCGGTCTTGCCTTTGGAGGCAAGCCATCGGGCGCTCTCCTTGACTGTGCTCATTCCGAAAAGCAGGAGTGAAGAAGGGAGTAGTTGGAGGCCCAGTGCAATCTGCCATTGCTTCGTGGCAGAGGGTTGATCTTCGGATACAGCGTACGTGACCCAGTAGGCGACCATGACTCCAAGAGCGAAGAAGAGTTGAAAGCAAGATCCGAGTCGACCACGGAGGTCTTTTGGAGACATCTCGGCGGCATACACCGGGATCAGCACGGTCGCGGCGCCGATACCGATGCCAGCAATCACCCGACCGGCGTAGAACGTGCCCAAGGTGTGAGAATTGACGACCTGTAAGATGGTACCGACGGTGAAGACCAGAGAGCTGAGAATGAGGCCAAGCCGGCGGCCGAAAAATGAGGCAATGGGCGTGGTGAGAAAGCAGCCGAAAAAGGCGCCCGCCTGGAGAATAGAAACGGCATTGGAATTGACCGAAGTCTTTTGAGCGGTAGTATAGCCAAAGTCATGCTGGAAAGAAGGCAGCGTGAGAACGCCGCCTAGTTGTCTGGTTAGGTCGTCACACACAAGAGGTTATGATGCTGGCATACTGATGACACCGGTGTCAAAGGCAAAGGCAAAAGAGCCCATGCAGCTGGCTGACACCAGATAGATGGCACGAAAGAGACCCAATTTCCGACCCATCGTAGATGCCTTGGCCTCAAAGCGACCGTGTTGGGTATAAATTGAAGGCGGCGTCAGGCTCAACTCTGGGGAAGGGACAAGAAAATAGTCCGTCAGGGCCCCATTGATATTTAAACCGATAAGACGAGAGATCAATGTCCGGCTGAAAGCCCCTGTTGCGTGATCCCGCTTGCGCGTGCTACACGGCAATAATAAGCTTGTGCGGATATACCAAGAATGGACTATCCACTCAGCCGTGGCGCTTGCAGGTAGCCTCCTTGCTGTGGTGCAATCAGATGGCAGCCACGCGGCGTCTGTGCGAAGACCTGCTGTTCTTGATATCGAAGAGAGAGGTCAGATGGCAATCCCCCGCTCGGGGGCCTCCAATGCCGCATTAGCATACGGCCAAGTCCGGATCTTAGGTCCTGATGTCTGCGACTCAGCGATGGTGGTTGGTTCCGGATGGGCAAGACCTGGTCCGGATGACGTGCTAGCCATCTGTGACGACACGGGTTGAAGATCGAATCGAATAAGAGTCTAGACACGATAAAGGCAAGTCATGGATCGGATTTGAGCTGCATGGTTCAATCTCTGGAGGCGTCTGCCGCAGGGTCTTCTAGATTCCAACTACATCGAGATTTCATCTTTTCTAACATGCTGAGGGCCAGGATCAATACCCCGCAAAAGACGAGATGATCGGCGAACGGGAGAGAGAAGTGTCATTGGCGGACTGAGGAGAACAGAGATTAAGCCAGTCAGCATGGACGGGGCAGTTAAGGTTACTTCGACTTACTCGCTGGCGTCTATCTCCTGTGGCTCCGGCTTGGCGGCTGGCCGGTTGCAGGGTAGACGGTAGTATCGGTCTGGCATCAGCACCTATCTAAGTGATGGATCACGACCAAAGCCTAATCCGAACGATACAGTGTTGAATGGAGCACTGGCCCACCCCAGTGTTCTCCGGGGAAGCGGAGCGATGCCTCCTTTCCCACAAGAGCAATATGGTCACATGAGAGATATGCTGCTGATATAATCAAATGAACATGTCATTAAAGACAAGTCACGTGGAAGCTCTGGCTTAGACACCTCATCTTTCAGGCAGCACTGGATGCGAGTACGGGTCGTCCGTAGATGCCATTTGTGCTTGCCAGGATGTCGCAGTTCCAGGTCATGTCCATCGAAATCTTGCCATCCGGACTCGTCGTAATGTTGATCAACCCTCGCATGTTGTGGTTCAAGGTTTTTGGGAATCATCCTGGTGTTTCATCTCGATCTTGGAGGATATATTTCCCCAGAACTCCGCGGATGTAAATTATGCGATTTATGAAAATCTCCCTTCCCCTTTTCTATGGTTAGTAAGCGGCAATACGCGACACCACATTTTGCTGCCATTTTGATGATCGCAGGGTTATCTAACTATGCCGAGGCATGCAGTGCTTTCGTCGGACTCTATGGCTATTCGCTCGAGTCAGCTAACACCCTCCTTCTGTCTCAGTCCAATCAAGCATAGGACCACACGACGATCGACTTCATGAGTCTCAGCGTCTTGAACTAACATCACGGTAACGACAGTCAGGCGATGACATCAATCACGACGCATCTTCCCATTCCGGTAATTTCCCCAGGTCTGACGTCGGTTATGATTGCGGCCATGACTGCGGTTGATGGCCATCGGGCGTGCATACTTGATTCAGTCACTGTTCAGCACTGTGATCGACATGATTTTCGGTGTTTGATGCTTGGGATCTACACGTGGCAGGTTAGTGTGGACGTTGAAACGAACCGTTAAAGCAACCAAGATTGTCCATATTTTGAGTTCTGATAAGACAATCCGATACATGGATTCCCGGAGAACATGTCAATCGCAATCCGCGGCCGATCACCTGGTCGCCACGCCCATTCTGTGTAACATGGCATACTACCGCCGGATGGCCATGGTTGCTATAACTAGGTAGCAGGAGCTATGGTACTCTTACCCAGGGGTCGGGCAATCTCCTGAAGAGTTTAGCCCAGAACAATGTCTAGGCAGTCCGATCAGCCAGTCACATCCCGGTTGGCCGCCAGGGCCGCATGGTTGACCGTTCTCGATCCGACCCAAAAGTTGGGCGATCTTGCCTGAACTCGCAGCCGGGTGGAGACGTTGAAGTGGCATCAACACCAGTGAGGTGAAGCCGGGTCCACTCCATTCTTGAGCCGCGGTTCGTGTCTGAGACAGGTCTGGACGTCTGTGGGTGGATGGCTGACTTTTCCCACGATCGGATATGTGCCTAATGCGGCGAGGAATGCGTATGTGGCGGAGGGTGCAAGGCAACTATTGAGAAAATAGTGAGTAGTCTGCTATACTGTCTCAGTTTTCTGAGAAAAGGCACGGTTCAGGATGGGGAGAATGCCTATCTGAGTAGTTTGCCCTGAGGTTGTTGGAGAGAGATGTGGGGAGATCCGGAGATGGTGGGATGGATGATGATGGGTATAGAGATAGTAGGTAGTCTATCATTACATGGCATGTGACTCATGAGCGTGCGTGCGTATATTATACAGTAAGAAACAAACAAAGGAAACAAATGCCTAATGCCGGCTGCCCCGATCTCCCCAGCGCGGCTGATTCGACACCACCGAGATCTCAACCTGCTTCTTAATCCCCCGCCCCGACTCCATCGTCGACCCCGTGTGGTAACTGTCCTTGAGAATCTGCTCGATACTGTCGCAGTCGTCCCGGTTGTCCGAGCTCTGCTGCTCCTGCAACCGCGATGGCGCCGTACCGTTCTTCGTCGTCCCCTTGTTGGCTGAGAATGGCCCACTGAGTTCATAGGAGCGAGACCGCGCCGCACTCGACAGCTTGCGCACGGACGAGATCAGCAGGGGCCGAATGCACGGCACGGAGGATGTGATGATAATAATCAGGTTCTCCGAGTACCCCCAGCGGATCAGTCCGACCGCCCCACCGGCGCCCAGGTTGGTGATGCTGGGCACTTCGTCCAGCTTGGTGGTTTTGATGATCGAGGCAACCATGGCACTGCTTCAGTTTAGTCCATAGCCATAAAGCAGAAGTGGGGGATACTGACACTACACCAAGGCTCAGGAGCATGATCAAACTGATCTTGATCCGCATTTTCAGATTCAGATTCCAGAAGATAATCGTGGGAAACACCGCCAGAAAGAGGTCCGTGGCCGTATTGACGGCTACCCCAGTGGTCAGTCACAGCCCCATAGAGACACACAGAGTGGAAAAGACCTACAGGACGAGAAATAGGAGAACCGTACCACCGCCACGCTGCTGCCACAGGTGGTCTTGACGGTCGGATCCCATAGGACCCTGACGTTACGGCAGATACACAGTGGGAGGACCGCCGAGACAATATTGGCACTGAGCTGCAGCAGCATGGCGAACCATAACGCAATCGAATACTGCTTTTTTCCACCGAGGATGCCGAGTAGATAGAGGACAAACGAGGAGCGGGCCAGACCAGTGCTGATGGTGACGAGAGGCACTTGGATGGCAATGTATTTCAGCACCTGTTCCGTGTTGTGGATTGGCAGGCTCTCGAGGTTGGTGCCAAAGCCATTCTGGACACAGAGCGTCAGGATGACCGTGGATGCGAGGGTTAATGCCTGAAACACAGAGGGTCAGAATTGGGACAAGGGGTCCAAGTCGGTGGGGGAGGGTTACCCATGCGATGACCATCAACACATCGTCAAAGCGGAAGTGGTGAATCTTGATCTTTGCGATGATGCGGAGGATGATGATGACGGTGGCCACTGCAACTGCAGCCCACATGCCCCTTTCCAGGGCCAGGCCGGAAGGGTTGGTTATGCTGGAACCCATGTCGACGGGCAGAGGTCCGCGACGATGTTCATTGTGCAGCAGATGCGACTGCTGCGATAGTATTTATTATATGTCGACTTCCCGCAAGATTCGGCTTGGGACAATTATACTTTCTGATCGACTTTAGCCCTCATGGTTGCCGACCGGGACATTTCAGCATGGCTGGAATATTGGAACCATGGCGCAGATAACATAATAATAGGGAGATTGGGTTACTGCTTCCATCCAATTCCTGGGTGCTCCGGCTAACCGAGGGACAAATCTCGCTTTGGCAGTGGAGACGTTGTCCAGGTGGATTCCCAGTGCTGGACAAAGCTTTCCCCAATTGGCACACGTCGCCGGGGAACATAGTTCCAGGCTCCTGTCTGGTGCTAATTAAAATCCTGGTGGTCTTTAGCGCGCACCGGTGGACTTGCTCGCCACGAGGCCAACAGAGGCCGGCAATATCCTTAATCACTTCTAGGATCTCACCTGCAGATACCGTGCATCTGACCTCTGTAACGGCATCGAAGATGTCCAGGACCGTTATGTTTTCCCACCATGTCGATCTACCTATGCCCTACGGGACGGGGAGAGGAGATCCCTTGCTCCAAGCTCACCCCGGGGGCGACCGGTACGGAACCATGACTCTGGTGGAAAGGCAGTGGGGCATTGTCAAACTTTGTGTGAAATTTCTCAGCCAAGTCAAGCCACGTTCCAGAAAGACGAGAAGGCAGCAGTCAGCCCGGTCAGGAACAGGTTTTCGGGGTTGTACTATCTCCGGGGACTCCGGGTTGGGAAGATAGGGGAGATAACAAAAATAGCGATACGACGAGTGATTCTGACTCGGCGCTAAAGATGTCTTCAAAGTCAATCCCAGACTCCGGGGAATGCAGAGTCTCAGCGTGATCCCTTGAGCATGCAAGCCGAGGATAAATTGAGGGCAAACTGGCAAAGACCAAACCGCCGGGACTTCCGCGGTACTCATTTTTAGACGGACCAGCGGCTGACTGCCAATAAAACCGCAGCCACGCTCCACTCCGGCCGATTCCAGTCGTCGCCGAAAGCCTAAATCCTGGCCTTTGGACTCCTTGGCCAGTTAGCCGCATTACCAATCGTCCAGCCAGTGGGGCTGGAAATTGGCTGAGTGCCACCGTGCCATCGCCCAACGGGAGGCGCTCCGATCGGTGCCTGGGCGATTCCACGCTTCTCCGACTCCTATCTCAGCTAGCCAGTTCACTATCGACCACACCATCGCCCATTTAGGTCCTGCCAATTAGTCTAATATCAACCCAGTCTCCGGCTAATCCGCGGCGGGAGAAATATCCACCGCTGCTCCGCGACTTTACGCACTTGGGGAACATGTCCGATGATGGCTGAATAGCCTCCTGATGGCATGAGATGCGACCCGCTGTATCATCGCATATAAGTAGTCTCCCACGGCAGGGATCGTCAACATTCAGTGCCTCATTCAACTCTCTTTCCATCTCAATTCTCAGGATGAAGGCTTCCTGGACCCTTGCGGCAATCGCCGCTCTCACCTCCCAGGCCGTTGCGTCTAGCGACTGCCACTGCCTGCCCGGCGATAGCTGCTGGCCCTCTACATCCACCTGGGAGTCCCTGAACAGCACCGTGGGTGGTCGCTTGGTTGCTACTGTCCCCATCGGTACCCCTTGCCATGATCCGACCTACAATGGAACCGCCTGCACGGACTTGCAGGACAACTGGTACTACCCGCAGACACAGTAAGGCATCCACCCCCGTTGGCAATAAACCAGGCTGACGTCAATGTCATAGCTTTGTCTCGTCTTCGTCCGTGATGCAGCCCTACTTTGCCAACCAGAGCTGTGACCCTTTCACCGCCGAGTCCAAGCCTTGCGTGCTCGGCAACTACGTGAGCTACGCCGTCAACGTCTCCTCGACCGCCGATGTCGTTGCCGCGGTTCAGTTTGCCCAATCCAACAACATCCGTCTCGTTATTAGGAACACTGGTCATGAGTAAGTTTGATGCCGCATTATAAAGACAAGGTACTAACTATCCTCAGTTACCTCGGTCGCTCTACCGGTGCTGGTGCTCTCTCCGTCTGGACGCATTACCTGAATGATGTCGAGGTCCAGGAGTGGTCGGATTCCACCTACGAGGGCAAGGCTGTGAAGCTGGGTAGTGGTGTGATGGGCTACCAAGTGCTGGATGCCCTTTACGGCACGGGAATCGTGGTGGTCGGCGGCGAGTGCCCTACCGTCGGTCTGGCCGGTGGATTCACTATGGGTGGAGGTCACTCCGCCCTGAGCACCAGCTTTGGTCTGGGAGCTGACCAGACCCTGTCTTTCGAGGTGGTCACTGCGTCGGGTGAGGTTGTGACGGCCTCCCGTACCAACAACACTGATCTCTACTGGGCTCTCAGTGGTGGCGGTGCTGGTAACTTTGGTGTCGTGACCTCCCTCACGGTCAAGGGCCACGAGGATGCCACTGTGTCGGGCGCTGAAGTCGAGTTCACCGTGGCCAACATCACCTCTGACCTCTTCTTCGAGGCTGTGGCTCGCTTCCACACCCTTTTGCCCGCCATGGTCGATGCCGGCACCACTGTCATCTACGAGATGACCAACCAGGTCTTCCTCATCAACCCCCTGACTGCCTACAACAAGACCTCCGCCGAGGTGAAGACCATCCTGTCGCCCTTCCTCTCCGCCCTCACCGAGCTGGGCATCGAGTACACCGTCGCTTACACCGAGTTCTCGTCCTACTTCGAGCATTACGAGAAGTACATGGGCCCTCTCCCTTACGGCAACCTCGAGGTGGGTTCCTACAACTACGGCGGTCGTCTTCTTCCCCGTGAGACTCTCGAGACCAACACCACCAACCTCGTCGCTGCTCTCCGCAGCATCACCTCCGAGGGTGTCATTGCCGTGGGTGTGGGCTTGAACGTTACCCACTCGAACGACGTCTCCAACGCCGTCTTCGCTCCCTGGCGTAGCGCCGCCGTGACCATGCAGATCGGCTCCCCCTGGAATGAGACTGCCCCCTGGTCCGAGATGGTCGCCAACCAGGAGCACATCGCCGACAGCTACGTTCCCCAGCTCGAGGCCGTTACCCCTAACTCCGGTGCCTACGAGAACGAGGCCAGCTTCCGCCAGCACAACTGGCAGGAGGCTTTCTTCGGCGACAACTACGCCAAGCTGTGCGAAATCAAGGAGAAGTACGATCCCAACCACGTCTTCTACGTTCTCAAGGGAGCGGGCAGTGAGTACTGGTCCGTGGACGAGTCTGGCCGCATGTGCAAGACCGAGCAGAGCTGCTCTGCCTAATATCATAACCTAATGTTTGTGATGTGGAGTGGACGTGTATTATAATTGCGCTGCTATTATAGAGATACCTGCTATAGACCACTTAATATTCAGTCATCTGACTGTTAATTGATTACATTAATCCTTACAGACAACAATCTACCACATGTAATAAACTACCCCATCAAGATCTCCCTCATCGCCTTTTCTCCATTACCCAATAACCAAAACATACACTCCTAGAGATAATACACGGCCTTACGATAATCGGAGGGGTGTGATAGACCACAAACCTACTGCATAGTCACGTGTGTCCTGCATAATCAGGACTTGCGGTCAGCCAATAATTGCTTCTGCTAATGCTAATTCGATTGGACTTGTCAATTACCCCTCTTTTACCCCCGACGAAGCAGAGAGTTATTTATCTATCGTAGTAGCCTAGCTCTCACTTTCAATTTTCTTCATAATAGATAACAGTGTACGATGCCTCACTCGTTATATAGATTCTACACAGGTGGTTCTCGTCCGGGTTATATCCGCGGGGTATATTAATTTCAGTAAGTACGTGCCTGTGTATAAGAATGAGAAAAACGATCTGTTAGGAGAGCTAATACCTAACAGAACAACAGCGCGAAAACATAATCAAAAGAAATCCCACCATGGCCGACCGCCGACCACCCTGGATACTCGACGCGATGAAAAATCCCGAACAAAACCCCCAGGCTCTTCAGACAGCCAACAAAGCGGTCTGGAACATGGCTGTCGATAGACGGACACGCGAGATTCGAAGGGGGCCGAATGGACGGCCTCGGGTGTTAGGGGAAAGGAGCATATATAGACCTCCTCCTGCAGGGTTATCCAAGGCGGAGCAAGAAAAATGGTTACACATACGAGATATAGCCAATGTCTTTGTGAGTTTAATTCCTCGTACAAAGCTCCGGCGGCCGACTCCGGCTCGAACGAGGGTACCGGATGGAAATCCTGCGAGGTTAGCCGAGGCGGATGATCGGAGGAGGGCGAATTTGCAAGCTCTTCATAGGAGATTGGATGGGGAGTTTTCTAGGTCTGTGAATAGAGCTGCTGATGCACGGGTACGTGGGGTGAAGATGAGGGCGAAGTTGCGAGATGTTCAACATCTCACAAGTTATTTCGAGATGCTTGTTGTTGGTTTTCTCAGAGGGGGTTTCGGGTTCTTTCTGTTTAGTGATAGATGCGCATTGTCTTCATGGGCTGGATGTGGTCTTGAAGAGGAAAGAGATTGAAAGGTGCTGTATATGTCGGTCTCTTGTACATCACGGGGAATTGAGAGATTGCTTTGGGAATTATATTGTTTTCAATCCATGATATTCACGATATGGTGATGACGTAGTCGTTGCATCCATCCTTTATCAATTGATTCAGTCAATACGGGATGAAGTATCTCTATAAATTGTGAGCAGGACCACATCAGGTCGATCACACATGTGGGGTTTCAGTCTGTGTTGACTAGAAGGTTGCTCTGTAGACAATACGGTCATGGCACCGTGCGCATCAAGGGTATGATGTTGTAGGCAACGAGTAATCAGAAGCAATCCTAGAGCTGGAATACAAGCCGAGATTTGCTACTACCTCCTGGGTGAGGTCATGTTTCTGGAATGACTGCAGTATGTGAGGATAGTGAGGACATTGGTTCGTTTGGAATCTCTCCGCGGAGTGACGGTGGATCCATCCCTTCAGTTTCAGGCAAACTTGCGCGCCTGAACCGATGGACGCATGGTCACGTGGTAACGAGAAGGAAGAAGTATCTTCCGTCTCATCGCTGCATCCTTATGCTCTGCTAGGAGAAGCTCTGTGGTCTGTTTGGTAGACGGATTGTTTCTCCAGCTAGAGAATTTTGGATAGATCCAGGTTTAGATGAGGTTTCTCGTATTAGGGGCTCTAGATGAAACCCTGTCGTTTCCTGTAGATTAGTCGATAAACTTTGGATCCAGCCTGTCCCGCTGCATTGTTTGAACGCCAAGACATATTCTGTCAGTTGTCAGTCCTTGCTAACGATGCTCACTGCCCATATGTTACACCAGCATCACCCTCGCATCATAAGTATGGACAGCAGACGGTGGTATGTGTCCAATATCTGGGGTCTGTACTGCCAGTCCCACCCCGCCCTGTGTCTGGTCCTGATCAGCGATCGAAATCAGGATTGATAACCAGGGTCTCCAGTGTGCGGTGGGGAATGAGGGCGAAGATCGTGAGGTGGAAGGCTGTCATTCGAGGCTGGAGACGATCGAGACGGTCACAATAAGCGGCCGTTGAGGGACGGCGTGACAGCGCCCAGTGGGAGCCGCCGACACCAGCGAGGGATGCGTGGCCTGTGGAAACCGAGGGGGAATTGCCATTCCACTCGCCCACCGCCAGCCCGATCAGCTGTCCTGTCCACCAATCACAGCCCCGTATGCAGGTAAGTATCCCGTGCCTGGGGCCCACTAGGCGTTCCGCCTGCCCTAAGCGGCAAGGGGGCGGTGGGCGGACGGGATTTTGCCCGTCTTGGGCGGTGGCTTGCTTGTCTCTCTCCATCATTCTTCTTTTCTCTCCTGCCCATCGTCTTTTCTCATACCTCGATTCTTTTCTCTCGTTCTTCTTCTCTCATTTCCCTTCTTCTGCTTCTTTTCTGTCGTATTCACCCTCTTTGGCTCGTCAGCTATCCCGCGTGACATTCTTCCGCTGGACTTACATTCCCTCCCTTTATCTTTGATAGGGATCCCCAGTCGCTCTTTAGCCGGTTTTTTATATAAATTTAATGCTCTAATCATTCCAGCGTTCAGTCTATGGCTCGTCGCTTTTTCGCCGCCTGCAGCGCCCTGCTGCTGACGACACAGGTAGCCGCCGACAATTTCCCCTTCACCGGTTACCGCACCGCAAACTATCTCCCTCCTCAGATCAAAATCACCAAGTCCGGCAAAACCGATCCTGGCTACCTCTTTATCGGTCCCCGTGGGAATCAGGCCCATGGAACAGCAGCTCTGATCTACGATGAGGATGGAAATCTGGTATATGAAGGTCCCGAGGAGGTGACGGCCAACTTCCGCGTGCAGAAACTCTTCAACGAGGATGTCATCACCTTTTGGGCCGGTAACATGATGGATCTGGGATTCGGATATGGCACGGTACATATTCTCGACAATACCTACCGCGAAATCTACACCGTCACCCTTCAGGACAACTTTGTCTCGCCCGACGGCCTTCCCCGCGACTCATACATCGATCTACATGAGAGTCATGTGACGGACCGCAACACCCTTCTCGTGACGGCCTACAACGTCACCCAGCATGACCTGACGTCCATCGGAGGAAAGCCAGATGACTACATGCTTGATGGCATGTTTTTCGAAATCGACATTGCGACCAACGAGATTGTGTACCAGTGGAGCGCGTTGGACCACCTTGCGGACATTCCCATCGAGGTTTCCAAGCAGGGCTTGGGAGAGGAGTACGGCACTCCGGATATGCCGTGGGACGCCTACCATATCAACTCGGTCGAGCTGATGAACGACGGGTACATTATTTCGCTGCGGCACTACTGGTCCGGATTTTACGTCCATAACAACGGGACGGTGATGTGGCGACTCAGTGTAAGTGATCTGCTGTCTCATCAATGCTCAGCTAACGGTCTAGGGTGAACCAAATGTCGGCGACTTTGAGATCGATGACAACGCTGCTTTCTCGTGGCAGCATGATATCCGGGTGTACGACCAGACGGAACAAGGCCTGGTGGTCAGTCTGTTCAACAATGCCAACACGCCCACAGATACGGTGGATGCGACCACCGGCTTGAGTCTGAATGTGGATCTGGTCAACCGCAAGGTGTCGACGCTGCGCACCTTGAAAGATTCACAGGATGTGATACACAGTGTCAGCCAGGGGAGTTACCAGCTGCTCGGCGAGTCGTCCCACGTCGTGCTGGGCTACGGTTCCATCGCGCGGGTCAAAGAGTTTGACGCCAACAACAATGAGGTGATGACGGCGCAATTCGGGGACGACAATGCGGTGGCGTCGTACCGGGGCTTCAAGTGCCAGTGGAAGGCGACACCTTTCTGGGCGCCGGCGGTGGCCATCATCCGGACAGCGTCGGATTCGGCCACCATGTTTATGAGCTGGAACGGGGCTACCGAGTATGACAACTGGGCGGTATATTCCGCCTCGTCGGCGGATGGGGAGCCGACATTTGTGACATCGGTCAAACGCGACGGGTTCGAGACCAAGTTGCATGTAACGGGAATGCGCACGAACTGGCTACAAGTGGTTGCTCGGAAGGGTAACATTCCGTTGGGCACATCGGTGATGGCGTACTACTAATGCCAGTGGAGATTTGTATATATGGTTTGTAAATAGCACCTGACTGATCACCTTACCTTGACTGGATCATGGTATTTGCTTAATAGTATACGAATATACATATTGCTTGACTCTTCTACTATAAGAGCATAACATGTCACTTGACAATGGGAGTGTCACGGCATCCGTATGTATGCCACTATTCGGATAGCAGTGACACAGCAGTAGTACTGTCTACCACTATGATGAACAAGTACTACAGCAACGGATGTAACTTCCAGCCATCACTAGACAGTGTTGCAATTCACAGCTGCATACCACACCCAACCCAAGATATATAACATCCCTCATCCACTCCACATCCACATCCACACCCAACCCTCAATCCTCAACCCCCATTCTTCAACCTTAACCCTCATCCAAAAATGAAACCAACCCTACCCCTCACCCTCCTCTCTCTCCTTTTCCTCCTCCCCTTCCTCCCCCTCTCAACCACCCACCCAACCCCAACCTCCACCCAAACCACCCTACTCACCCCCGGAAACGCCACAATCCACAACACCTGTCCCTTCCCCATCTACATCTGGTCCGTGTCCTCGACCACCAGCCCAAGCTACACCATCACGCAATACCAAAACTACACTGAACCGTTCCGCCACGACACACAAACCGGCGGCGTGAGTTTGAAAATCACCACCGTGAGGGATGGGCTGTACACGGGCTCTCCGCAATTGATCTTTGCGTATAACCTCGTCGAGGAGAAATTGTGGTTTGATTTGTCGGATGTTTTTGGGGATCCGTTTCGCGGGTGGAGGGTTAGTGTTTGGGTTGAGATGAATGGAAATGGGGGGAGGAAAGAGGAGATTGTTTGGGAGGATGGGGTCGCGCCGGGGGGGAGTCAGGTTAGGGTTGTTGGGGGGGAGGGGGAGGTGGGGGTTTGGGTTTGTTCTTAGGTCTCTCTGTTTTATTCTCTGGGGGGTGATGGGGGGGTTGATTTATGGAAGGGGATGTTGGGATCGGGGTTGGGGGTTTTATGCTAAGCTAATGGGTGGTGTTGGGTTGTTTTTTGCTCTGTTGGTTTAATGAAGTTTGCTATTCATATCTCATGTTGTTATTTTATCAATGTCATGTCATGATCTCGTTATTTTCATACGCCGCTCTGGAGCATTATCTCAGTAGAGATGAAAGAACGGCCCAATGGCGGGATACATCCTGTTTCCAGTTCATGTCAGAGATATTCTTCTCAGTAAATGGTATATGACTAACTTATCTTCTCTTGTGAGCCCGCTGCCTCACCTCTCTGGACCGCTGATATGGAATGTAAAACGGGACGTAGATGCCAGCTGCCAGGGAGGCATGGACGAAGACTCGGATTGCCATTGTTCGTGATGGTACTGCTGGAATCGAATGAAGAGGCCGGTGTTTGATATAGGGTGAGAATGTCATATGACCTTCAGGAGTATTCCGATAGACATTGATGGTATAGGGATATTTCTGGGGGTTATGGTCGTGGTTTAGGAAGACAACTTGACTACTCGGGTAGTGTATAAATTTGAGGGACCGACGCCGATGTACTAAAGCTAATATCCACCCTTCAGATAGAACTGCAGGGTATCAGACACCACCAGTTCCTACATGTCTAATATAATCAACTACCTGCCGAGCACTGCGGTGCCATTCCCTCAGAACCCCCAACGAGACGTCAACGTCGTGAGTAATAATATTTGACTGTAGGTCATGTTGCATATGCACCAGACAGTAGAATCAAACCGTAACGAGGGTATACAATACGCATCCCACCAATGAAAAGAACAAATGCACAAATCCTTTATAGCCCAGAAACCCACTCTTGGCCGACGGAAGCGCCGATTGGACCCGAGCTGCTCGGGCCTCTTCCATCACCTGAAATCCTTGTCATCATCAATACAGGGGTTGTCATTGGTTGTCTACCCCAGATTTCTCTACCCCGCATCTCCATCATCTGTTCCTAGATAATAGCATCAGGCCACACCTGCAGAATGATCACCACCGTTCGTCATGGACAGACCCGCCAAGCGCCCGCGGCTGTCAATGGCCTGCAACATTTGTCGTCAGCGCAAGGTGAAATGCGATGCCGAATACCCCAAGTGTCGCAACTGCCGCGTGCGCAAGCAGCCTTGCATCACCACTGATCCCCAGCGGCCGGGGGTGACTGGATTTCGGGAATGGCTGGATGTGCCAGAGAAACAGGGACTCGGCAATGAGGAACGACTTCAGCCGGACGACGGTGAGAACCATGAAGCGGGCTCACCGAAGCCATCGCCGGATCTTTCTCCCGTTCACCATCCGTTCGACACTTCATTCAATGTGGATGGCACCGATAGGATGAAGATCATGGGAGGAAGCAGCTCGCAATGTTTGGCCAAATCGTTGGACGTCTACTTCAAAGCAGCCCGGTTAAAGCCTGTGTCGGGTTGCTTTCGATACGGAATGAGACACGCAGAAGAGCTTGATCTACCTTTATCTCTGTCTTTGCCTGAGCTGCCGGGTCCGGAGCAAAGAGAACGGTACTTGTCGGCATATATCTCGAGAATACATCCCATATATCCTATATTCAACACGACCCGACTGCGCGTCGGCACGGAACTTTTGGCCACTGCCGGTGGATTCAGAAATCTTCCGCGGGAGCAGATCCCTCGACTTGTGTCAGCCTACTTGATTATGAGCCTCGGAGCAGATGAAGTAGGACCAGGCCAGACGGGGGACGGGGATCGCTACTTGCAAGCAGCAGCGTGTCTGCTCTCCCATGTCATCATCATCCCATATCTGCCGACTGTGCAGACATTGCTCCTCTTCACCATAGCATACCGCGGTAGGAATCAGGAAGGACTGGCCTGGCAAACACTCGGCATGGCTATCCGGACTGCCTACACATTGGGAATCAACCGTTCTTCTACCTCCATTTCCGAAGAAAAGTCCATCGAGGGACGAGTGTGGGCCGTGTGCTGGTGTCTAGAAAAGATGATGCATCTAGAATCTGGTCGTCCGACTGTTATCGGACACCAACACCCTAAGCCGAGTGAGGGTATCTTCCGAGCAGAGGACAAGTTCCTGCAGTGGCATGTCGAGCTTGGGGAATATCAAGGCAACATCAGCTACCATATCTACAACCATCAATCTGGGATACGAAATGTCCGACAGATTCTTCTCGGCACGGCTCGACTAGATCGAGCATTGCTGTCCTGGTCTAACCGTGTCCCGATTGACTTGCGTCCAGGGAATGATCTCTTTTGTCCGGACGATGAATTTCACATGGCGGCTTTTCTATCAATACAATATCACAGTGCGTTGATCTCGCTACATCGCGCAGCACTGATTGCTCCGACCTCGAGCTTTGAAGCAGAGGTAGCGAGGTGTTGCTCCGATGAGCCATCCCAGTTTCGGATGCGACAAGGAGAGACAATATGTGTGAACAGTGCCCGAGCGATTGCGAAACTCAGCGTTGAGCTGTCTGAGCGCAAGGCGGATTCACAGATTATTACTGCTGCATCAGGACTATTGGCTTGTATAGTGCTGGCTATCTTTCTTATCAAGCATCCTGGCTCTCGTCTGCAGATTATGGATCTCCAGGTATGCAATTGTTTTGGTTGAGGTCGAGTCTAACGATGATAGCTACTCAAAGCGTGCTTGGAATATACCACTCAGCATCTGTCTAGATGCAATGCTGATTCGCGATTCATAGAAGGTATGAGTGCTCTACAACCGTGACAGAAAAAGACTAATAATAGTAGGAATTGGGACGATCTACGAACAATGCTGCGCCCATCTCCAGTCCGCAGACAAGAGAGCCAACGAGCAGCGACTTGTAGCAAAGTCCAACGAGTCTCTTCCGACACCAGCCATTGACATGCCGTGGATTGCCGAAAATACATCACAGCCAAATGATTTGCTAAAGCGAAATACGAACCCCCACCGCGAGGTTCCATCCCTTGTGTCTTCACCGGTAGACAACAGGGAGGTGCACGATAATATGGATTCATTAGGATTCAACACATCAATGCTAGACGGGTTCATGCCCGAGGGAGTCAACGTGGACCAAGTATTTCCATTTGAGGGATACAATGTGGAGGAACTATGGAACTGGATGGTGTATTTGGATAGTCCTGATGTTACTTAACTACCACATCTTCATACTTATCCTATCGTACTGGAATCATAAACCGAAAAAAGATTAACTCAAACAGCCACAAACATACACAGCAATAACAACCCCCATCTACACCTCCTTCCCCCTCTCCATTTCCTCCAAATACGGAATCCCCGTCAACCTAAAAACCCTCTCACTCAACACCGGCTCCTCCACCGGCCTCTCCCTAGCAACAGGACAAGGCTTCCCATCCCTCATAGCAATATTACTCTTCGAGACGTGTTTCGCATTCGGCCAATGCGTAGTTCCAAGACGACCTACCCAAACCAAAAATTAGCCAGATCCCTCCTCCCCCTCCCCAACCCAAAAAAAAAGAACTCACGTTCATACGCATCCCTCTTCCTCACCAACTCCCCCCTCCCCACCTCCCTAACCGGCATAAAACACGCATAAACCGCCAACCGATCCACCTCCCCCGTCGGCGCAACATTATAATGCGGCGTGCGACTATCCCAAACAATCAGATCCCCGGGCCCCGCACAAACCTTCTCCCATTTCAATCCGTGCGAAGCAAGCCAGTCCATGCCCGCGGACGTGTATCCGTACCATTCGGGGGTCCAGGCGGGGATTCGTTCCTCGTGGGCCATTTCGTGATGGAATTGGCTGGAGAGGGCGTGCCCGCCTTTGCAGACGATTAGGCCGCCGTCGTGGGGACCGTTGGGGTTGAGGTTTATGAGGCCTTGGAGGCCTATCCCACTTTGTGTTAGGGGATGGAGGAATGGGGGGTTGGGAATGGGGGAAGACGTACATCTGAACCCGGGTTTGGAGGGGTCTTGGTCTTGGTGTGGCCAGGGTTTACTATCACATATCTATCGTTAGTCTTCACTCTCACTTCATATACCAAAGCCAGAGAAAAAGAGAAAGACAAGGGACATACTTCTCCGGCATATCCTCGCGACTACCCACCACAAACCACAAAACATTAGCGCACATCCCACCCAACACACCAACCCAAAAATAAGAAAGAATGTATACTTAGCAAACCCCACATTAACCACATCAAACGAAACAATCAAATCCTCATCATCATAAACCCTCGCAAAAGCATCCACCACCCCCTCTTCACCCCGGATGTCCCAGACCCATTGTTCGTGCGTCACCCCGTAATCAAGTATCATTCCTTTTTCGTTCATCACGGGGAGTTGGCCCCGGCGGACGGTTTGGGGGTTCGTGCGGGTGTAGCCCAGTTTACTATTGTTTTTATTTTGTTAGAGGGGTGGTGGAGGTGGGGGGGGGGGGGTATGAGGGCGGTAAAGGCAGGGGGGGATACAAATCCTCCATGTATGTGTAAAATGCATCAGCGTAGGATTTGGCTCGGTCAAGGGGAATCGCCCCCTTGATTACGGCGTAGCCGTCGCGGTTGAGGTCGTCGCGGAAGTCGCCGTAGTTGGTGGGTTGGCCGTCGAGGAGCATTCGGTTTTGGCCTTTGGTGGTGGTGTTAGGGGTTGGGGATGGGGCTGGGGCTGGGAGGGAGGTGATGGTGGTGGTTGTGGTGGTGGACATTGTGGATTGGCTGTTTGTTTATTACTTTGGTGGTAATGTGAAGTTGAGATGAGATGATGATTGTTACACTGGATTTGAGGCCTACTTATCTGATAAATTCATACTGTAGAGATAATGCCCCGAGAATAGCCACCTGCTCCGCTCCGAGAACGAGTTAGGGTTCGGGGCCCCCCGAGGTATCTATCTCCGCCGAGCTCGGTTCGGTCCTCGCCGAGCATATCGACCGAGCAACATACATCGACCGAGTCAATACCCTACATACAATATAACCCTTATCCCTACTCCCTCCCTCACCTCAACCCCAACTTCCCTTCACAAGAAGCAAAATGACCACCAACAGATACAACATCATCATCATCGGCGCCGGCATCGCCGGTCTAGCAGCCGTACTCCCCCCTCCCCCCTAAACCCCCAAACCAATAATCCAATACTGAAAAAAATCCAGGCAATATCCCTCCGCACCCGCACCCGAACAATCCTCCTCCTCGAACAATCCCCCCTAAACACCGAAATCGGCGCCACCATCTCCCTCCAACCCAACGCCTCCAAAATCGTCCTCCAGAGATGGAACCTCGCATCCCTCCTCGCCCCACACTCCATGACCGACACCGCCTTCGAAGTATACAATCTCGCCGGGGAACTAAAAACCCATGTCCCTCTTTCCTCATCAAAAGAGAAATACGGCGCCGAGAGAATGATCTATCATCGACAGGATCTGCACTCCGTGCTGAAACACCGGACCACGGCACAGGAGTACCCAGGGGATCCAGCAACACTCTGGACTGGGAGGAGAGTGGTCAGTGTGAACTGCGAAGAAGGGATTGTGGAGATGGAAAGCGGGGAGAAGGTATATGGGGATTTGATTATCGGGGCGGATGGGATTAAATCTGTTGTTAGGGGGTGTGTGCTTGGGCGGGAGGTACAGGCCAGAACCACCGGGTGGAGTGCGTATCGGATGATGGTTGATATGGAGGATTTGGTTCGGAATGAGGGGTTTGTGGGGGTTGTTGATCCGCGGGTGTGTCAGACGGTGATGGTTGTGGGGGATGGAAGGAGGAGGATTATTATGGGTCCGGCTAGGGGGGGGAAGGTGTATAGTGTTGTTGCGTTGGTTGCGGATGAGAAGGGGGAGGTGAGGAAGGGGACGAGTTGGGTGACCGCTGGGGATCGGGGGATGATGTTGGATACGTTTGGGGATTTTCCGGAGTGGGCGACGGCGCCGTTGCGGTTGGCGCGGGGGAGGTAGGGTTGTGGCAGTTGAGGGATTTGGACCCGTTGGAGACGTGGTGTAGGGGGAGGGTTATTTTGATTGGGGATGCCGCGCATGCGATGTTGCCGACGCAGGGGCAGGGTGGGAGTCAGGCGATTGAGGATGCGGAGGCGTTGGGGGCGTTTTTTGAGGGGTTTGAGGCGGGGAGGTGGAGGAGGGAGGATGTTGAGAGGGTCAATCGGGAGGTGTTTGAGTGTCGGTTTACTAGGGCGAGTACGATCCAGGAGTATAGTCGGTTGGCTGGGGGAGAGGAGGACGGGGCAAAGGTGGCCATGAATCCGAGGGAGTTTATGGATTATAATTGTTTGTATGAGGGGGCGGTGGAGTGGAGGAGGAGGCAGGGTGTGGTTCATGCTTAAACAGGGTCTTTTATCATTTATGAGATGATTGCGAGAGGCTAAGCTACTGCTATGAAATTCAGCTGGATATCCACCCCCGCTGGTAACTTGGATACCTCCACCATTGACCGTGCCGGTTTATGCGGGAATGCTGGGTTATATACGCTTGCGAACTCGGGCATTATACTAGCATTGTTGACATATACCTACACAAGTAGAATAGCTTAGCGTGGAGATACTGCACTGACCACCACCTTGGCCACCATATCAAGACCAGATCCAGCTTCCTTGAGAATAGCCTCGGTGTTATGGATATTTGCCTGCGTCTTCTCCGTCACAGACCCGTTGATCAGCTTCCCCTCGGCGTCGGCAGGAATTTGGCCAGAGAGCCAGACGGTTCCATTTGCTTTGATGGCTTGAGACTGTTGAATAAGTAGTTTTTTGTGGTCATCAGGTGAGATATACGTAATGTGCGAAAGCTGTTGGTAAGTGTAAGTATGAGCTGAGCTGAGAGGAAGTCACTCACGAGCATAGCATTTGTCTGTATGTATGCTGGTGAGGGTTGAATTGCCCCTGTGGATGACACTAATGCTGCGGCCGGGTGAGATAGACTTGATGCGATGTCTACATACGAATAGAGACGATGTAACACCACGGCGGAACATCTTGAAGGAATGTTGTATCAATTAACGGATGGATTAAGATCAATCGATATATATCATTCGGGATTCTGTCCCGACGCTGGACAATTAGGGCGTGGCTCGGCCCCACCCGCCGAGATCTGTGAAATTTGTCAGCGCCCAGACATGCAGTGATTCATTTTTAGTCCATTCCAAGTCGTAAGAAATGCAATCATTGCTATAAGACAGAGTAGTGGTGCATAGACTGCAGTGAAGTATTGACTGTTTACCATGGCCACCGTAGCGAAGAGTATCCCCCGGCTCACGGGGAGGTAAGCCTCATACCTCAAGCCAAGAACAACGTACTAACAACATCCAGATCATTCCTCAAAAGAACATCGAACATAAGCATCCGGATGAATTCCTCATCCGCAGCAGAAGCAGCAGCCAAAGCAACCTACAAAATAGTCAGCAACCACCACGACTTCCCCGAGATCGAGGCCAAGAGACCCCCCTTCGACCACTCCAACCCCCCCATCAAGGTCACCCAGTCCCCGTACCCAGACTGGAACTACGGGCAAGGCGTACCCAACCACACCAGCACAGCCCACCACGAGATCGACCCCTACGCCACCGACCGCCCCATGATCAACAACTACCGGTTACTCGTCTCAGGAATCGCCCCCCGACCCATCGGCTTCATCAGCACCGTATCCGGGGATGGGAAAACCGAGAACCTCGCTCCGTTCAGCTACTTCCAGGTCGTCGACCACGACCCGCCTACCTTCATTGTAGGGTTTTCGTCCCGCCCTGGTCCGGTCAAGGACACGTACCGGAATCTGAAAGAGACGGGGGAGTGTGTGATCAACACTGTCTCGGAGGGGATGATTGAGGCGGTGAATGCCACGTCGATTGATGCGCCGTATGGGGTGTCGGAGTGGGAGATCTCGGGGCTGTGTAAGGCGCCGAGTTCGACGGTCAAGCCTGCCCGAGTGAAAGAGTCGGTTTTCTCGGTTGAGGGGAAGGTGGTGGATATTAAGGATTTTGAGGGGCATAGGCCTGGGATGAGTGCTCCTGCGGTGGTTTTGATTCAGGCTACGAGGTTCTGGGTGCAGGAGGGTGCAGCGGATAAGGATTTTAGTCATATTGATTTGGAAAAGTTGAGGCCTGTTGCGCAGTTGGGCGGCGTGGCATATGGTCGGATTACGGAGACGTTTGAGCGGCCAAGGAAGAGGTGGGAGGATGAGGTGGAGAAGAGTGAGCTGCTAACGGGGTTGGAGAGGAGGAATCAGGAGCAGTAGTCTTGATGGGTTCTTTAATATAGATTTGTTTCACTCTAGATGTACATTTACGATTTCATCACGCGATGCTTCCTATATGCCTGACAATTCAGGCAGCAGCAAGATCGGCGGCTGTCCGACGCCCCGAGCCGGTTTCGGGCCTTGTTCCGACCGCCGCGACAAACAACATCCCTCTCTATCCCACTCAAGACATCTATTCTATCCCCAGAATATCAAAATCCATCTCATCATGTCCTTCCTCCGGCTCTCAACACGGGCTCTGCCCACCCAACTCCTTCGACCCCAACACATCGGACTCCGTACCGTCGCGACAGCAAGCAAGAAGGAATGGCTGTGCATTCTACCCGACAATCCTGATGCCTTGGAGTTGAGAAAGCAGGTTCGACCGTGAGTACCCGTTCCCGTCCAAAGTAATTTGTCTACGCAGTTTTGTTAATAGTGACGCAGAACTCATATGGCCGGAGTTGGCCCTCTGGTCCAGGCGGGAAAGCTGGTCGCTGGTGGTTAGTTTGTCCTCAGTGGTAATGGGATGACTGGTTAACTTCATCAGGCGCAATGCTGAGCTCGCATCCTGAAGAAGGCGAGGATTTGTCTTTCAAGGGAAGTATGCTCATTTATACGGCTGAAACGGTCGAGGAAGTCCGCCAGCTTGTTGAGGCTGATATCTATGCCAAGAGTGGCGTTTGGGATATGGAGAAGGCTCTGGTTGTTCCGGTGGGTGCTTCTTGTTGTTCAATATTGGAATTGTGATACTGACCACGATATTTGGCAGTAATTGTCGGCTGTGCGAGAACCGTTGAAGAAGGATTAAGTGTAGGAAGGAGAGGTGGTGGGTCTTCTTGAAGGCAAAGAGTGGCTATTTGGCCTCGAGGTGGCAGAAATAGGGATAGTATCGATTGTATCTGATACTCTTGCGGATCCATATGTCAATCGTGACTGTGATACCACCCATTTTTCCCTGATGTCTGGTTCGCCGATTGAAAGCTTTACGAATCTAGTATGACATCAATTGTAATCCGTTTACAATTGTATGCTTTGATCTCCAGTATACCTTTACCCGACGAAGTGCACGTAAACAGATAGTACCGTCAGCTTTGTCTATTGAAGCACTTTCCTATTGACATTTTCAACTACCAAGGGACGATGGCGCATCTGGGAGCGCGTCAGACTGAAGATCTGGAGGTGGCCGGTTCAAGCCCGGCTCGTCCCATTCGTTTTTTTCGAGAGAGATTTTAATTCGATTCTTTTTTACCGATGGCGGTTGGTGATGTCGTCATGCCAGGGTTCGAACCTCACTGCCGGCAGTTGCCATGCTAGGAAATTGAGGGTCTTGTTGCATTTTTAGTCCATGAAGACATGATGGTTGCCTGCAGCTTAGCGGTCATCTTGATTTCATTCCATCCAATATCTTGCCAGTTAAATTTTCTGGTGACTTTCTCGGGGGTTCAGTTAGTCATGGGTTCTATTGTGCCATGAGGCTAATTCAAATTCCTTTGGGCCAGACTGTCTAGCGAGCCCATTTCCAATATGTCAAGAATGGGCATTATGCTTATATGACACCGATGTTCATTGGATTTGTGGAGGTGTGACGGACAATCGCTGGTTTCAGAGAATTGGTCATACTAGATGCCAGTGGTCAAGATATATATCTACCCTTTCCACACTTACACAAATCACAAAACTGAAGACTCCACCCAATTGCGTAAATGTAGCAACTTGGATTGAAAGCAGAATTATTTAAATGACACAGAAATGTTACACATAGCAGCAGACATACAAAAAACTAGCAGTATATTCCCACCAACCAGTCATACGGCCCACGTTGTAAAGTTTAGCGGCCCCTCAATAAGCATAAACTGGGCCCTATTTCTCAACAATTGGCCTGCTGGCCCAATGGTAAGGCGCTTGACTACGGATCAAGAGATTGCAGGTTCGAATCCTGCGTAGGTCATTCTTTTTTGCTTTTCTTTTTTGCTAAAGAAAAAATGCAACAGAAGAATAAGAGTAAAATTAATGCCACGGTAAGATGAGAAATTGGACAAATGGTCATTCCCGATAGGAACAAGGCAACAGTATGTTTATCCGTAAGTGATGGAAAGCATCAATGCCGAAGTAAGACAGCACAGTACTACTTATTGCTGCACAAGCCTCCTGGCTGTCTGTTTTCTCGTCTTGGGATTCGCCTTCCGCATACTTCTCATGCATTCCACATGAAAGGATATTAGTGTCGAGGATATGACACCATGTACATTGAAAGAGGGAACGTGTTGCCTGTGGTTATATGATGACCTGTCGATCAATAACTTATTATTCATTGAAGTGGGCTATCGAGTAACAATGATAATTAAAGAGAGACACGAAAGAAAAGAAAGTAGGATATAACAAAGGTCATATATAATGAGTAACAAAGATGAAGAGACACAAAATTGTACAGAAACTTGTCCAACCTTGAAGACCATCTCCAGGTCAGGTCCTAGGTGACGTGATCTCCTAATCCCGGATCAAGCGATACTGGCTCTATCTTCGTACAACATCAGTATGCCACCAATGTGGCAAACCAATCCTCAAACAGCTCGACCTTTTCACTCCAGGCAATGGGAATCTGCCCCCATCCATCACCAACATGCTGTACCAGTTTGGAGGTGTTCACTGCGGGCCAGTGAACTGCCCCTTCTGCCTGAGTATTAGGGTTTCTTGTATTGATAAAACTGGCCCAATAATCGTTCATATTCTTGGCAATAGCATAGTCCTCAGCAGTCCAGGGTTTGACAGTGGCCTAGAGATTGTTCAACACGTAATTGATCTCTGACTCGTGATAAGCTCCAGGACTCTGGCCAGGGGGCGCGTGATCCCAGAAGTAGTTCCAAACAGGGCTGATCTTGGCGGTATACCACATCTGGGTCCAGAGCCAGGTACCTAACTTGGAGCGGTCGGTGAACATGGAGTTGTATGCCCCTGATGCGGTTGTCGAGTCGTTAGCTGGATAAAGAGCAAGGGATCGGTCGATCCACCCCCCGCTGTATGTTTCGTTGAGGTCCTGGAGATATTCCGCGAGCGAGATATCGAGGCCGTAGGTAGCGCCGTTTTCGTCCTTGTTGTTTCCCGTGATGACTGGAACGTCGTGGGCTAGGCCTTTCATCAGGATGTTGAGGTAGGTATCCGGCATGGCGTAATAATCGAGGACGGCCTTAAACATGATCGTGTTTTCACGGGTGATGCTGGTTGCACTGCTAATCAATGCTTCTATGTTTAGGTTGCGGGCTTCGGCGATGCTGGACATCTCCAGATTCGATAGATAGGTATTGCCATCTGTTAGTGCATCTTCCAGTGGGGTGTAAGCCTCGGTGAGGCTGGTACAGAGAGGGTCATGGGGATCCCGGACACTGCACTTGATGATGGCACCGACAATCAGTCCCTGGGTTAGATTGCTATACAGTATATGTTGAGTGGCTGCAGAGCCTGCCGACTGACCTTGGACGGTGATTTGATTCGGATCATCTCCAAAGGTCTCAATGTTGGCATGGATCTATTTCAATGTAGTAAATTGATCTAACATTCTCTAATTGCCCGAGCTGTTGGACTCGGTCACGTTCTCGAATTTCTCTGAGAGCTCAGAGTGGGCGAGCCAGCCAAATGGTCCAGTCCGGTAGTTGTAGTTGATAAAGACAATCTTCTTGTTGGTTATATCACCGCTGTCAAAGGGAGGATCTGCTGTAGTTGATTTGGTAGGATAACTCCACATGATCACGGGGAGCTTCGCGTCAGTGGAGTTTGCTAGACTCTAGATATTAAGTTTGAGACAATCTTCATTGATGGTGTAAGCATTGTCCTTAATCGTAGCGGAAGGGCAGACAGGCCCCCAGTTGCGCGCGTCCAGTGTTTGGTTCCATGGGCTTGCGAGCTGCGGTGCTTTCTACCGGTTGGCACCTCTGGTGGTTGCAGCAAATGGAATACCCTTCCACACAGTGATGTCCTTCCAATGCGTCAGGTTGCCGGTATGGCTGCTGTTGAAAGCCGGATAACACTGGACCGAGCCATATTTGGTCTCAATCACGGTTTCGTAAAGGGCGGCGGAAGAAACAGATGCCAGCCCGCAAAGCACGGGGAGAGTATTGCGAAGCTTTGCATAGAATTGCAATGGGGAGGTAATAGCGGAGGGAACCGAGTGATGAATGTTTTGTTGTGAGATTTGAGGATAAGTGACCTTTATAGCCCTTCGACTGCTTCTCTCGGTTGCTTGCTCTAGGTTTCTGAACCATCCAAGCCTTCTTCACAAAGATATCTACTTGATCCCGTGCTGACGTATGTCCTAGATTCAGGAAAATGAACCGGACATCAGGTCCAAGACTGATAACAGCCTTCAAATGTTGAAATTGAATGAGCCGGTCGATCCCCGACCCGCTGTCCCGTAGATGCTGCAGGAACGGAGACTGGCGTTGGGCCACGCATAGTACTAGGGTAATTGAGAAGGGCAGGAGCTTACGCAGCACCGGTTATAGGTTTTGCAGTTGATTCAGCTACCCAGTTAGAACTTCCCACACAGTTCCTAAGGATCGGTTGTGAAGTCAATCTGAGCCTCCGACCTCCGACCTCCGATTGACTCGTCACTCGGTGGGTCTGTTGCTCGCAGCCCAGGAAGCCTATTGGCAATGATGAAAGCCCTAGTAATTAGGGTCCCGTGAAGCATAACAAAGGATGGTTATCTGCGACTGCATTGTCATCACGTATGCGTCTTACCTTAGCTTGTACCCATGGATCTGTCCAACTGGGAGAGTAATGCCTTTTCTGTGAAAGAAGATTAGAAAACTGCGCTATTGCTTAATGAAACATCGCAGAGCTCTCCATATCTGCTTGAGATGGACATAAAGCGTTCCAGTATAGGGCTGGCGCGGCTATAAAATCACCAAGAAGGACTAGCGTGGAACCGTATAATGGAATTTGTGGACCGGTCAAGGAACTCGACCAATAACATCAAGAGGAGAAACTCATAGGTGACGTCCATGGTGGATGCCTGTCTTTCTATATCAGCGATGGATTCCCACAACCACTCCATCATGTTTATCGTCTCCATCACCATCTTCCACCCAGTCCAACCACTACTGTACGGATCAAGAGATTGCCGGTTCAAATCTTGTGTAGGCCACTATTTTTTGATTTTGTCCCTACTTGACTTCGTCTTTATTATTGCTATCTGCCCTAATGGCTACCATTCATCTGCCTAAATCATGAGGCGGAAAATGATTTGTGATGGATGTTGCGTCCCTGTGACAGACACTGACGCTTGGATCTATTATATTAAAGACTGCAGTCTGATGACTGATAAATGCTGCCCGTGTGCTTCAAATCTTAGTCAAGAGTATGGAATTATCTTTAGAAGTACTATGAGAGTTTGGATCACCCAAGGCCAACTGTAACTCTATTTACACAGTTTATGTGTGGCACAGTGTATATCTGCAGAACTCCCATATACCATGTGGTAGGGAGTACCTCATGTAAACCGAATGTCAGAAAAAGCAGAGAATGGTGTATGTCTAGGGTAGACAGCTGGCCGCACTTGGTTTATGTGGATGGAATCTAGCGTATACTTTCAATGTTCCGTTGACATTGAGTGGACTATTACGCTTTTATTCGTGTATCCTTTCTTATATATCCTAGATAACTTTGATACAGATGTACAGTTTGGAGAGAATCTTTGAATTGGAAATATCGAGAAAAACAGGGAACCAAAGTCAAAAGAAGATAGCTACAAGAGCGAGTAGGAAGAGTTCAATCCAACCGAGTAGCATACTTCCTCCGAAACGCTGCGCCATACTTATAAATCAAAGCCGGCGCAGGAGTCAACGCCAAGGCAATGAACCCGAGGAGAGAATTCCCCCATCCCAGCCCCAGAGCAGAATACATGCTGGGACCAGCAAGCGGAAGAAAGGCACCAAACAGGCAGCGGATAGCCGTCAAACCGGCAATAGCAGACGCGGCGTATGGGCCACATGCGTCAATGAAATATGTCTGGATGGGAGCGAAAATGCCCATCATGCCGAAGCCAAAGGGCATGAGGCCGATGATCGGGACGATCCAGTGCACGTGCTTGTCTGCGGCCCATCCGTACCAGAAGAAGCTGATGGGGACGAATAGAGCGAACATCAGACAGCTGGCTAGTCGCATCTCGGGCTCGTAGACGCCCTGGTTGGCTGCGGTGAGGCGGACGACGGTTTTGTCGGAGGTGGCTCCGACGGCAACGAGACCTAGGGCAAAGCCTAGGCCGATGCCGAGGTAGGAGAGACCGGCTAGTTCGGCGGGCCAGTGGTAGGTTCCGGTGAATAGGGAGGTGATGGTGGTGAGGAGGAGGTAGAGGAGGCCGAAGATGAAGGACATGTAGAGGGTGAGGAGGAGTAGGATGGGAGACCGGAAGAGGATTCGAAAGGGTCGGGTGACTCCCCGTGTGAGTGTGGCAGATGTGCTGGGTCTTGTAGGCTGGTTGGCATGATAGATGTTGCGTAGATCGGGCCGGTTGAGCTCCTTTTGCAGACGCTCGGTCTTGCGTTGGATGATCACCGTGGCGTTGGACTCGCGGTTCAGGAGGATGTTGGCGGCCGTCATCACAGCGCACGCGATGAGCAATACCCAAAAGGTCCATCTCCAGCCAGCGCGTTCGGCGATGAAGCCGCCGATGATGGGCCCGAGGATGGGGCCAAAGAGTGGCCCTGCTGAGAAAACAGCGTTGGCTTTGCCACGCAGTGCCAGAGGGAAAAGGTCGGATATGACGCCTCCACCGATGGTCAGACATGCTGAACCCCCGACGCCGGCCAGGAAACGAAAGATGATCAATGAGGCCATGTTCGGGGCCAGCGCGCATCCGATTTGCCACACGGTGAAGAAGGTATTGGCTGCATTGAGGATGGGCTGACGGCCGTAGATCTCACTCAGGGGAGACAAAACAAGGGGACCGACCTGATGGAATCATTAGAATGAGAGGATATAGTGGGTTGCAGTCAACGTACCGCAAAGCCCAGCACAAACACGCTGACTGCAAATGAAGTGAGAATCTCGGAAGTGGTGCCGAATTCTTCATCGATAAAGGACATTCCGGGTGCGGGCATGGATGAGGTGAATGGGCTAGAGGTAACGATGTTAGTCACTGTGTCTTTGCCTGGGGTTGGCTGGTCGTGCCTCAAAAAGGTAATCCCACTCACGAGCCCTAGAATGAGCCATTTGCGATTATCGGGAAAGTTCCTGTCACCTGTCAGTGAATGATATGAAGTAAGGGAGATTGATTCATACTGTGGGTTTTCCGGATCATCCTGACTCTCCCAACCCACAAGTCCATCGTCAAGGTCCATGAGCTTGTCGTCTGCCTTGGGGGATGTTGACTGTTCCCCATTAGTGGTCTTCCCCTCGAGCAACTCGAACTCTCCCTCTGCATCATTTGCCATGGCTTTTTGCTTGTGGCTGTGGAAATTCTGACACACAGTTGACTCCTAATTGATGCTTAGAGCGAAAGTAGTTTCCAACGAATGTGTTGGTACCTTATAAAGACCGACAATGAAGTCTCTAAACACCCCCAGATCGGACACCGACTTGCCGACATAGCGAGACCCTCTAGTGCAAATTTTGCTATCGTGGAGACTACTGTAGGGGTTAAACGGACATAAGGTGATGTCGAGTCCTGCCAGACAGATGGGTCCACCAGCCCCTGGAAGTGCTGTTTCCGATCCGGTGGCATAAAATCCGAACAACCATGGAGGACATGTCTTTCCAGGCAAGCGTCAATGCATTCATCCGAGTGGCAGTGGACCACCCATGGGTTAAAGATGGAGATAAGCAAGACAACGTCCGGTAAATCCAACCCCCCTGCTGGTCTTGGATCCACCAAGAATGATCGTCGTGTGGTTGCTTACTGATCTCGGGGTTGACCTCAAACCCGAGCTGGGGCTACACAATACGTAACCCCCAAACCTAAATCCGGGCTTGCCAAGAAGCCCCTGCGTGGCGTTACAACAAGGTGCTTATTTATATGGTGATGAAGCCCTAGAATCACTCCATCTTCATCATCATCCTCATCAGCATCTTCAGCATCTTCACTATCACCCACCCAGTCCAACCACTTCTACCAAAATGTCCATCGTCGTGAGAAACGTGTCCATCATCGGTGTACGTTCTTCGCCACCGCCACCGCCACCCCCACCCCGATAATCATCCATCATTAACACTCATATCATAGGCCACCGGTACCCTCGGCTCTCGCATCGCCAGCGCCTTGAAGGCTGCCGGCCACAAAGTGACCGCCATCCAGCGGAAAGACTCCAGCAAGCCCGTCCCCGAGGGCCTCAACACCGTCAAGGTCGACTACCAGAACAAGGAGGAGCTTGTCTCCACATTCACCGGACAGGATGTTGTCATCAGGTATGTCACCACCCCCTCCCCCTACCCTCAAACCCTAACTAACAACCGCAGTGCCATTCCCTTCCCTCAGCTCGATTCGGAAAAGATCGTCATCGACGCCTGCATCGCTGCATCCGTCCGACGCTTCATCCCCTCCGAATTCACCACCATGCTGGAATCCCCCCTATCCATCAACCTGCCCATCGCAAAGGAGAAGGTCCTGGTCCGTCAGTACCTCAACTCCGTAATCACCAGCACCGCCGGCCCAACTACCTGGACGTCCGTCAACAACGGCGCTTTCTTCGACATGGCTCTCAAGTTCGGAGTCTTGGGCCCTAACCCTATGGCCAAGAAGACAGTTTTCCATAACGGAGGCGATCAGCCCATTGCCGTCTCGACTCTGTCTGATATCGCCACCGCTATTGTCAAGATGCTGGAGAGTGAGGCCAAGTTCGAGGCTGCTGCCAACCAGCCCGTCTATATTTGCTCTGCGGCGGTTACGGAGCGTCGTTTGACCGAGCTGGTCTCGGAGGTCACGGGCATTGACTTTGGCACTCCGGAGGTGGTCTCGGTTAAGGAGTTGATTGCGGCGTCGGATGAGAAGTTGAAACAGGGTGATAAGTCTGTTATCATTAACTATTACTTCCAGATGATGTATGGAGAGGGATACAAGGGTGGGGACTTTATGGAGTTCAACTGGAATGAACGCTTGGGGTTGAGGATTATGTCGGAGGAGGAGTTGAAGGAGACTATTCGGAAGATTTTGACTAACTAGGCGGTTGGACTTTTGTGTATATAGCTGAGATATATTGCACGTAGTTTTTGCTAATTGGTACTCTGCTTATCAGTGTAGTGTTTTTTTTATGGTAAACCGATTGCATCTTCCCAGAGAGACGTGCCATGAGCAAGCATACAACAAATAGCCAATACACTCCCAGATAGGTACATCACAGACACTAAGAACAACGCAAATATCAAACAACCCTAACCCCTCTCCTTAACATCCCCCATCCACTCCCTCACCCACTTCCTCACCCACTCTGCCTTCACCCCCTCCACAGCCCTCAACTTCCCACTCCTCTCCGCCGTCCGCTTAGTCTCAAAGACCCTCCCCGGATCACCACACCCAGACACCGCATCCTCAAAAAACCCTAACAACTTCCCAGCAGGGTTCTTCTCCATCTCATCCCTAATTGCCTCACCTCCCCTCTCCGCAACACCCTCAACCACCTCCCTCACCCGTCCCACCCACTCCCCAAACGACACAACCTCCACCTCTCCTCCCCCTTTATACCATTCCAACTCCCCCTAACCACATCCCTAACTACCCCCCATTCCACAGGATACAGATTCACCGGATGAAACACCGCCACCCCCCCCTCTCCCCCCTCATCATCCACCTTATCCCCAACAGCCAAGTCCACCAAAACATCAGCCACCAAATCCACCGGCACCCAATCCACCCTCCCCAAAGGCCCAATATCCCTCGGCACAGCCCCCACCTCCAACGAACTCCGAACCAAACTCGGAAACCACTCATCCCTGTTCCATATCCCCGGGGTATGTACCGCGCCGGCGATTTGGCCTACCCGGGCGATGGATACAGGGACGTGGTGGGTACGGGCTGCGTGGTAGAGGAGGTGTTCGGAGATGTATTTGCTATCTGCGTAGCCTGTTTTCGAGGGACTTGGGGTGTGGACAATCTCCTCCGGGATTGGGATATGGCTCGGGTGGTGGTTCATGACTGAGCTGATGGAGGATATGTAGAAGATGTGTGGTGGGGTGGGGGATGAAGAAACGAAGTTGATGAGGTTGGTTACGCCGGCGAGTTGCGGGGTGAATGATGAGAGGGAGAGGTTGAAGTTGACGGGCCAGGCGTTGTGGATGATTAGGGTTGTGGTGGCTTGCAGGGTGGTGTAGGTTTTTGGGTCGAGGTTGAGGGTTGGGTGGGTGAGGTCGATGGTGTGGAACGTTGTGAGAGGTAGGGATTGGGATTGGGAGGGAGGAAGGAGGTGGTGGAGGGTGGATTTTTGGTGTTGGGTGGCTTGGCTGGTGGGTTTGCGGTTGAAGCAGTTGATGTGGGCGACGGAGGGGTGGTTTTGGAGGATGGAGAGCATGTAGGTTCCTAGGGTTCCGGTGGAGCCGGTGAGGATGATGGTGTGTTTTTTGTGGTTTGGGGGGCTCTGGGGGGATGATTGGTTGGGGTGGTGGTTAGTTGGCTTTGGAAGTATTGTAGGAGGTTGTATCTTTCTTCGAGCTGTTTGTGTATGGTTTCTTCGTGGGTGGTTGGTTGGTTGTTTGTGAGTTGAATGATAGCCTCTGTAAGATCTGATATGCATGGGTGGAGATAGATGAGGTTGGGCGTAATTTCAGACATTTGAAAGCCTTGTCGGAGCTGTCGTGCTGCCGTCATGGCTTGGAGAGAGTCCATGCCTAGATGGAACCAGTTCTCCGAGACGTGGAGATTCATATCCCATTCAGTGATGGTGGACACGCAGTGTTGGATAAAGTCTGACACAATCTGTGGGTCACTCACACGACCTGGACCGATAGACTCGCCGTCTGCTGGGGACGACAAACGATCGGCATCAGCATACAAGGCGTCAAGCTCTTCCCTGTAGAGCGACAGCGCTGCCGAGCGCTGCACAATTCCCTTTGCAGAAAGGGGAAGTGGCTTCTCCGGCCGTGTAAAGAGGACATGCGTTTTCGCAATGCGAGCGTGTGCCGGACAGACTGTATTTGCCTCTTGGATGGACGGCCAAATCCGCTCAATACATGCAGCTCTCTCAGCAGGGTTCAATGATATAGGTTCTGCGAGTTCAATCAAAAGAGAGGCTTGGAAGCGCTGCGCACCAGCTACCAGCGCAACAGAAACCTCAGGGTTAGCACACAAAATAGCCTGTTCCATGGAGATAGGGTTTGTTTTCTCCCCGTTCAAAAAGACAATCACATCATCCAGCCGGGCACTCCACTGCCAAAAGTCGGCCTTGTCTGGGTCTGGGTGTCTCCTCCAAAGGTCTCTTGTATGATATTCCTGCAGCTCGGGAAATAATGCAAACGTGAACTGGTGTGCTTCGAGAGCAGGGGAACGAACTATAACAAGCTCATACTCGGTTTCTGTGACTCGACGAAACTCGGGCCCCACAGCCGGGTTGAACTGGGTATATTGCCAGTCTTTTTGGGGATCTCTTCTCTTGGATTGAATAGAATTCAACATACCCACCTCTGTGGCACCGAATTGGTTAGCCAATTTGAACTTGGAGGCGATTCTGTCACCGAGCTGGTCAGGAAGATTCCCTCCGCTGTACATAAGGCGCGTGATATTCTGGCTGCATTCCTCTAACAGCTCAGCATTCTGGGCCAGTTCCTGCAACATCACAGGAGAAACCATGGCCACATCAAGGCGAGTCTTCTTGGAGGCAGCGACTAGTCCTGCTGCGGTTGGCACGCTAGATGTGGGACAGATGATCGTGGTTTTCGCAGGTATAAAGAACAGGAGATGGGCTAGACCTGCGGCCTAGAAGAATTAGATGGGACACTAATTTGTCTGTAGGACTAACATGGTATGGTGGCAGTGGCACAAACTCCCTCTTCCCGTTGATCCAGGTAGTTTGACCGTCGAACCCGTCCGGAGGCCCCAGAGAATTCATGCGCATATGCCTGACCGCAGCATCATGGGTGTAGACAATGGACTTTGGGATGCCGGTTGAGCCCGAGGTATGCCTGCCAAGTTAGATTGATCATTTGCAACCTTGAAGAGACCTACACAATGACAAGCTTTTCCTCGGCATGTTCCGGATATGTCTTCAAGAATTCGAAATGAGGGTGTTCGATATCTAGCAGATGCTCAACGCTAGGAACCTCAAAAATATCCATCGGGATCGCCTCTCGAATCGCAGTAACCGCAGCCGGACACGGGCTAGGTGCCAGGATTTTCGTGCAGTTCAGGCCCTGGAACAAGCTTTGATGGGCTGCCACGCTGTTTCGTGGGGAAGTGAGAAACAACTGGGATCGTCAACATGATTTGTCAGACAGGCACCGGGTCAACGCACACTGTAACCGGTTTTGACTGCACCCAGAACCAGAGCTGGGTATCGCACGTCATGGGGGCCGATATAAGTCAGTATCTCGCCTCGGCCCGGACCCAGGGTTTTGATCAGCCACCAAGCCATGCCGTTGATTGCGTTCGCGAAGGAACGGTAGGTGATCGGGCGGTAGCCATCATCGTAGCTAGTGGGAGAAATGGGGTATTCTGCGTATATTTCTTCTGGGGTTGTCTTGGCGTAGTGATCTACCAGGTGGGGGATCAACTCGGTGGGGGGATCAAACTCGGATTTTAAAATGGATGCCTTCATCGTGGAGGTTAATATTGTGCCCCAGTAGGGGGAGAATGAGGGCTTCTTTATAGGGCGGATCCGAAAGTTTGAAGGAGCGACGGGTGGCGTTTGAGGTACCAGCTGAAGCAGTATCCGGCTTTGAACCCAGTAGTTTCCTGGAATTGCAGCCTGGTGGGTGGCGAGTCAGGGTGCATGTGGACAGAGCTGAAGAATCTGTCAGTACTAACCTATAGAGCGATTGATTCGTGCGATCCGGTCCTAGGTACATCATGGGAGTCATCTCCACCCGGATCCTGCCGGTTTACTGGTTGATCGAGATTTGCACAATGCAGACTTCTTAGGTATCTAGATGGTCACGAGCTAGGTTGCATATAATAGGCCACTCGGTGGATCAGTGTGACGGCTATCTTCCGAGGGTATTGGACATCGGGATTTGAACTGGGGAAGATGCAGTTGGCACGGAGGCATTTATTTTGCCAATTTGCTTTCCACAATGAACGCCCTCCAAGCCAGGAACATTGATAGACTAGTGACTTGAAGAATTACTGTCAGAGGGATTATCTTTCTTAGTCATACATAATGTATTTGTAAATATAGATTTGACCAAGAAATACATATTAATCAATTGCCCTCGACTTGGGTAATCGACTGATGTTCCACGCGAACACTCCAAGATTAGGATGTCGCAGCAAAATAATCCTAAAACGGATTATATGACAAATCCAGCGACACATTCTTCGAGACCGGGAACTGTGCCAGACTCAAATCAAGCTGCATAGTACCCTTGTCATCATGCATCGCCAGATCGGCGGAAGGGTCGGAGTTGTTGACTGGCGGGCCTGATTTCGAGGCCCAGAACCAAGCTGTTGAAGTGCCATTGGGATCCAAGGTATAAACGGAGCTGGAGTTGCTGGAGGAGAGTGTGGGCCAGGCGGACAGACAATTCATGCAGCGGATGTTGGCGGTCATCTTGCCGTTGTTGATGCCGGATCCTGGCAGGAGGGTCAAGCTTGCAAGGGGGTTGTATTGGGGCTCGCTCTGGCCACCGTCCATGCTGGATCGCGGCGACAGAGTGATGTTAGTCGGAGAGGCGGCGTAGAGGATGAAGATGTTGGCCGAGTCCATCTGCGTGCCTTGGCCAAGGGAGGCCCATTGCAGGGTGGTGGGAGCGGAAATTTGCAGGTATATGGGACCGGAGTTGGCAGCAGTGGTGGTGTCGGGGATGGTGACGCTGTAGGTGAGGGCTGGCTCACTGGGAGGGGAGTAGGTGAGGATGTTGGCTGTAACTAGGGCTTTGCCATTGTTAGGTGGGTTGTTCAAAAAATCAAGGGGACATACACGGCGTTAGAACTAGACCCTGGAGCAGACGGGAGGTATGCATGATGGGCTATGTTGGAGTCAAAGAATTGAGAACGTGAGTAATAGAATGAGTGTAGTGGATATAAGATGTGAGTTAAGGTATCCTGGCTGGTTGGACCCACTGGCTGGGCTGTTTACTTTGCGGCTGAAGGGACAAAACACATAAGACCTGGGACCGGAGCAGACCAACAATTTTCGATGTTTTAAGGTTCACTTGGATAGAAAAAGATGGCGATCGCTCGCTCAAGGAGCATTCCTCAGAGCTGCAGCATGTCGTCCCTTGCATCCGACCTGGCAGGACTCAGAGAAGTCATTGCTCACCCATCCAAATCAGCGAGGACATCTTGTCAGGACAGGCAGATGATGTGTATTAGGGATGAAAATATATCTACTTTATCTAGACGAACAGATGATTCAATGTCATCCACGAAGAAAAAGTAATCATGTGACTTTTCCTGCCCGAGAAAGTCGGAGACATCTGTTACTAGGTTGGAAGCATCATCGACACATTTTTAAACATTCGAACAAAGGCTTACAAAGCACCCATAAATATCTCCAAGTCTTCATCAAGTGCTAGTTCCTAAAAATTAGTATTTGATCCAGACCTACTGTCTAACGCTGCGTCCAGGGTCTTCGTCTTCCCTGTCAATCTAGCCGAAGCGGTGAAATTAGTATTGCAGATCGGTCATTATCAGTAAGACCTAAACAAACTAGTGTTGTTCAGCAGTCAGCACTAACGCGCTTCGCAATTAAGAGCATCTCCACTGCCCTCTTCTGCTCCACTCTTGCATGTAAGGGTCCACTCAACTCACCCATTCAATCTGGTGCCCAGTCCAGCGTCTAGTTATCACGCTTTGAAGTGTCATTCCCACTGATTCAAGACTGATCAATGAGTGATGGGCCATCCTTCCTCGAACGATGTTCGAATTGATCTAGGGAGAAAATCAGATAAGGAGTGTGCGGCTGATTGGAGCAGCAGGCGCTTCACAGTCGAAGGAAGAAGGATGAAACCACTTTAGTGTCCTAGCGGCGCTTCGATCCAGCCTCCACAACACAGATTTGGGCATGCACAAGACTATCTAATTATATCGCAGCAAGGCTGACTTGTCGAGATTACAAATACCCCGCACTGGGCATAAATGCAGGGGCATCCCTCTTTTGTGAAATTAACGACCGCATGACACAGACATGTTGCATCGATCGGAAATCCCCAACGAATCCTCCGAGGGCATTGTGATGGAAACAATTCACATCGCCGACAAATCTCGCTCCGAGGGAAGAAGCCCTAGCCCTTACTCATCACCTCAGAAGTCTCTCATCAATGACGACCCGCAAGCACCGGGGCAGCATCGAGGCGCCACCCAGAGGCTGTCGTGGCTGTCATCATGGTGGGAGGAAACCATCATATCCATTTTGAGCATCGCATGTCTGGTCGGGTTGATGGTGCTGCTGGGCCAGCTGGACGGCATGACCTACGCCAACTGGGCATACCGAGTCTCCCCGAACGCTGTCATCTCGATAGTGACAACCGCCGATCGAGCGACATTATTGTTCCCGGTCGGAGTTTGTCTCAGCCAGTTCAAGTGGAATCAATATCACCGGCAGCAGCGACTCGACAATCTGCAAGTGGTGGACCAAGCCAGTCGAGGGCTGTTGGGCTCTCTCCGACTCGTCACTACCACCCGGCCCAGTCTCGCCACGTTGGGGGCCATTGTCTTGATTCTTTCGGTTGCCATCGATCCTTTAGCCCAGCAGATTCTCACATTTCCATCCCGCGTGGTTTCGGCTTCCAACGAGACCGCGTCCGCCCAGACCGCACTGGTATACTTGCCCAGCGATCCAAATACAGACAGCACCATGAGCCTCACGGTCCTCGGCAGCACCTATGGGTCCAGCAGCTCCCAGGAGCCAGTCTGTAGCACCGGATCGTGCCATTACCCCGACTTTGTTGCCCTGGGAGCATGCAGTCAATGCCAGGACGTCACCTCGCAGACCAAGCAGAGTTGCAGCGCGCTTTCCTCCAACACTACCTTGGGGGGTGAATCAATCAATAGCACCGGGCTTGGATCTGCAGCGGTCAATTGCACCTATACCACCCCGGGAGGTCTACAAATCACCCCCACGGTTTACTCCCTGGTGAACTCCCCAGAATACGTCGACTTCACCAAACACGAGTGGACATTCTCCACCACCGGAGTCGGGGATCTCAATCTCAGCGATTCCCAAGGACCTCACTATGCCGGAATACTGAACCCTGTCGTGGCCCTCGCGGTGGCTAACTATAGTAACCCTGAGATGGTGTACACCAAGGACAATCTCACCGCGCTGGAACAGAAGCCCAAAGTGAGCGAATGCGCGCTCTATCTCTGTGCCCAGAAGTATGCGAACAACACGTACAGCTCTGACCATCGATCGTTGGCGCCCTCTGAGACGGAGCAGCTGTTTGTCAATCACACCTTTCAGATGTTCGGTATCAACAACCTATCCACCTCAAGCAATGACTCGGCTAGCTTTGCCTCAGCACACTCCTATAGTATGCAGGGTATTACCATTCTTGAAATCTTGAACTCTTTCCTGTCAACAATCACCCTCATGGACAAGATTGATGCAGGCTGGACGGCATCTTTGCAAGATGGCGATGGTGCTAGCCCAGTCATGAAGAAAATCGCCACTGGCATCACAGACGCTATTCGATCCGGACCGAACACTACCACTGTGACTGGGGAAGCGTTCACCACGCAGACATACATATCCGTGAGATGGTATTGGGCTGTTGCTCCGATTGTCATCACTGTAATGTCGATAATGTTTCTGATTGCGATGATTATCCATACTGGTCGTGCCAAGGGAGTGGGAGTGTGGAAGTCCTCTGCGCTTGCCTTGTTGGCCTGCAGATTGAAACAAGGGACAGAATATCCGGATATGCATGCCCTGGGGGCAACCGAGATGGAAACAATAGCCAAGAGGATGCATGTCTCGTGGGATAAGGATGAACCGTTGACTTTGTCGGTTAAACCTACTGGAGAGGTGCGGCATGTTTAACCCATTGATGACAGGACTGGGTCAGTTTTTGTATGATGGGGAATTTGGCTATTAGTTGCCTGAGGCGTTGTCGGTAGCTCGTTGGTTACATGTGATGATTAACGTTCATATACCCATAGCCCATGAGTGAGGTTCATATAGTATTCGGTCAAAATTATAGTTAGCAGTTTTAAATATCATGTCTCAGTAATAGGATTGGTTCAATATTTCCGGGTGGTGTGTTGTCACCACAACATAACACTTTAAACCTAGCTTGGATACTACAAAAGCTGAAAGAAAAACAAGCAGCGAATCAGATAACGCAATGGTTAGCAGCTACAGCATCATTGGTCTAGTGGTAGAATTCATCGTTGCCATCGATGAGGCCCGTGTTCGATTCACGGATGATGCACTCTTCTTTTTCCCCTTCTTTTTTATTGGGAAGCCTACTAATAGCGGGTACACAGACCGAATGCTGGAACTCTTGAACTTGATCAGTAAGATCCGCTTCCAAGTGGTTTATGCTTTTCACATACACCCTACTTCGTAAGCTCGATAGAAAGCAGCTTGGACATCAGTCTATGACGTGCGCCCTAGAAACCGTTCGTTGTCTGGTAGAAGTTTTTTTATTCTTTGTTCAAGATACGAGAAGTCACCCTCAGAATCCGATCAAACTGTACGTTTCTTTGTACCCGTGCGGTGCCTTGACCCAAGCTAATTTTGGATTGAATGATAGCTTCGCACCGGCTAATGTTGAGCTTTTAGCTGGGCATCAAATCAAAGTATCCCGGAATGGCTGGGGAGCGTTGGATGTGAAATTGACGATCCAGCTGACGGGAAATTGGCAGTTTAGTGATGAGCAAGGTGGTGGACAAGGGAATTCGAAAACGCTGACTTGGCCGTTGAAGTTGAGTGGACCGTCGTTGCATCAGTCGGATGTGGCATTTAATGTGGTTGAATCGGGAAGAATATGTCGGGGTAAGGGTTTGGGGAAGGAAGGAAATGTTCGAAAGGGTAGGGCTATCAGTCACGGATGGAGGGGGTAGGCTCATAATTGAAGCTTTATCCTGGCTTAAATCAATTTGTTAGTCTTCTGTTTATACTTGGCGCGAACAGTAACAAAAAATTCAATATATCCAGCATTAACTGTGATATCTTGAGATCTTCGCCCAGAGAGTATAACAGCCAAGCAGTATCGTTGAATGAATTACGCAACTGATTTTCTTGTTCCTGCTATTTGTTCTGTTCATTGATCATTTCATCTTTATCTTTGAAGGTTCTGCTAATTCTATAGGCAGATAGAAAAGCTCGAGAAACGAGACTTGAGGATATCCGGATTACAGGCCCACTCAGCCAGAGCCCTATCAACCTCCAAAACCAAGAAGCGAATCTCGATTCATCACATCCACTTCTCATGCAACCAAGTCATATCCATCCCCTCCATGCATCAAAACCACGCATCCCGTCACTTCAGACTCATCTACCTACATCCAACCACCCTCAGCTAAAACTCCGACGTATAATGCCCATCCGTCCTCACACTAGTATTATAAACCCTCGCTCTCTCATCAACCACATACTCAGCACAAATAACCGATCCATTCAACCGCATAACATCCCCAACGGTAGCATTCGCCACGATCCAATTCATCCACAGATTATGATTCAAAGTCGTAGTACTTCCCGGATCCCCATCATAGTTCAAGATATCTGCCCCAGGCTGAGACAGCCCAGCCTCATCAAGAATATACTGAGGAGCGGTGTTATTCCCACCCATATCGTACAGACGATGGGGTAGATCAGCCATCTGCCACTCCCACCATAGCTTGTCGAGGTATGCGTGATGCATGAAGAATAGCGGGTCGTTGCAGCTGTCGATTGGATCGAGCATTAGGCCGCCGACGCCACCGTGGCCGCCGCTGTGGGGGTTGCCGTTGTAACATTGCCTAGATTTACGGAGGAAAGTTGGTGGAGTGTTCGTAGTGAATAATTCTGGGAGGAGGGAAGAACACTCACCAAGCATCGGTATAGTTCGCATACCCGAAGCAAGTCTCGACGTTAGATGCAGCTTCCGTGGAGAAACTACTCTGGCTGAGATCGCGAGAGAGACAGAACTCGTTTCCTCGTTGGTGGTGATTGCTCATGTAGAGCACGATGTCCTTGAATGTTCCATCGCCAACACAGCTATTACTTCCTGTCCCGTTGCCGCCGAATCCAGTGACTGGGTCGAAGATGGGTGAGGAGGATATGTTCCCATTACTTAGATCGGTCAGCTCGTCCCAGTATGGGTGTGCGCCAGTGTAGTTGCATAGATTCTGGAGGGCTAGCTCGTGAGTGCGGACGTAGTATCGATGCCAGGGGAGGAATTGGCCGACGTAGTCTGCCACGTGGGGTTGTTAGTAGTTATTTGCGAGGAGAGTCGTGAGGTAGGGAGAGGGAAGTTAGAAGCTTACGGATGTCGTTGCCTTGGGTGATGTGGACATTGGCAAACTCATCCCAGACGTTGGTTGCGTTTTCAACGAGGCCTGTTATCGGTGGATGGCTCATTAGGCAGAGCTCTGCTTTGATGTAGTCATGCTTTTCTGCGTCGCTGAGGGCGTTCCACTGAGGGGTTGCATCACGGGTTAGTGTGTGTCTCTTGAGGAGGAGGGGGTATTACATACAGACTTCCTGTAGTTAATATGCTCACAGGTGTTTCGAATGGCCGGGGTATGAGTCAGTTGTCTCCCTGAAGTCGAGACGGGGGATGTCTCAACCACCAGGGAGGCGGCAAGCCCTAGAAGGGCACACTGGATTAGTGAAGGCGCCATGTTTCAAATTCTGGCCACAGGCTTAGAGAGGCACATCAGAAGGATTAGAGATGGCGAGCATAAGCTTTAAATCTGCCTCACCAAAGCATCCACGACAACCAATTGCCGATCTACCTTACCGAGAATTTATGCATCACCTAGCCACGAGGACATACACACCAGTATTACTGCCCAATTCACATCATCACCATCCGACCTTTTCCATATATGGATGCCTTGACCTCGCAGTAACAATTTGGTCCACGCACCATCACGTGCTGGTAAAAACCCCATGCCCATCAGCCCAGAATAGAAAAGATCGACCCACTTCTCCAGCCGATCTCCCTCATCTTCGATATGTCACCAAGAATAACACCAATCTGCTTACCCCAACTTTCCCATCCAGAGATATTGTGGAGTAGGATGTTCTTGGCAATGGCTTGGGCTACGTAGTCGGCCGCGCAAGATCTACATCTCTGCCAAGCATTATCAAGAAGACGTGCAGTAGCCCCGGAAAACTCGATCTCCGAACTAGTTTGGCCTGCATGAAGCTGGATTCTTCACTCCGCAGCGGACGGGATGAATTAGTTGTGCCTGTTCTAGACTGGTCTTGTGACACAGATTCTTACCTTCGGCAGTCTACAACGGCAGGATATCCCAGCCTTCCCAGCAGCAGCCAAGGCTGGGTTCGATTAAGCCGTGGGACAAGGACGGCCATTGGTGGAGATTATAGGAGAAGCAGCCGGTGATAAATATTCTATATATGACCAAAAGGTCTGCCATTTCCAGCGCCATTCACTCCCAGCAGTCATTTGCACCACTTTCTTTCCTTGACAATGCACCCTCTTCGCGCCCTGCTATTTTCTACCCTGGCATTCGCACTCAATGTCAACCGCACCCAAGCTTCCTCTCTCATCCACCCCACTGCCAAAACCCTCAATGGGACTTACTACGGCATTCACCAACCAAAATGGCACCAGGACTATTTCATGGGGATACCCTACGCCCAACCACCCGTGAGAGACAACCGTTTCCGGCCAGCCCAGTCACTCAACACCTCATGGACAGGCGAGAAAAATGCCACCGAGCCAGGCTACATGTGTTACGGGTACGGTCCAACACAGACAGTCCTCGGAGAATACGTATCAGAGGACTGTCTGACCCTAAACATATACCGGGCATCCAACGTATCCGCTTCAAAGGGTCTGCTCCCCGTGGCTGTGTACATCCACGGCGGTCTCTTCAAGCATGGCTCTGGCCGCGACCCTCGATACAACATGACATCTCTTCTTCAGGTAGCCGTCCAGAACGATCAAGAGTTTATCGGGGTTACGTTGAATTACCGTCTAAGCTATTGGGGTTTCATGTACGGAAAGGAAATCGCTAACGAAGGGGCCGCGAACCTCGGGTTACGGGATCAGCGTCTTGCCTTGCGTTGGGTCAAAGAGAACATTGAGGCGTTTGGTGGTGATCCGGAGAAGATCACTATATGGGGCCAGGAGGCCGGGGCGTATAGCGTTGGTTTGCAGCTTCTTGCGTATGGGGGGCGTGATGATGGGCTTTTCCGTGCGGCGATCATGCAGAGTGGGAGCCCTATGTTGATGTGGCCGGCTGTTACGGTGGATGAGTGGCAGGGGCTCTATGATGAGTTTGTGAGTGTGACGAATTGTACGGGGGTTTCTGATACGCTTGCTTGTTTGAGAGGTGTTGATGCTGGTGTTCTTTCCGATGTGTTTGGTAGTGATGTCACTATGCTTGATCATCCGAACCCTGTGATCGACGGTGATTTTATCCAAGAGTTGGGGGCGAAGGAGCTGAATGCGGGACATTTTGTCAAGGTGCCGCTGCTGCTTGGGACGACTCGGGATGAGGGGACATGGAGTTATTATGGTGTGGAGGGAATTAATACCACTGAGGAATTCTTGAAAATGGTGGAATACGACGGATTGAACACCTCGGCCGCGGAAAGAATCACAGATCTATACCCTGACGATCCCGCTGTTGGCATTCCATCGACGCTGGAGGGAAGACCCGGGAATGACACCGGACTGGGATACCAGTGGAAGCGCTCTAGCGCGTATAACGGGGACAAGGTCATGCATGCTGGACGGCGGATGGCAAGTGAGGCAGTAAGTTACCGAGCATTCGTACCTGACGTGAAGAAAGCTACTAATATATGCACGCTGCAGTGGGCTAGGCATGGTGTTGACGTCTATGCATACGTGTACGATGTCCTGTTCCACGCCAAATGGTGGGAATATGGGGCACAGGAGCAGGATGACATCGCGTTTGTCTTTCATAACGTCACACTGTCCGAGTCGCTCAGTCCGACCGATCAGGCAGATCAGAAAAAGACTTTCGAGCCGCTGAGCTATCTGATGAGTAGTATGTGGATTAGCTTTGTTAGTACGATGAGTCCAAACAATATTCCGAGTAAGTGGTATTGGGTAGAACGATGGGGTTTCTATGGGCACTGCTAACAATGGATTGCGGATCTATAGTTAATGGCACTAATATATGGCCGAGGTATAATGTCCAAAACCCCGAGGCATTAGTGTTCGATGTCAACGCCACCCAGCTATGTCGCATCGAGACGGACAACTACCGCAGTGGTGCCATTGCGTATTGGATGGACCTGTTTACCACAGATGGGTATCCGAAATGAAGGATTCGGGTCGTTTATTGGAGTATGGGATTATTGAATGGGCATATATAGCAGAAGATTGTATAGTAGTAATTTTATTAGAGCGCTGATCGTGATAAATATTCTGTCATTATTATCTAGGGTCTATGAAGGGTTTCAATCGTCACATCACGGAATTTTGCCACAGAATCTGGAAATTCATCAACAGTTTTTGAAGCAAATCAACGTTCTTGGAAGGATTCACTCGGTTTTCGCTCGGAGGAGTTGCCCGAGATGAGGGAATCGAGAAGGATCAGTTCCTCTCTTTGCAAACTTGTACCAATCATACCGACTCTGAAGTTTAACAAGGAGATGCATATCACGGGGATCCGCACCTGCTGCGGCATATATTGCTTTAAGGACATTCTCTGTGAAGTTGCCCTTAGCTTCATCACCCCCATGCTCAAGAAGCAGCTCCACAATAGGAAATTTCGGAGCTGCGGCGGTCAAAACTCTTTCTGTAACATGAATCTCAAATCCTCCTACTTTAAGAAGGAGGTTCATCATATGCCAGTGTGAGATGGCAGCAAGCAGGGTCTCTTCTGTAATCTTGAACATAGAGCCTTGGCGTGCAAAAGGAAGGTCCTTGATACCATAAACTTCAGCGATGGCTAAAACGCCGCGTTCCGTAAACTTGAAACCATCAGGCATCCAACGTAGAAGGATGTGAAGGCTATTGGATTTTTTACTGGTCGCCAGAAGAAGCTCCTCGGTGATAGTAATCTCATTGCCTAGTTTCTCCATGAGAAGTGACATCACCCGAGGGGATCTACTAGCTGCAATGATCACCTCTTCCGTGATCAGGAGATGATCAAAGCCGTATGAGAAGAGTAGTTCCATGACTTCATGATTTTGGGCTGCACTGAGGAGGACTCTTTCAGTTATCTTGAAGTCGACTTCTTTTTGAGTGAGGAGGAATAGCATGACGGCGGGATCAGCACCTGCAGCTTTTAAGCCCGATTCCGTGGTATACAGCTCGACGATTTCCTGTCTTAGGACAGAGATGACTTTCCTCCCGTCATAGAAGTTGTCCTTTGCAGCTGAAAGCAAGTTAACAGTCAACTTAGTCTCTTCCGTCCGCCGACCTGTCATTGTGGCCAACCCAATGTCAGATGAACGGGATACACGGACAAGAGAGGCGTCGGTAACTACAACGCATGTAGCTTCTTGACGAAGAAGAAATTCAGTGACATGTTTTTGGTCTCCATCTGCATCAGCGTGAGGATAAACTTCGCGTGTGAGGCACAACTCCTCTCCCCCGTATCCGACTAGACAGATCTTTCGTTTTAGGCTGTACCTCTGCCTAGCCAATTCAATGTATGTTCGGTTCAAAGTCGTAATATTCAAAAGGAGGTCGGACATCGTGTGGTAAGCGTATGTGTTTATATGAAATAGATGAAAGATGACCAGATGAACCAGCTCCTTCTCCGATTTTGTGTAGTCCACTGGCAAGGAGACATCGCATGTCAGAAGCAATGCCAAGCAAGGCATATATCATATGTTGGAGTGGCTACTAAGGCGATTCAACCGTGTAGAATGAGATGGATGATGATCTAGCTAGGGGCCTCGTAGGCCATCTATATGGACTAACTAGCGGTGTAGGGAGGAGCATCACGTGACCCTACGTTGCCTACCGGCGTGGGAGCCCATCGGGGATCCCAACATCATATCGCGAGGATCCGTCGCCTTGAGACGTCGAAACTTTGACAGCAGTGTAATAAGTCGTCGGTTCTCGCTCCACCAAGAGTTCTGTCTCGATATGCCAGGTATAATGTCCAAGACTGCCTGGGTGCGAGGCCTTGGCTGTGTGCCAATGAGAGATAGGGCTAGAAGGAAAGATTCTGGTGAGACCGATTTACGTCCAATAGTTATCACAGCACGTCATGTATTTGCGACTTCCTGCAAGGTCCAGACTCTTTTAAACCACGAATTTCCCACTGCCAACCGCATCCCACTTTCTTGAGTTTCTTTAATTCCAGGATAACGATAGCGTAGGGCCTCTTTTCCTGAAGACCATATGTTGGCCCAGTGTTCATCCGTGGGCTTCCAGTCCTTGTATGCATGCCGTCGACACTCCCTTTCTAGGTACTTAATCGAATCCATAAGCACATTCTCCGCGTAGCCTGATCCTCCCAACCAAATGATTACTTGCTCCGCTCTGGCATATATGTGCCCCATTTGTTGGACCTGGTGCTTTCTCTCCGCCATGTTACTCTGGTTGATGCATACAGCATCACCCCAAAGTATTCTTTCCTGATCAGACAGCCGTAGATGCTGCAGGGCATAAAAGACACTTCCGTTCACCGGTAGTCTCTCTCCGTTCACAGTAATATGATCCGTCAATTCTGTTGCATGGCATTCGTATGAGAGCGCCTCGTAGGGGCACCAGTTGTCGCTGTCAAAAGATTCTTGTGTGAGCTCGCATTTGATCTTGTCGGAACGCTCCCCGCGATGGAGTAGCCGGAAGGAAGGGCGTTCGAGGTCAATGGGTTCGTATTCATATGGGGCCACAACTGTGGTGGGAAGATTAACCTTTGAGGAAGATCGAGAGAATCACAAAAGTCATTTGTTAGCAAAACCCAAGTGGATAGTCTAATCGTGCACTGCAGACATAGAATGGAAGATAGCCCTCCCTTGAGCATATATCTGCAGCAAGAAAGCACCCGGGAAAATGACACGTCCATCCGGATCCGAAACATCTGGGCGTGGAATCAATTTATCTTTGGATTGAAGGAATGAAGACTAAGCCTGTTCACCGGAAGGAAGCGTGAAGGAGGGGTTATCATCCCGATCACATGATGAGGCCAATGCACACTGGACAGTTGACAGTCTCGGAGAAATCAGAAGTATAACCAATGTTCTCCTGACCTTATCGCATCTTTTACTCCCTCAAGCCCTGCATTTCCTATTGTTCTGCTCAAAGTATCCTTCATCGGCTGATGCTTGTCAGGGTTTTGCCGCGTTATCCCATTTGAAGCCGATACCAAGGCTTTCAAAGCTGTCTACCTGGAGCTCCCCGTCGGTTTGTGCCTAATTCCAGGGGTTGAAAGAATCTGTGCGACCGCTGTGTTGTACCGGGCAGACTGCTTAGATTCATTGGAGGTAGCATGGCTGTTGAATGCTTCCAGCCAAGGAGCACTCCGAATACATTATAAGAATAAAATCATTCAGTCCTGAATAACGGCTTGTCATAATGGAAGAAGAGAGACTTCCTATTCCCCGTGGACTCGGCCTTGTCATGTTGCAAGTCTCTTCTCTGGAGGTTACACAAGATGTACCCTGCAAGTCCTCCCTATTGATACCAAACAATGACTGGCTTGGGTCTTCTTCTGGAGCTAAAGGAATACATAGAATGACCTCCCGTGCGCAGACCCATAAGGACCTGAAAGCGTGGGTTTTATTAGACGACAGTGTTACCATAGAAGATCTGATGGGATTTGTGATGACGCCCACAAAATACCCAAGCTCATTTCTGACACTTGTCGACACCGTGATCTGATCAAAATCGTGACGAAGCTGGTGTTCCGCTGGTAGGTGGTATCATTATGAGTTGATGGCTGCAGGTCGTACCAAGCGTGATCCTGCCACTAAATGACAGATAGGGTTGCACAAAAAGGCAAGCCCAACACACCCAGCCACACTGATGGACACAAAGCCTTATCGACCCGAATCAGAAAATAGGCGTGGCTGGTAAGAGTTCCTGTGCAGTAGAGGTAGACTCCGAAGACTGTCCCAGAATCTTCTCCCAACAATCATCCTCAGTCTTGACAAAACAAGAGCTTTTCATCTCCCGACCCAGATTTGCCCCCTTTTGACCATCAGACACGACCACATCCGAGCAGCAGGTCTCGCTTCGTTTGCACCAAGGGTAGCATGAGTGACTCCAAGTCTAATGTCGAGGATGTTGGAGAAACAGCCCAGGAGCCCAGCATACCTTCCACGTCTCCAGCACACAACGAAAGCAGAACGAAGCCGCCTCCATACAGTCAAGGTACCACTGACAGGACTACCACCGAAGCATCAGTTTCACCGATGAATACCGGTGTTCTCAAGTGGTACGCTCGTGGTGTGGTGGACAATCAAATTGGCAGGTAGTCCTCTGCATCAGACCCTGCTCTTTTTTACTGTGGACCAAGAAGTGAAGAATTGACTAACATCTTGATAATCAACAGGGATATTCTTACACCTCGTCTCAGTCCTCGTTCTCACACATCTCTACGTCCCGACGGCGCGACCCTTCACGTCCCGATTGCTCCTCCTTTCTCACTACAATCCGGATACACAACTCTATGGAATTAGTACTGATGACTTCTACCTCGTCGGATTCTATGTGTTCTTCCTAAGTGGACTTCGTGTCTTTCTCATGGAGCATGTTCTCGCACCAGTGGGCAGACAGTTGGGGCTATCAAATGGAAGGGATCTCAAGAGATTCTCGGAGCAAGGATGGTTGCTATCCTACTTCTTCGTATCCTGGATCTTGGGCATGGTGAGCGACAATTCTCCGATCTGATTATTATTCGGAAGCTAACCCAGTGTAGTACATCTACTGCACATCGGAATGCTTCCTCAACATGAGGCAAATGTTCACAGACTGGCCCACCAGGGAGCTCCCTGCGATCACCAAAGCATATATCCTGGGTCAGTGGGCTTTTTGGCAACAGCAGGTCATTGCCATTCATCTTGAAGAACGTCGCAGAGACCACTGGCAAATGTTAGCCCACCATGTCATAGCAAATGCCCTGATTTTTACTTCGTATGTTCTGCACCTGACCCGGGTAGCAAATTTGATTCTCGTTCTGATGGACGTGGTGGATATCGTTTTTTGCGTGAGTGTCGTCCAACTTACGCCTTGACTGAATGCAGCTAACTTCCAATCAGCTTGCAAAGTGCTTAAAATATCTCGGCTATTCCACCCTATGTAACATCACGTTCGGTGTCTTCATGATCACATGGTTCGTCGCACGTCACGTCTTTTACTTGATGACCATGTGGAGCATTTGGATCGATATGGCCGAAGTCATACCCGTTGGCTGTTACCATGGATCCCAGAGGGATCTGAAAGGCCCTACCCCTTTGCCTCAACATGGTTGGATGCACATCCTGGACCCCTTTCTAAATCCGGCTGGCACAATCTGCTTTAGTAGAGCCATACAGGGATGGTTTCTGGGTTCACTAGGCTTTCTTCAAATCCTTACTATGGTTTGGTTCATCATGATAATCAAAGTAGCCATTCGGGTGGTCAAGGGCGATGGCGCTACAGATATCCGCAGTGTTCACGAGAGCGAGAATGAGGAGGAGCAGGAGGAAGAGGGCTGTAATTCAGAGGCCTCTACTTAATCTATCTTAGATCTTAGCAATTTAGTCCAGGAGAAGAGACACAGCCACCAAAGCTGCTCCCCAGAAAAAAAATTCAGCCACATCTCAACATAAGCAATATTAGTCCAGTGTAGCATTCCGATGAGCAATTCAGATTCACTTACTCCGCCTTAACCTTAACCCAGTGGTACGTAGACACATTGCACCCGAGGCCTATCAACCTCTTCATCGTGTATCCAGATCAAGTATCGAGAGCCCACGACGGCGGATTCGATGTCTCTTGTTCATTGAGCCAGCAGGCTGCATTGACTCTGACATCGCACTTCCACTCTCCGAAGCCTCGCCAGCCGTCCTCTTTGGTGGTGATTGTTTACCAAACAATCCTATCGCACAGCGACAATCAGTATTCATTACTATGAAAACCACCCCCGATTGCGTCATACAAATAAGAGCAGGACACTACCTAGTGTTCCACCTTCATAAACCAACATAACTCCCATGATGACAGCCAAGACAAGAATACCTAGTCCTGCAGTCAGAACAAACGGCGTTGGGAATGTGGATGTGAAGTGTTCGATGATGGACATAGTGAACGGCATCCATGTAGATGTAACTACCGACTTTCCTGGGTGTGTTGGAGTAAAGGTGGGTGTCAGGTGACTGACTGTGTGACGTGGTATCTCTATATTATGGAGGAAAACGTTATATATAGAGGTCATGGCCGTGTAAAGGCTCGCCAGTTATTGGGAACTTGAACCTTCGAGTCACCTAACCTCGACGAATGTCTTTGCCGTCACCACCAGCGAGACCACCTGCACCCAGACTCAACGGCACTACTGGTAGTGCATGTCAGGTAGGGCTATGGTCTATCGGGACCGATTATTACTAGGCTGTCTTGATCTTCTATCTTGAAATAGCCCCAGCCGATCTCCCATACACTCGTAAGATGCCCCGTTATATTAATTATCATATTCTTCTTGGTATGTGCAATTTAATCCCCCCCATCGTCAACATTGAACCTTCCCGTATTCTACAGAGTAGTTTCCACGACACCAACACCTGTGCCCTAATTCTAAACCACAACCGATCAACCACAACCCATCTAGACGCGATCCCTCTTGCAATCAACCCTGAAACACTTCCACCCTCATCTACGACACCACCAAAACCTCCTCGCCTTCTGCGGCTCATCACTCCCCTGACTACACGGCCTCTTTGCAGCACCCCCAACCCCATCCCCATCCCCCACCGACCCCGACCCCGACCCAACAACAACCAACTCCTCCACCAACCTCTTAACAAAACTCGCATCCGGCAAATACCTCACCTTCTTATGCACCACCACCGGCCAAGGCACATACCTCCTCGCCTCCATCGGCTCCTTCAACGCCCCCAACAACTCCTTACTAACCCTCGCATCAAACAAATGCACATAATCCGTATCCACCGGATTCACCACCACCAAGCGCGCCATATACCCTTCCTCCCCCTTCACTCCCCCAACCAACCTCCTCTCCTGCAGCTGCGCCAACGCCAATAGCATACACACAAAATACGGATCCTCCGTCCAATCCTCCGGAGTCACCGCCTTCAATCCCTTCCTGCCTATCCTCTCACCGATGGTGTTCGGTCGACCGGTGGGATCCGGCCACGGTCTGTATTTGGCTTTACGGTCTTGCTCGACGCTCGGGTAGTCGAAGAACCCGATGATAGGGGGTGAGCCGGACTGGATTTCGGTTTCGGTTTGGTTGTTGCGGAGGAGGATGCTGTAGGGTGGGCGGTGGATGAGGGTGTTGGCGAAGTAGAAGGCGGGGCCGGTGCTGGTGATTTTGTTAGGGTTGATGATTGGGTTGGGGGGAGGGAAGGGGAGGGGAGGGGGGTACCGTTGTTCGTCGAAGGGGTAACGGCGGTTGTAGAGGAGGGTGTCGATGAGATCGTGGGTGGAGGAGGAAGTTATAGGGGGTAGGGGTGGGGAAATTGGGGAGGGGGGAGGTCCAAGGAGGAATAGGAGGAAAATGAGGAGGAGAAGGAGGAGGTTGGGTTGTGTTCGGTGGTGGGGTGGACGTGTTGGAAGTGACAGCCCACGAGGTTTAGATGATGGGAGGTCCAGAGGAGGGGCATGACGAAGAGTTCGCGATGGTGGCGCATGAGATCGCGGAGGGACATTAGGGGGGATGTGCTCTCCATGGTGGGAGATGTTGAGATGGGAATGCAGATGGAGAGGGGGTGAGAGGGCTGGACATGGCGGTATTTAGCTGATTGCTGTTAAGGTTAAGCGAGTTGAGTGTGTCGGGGATATTCACTGCTTGGTGACTTGGCACATCGTGGCGTTGGATGATGTTTCACTTGGTGGCTGAGGGTGATGAGGGGTAACAGCCGGCCCTAATCGTTGTGCTCCTTGACGCGGCTTTTGCCAGTTCTCACAGACGGTGTCTGTGAGACATCAAATGGAGATGTCATCTAGGAACTGGAGTAACATTAACAACAGGATGAGGTGTTACTGCTGATTCAGCACATAGTTGCTATATTGCTATTGTTGTGTGTTGCATTGCAACAATCCCCAATTATGGCCTAGTACGTTCTTCATCCATTTATACTATTTTTATCATCAGCATGTCCAGTGAAACATCCGATCATAGGCTTTTACCGTGCCACCATATCGGAAATCCCAGTCCAGGACAAGGATTTTACCTACGGAAATTGCAGATGCCTCCCCGAAAAAGCAAATCCCCTTTCCCAACCCCACCCGAGAGGTGTATATAAAGCGGTCCTCTCCTGCCCTTCCACTGATAGAAAGCATTCACACATATCAGAAGCCAGAGGTGAGGATGGCTGAAAGCAGTCTCAACAGCTATCCTCTGGGTGCATTGAATTAGACACCATGGCGATTTTTTTTATATAAATTCAACTTATTCTTCCCCACCATGTCTACAAGGGTATCAGGGCTGTCTCAACATCCTCCACCTATCTCCTTTCTTCCCCACTGTATCCTGTCCATCACAATCTAACTCCACCGAATGGAGGATAACCGACCTGCCTAATTGAGCTCAATATACAACGGAGCGAGCCGGGTTCGAGAACCTCATTAGCGGGGACTCTCGCTTTTAACCGCTGATGGGTGAACTCATTCGACGCTACCATCCTTGGCTTCTACGAATGGGATTGGAGACATCATCAGCGAGTCCTGATCGTGATGCGAGCCATCCAGCACTGTATACAGCATTTATGGCTTGCCGCGGACTGGACAGACCATTCAAAAATTTCAATACGTCTGCACATGTCCTCCATTCCCCTGATACTGATGATGAATCCATCACTTCCACCTTGGCTTCATTACAAGGCTGGACATTTTGATCATAATGAAATGCCATTGAACACCACCTCCTATTTCTCCAAGCCAACACCATGTCGACGTCGATATCTGTCGCGAACCACAATACTGTACCATGCCTACCTATTCAACATGAGAAGGCAAAATGGCATTTTCCAAGGCATCTTGCAACCCTCCATCTGGTTGTGAACACAAGCAAATCACCGATACCATCAAACACACTGTTCGGAACAGCTGTGTCGACGATGATATAGCCCGCACTGCTACACGGCCCCTGATCCATTCTCCATAGAAGAGACACCGAAAATTATCCGCACCATAACACCAATCCATTATTGTGTTCGACATGAAGTTCCCCTGCACACAGCCTTCCTAACATGCATCCTAACATGCATCAACGTGACCGAGTTTGTGCTGCCTGATCAACTTGAACAGCAGCTACCTCCACCCTGCAGTATTTTATACCTAACACCCCATAGGTTGCCTTTCCTGGTGATTATTGACCAAGAACCCCATGAAATATGGGGTATTCTTTGGGTTATAGCTGACCAAACGGTCCTTGAAAAGCTCACTGTACAGCAACGGTGCCTCCGCTGTCCCCCACTCCATTCATTTATCCATCTATACCTCTGCCAGCATCGAGAGATCTTATATCCAAGCCCCAAGAGTTTCAATATTACATTACCGAAGACCCACCCCGGTTACATCCAAGCTCATCAACTGCACCCTCCTCCCACCCACGAAAAACCAGAAACAAAGCCTCCCACGCGGTATCCCATCCATTCAAGCCAACACGCACCGGGCTTCTTTCTTTCTCAACCCAACTGAATCGATCAAAATCCAAGTGGCCGGACTGATTGACCCACCACGTAACACCGAGTGACATATTTCTCAGCCCATGCATGGTGAACACATCAATACTTTTCTCCAAACCAGCACTCATAGCGCCCATCTATTCTAGCCTCACAGTTGTCCCAGCTATGATTATCTACCAGCAACTTGCTCATACATTGCTTCACTTAATCACCGTGACTTCCGCAGTGTCATGAGGTCCGATCTCATACACTTAATCCTACCCATCTATTCATCCTCATGACTAGGAGGGAAATATACCCATGAAAAATACATTCCCGTTCTCACCATTGGGATTGCAATTATCATGTCAAGCCCTAAGCAACACGAATCCGAAAAACAACTTCCTCTGATGTCACAGTCCCTGGGTTCGACTTGCCCATTCTGCGATTTCTATTACATAAAGCAAGTCAAGAGAGCTACCATAGCATTAATGGATCCGATGACATATAACATATCAAACCGCACAATACTATTTTCCCTTTGGCGAAAAATCATCACTGGGAAGTGTGTTCGATGCGATGGGTGGAGCGAGGAGGTGGCCAACACCACCAGGGCCTGATGAATTCAACAGGACCAGTGTCGCTCTATTGGAACATGAGCGTGGGGTATTTGCCTTTTGGATAGATGGAGAGACTATCTTGGTGCGCGTCTTCCACTTCCAGAGTTTGAAATTGCCTCGTTGGAACTGGGAGTCCATTGACAGGGCTGTTGGATGAAATCCAGACACAGAACTTAGCCGTTTGTCGATAAAAGGTGTGAACATCAATTCAGTTGTCTTGTCGATGACGAGAAACAGAACTCAGGGCAGACGCCTTACATCTTCCTCTTTGTCGGCGCTGGAAACTATCCAGACATCCTTGTTCCTTTCCCTAGCTAAGAATTGACAAGGGGGATTTACTGCCATGGATGAATCTCAGTGCGAAAAGAACCCAGCGATTCCCAGTGAAACCGCAAAAGAGCCCGAAGGGTGTTTTATCTCAAATCGGAGCGATATCTGGGAGATGACATCCTCTTGTGGATCGTCAATGGAAACTCCAATGATAAAAGAGGGATACCTCATCCCTCTGTGGATTGAGCTTGACAACGCCCACGTGTCCTTATCGAACGCGTTGGATGAATCCCAAGACAAGAAATGGAATCCGGTATATTGCCAGTGACAATCCCGACAGAGAACCCAAAGGGTGTCTTTTCTTGACTCAATGGATATTGTCTGCTCGTTTGTTGAAGCTCAACGAGGGTGACTATCTAACGCCTCGCTTTCGGATGGATCTTGACAACCCTCACATGGTCTTACTTATCCTGATGAGATATCAACACGGTGTTCCTATCAGCTTAGATAGACCTCCATGCACAAAAACACGATCGTCTCATCGGCAGAACCTCCCCCGAATAGTCCCCGGAGGGGTGATTTTATCTCAAATCGAAGTCCGGACAAACGACATCCTCCCACCGGTTTCTCAAAACTCAATGAAGGAGACTACCTTACATCTCTTCTTCGGGTGAATCTCGACATCCTCCACACAGCCATACTCCTTCCTCGCAACATCAACAAGAGGTATTCGACTCACCCAAGCACAGAAACCGTTTTAAGGTGACGAAAAGCAACCCCCCAACATAAGATAACCAGCTCACCTGTTTCCCCTGAACCCACACACGACCAAGAAATCCAATGAGGAGACGTTCACCGCCTCGAGCTGATCAAGCGGCATAGAGCATTGTGTTAACGACGAAATCCCCAGCAAATGCCTGAGTGGGGTTGATTATCTTGACCTCGAATCCAAGCTGAAAACTGCAGCATCGTCATGTGTCGCATGCGGAACCCCACACAAAACAAGCGGTTATGTTATATTATATTATAACTGGAACAGAAACATCGCAGGATTCACCATCGCCTTATATCTGGCGCGAAATGAAAATAGGTGTTTGGTCTACTGAAGCAGAGATCGAAATCAAGACCTCTTGTTGTCTTCTTTCTTTGATTATATCCCCGGGGCCATTTGTCTATTGTCAAATACACAGAATGAAATATATATCAGCCCCGGTCACACGACTATAATACCCTTGCACGACGATTTCAAGAGTCCTTGATACACCCTCCCCAAACGAGAACGCAATCTGACGCGACTGTACGCGGGGTGCAACCACACACGCCTTTACTGTGGGGACACCAAAGTGCTACAATCATAGGATGGTTTGCGGGACGGGATCATACCGTCTTCGGATTGGAGATCGGGATTTTTCCCAATGGGATGTCTGCTATCTGGCTGTGTAGGGCAGGGAGTTGGTTTGGTTGCGCGTGTGATTGGGATTGGGATTGTGATTGGGTCTTGTTTGAGGAAGCGATGAGCTGGGGATTATCTTATTGGGTGGTTCGGGCTTTGGGTGCTATGGGGGTAATAATAATATCTGGTGTGTTGGGGATATATGGGATACTATGATTTCTTGAGGGTATTTGGAAAGGGTTAGACCCTGTCATCCATTCGGAATCGGAACATCTTATGTTCCCGTCCGTCTGGCCCTGAGATTCAATCCGACAAACTATCTACATGGGAGGAATAGGAACGAGCCGACAAGAGGAGGGTTCGAAGATATGAAGGAATGCTCTAAGAGGAAAGGAAGGCCTATAAGTAGACTTGGCTCACCCGCTGTTAGTTAGTTTACTGCCATACCTTGCGTAGTCATTCGGCTTCTTAGCCCGTCAGAGTATGTGGTAGGGTTGGGAAGTGGAGGTAGTTTGTTTGGAATAGTATACTGGGTTGCATGGCCGTTGGCGACTTGGAAAGAGCCTTTGAAGGGACATGCTAGTCGGGTATGAGGCAATTATCATCATCAAGATAATAAGTATAGATTGTATTTAATTAACTAGACCATGTCAACCTTAGAAAAGATAGGGAATAATATCACAATCCTCATTCTGATCGAACGACTCAAACTTCCCTCTCAGCCGACCACAAGTATTATTGACCCGCTGCGTCTCATCAGAGTTGCTCTTGCACGTCCAGATCAAATCCTTTTCCTCGCGAAGAAAGACTCCCATGGGAGGATAGCACATGTGTCGAGGCACAAGCACGCCCTGACTCGGAAGACAAGAATGTGACCCGAGAATCAACGTAGCCGACTTGGCATCTTTCTTCTTTGGACTCTTCGAAGAGCTTTCCTGTGCCGGGAAAAAGTACATATCCCGTGCTTCGATCGATCTGGGCAGGAATACTGGTTCCTGGAGGCGGCAGATATCGAGGCTGCCGGGGTTGTCAGTGGAGCGGAAAAGAGGTATCCGGAGGACGTCGAGTTTCTCATCGCGGCGAGTAAAGAAGAGGTGGGTGTTAGTCCAGGTTAGAAAGTATGGCATATTTGATACGAGGAATTTGGAGGTACTGCCGAGTTCGATAGTCGTGCGGAAGACCAGTCGAGGCGGGCTGCTGGCTGTCTTGCGCGCCGACAGTCGATGGGTAGATACCTGAAGGCTGAGCAGCATCGATGCGGGTTCGTCATCCTGTTTAGCAGCCTCGCGAGCCTCCAAGGCTGCAAAGTGGAGGTGCCGTCCGTCACGCGAGAAATGGGCCTTGATGAAAATGTGGCAGCTTCGATATCCCGATCGACACAGCTCCCGGGTGAAATAGGTGTTTTTCTGGTAGTTGGCAAACAGAACCTCTCCGTCACCCAGTGGCCAGACCATGAGGGGCTCGGATGGATGGAATACCGGCGGCGAGTCAAACAGATTATCCTTGATAAAGCAGGTGAAGTGAAAGACAGGGATCTGCTCCTTTCTGGTGAAATCGTAAACACGGATGCTGGTGCGGCGAGTCCCCTCGGTCTTTGTCGTCTTGCCAGTCATCAGGTTCTCAAGTTGAACTCCATACTCGTTTTCTGAGGCGACTCCCTCGTCATCAGAGAAACTGTATGTCGACGCAGATTCAACACTCGACTCGGCGTATGAGTCACTGTCCGATGGTAAAAGGTCATCCCGATTCTTCAGTGCATCACTCTCAGCATCAGATTCTGAGAGTTCACTTTTGACTTCAGCATCTAGCGCTAGAGCACGGCTATTCTTCTCTGAATCGCTGCCATCGTCGCTGAAACTTCCAAGGAAGCTTCCTCGCTCCTCAATGTCAAGCTCCTCCGGATCCAAGTGCTCTTGATCCCAGTCATTCCATTGCTCATCGTCCTCCATCTCATTAGATAATTCGGTGGACCCTTCGCTCCAGGAGGTATAGGCCGAGTTGCCCGCTGATTCAGAAGACGTTTCCAGCAATTCGTCCGTAGCACTTGACTGTGTCGTTGCCAGCTCCAAAGCCTTGTCTCTCTGGCTTGTTTGGTGAAGGTCGTCGGCATCTTCCAGTTTCAGTGAAAACTCAGAGGTGACATCAGTATCACTGCTCCCGCTATCACTGTCGCTGTCTTTTGTAACAACAGTCGTTGGCTCCGTGCTGTCGGGAGTCGAAGACGAGGCAGCGGTTCGTTGGTCCATCTCGGTCGTCCTCTCTTGTAATTCCCGTATTGCAATTTCTGCATAGTCGAGAATCTTGACTTCGCCGGTGACTTGATCTGGGATCTTGATGTCAGACTTGTATATTGGTCGTCTTGTTGACACCGCGATGAATTGGCAGCCGCCGGCCATCTCATCAAAATAGTCTTCATCGGGATTGATTGCAGGAAGAGGCGCGTATTTATGATCAACTCTAATGAACACTTGAGATCCAACACGCATAAATTGCAAGTCTTTGGTAAATGAAACCAGGCGAGGTCGACCGAGTATATTCTCTGACACGGGATATTCATACAGAGGCCAGGACGAGGAGGATGCATACAGCGTCTGTGCTTTGTGAAGCTCGGATTGACGACCATTCAGACGCCAATGCTCGCAGCGAAACTCGAGTCTGTCATGATCCCTGCAGACATTCGAACATTAACATATACCAGCGTGAAGCGACAACTCAATAGCTTACTCACACTTTGAGAAGTTTCATAACCGTCAGCCATTTTCCTGTCTCGTCAACTCCTTCGAAGCATCGAATGGGATTCATCGACGCATCATCAGTACTCGAAAACAACAGGCTTTTATATCGACTAGGTCCCTTGTGGAGGTGATTGTCAGACCCCAATGCCCCAAAGAAACATCGGTCAATTTCTCCTCTGTGGGGATCCATGAGGCTGGTCTGACCATCCAGCAGAGGTCCCCATTCCCCAACAAAAGTGCCGTAGTCAGCTGAAAACGTCTCATTGGAGTTCTGATCCAGCCAATGAGGAAATACACGCTTGATATGCCTCCCAGCCCAGGGACGTAAGCTATTGTACCAAAAGCGAAACTGGCCTAAGCTCATCAGATTATCTCCAGTAAAATATCTCGATATAACATACCGTCAATAAATAAACTCTGTATCTGCAACAAGGTAAAGAATTGGGGGCTAGTGATGAACGTCGATGCTTTCTGGCAGAACTCCGGCGAGTATTCGATGTTATCCAAGTGTTTGTCCCAGTACTTGGCCGCATAAGACAGAAGGTGGTGGCTCAGAATGTCGTCACCATCAGAGTCGACAAACGTCTCTCCTTTCTGCACAAGTATCTGGCGATAACGGGGCTGTAAGAGATACTTCTGGCAAATATCTGCCAACACATTATTCGTGAGAGCGTATGCTGGGGGGTTCGAGTTGGGAGTGAGGATCTCAGGGTTCTTCAACAAGAAGCTCTTGACAGAGCCGTGGGTCAGAGTACAGATCGAAATCTGTCCATCTGGTCCGTCGGTCTCATGGACTTGCACAAGAGGCTGGCACAACTCCAGAACCTTGCCCTTTTTGAGGATCTTTTGGCTTTTATCGATATTCTGTCCTTCTTGGCCTTTTACCATCGCGGTACATTCACATAGCTCATCCAAGCGTAGAGGTCGTTTTGCGTGCACGATACACGATAGAATGATTCTAGAGTTTGTTAGCAAATCCAGATCACTTTAAATTGGGTCAGTATGGCGTACGAAACAAACTCCCTGAGAGAAGGCTGGATGCTGTCAATCTTCCTTTGATAGTACTTTTCATAATTTTCCGGGAGACCATTCTCAATAAGTCGCTGGATCATCTGTAGCGTCACAGCATCCGACATGGAGTCCAACATGAGGGAAGCCCACAGGAAGCATCCATCGGCTCTCTCTCGTAGATCCCCGAGAATCAATTTGAGGTATCCGGCATCCAACTCGAGACTGTCCAACTCTGTGATCTTTTGCGACAAGTATCGCTCTATGTCACGGCTGTTCAGATCTTTGGTAATCTCGATCGATGGGAGGCTCTTGAGACAAGAGTCGAGACAGGTGCGATGCTGAGAGCTGTACCAGATACGCAGGCGGGGAGCTGTACGAGCCAATTCTCCAAAGAACTCCAGCACTTTGCACAGCTCCTGCTTCCTGCTATCCGTTTCGCACTCTTCGTCAAGTCCATCCAGGAAGAGATACGTCACACCCATCTCTTCGAAGAGCATTTTAATCACTTGCTTGACATCTTCGACGTTGGCTGTTGTGGCTCCTTCCTGTGTGAATCTGTGGATCTCCTTGGGCATGTCCCCGGTCTGTTTCCCCAGTCGATTCACAAGCTGCTCTGCAAGACATCGATACACTAGTAAAGCAGGGAACTCTTCATCAAAGGTGAAGTAATGGTAGATGACAGCAGCGTTGTCTGAACTGGTGGCTTTCATTTTCTCAGCCGCATACGCAGTCAAGACAGATTTCCCGGCTCCTGGAGAGGCCTTGACCCACAACTGAGAAGCCGGGTTGCTGCTATCCATCCATTCCTTCAGGGTTGCGTGCTCGAAGAGCCACTCACACGTATGTGGGCTTCGTTGGGCGAGCTTATTGTCGCGATGGCGAAAATTGCTCCCATTGAGCGGCAAGGTCCCATCCCGCAGCCACGTTCGCACATCTTCCTGCCTCTGGATTTTCCTTTCCTCTTTCCGCTTTTCCATCTCTTCGGCCATCATTTGGAAGAACACTGCTTGTTCTTCACGGGCGATCCCAGCCAGTCGGCGCTCTTCGGCTGCGTTCTCCCTCTCGCCTCGTTCCACGCGCTCTTGAACGGCCGGTACCAGTTGGCTCATGCTGTCTGCTGTATTCCCGATGCTGGTGATGATCCCATTGAGTTTGTCGACGCTGAAACTAGTCATCGCTCGGAATGCGCGATTAGCCACGCAGCGATTACATTCCTTATCGACTCGCCGCCAGAATCGAATAATGTCAATGTAGGAGGTCTGCAACAGCTCCCGCATGGTGGCAGAGTGGTCAAATAGTTCCTCATATTCGGTGAGAATGGCGAGATGCGTGTTCAGTTGTTTGATCTGATCGGAAATCTTCTCATATAATTCGAGAAACCGCTGGGAGCAGTCGATGACCGCTCTTAGGCAGCCCCATATTATGGCGGTGGGCATCGGGTCTGCGGAAACGAGCGAGTCGACCAGCCCTGAGTAAGTACTCAGCACTTGTACCACCGGCTTCAAGATCTTACGAGCTGCGCGAGCGGCTGTGCGATCCTCCGCCCGGCGCTCCAACTGAACGATGTCTTCTTTGATCACATCTCCAGTGAGAGGGACCCCCGACCGTTGCTGTTCCTGTAGCTTCTGGATAAATGGGGGGGTCTTGCTCTTGGATGATCGTGGTTTGTTAATATATTCTTCGAGCGCCCGCGCAAACGCTGTGGAGCTTGCAGCAGCAGCATCGTGTGTATCTTGGGCCATTTTGGATCTTCAACCGGGTGTGCACACAGAATGCGATGTCAGAGGTAGTGTCTTCTGAAAGATCAGTCAATAAGTACAGCAATGGTCCGATAGGCGGCTCTGTGTAGTGGCGATCCAGGCTGATGGCATACCACATTCTACCCTGCCAGGCAGACGTCAGACTCAGGGATCTGTTAGTCAGCGATGCGTTGGCAGCCTTACCAACATTCGCTCAGTGACTCAACAGAATACGAGGGGGGCTCAGCACTAGCCGGGAGTAAGCAGGGAAGACAGGGAAGGCAGGGCTGGGCGCTGGTTACCCTGAGCCGACCTGTTTCCCCGTCTCTATCGACAGAGTAGCAAAATAGTGGTCCGATGGCGGCTGCGTTCGCTGGAGTCCTCTTTTAGAGACGTTTAGAATATGGCAATCATGTCTCTCGGTTTAGGTCCGCCCATGACCATCGCACCTGCAGCAGCAGGTAGAATGGTGGGGCAGCGAGCCTCGTCAGTAAGGCTGGGTCCCGGTCCGAGAGTCAGTGTCAGGCAGGTGTCAGGCTGTCAGCACCGAGTCACTGGAGATCCGCCCCACCGCTTCCCGCTCCCGCTGCCGTCCAAGGGTCAACGTAGGTCAACAGTCAACCTCAGGCTGCCTGCCTTCTTATGTTGCTTAAAGTCTCGCTCATTCATCTTCTCTCTCTACCACTCCAGACAGCACCACCACCGCACCCAGCAAGATGGCAGACCAGACGGAGTCCACGACGGCCAAGAGCCCGACCCTTCAGCGGGTCAAGACCGACCTTGGCAACCATTCCCAGCGTTTGCTACGCGTGGATCAAATGTAAGGGATCAAGCTGGACCTGGGGATGAAATTGGTGTGGATGCTGACTGAAGCTTGCTTCAAACAGATATAGCAGGTAAAACCCGAGCGGTAGTTTTCGAGGGGATTGCTGGCATTAACTCGAATCTAGAAAGGACCGACAAATCCATTTTGTGAAGACAGCTAAGGCGAAGCCTAAGCCCGACCGGTTCAGCAAGACTGCACTGGTCGTTCGTCGAATCATCTCGAGACAAGGCATGGTCTCCCACACCGAGATCGACATTCGATCCCCTCTCCTGCAAGACTTGTTTCGCGATTTGTTCAAAGGCGTCGATGGTCTAGAGCTGAACAAAACCCCTCCAATTGTACGTCTTCTCATGGATCATACGTGATCTGGAAGCTGACAATTTTAGGCCAAACCAGAACTGCTCTTCTGGGCCGCGCCAGACCTGGTTCGAATCAAGGAAGAGGAAAAGCAGAAGACGTCACCCAATAAACCCCTCATCGATGACATCGGAACAGCTCTGCGTTTTGTCGAAGAGGACTATGCAAGCCAGATCATCAGTCTCGAATCCCTGCTCCAGGAGAAGCAAATCACCTGGGATCTTCTCTGGGCGATCTTCCCACCCCGGGAGGTTATCATCGCCCCTCGTTTTGGGGTCATGAATGAAGAGCAGGCTTTCAACATGCTGACATCTGGGTATGAGGAACGTGCCAACGGCCAGAGATACTTCTCGGCCAATGGCCAACACATCAAACATGATGGCCAAGACTTTGGCTCTACCACCTTACCGCTGGAGATTGACGAGTTCGATGGTGCTCGATCTATAAGTAGCTTGAACTTTTACCCCATCCAGCATCATGAGGAGGAGTCTGCACTCCGGGAAAGACTCATTGCACGAGGACGCAAGTATGTCGCGCTCATGAAAGAACCGGCTTGCAGAGATTATACGATCCTTACTGCAATAAAGGAGGTGGAACGAGCCAACGGAGACACGGTGCCAGAGAAGTTTAATGTTCGATTTCTTCCTTGGTTTTTGGCTGTTAATGCTGATCGTTATAGGCGCTGGGAAGAGTCATGGTCGATCCGCCTGGGTTTTATCTTCATAACAGTTCATCCGACTTGAATCGGCCTTGGGTGTATGCAGAAAACAAGCTGAATGCGGTCGGCTTGTCCGATGATCAGTTATTGATCTGCGCCTCGTGGATTAGTGGATTCAGCTTTGCCCAGAAAGCCTGGTGCCAACTTGCAGTGACAGGACTGTCCGACGTTGAGTGGAACCACAATGCGTTTAAGCGACTGGTAATGGCCGAGAATCGGCGGCAGCTCATCCACGGGCTCGTCAAAGCCCATCGACAGGATGATGCCGTCTTCGATGACATTGTGGTGAACAAGGGCAAGGGACTTATTGCTCTTCTGACTGGAAGTCCGGGAGTGGGCAAGACTCTTACTGCAGAGGCCGTTGCCGAAGTCACCCAGCGCCCTCTGTATGTGGTGGCGACCGGTGAGCTCGGAATCGACCCCGACGAGGTCGATAATCGGCTAGGGATGATCCTCGACATCACACGACGATGGGGCTGTGTGCTTCTAATCGACGAAGCGGATGTCTTCCTCTCAGCTCGTGGCAAGGACCTTGCCCGGGATGCGTTGGTCAGCGTTTTCCTCCGACGACTTGAATAGTGAGTGCCTCTTCATTTTAGACCGTGCTTAACTGACATCCATGATAGCTTCCGCGGTGTGGCTATTCTCACCACGAACCGAAAAAGCGACATCGACCAGGCTTTCAAAAGTACGATCAGCCCAGAGTACTTGCTCTTGAATCAGAGACGGTTGCTAATGCGAGAGTCACAGGTCGAATTCATTTCACCCTTCACTACCCCGACCTCGATGCGACCAGCCGACAGGAAGTGTGGAAGAATTTCTTGACGAATGTTGCCAAGACATCCGAGCTGTCGGAATTTACAGCTGATGATTTGACGGCATTGTCAAGGCATCCTCTGAATGGCCGACAGGTTCGTCATATGCCTATTTTAAAAGGAGAAGGCTAACTAGCGGCACAGATCAAGAACATTGTCTCCTGTACGGTGTCGCTGGCGCGGGAGAGAGGGAAGAACATCACGGTGGAGGACATGGAGACCTTGATCGATGTCATGATCGACTAGACAAGCAAAGTTGAAACTATCATCCTTTAAGGATAGGATACGAAAGATTAAGACTTGGAGGTGGTCAGGATTGAGAGAAGGAGATGAAGAAGTTCAAAAGCCAGCCGGAATCACAGGCGCCCCTGTCTCCGGATGGGGACGATAGTGGGGCTCCACTCACACCTTTGCCTAATCTAGACTAGCCTGTTAGATAACAGCCAATCCAAGTTTTGCCCCACAAAAGTTCGGAATCAGACGGCGGTGAATTATCAATAGACTCCGCCTTCCCAATCCAGAACAAATATCATCAGTACTCAATCGAATTTTTGCTTGTCTCTGACACGATCACTCTCCTGAATAGTGATCTCATGGATGATACAAAATTTGCATACCATTGTATCAGGGGGAGATTAAAATACAGCGCTGTGTAGGACTTTACACACACATTTACCGCTGCTAAAGCACCAATATATATTATCCTTACCTGTCTAACCGTCTCCTCACTCAGAATAGCTAATCCCAAAACTCCCATCACTCTTATGTTTAATTTTAGCTAGCAGCGCACCATACTGACTCAGAAACCGAATCAAAATCGCTTTCTTAATAGCTTCGTTGAAATCCACAATTTGTCCCGCATTACAGTCATATTGGCACAGCCACATCTGAATCACGGGCGCCATGACAGTGTATTTAACAGAAGAATCAGTTGCCCTGGGAGGAAACTATTGTTTCTTATTAGTTTTCTTCCTGTGGTATTCTAGCTAGAGGCAATGGAAGGGGACAAAGTAAACAGAAGATAAGGGTATGAGGTGGGGAACATACAAAAGCAAAAGGCGTCGCAACCTCCGGCTCATCCGGCGATTTCCTACTTCCCTTTGCCATTCCATAGAGATAGTAGGGGCTAGTTGACGACGAAAGGTCCTTGTCGAAATCAAAACGGACTGTGTCCATTGGGGCGCTGTTGGTCTTGGCAGTCAGGGTTGGCTTGCCATTACTGACGGAGAGGCCGAAGGTGCCTGGATATATGTCAATTGCTGGGTGACAGGAAACACGGGGGAGAAGGGGGTACGTACTTGCCGGTGTTGTGGCCGTTCCAGGCGGAGCTACCTTTGTGTCTACTGTGGTGGTTTGGACGCCGAAATCGGGGGCTTGGGAGGTGGTCCCGACCCCTAGACTGCTGTTAGGTTCCAGGCGTACAAAGTAGGAGGGGGGGGAGGGGGGGGGGGGGGGGGCGGAGGGAAGTTACATCCGTAAAGCTGGTAGGTGGTGGTTGTGTCCCATTGGCCTTGGTTCTCGACTTCGGCTGCATGCCAGGCGAGCACACCGCCATCGTGTTTGCCGTTGGCATCTCCGAGTGTCATCATCGGGGGTGCGGGCACAATGGCATATTTGTGTTTTTGGCCGGAATGGTTGACGAGTCGGATGGTGTGATCGGGCATTTTGGGGTAGAAGTGTGTTTACTGATAGAGAAATAAGGTAGAGATTAAGATATTTGCAGAAGTACTTCTGGGGGCAAAGAAAGAAGCAATATAGGTTGGAGACAGAATGATGAACTCATAGCTCGGCGCAGTGGCTGGCTGAAACCTGTAAACATGTCCATGATTCATTGAGGCCGTGAACAGTAAGCAGGGTAGCATTCACTAGAGATGAGGTATTTGATTGATCTTTAATGTAGCCAATGCTAGGCAATAATTCCGATCCGATCGACCAGAACATTGGACCAGATGAAAGGTAAAATAACCTGATGACGATTCGACTGAGATGATCAAATGAAAAAGACCGTTCATCCAGTTCTCACCCGGATTCTACTTCCGTATGCCCACATCTACTGGTTCATATCAACACCAGGCTTGAGGGCTCAGTCAGCCATCGTAAGCTGGGGCCCACAAGGCGTTCATGTATGACTCTACCACCTCTCTTGGATTTATTAGCCTGCATTCACGTTAAAAATGTTACGTTCTTGATCAGGATATATGGTCTAACATCCATAGTCTTTGGGATTTGGCCATTCCTAGACGATCTACTCCGTATCATGGGGTACATTTGGGGCCAACACTGAGACCGGCCAATTGAGGTCAATTTTCGGAGAGGGAAAGAACAACAACATGCTTGCAGTCAGATACGTTAATGGGCTTGTTTGATCTAGTCGGGACTTGACGGGGAGCCGGCAACCCGTTTTCCGACACTTAAATCAACGCACCTCATGAGTAGCCCATCCGACCAACTATTTTTGATCCCGACGCCTCTTGTCTCTTGATAAATCAAATTGGTAATCCCATAACCGGTGAATAGAAGGTAAATGCCTCGAAGTCAACGGTTTGACTCCCCATGACTCGGTGCAGCGGCATTCGATGAGTATCGAGGACATGGTCACTACTGTAGCATTCATCAAGTCAGAGAAACTAATCCAATTGATTCTGGAATTATTCGCAGATAACTTATCAATGGATGGTAGATACTGGGATGGATGCCGTTCCCGGATAAGACTGGACTGCAGAAAGACGGAGCAGCAATCCACCACGGGCTTATCTTGAAAATCCAAAGCTTCGCACCCGAGTTAACTGGGCGAGCCAATCGGAGGTAGGATCGGAGGCCCGCAGGAGCACTCCGTCGGCATAACCTGCTGGTGTCGGTTAACTTGGTTTAACGGACGGCACGACGCACGGAATCCTCCGCAGTGGCCAATGGCCAGCCCTAGGCAAGGCGCCACCCTCCCTCATGCCAGGCAACGCCATTCACCGGACCCATAATGGTAGGCCTTACCGCTACTAGCTAGGACCTAACTAGACAAGCCATGTGGCCGGCCTCCTTCGTATGCTTCCAAGGCACCAATCTCCAGTGGAATCCAGCCAATCCCGGATGTGATTTTTGCCTGGGATTTTGCATGGGATTTGCCTGGGACTGGATCATGCGTAAGGCCTCGTGACCATGCCTGCAAGGAGATACCATGCGGCAAGCAATTTGGGCCGAGTGGTGAGACCATCTTCCTTGCTTGCGAAGACAGGGGGGTTATCGGGTTATCTCGTGTCGGTGGTCGGGGTGGTTGAGCCGTGGAGGAGGGGCTGCTGGCTGCATCTCCACGTTCTACCCCGAGCGGGGGGGTTGCATGCCCCAACTCTTGTCTGGGCCAAGCCCATCGAGCAGCTCATTTACCCAATTCTACAGACATGCACCTATCACTCTCCTCCTGAATCACGCCTTCGAAATGCTGGAATTGCCGTACAGCTCCAAATGTTCGAGAAAGACCTTCGTCGTGGTCCGACACCCCATGGAGATGGCACAGAAAGCCACGTTGGTTTGGGGCATATCAGTCACTCTTCCTATTTGCTGAATGCCCCTAGCTCCAGGCTAAGCATTAGCTGCATGTTCGTTATCTGGAACCAATATTGTGTGCTTCCCTGGACAAACCCAGCACCAGGGGGGCACCAAGAGGGGCACCGTTGACCATGGAGAAAAGAGATAAAGAGTACCAGCGGTCATCTCGCAGTGTCCTGCTTGAGGCAAACATCCAAACTACTCTGCATCTTCCTAGGAGTGACCGGCTGAGGTATCTGCAAGATGACCGATTCCCCCAAGGGACCTGTCTCCCTGAGCAGTCACTCTGACAAAGAAAAGGCCGCGGCCACAGAAACCGGCATCGAGGAGACCGATCTCCAGTCTCTTCTGAACCAATTGAGACACATTGTTGCTGAGAATGAACTGGACGTCAACTTTCCAGTTCATATCCTCAGCCAGGCGCGGGAGATCCTCGATGCCGAAACCCAACACATCGATCTCTCTCAGCTGCACGAGGTGATTGCGGAGATTGGGAAGCATCGCGATCTCATTGAGAATGACTCGCCTTATCCAGAAGTCCGCGCCGTGGTCGACCCGACAGACGACCCTGAGGTCTCGGCCAATACCTTCCGGGCCTGGTTCCTGGGGATGATTGCCACCATTCTCTTCACCGGCGTCAACCAGCTCTTCACCCTGCGCTATCCCACCATCACCATCTACTCCATCGTCGCCCAGCTGCTGGCCTATCCCTGTGGTGTGTTCATGGAAAAGACTCTCCCCACCCGGCAGTGGAATCTGTTTGGCTGGAAGTTCAGCCTGAACCCCGGCCCCTTCAACCAGAAGGAACACATGCTGATCACCGTCATGTCGAACGTATCTTTTGGCGGCACCAACGGCACGGCCTACGTGACCTACATCTTCCAGGTCTTGAAGGCCAAGTCCTTCTATAACCTGACATCCTTGTACGACAAACCCGGCTTCCAGATCCTCGTCACCCTTTCCACCCAATTGCTGGGCTATGGGTGTGCAGGCGTTGTCCGACGCTTCCTGGTCTATCCTCCATCCATGATCTACCCCAAATGCCTGTCCACCATCGCGCTCAACAAGGCCCTGCACAGTGACGAGGGTCGCGAACGGGTGAACGGATGGAAGATCAGCCGGTACCGCTTCTTCATGTACTGCTTCGGCGGCATGTTCGTCTACTACTGGTTCCCCGGCTACATCTTCCAAGCTCTGTCCTACTTCAACTGGATCAATTGGATTGCCCCCGAGAACGTCAAGCTGGCCATCATTTGTGGTGGCATCAATGGCTTAGGCCTGAATCCCTTGCCCACCTTTGACTGGAACATTGTCTATGCGTTGTATGACCCGATCATCTACCCCTTCTACGCGCTCGCCAACATCGGCATCGGCACCATCCTGACTGCCTTCTGTGTCATTGCCCCCATCTACTTTAGCAATGTGTGGAAGACCGCCTACTTCCCCATCATCAGCAACGACGTCTACGACGACACCGGCAGCACCTACAACGTCACTCGCGTGCTCAACACCAAGGGCGAATTTGACCTCGCAGGCTACGAGGGCTACAGCCAGCCCTACCTCACCGCCGGATACTCCGTCATGTTCTTCTTCTTCTTTGCCATGTACTTGGCCACCATCGTGCACGTAGCCCTCTACAACCGCCGTGAAATCACCAAGGGATTCAGCGCGCTCTGGAAATGGACCAACGCGCGCGAAGAGCACGAAGACGTCCACAACCGTCTCATGAAGCGGTACAAAGAAGTCCCGGAATGGTGGTACCTCGTGATTCTCGCCGTCTCCTTCGTCTTCGGCTGCATCGGCGTCGCCAAATACGACACCGGCATGCCCATCTGGGGCATCGTCTTCGCCATCATCCTCTGTCTCGCTCTCCAAATCCCCTACGGCATGGTCTACGCCATCACCAACTCCGAAGTCACCAACAACGTCATCGCCGAATTCATCGGCGGCTACGCCATCCCCGGCAAACCCGTCGCCAACCTCCTCTTCAAAGCCTTTGGCTACATCGCCTGTGCTCAATCCATACAGTTCGTCGCCGACCTCAAACTCGGCCACTACATGAAAATCGCCCCCCGAGTCATGTTCTCCGCCCAACTGGTCGCCACCATCGTCGGCGCTTTTGTCTCCCTGGGCGTCAACGTCTGGGCCCTCGACAACATCAGCGACGTGTGTTCCCTCGACCAAGCCCAGAAATTCACCTGTGCCGGTTCGTCCCCCCCCCCCATTCCACTCCTCCCTCTTCCCTTCCCCAACTAATCTCCAACAGGAGCCCGCGACTTCTACACCTCCTCCGTAATTTGGGGCGCCATCGGCCCGCGTCGCCTCTTCGGCACGGGCCAAATCTACAACCCGCTACTCTACGGTTTCCTGGTTGGCGCCCTCCTCCCCATCCCCTTCTACTTCTTCACCAAATGGTGGCCCCGTTCCGGATGGCGCTACGTCTACATCCCACTTGCGTTCTACGGAGCCGCCGATATCGCCCCGTATAATGTGACCTACGCGTGGACTCCCATGGTCGTGGGCTTCGTGTTCAATTTCTGGATTAAGAGACGCTGGCAAGCGTGGTGGGAGAAATACGCGTATGTGTTTACGTCGGCCATGTCGTGTGGAGTGGCTATCTCGGCGATTATTATTTTCTTTGCGGTCGAGTATCATGCGGTTAATATTAATTGGTGGGGGAATGAGGTTTCGTACGTGGGGTGTGATAATGATGCGTGTACGCTGTTGAGTATTCCGGAGGGGGGGAAGATCTAAGTTCAAGTTGATGGGTTGGAGGGAGGGGGGGGGGGGGGGAGAGCTGTGTATATATGTGGATGGATGGTCTTGGTCTTAGCCTTTAGTGATCGATCAATCAGATTTACTTGTCTTAAATTGAGACGGATTGGTAATTAATCAACTGAATAAAACTACGCAAGTAAGTAAGCTGATGAGCTCTTTTTTCTTTTTTCTCCCCCTCACACTTGCATTAATGAATGGATGGATCCATCATCCCCATTGATCGATTGATCGATCAGCCACGATGGTGTGTAGGTGTGTGGTGTGTCTGTCATTCATTCTGTCAGCAATTGCCAACATCTAATATCATCTCTCTCTCTCTCACACATAAATAAAAAGAAGAACTAGGTGGGAATGAAATAAAATAAATAAAGTACAAAAAAGAAAACACAAAAAATACTACACAATACTGTGTTAAACAGGCCCGAGCCGCGGATCGAACGCGGGACCTCTCGCAGATATGCTTGGGTTTGTAGGCGAGATGCCATCCCTAAGCGAGAATCATACCACTAGACCACCCGGGCTTGTTATGAAAGTTTATTTGTTGTTGACTTTAACTTCGAAAATCAGCCTCTATATCACCGTCCTACATTGGGTTTGAGGGTGGGGTTGTTCGATTAGTATTGTTCTTTCTTTTGTTATAAGTCTGTTCGTCGAAATTAGTTAGTGTGTCTTTTACTAAGGAATTCCGATGATTCGTGTGTCCCTCACTTGTCGTGATCTATCTTTTCCATGAGACGGATGTTTCACAATACCAAGATACTAGTATATATACACACCCATCACTGCATCCCTCCCCTGGCTCTTATCCTCTCCAACCTCTCCACCTCCCCCCTCAACCACGCAATCTCCTCCTCCAACTCCTCCCCCGACGCAACCCAATACCTCACCTTCAACACCGCCGCCGAAACAACCAGAAACGCTATCGACGCTAACGGCGCCCACTGCCCCACCTGCCTCGGCGTTTCCTGAGACGGACCATCCTCGTGAATATAATACTCAATCCAGACCACGAAGGCAATCACCGTTAATGGACTCACAATGATACTAAAGACCAATGTGCATAGGATTGCAGTGTCGAGGAGGAGCCGGATCCATAGCCCTGCAGCTTGGAGATTGAACAGAGGGAGGGCGGGTTTCCAGATTGATAGTTGCTGGCGGGTTTTCTCAATTACGGTTGTGCGATGAAGACGGGATAGATGGATCGTAGAGCAGAAGTCTGTTTTCAGTCCGTTGAGGATAGTTTTTCGTTCAGACCAGATGGTTCGTACTTGAGAGGAGGGAAGACGGGAGTGGTATGGGAGGATTTTGAAGAGTAGGAGAGAGACGTTGACGATCATCGTTAAGACGATTAGGCTGTAGATGTATCGTTGGGAGTAGACGACCTCATCCCAGAAGCGACTTCGTTGGTGGACTCGGTAGTCGCCTGAGACGATGACCGCCTCGAGGGAGGTGGGTTGGCGGAGGACTTGGGATGTGTTGAAGCAGGGGTAGTAGCATATGCTGGGGAGTTGGTTGAAGAGGGTTTCGTTGGTGAAGATATCCCAGATGCTGGTGTTCCAGGTGGAGGTGCGTGTCCGGGGTTCCCAGCCGTCGCTGGAGATGGAGGTGGTGGTGGGGGCGAGGTCTGGAAAGCAGAAGGTGTATTGGGTTGGGGTGTTGTGGAGGGTGGGCCAGTAGATGAGGGCGCAGATGGAGCCGGCGAGCATGAGGATGTGCCAGAGGGAGAAGAGGATGTAGCGGGCTCTTTCTTGGGAGATGGCGCGGGACCAGCATTGCAGGGGGAGGAAGGTGAGGTAGGCGGTTACGACGATGGCGAGGACGGCGTCGGCGTCGAGGTCGAGGGCTGCGGGGGTGAGGTTGAGTTGGTCGATTGAGGTGATTAGGGCTGGGAAGGTGTTCCAGAGAGTGGTGTTGGAGGGGATGTAGGGGATGGTTATGGGTTCCGAGGGGGGTTGCTTTGGGGGGCTGGAAACGAGGATGAAGGCTTGGATGGCGGCGGTTCCGGCGTAGGTTGCGGCCGCGCCGAGAAAGACGTCGGCTAGCCAGTCTGTCCAGCGAGTGATGCAGGTGGCTAGGAGGAGGGCGTAGAAGAGATAACGAGGACAGGAATCGTAGAAGGTGCTGATGGGATAGGCGCAGATGACTTCCTCGGCGATGAATAGGGGGGACTCGGATGTTTGGTTCATTTTGGGGTAAAGGGGGCTAGGCCAGCTAGCCCTACCGCATTTTTAGAAGTGAATGTGTGAACATGGTTGCTTGGGCTGTTGCAATTGCCTCTAGCTTTTCAGAGTGGTTGTTATTAAGGTTGAAGGCACTGGTGATGTCATCACCTACCCAGCCCTACTTTGCTCAATCGGATTTTTCCATAAGTACAACGCCCCTGGAAAATTGTCTACACATGTATGTCGATTCAGGAGAAGTTATCTTTCATCAATTCAACAAAAGTCTCGATCTTTGAGTTACATGTTGAGTAAATTGCTACCAGCTTTCACAGCACTCGGGATCAGCATGTTCTAGCACTCGAATGCTAAAGACCTATAGCCATTGCTGGTTCCCATAGTGCGAAACAAAAGTTCCACTGTCGCCCTTTTCCACGCTCGATTTGTTTATCACAGATAGCACATCCTTGACAGCAGCCTCGGTGGTGCTGGGGCCTTTAAAGTGAGGCGCATACTCGGTGAACGACTTCAACATCTCACCCAATCCTACCAACTGTTCCGGAGTAGCTGTAGACAACAGTCAGTGATGGCCTAAGTGATTGGTGCTCTGACATACCACCGACATAGCGTCCCGTATCAACCATGCCCGGACAGATGCTCATAAACAGAATTCCCTCCTCGGCATACTGCACAGCAAACTTGGCCACTGCAGTATTCAAGCCGGCCTTGCTAATGGCATACAGCGAAGCCACCTTGATCTTCAATTTCGGGATGATCTCCAGGGAGCCCTGACCCGAGGAGATGGCAATCACCTTCTTGACCTCACCTTTGCGGACGAGAGGAACAAAGAGGTTAAAGAGGTGAATATTGCCAACAACATTGACTTGGAACATGGTCATGAGCTCATTCTCCAGGATGTCGGGTTGTTGGCCCCTGGGTGTTGTCAGTCTTTGTAAGATAAAAGTATGGAGCGACTTACAACACCCCGATCGGGTCATAAGCATCAAAGTGGGCCACAGCCCCGGCATTGGCGATGAGATAGTCGAGACCTCCGCCAGTGATATTAGCTGTCTCTGCAGCGGCATTCTGCGAACATGGAATACATTAACACAGAAGGGAAGAACGTGATGATTTTGTGGCTCACCTGCAGAGCGGCGTAGTCGGTGATGTCAGCCTGCAAGATGTGGATGTTGGTCCGGTCTTGCAATTCTTCCAATACCTTCTTATCGGTTTCTAATTTGTTTCGGACGAGGCCGATGACAGTATTGTTGGGATCGTTGGAGATTTGGCGGAGGAATTCCCACTACGTTCATGGCCGCAGTGGTTAGTAATTATTCCAAATGGTGCAGGGTGGACTCACGCCAAGGTTTCTAGAAGCTCCAGTAATAACGTAGGACGGCATTTTGACGAGCGAAGGGGTGGAAAGAGTATTGACTGCTCGAGATAAAGAGGAGTGATGCGAGTCAGAGTATCAGGGCGAAGAGGAGGTATTTATGCTCTGAGTCGAGTCCTCCATGGTCTGACATGGAAGCCCATGGCTCGTATTTTCCATCGAGGGTTGATTTGAAATCGAAATCGTGATCCAAGCATGGGAATAGCATCAGGATCATCATCAGAGCTCGCGGAAAGTTGCCCTCGCGGAAAGATGCCTTGTTTCCAAAGCACTATCCCTGATCAGGATTAGCGCTGGACTATAATCTTATGGATTGGCTGGTTGGCATTTCACCTTCTCTTCCTCTCCCTCCTTCTCTCCCCTAAATGAAGTGCGGTTTGGCTAGACTCTACAGGCTCTTCAACTTGGACATTAAGCCATCTCCCAGCCCCATAGGATGACGAATCGGAGCTGCGGGACATGTCGCGGTAACCACGTTAACCAGATTATCGTCCTATTTGTCCCTGCTGACGTCGGTTCCAGACCGTCGAATCCTCTGTGATCGGGCCCTGCCAACCTGTACGCGATGCTCTCAATCAAACCGAATGTGTCAGGGCTATGGTCTCCGTTTGTCCTGGCCCAAAGCGAGTAATACGAAGCGCTCAATGGTGGGGCAGCCTTCGCATCCCAGGAGCGCAGTCCGTCAATCAGCGGAATTTCGGTTATTGAACACATCTACCTGGGATCTCGAGTTACACAGCAGTCTCTTAGATGTAAAATCATCCAGTATATCTATTGACGATACCCAGGCAGTATGAGGATATGGCTAACGCGGGATAGAGACCACCCCGCCGACCCTACATACACCTAAGCTGTTTAGCTCACGCCAGCTGGATGTTGCAGACGAAACCTTGTTCCAGTACTGTAAGTAGTATACAACCTGATAGCCTAGAACTCGAAACCAACTTACGCAGTCCAATGCACCGCATCCCGTTGCATGACAACATTCGGTCACGACCCTACGGATCTGGGCAACCTCCTTTTGCGCATGGCGCTGGGAGATTCTCCTTCAGCTGTTGCAGTGCTACGAGGCATACTCGCACTGTCATCACTGCATCGCGACGGGCTGCAGTCGCAAGCAGGGAGACTCAAGATTTCTGCTCTTCGAGCTCTCGTAGCGGCCCCCAAAGCCGACATCAGTACGACCGAAGCAGCTCAGCATGTTGCCGCCGGAATGCTCCTGTGTTCATTCGATGTTAGTTCGGAACCGTGGCTCTAATCCATGGGGATGCTGATAACTCGTCGACAGATCCACCAGCTAGCCTGTACTTCAGGTCAATGGACCAAATACGTCATAGGCGCAAAGAGCATCATAAAGACCTCCTTAAGCAAGGATGAACACTGTAGTGAGTTCAGACCGCTGTTAGACTGGGTACACTACCACGACGTGCTATCACGTTTCAGCATGTTACACTGGCATCGGAAAAACTCAGACATCGAGATTTTATCGAACGACATCGGTGCAGAGGTTCGTCCCCAATCCCGAGTAGGCGAGTTGTATTGATCAAATGTACAGCTCTCTCCACTGCCTTCACCCTATAGCACCACTCTATGCCTCCTCTTTGATGTATGCAACACAGTCTCCGAAAACCTAACCCAGACCACCCGCACCGAAGGCCGTGATCAACACAAAGCGGCTTTGAGCCGGCTTGCAATTAGGATTCGAAATATCGTCCTTCCTGATACTGCGTCCAAAGCAAGTTCCAGCACGACGACAGATGTGGAGTTATTTCAATCAGCTATGCTAGTGTACTTGAATCGATCATCCGGAGGCCTACTAGATCCAGCCGACACTGAAGAACGGATTGGCAAAGCATTCTCCACACTTTCCCAGTTACGGTCCTGTGAAAGACAATTCCCTTTATTTATCCTCGGATGTGAAGCACGAACAGACGATGAGAGATGTACAGTCCTGGACCTAATCACTAGGACCGAAAAATTGGCATCATCCCGGTCGTTTTTCCTAGTGCGCAAGATGATAGAGGCCATCTGGGTGCAGGATGATCTTTCAAACAAGGGAATTGATTATGCGACAAAACTGAGTGCAATCATCAGCTGTTGCACCATCCTGCCGAGTTTTGTCTAAGAGATGTAACAATCTGACGTCCTTTCCCTTGTGGTCAATTACTTTGAAAAGGGATGATGCTCCAATTTCGCACAATCGCTCTTACCATCCACCAAAGCGGCCGTCCCCTGACTGCCCATCGGCTATGTCTGCAACCTGGCTCGATCAAAATTAGCCGTCAATTTTAGAACAGCAGTATTTTTCCAGTCCTTACGGTTGTATCCGATGTGTGTCCTATGCCGAACAAACACCCAAAGCGAACCGTTTGGACTCCTTAAAGGCTTGTCGCTGATTATGGAATTTATTCCCACTTGTCGTGCCTGAATTCCTGCATACAATGGAACCTTTCGGAGGGCATTGACAATGCACTGTCGCTTTTTATTTTCCAGCTGAGGTTGCGCTTTGTAACGTTGTAACGCAGGAAGACATTGATCGTTCTGTAACAATGTTTGTCTAGAGAATAATTTAACAAAGGAAGATCTTATTTTGACCCAATGGTTATTGTCTGATGGTACCAAGTGCTTTGAGAGCAACCAGCTCTTGTTTCGGGTATCTCCTTCAATACCTTTGTTAAACCTCTCACCAAGGCTTTGTCCGCAACTACGCAAGAACCCAACAAAGCGCCTCGTCACATTTCAGCAACAAGCCAGTAGTCCATTTGGGCAACCATAAATTCGACCCGGATTCCTTGATAAAGCATGACAATCTAATTCACTATCTTCCAGGTACCATACGAGCTCCCACCTACCGCAGACCTTATCTACTTATTTCCCGAATAATCGATGTCTGCCACCACAATCAAGATGTTCGAACTCTCAATCCAAAAGAACGGGCAGGGCCAAGGACCCAAGACCGGCGGATTCGCCAAAACAGTTTGCGACTATATGATCATGCCTGAAGCCCCCCACCTCGAACCCCTTTTCCGCGACGTATCCAACAAAAACATCATCACCCTCACAGTCGACATTACCAACCCGGACATTCCCATGGACTGGGATCAAGCCACTCGCAAGCTCCACAAATTCTTCCAAACTCTACGATCTCAGTACCCCGACGCTGCGCGGTTCGGCGGGCTGATCAGCGATTTGCACGGGGGAGAGATCCGTCTGTTCACTGAATCGAAGGGAAAGGGTTCTGGCAGCCGACCGGTTCCATTCAAATATTACGGAAAAGAGCAATTATTCCTGGATAGGAGCCAGTGGGTCATTGCAAAGTGGCTCAAGGCCTTACCCAAGGTGGGCAAGCAGGAGTCAAATGTCATGGCTACTATGGTTTGTGATGAAGAATGGAAGAGTGCGTACAAGTTGGGGAAGGATGGGCCTGGCGGTAGTGTTTCTTCCTGGAAGAGCCAGCCGAAAAACGAGACGAATCTTATTTCCGATGGATTATCGTGGCTTTTTCGTTCTGCAGGTAACATGCTTTCTGCGGGTTTCCCTTCTCGATAGTCGTTTTGGCAGCGGGGATGGAAAGGTGCTGGATGAAGTCATCAAATTTTCCTATGTCAGTCGAGTCATGAGAGGAGGCTATCAAGTCAACGTGATTGACACTTTCCAATATTTGATATAAAGTTTGTCTTACGTTCCTTACTAGAAACTGAGTAGCGTTTTTATCAAATGGATTTTGCAAGCATTACTCCTCGACAGGTAGAAGCAACTAAGCTCGTATGCCACTATCAGGCACCGCCTGAGATTTTCAGCAGATTAGAGCTACTCATTCCCTAATCAATACCCACTTGCAACCCAGGAAGCTGAGTAAATATGACTCCCATTTAGAATTAGCACTAAATCCCAAATGTCAGCACGATGCCCTAACGCCTGAACTTTACCATGAAAGGGATAAAGTTTAAAGCTAAGCCCAGCAAGGTTAGAAAAAAAATGGGAAGCTATCTTCCATAGCATGGGTATATTTCGGAATATTTTGTGGAATCGGCCTATAATCTGTAGGAAGAATCCAAGACATTCCCTGGTCTATGTAGGAGAATACCAACCACGAAGTGGAATTTCCCTGCCAATTCAAGCCAAAGAAAAGTATAAAGGCCCCCAAATCCCCAACCTAGACACACTAAATTACACCACAGCCATCGAAGCAAAATGCCTTACTTGGGCCCTAACAAACCATAAGTATATAATTATATATACCAACGAACCCAACACTACCATCCACATCTATGTCCGGTGTCAATCCCCTTTCCTCTCTATTCAAATGATGAAGACCTCACCCCACCCATCATTCGCATAGCTGTGGGCAGACGGCGGCCTGCGAACACCCCGTCCCTCCAAGACTTTCCTAATTCTCTATCACACCACCAAGACAGAACCCTAAGGGATATACACATAACATCGATATGCTATCAAAAGCCCTAGACAAGACATAGCCCTGGATGAGCAACGCAAGAAGACAACGAGGACTACGATCCGTCCAATTACGAAACCCCCTACTTCATTACGAAGGGCGGCACGAAACAGATTATATAGACTCAGAGTCTACAGAAGACCTGATCTCTGATTGACGCGTTCAACACACCCATTGCCCACGGCGTCGGAGTAACAACCATGGCCATACAGCATGCCCATCACTGGTGGGAATGGGATTGATTCTCCCCCTTGCATTATCTTGTCGCGCATCGCGAGGATAAAGTGTCATTCGACTCGATGTTGTTGGCTCGAGCCTGATAGTTGAATTCAGCTCTTCTTACTCGGTTTGGCTTCTACATGCGCATACCGGGTTAGCTTTCCGAGTCTGATGGCGGACTTTCAGGCCATGCACGAGGATGTGTTTGCACTGGGGGATCAGTTCGCTTCTTTTTCTCTTGGTTGGTTCAGCCCGGAGTATCGTTAGCTCATGCTGTACATACCCTATTTCTTGGCGTAACACCGGGTTTTTGTGAGGGATTGACGTCGAGTGTGCGGTATGAGTTAGGGTACTGCTCTCAGAACAAACGTCATCCAGATATCGAGTAAGGGGATGCTCGCAAGGATTAACAGGGAGGGAACTGTGATAGAACAAGTAGTGTTGGGAATATGTGGAAGCAGAAGAGATTGTCCGCCAGAGGTGGTGTCATTCGAGACCGCAGAGGCTACATGAAAGCCAAAATGCCAATCGACCCATTGTAGGGATTTGATGGCCTGGTCGCCATTTCCTGGCCGATTACAAGAGCTGGGGAGATTGTTTGGGATGTTGGTCGGTTCGTGTCGATTGTCTGGGTTTTTGGGATTATGTGGTTGTTTTTGTAACAAGGGATTGGAAAGAAGGAGGAAGATAGAAAGTTATGGGATTATGTATTTGTCTCTCCAACAGAAGGAGTTGGAAAGAAACAGGGCAATGGAAAAGACATTGGTTGTTATGTTATTATGAGCGATTAGGAACCACTCTGACTAAGAGGTCTGTGATAGTTGGGTTTACAGCTAAGTGAAACCTAATTTTGGATACATTGATTCTTTCCTCGCTGAATACATCAGCTTTTTTAGTTTGGAATCTGTTTCTGTAAGTCTCTTTGTCTGTTCTATGTGCCGTGGAGATCTCCGCGAGATCATAGGCTGTTGCCCAAACCGCGTAAATGCATATGAGGCCGAGGCCTCACAATCAACTTTTGATCCTCTTAAAGTCGAAGAATATTCAGTCTACAATAGGCTAAATAAGATACATGGTGGCATTTAACCGTGATCTACCGAATAATGCCTCTATTCGGTGCTACCGTTGCTCTACCGGAGCAAAAACTAGGTCCTGGCCTGCAGGAAGCCCCAGGGGCCCAGTTGCGAGGGGGTCAGAGAATTCCTGATACTGGATCAGCTACTCTGACACCAGATTAGTTATTATTATTAAATCTAACCACAGTTTTTACAAATTTTAGGATATTTATTAGGGCATTTAAGATATTTAAAGTATTAGAGATTTTTAGAGAACTTTTTTTATAATTTTTAAATATGATTTTTAGTCACGTGAAGAGCTAATCTAGTGTCAGGATTTATCATGTATTTGAGCTAACCTAGTGTTAGGCTTTAAGATATTAGATAACTAAGCTTATCCAGTGTTAGGGATTCTCTGAACTTAGCCGAGCAGTTTTTCCAGTACTGTGTCAAACCCTAGGATCGCTTCTCCCTGTTCCTGTTAGCTTAGCTCCCGTTCCGATACGTACCTTGTGAACTGAATCAAAGGTAGTCAGGTTGTTGACTATCTAAAGGTGACTTGATCTGAACAGAAGAAGAGAAGTAAGGCCAGATAGTGCCGCGCAGCTATCCGTAAGTAAGTGCGGACGAGTGTTGTCGCTAAGCTCTACCAAAACGTAGGTTACTTAAAGACAATTGTAATTGAGCACGAAGAACAGAAATAACTAAGTACATGAAGGAGTGTCCTTATATATCCGTTCCCCGTATACCATTCCGTATACCGTCCCGTATACCATTGGCATATACCATATACCCGATCATATACCCTCTCGTATACCCGCGGTCACGTGACTCGTGACACGTAGCGGCTCAGTCCGGGTCCTACCTGATAAGAGTTGCATCTCTCCGAATGCCGCTCTTCTGCCTGACGTAACCGCCTCACTAGTCCCTTTAGCTAGCAGGGGTCCGTAACATACTGATCTAATATTCTTATACTAATTTCTGATCCTCTTGCAGCTGTATCCCTGGAAGTCTCCAGCCCAAGACATTGCAAAGCACCTTAGTAAGCAACATGTAACATACTTTAACTATATTTAAAGAGCTTTGTCAAGCGCATGTAAAGGACTACTAAAAGACTCTATTAAGCACTTCTAAATAGCTTTGTCAAGCGTATTCAAAGAGCTATTAAAGGACTCTGTCAAGCACTACTAAGAGCTTTATTGAGCACTACTAAAGGGCTCTGTTAAGTGCTTTTAAAGGGCTCTGTTGAGCACTTCTAAAGAGCTTTATCAAGCATATTTAAAGATCTACTAAAGACCTTCATCAAGCGCATTTAAAGAGCTACTAAAGAGCTATGTTAAGCACTTTTGAAGGGCTCAATCAAGCACAGCTCAGTCAAGCATTTAAAAATACAGTACTTAATTTAGATCTACAGTCTGAATCTACGTAAAGACCTGGTTCAGACTTATAATCTAAATATAGACTAGAAGGTCTTCTCCCCTTCAGACCCTCTCTGAGACCCTTATTAAACTGAAGCAGTAAGCATTGGTAATATAATTTAAATTATATTATAAGTAAATCAAACAACCAATCAGGAAGCTGAAATTATGGAAACTATCAGATTAATAAGAAGTCTTGAAGCTGGAAACTTCCCTAGCAGGACTGAACCTAGTATTGCTCAGCGCTAGCGCGCTTCGCAAAAAAATGACCTACGCAGGATTCGAACCTGCAATCTCTTGATCCGTAGTCAAGCGCCTTACCATTGGGCCAGCAGGCCAATCGATAGAAATATTATCTTGTTTTGTGTAAATTAAACAGCAGCTTGTCTTGAAAGCCCCAGAAAATGCTCGATAGGATCAATTCAACGATTCAACGGAGGGTCGTAGATCACCATAGTATAAGATCCAACAATCCTCAGGCATCACCCGAGACACCGTAACTTTCCACAAACTGAACAGCCCCTAGCAGGTATAAAAGGCACTAAGAATCCCTCGATGTTCTCTTTTCTTCTCTGCATCACGTCTCCTCCCACTTCCTCAATCAAATCTAAACAACAGACCATATTGTCAATATGTCAGAACGTATCAACATAAATGATTACTGGGCATGCCGCTGGCAACAATACTTCCCAATCTCATCTGGCTACCGTTTTGAATGCGACCCGATAACGAGGAACGATATCTCACTTGAAATCATCACAGTAACAAGGCCGCAGCGTAATAGAATCACACTTGTCATGATCGTTGGAGATTCCAGAGACGAGGCACACACCCCAACCTACAATGTCTGCTTGGACGAAAGAGTCACCCACTACGGCTTTACCATAAGGGATGGTCAACTGAGGACCTTTCATAGGCCCGGACCCACCCAGCGTGTAGAGCCCTGGGGTGGAGAATTCCAGGAAATCATGGACCATGACCAACCTTCGGACGCTATCTCACGTCACTTGGAAGGAATCCTGTCTGAATTTAGGAGTAATGGGGGCTCTGCGAGCCCGGGTCTCGAGAATGATCCTACTCCTGGTCCTAGGCAATATTCGGCATTCCTCAACCATCCATGGACTGATGATGCACCCACACCCTCCATGCTACCAAGCATTGAACGCCACATAGAAGATGGTGGATCTAATGGTGTGGCTCGCAATTCTAATGTTCGTACTAGAGATGGAAGAAGAAATCCTCCGTCTCTGCAACGGAGTGAACAGAGTCTTACTGCCAATGCTGCAACCAATGTTGGTCATCATGCAACTAATGGTGTGAGTACTCGGAGACGTCCTAGGGCACCTCCTCCCCCAGATAGTGAGACGGATGATGATATGGTCAGTGGGTAATTAGTATGCTCTATTTTTCGTTTTGACATCTTGTCAAGGGTGTTGTCTGATATGCAGCTATTGGGATTCGCTGGTTTTGTTTTATGTGATATGATTGGGTTTGTTTCTTGGAATTAAGATATTCTAATTATTCGGAATTTTGAGTTGTGGTTGGTATCTGAGTATGAATATTCTGACCTGTGCATATAGCACCATTTCATGGAGCGATAGACTGTCATAGCTTCTAGAGTAATCTGATAGAGCGTTGATGCGGTAGATATAAGTGAGTTGGTCTGAACGCGTCATTGACAAGGTTCCCGGCTAGTCTGAAATGGAGACAGCTTGAGAATAATTACTAAATATTGCTTATAAGTCTGGAGGCAAAGAGAAAATGAGAATGTCTGGGGTCTTAGGCCTTCAGCCTGAGTAAAACAGATTGATCTAGTGGCAATGGACAACATTGCGTCTAAATTACGGTATGCCCCTCTCGTTCAAGGCCGGAAACTAGCAGCTTGGTCTCGGAATTGGGACAATGGAGGTAAGATCCGCTAATTACCTTAGTATACGTAGAAGAAATCCGAAGGAATATACCGTGTCAAGCGTCTTCTCAAGGGTATATAAAAAACCCAGAAACCTACAATACATTGTACGTGTACTCACGTCGCAATCTCCACTACACATCTATTCCTGTTTTTCCCAACCCCTGAGAAATTTACTCCTACATTCCACCATGTCTGAAACTCTCGACGAAAACTTTATCACTCCCGAGGGCCTTCGAATCTGGCAGTTGTACCAGGTCAGGGACTTCTTCGTGGACAGGACAGAGGGATTGACAATCAACATCGAACATATTGCACCAGTCGACGATATCCCCCTTGATATAATCACAGTGACAAAGCCAGGTAACAGAACGATCTTTGTTCTCGTTGCCGGAACGTACACCCGAGAAGGGGATAATGAAGCAGATGATGAAGAATCGGATGAAGATCAAGATAATCCACTTCAGCGCGCGATGCTTCTCAGATGGAATCAGTTCGTCCCACCTGCCGGGGAAGAACCACTGTACTGGGGTGCCACGGTACGTGGAACGGGCAGTGGAGACAAGATTAAATTCCACCTTAGGGGAGGGGCCCCCTATCGTCGCCCCAATGAGGAGACGTTGAGACAGTTTGGAGTCTTTGATGGGGAATTTAACTATCTCGAGAAACTGCAAGATCTAGTGGATGACTTGAATGAGATCAGGGAGAATTTTGGGCTTGTTACTATGGACCTGAATCTTGATGATATTACCTCAGGTGCTGGAGGAAATGATACAGGAGATGAAGCTACAAGTAATCATGGACCTAATGGTGTCCACCGTCGTGCTGGAAGGTTCGGACGCTTCGCTGCAGACTCGGACAGCCCTGAGTCCCCTGACAGCGCGGAGTATAGCCAAGGAGAAGAAAATTTGCGTACATGGATTCGTCCTGTCCGCGCTCCTCGAAGAGTTAGACCTATTGCTGCGAACTCGGAGAGCCCTGAGTCTCCTGACAGCGCGGAATTCAGTCAACGCGAAGATGATGAATCTATTGGTACAGGGCTTCGTCCTGTCCGCGCTCCCACAAGAGTCAGACCCATCGCTGCCGACTCAGAAGAGAGCTATCAATCCCATGACAGCCTGAATTAGAGCCCTCTAGGTCTTCATCGCTATACATCTTGACGCATCTGGTGATGTACTCAGCCAGTGCAAGGATCTTCTCTTCTTCGTACCGCTTTCCAACTATTTGAATCCCCACAGGGGCTCCGTGGTAGATTTCAGCATTGTCTATCGATGTGAGCAATTATTCAGACAGCTAGACTGAGTCCACCTACACTCCGAGTAAACCTTCTGATCCAGTTGATTAAAGAATTGTGGCGGGTCTTCTGCCGTATGAACCTCCTTATCGGCAAACGTAATCGGAATAACCACGGTTGTATAATCCAAAGTATTGATGAAGGTGGTGTATCCGGAATGGCAGAACTTCCCCGGGATAACAGCTGCATAAGGTGCAGTAGGACAGATGATAGCATCAACGGGTCTTCTGGTTGCTGTCATGTCGTTGGTTCTGTTCCAATAGTCCATATACTTTTTCATATATTCTCGTTTCTGTACGTTCAATTCCGCTACCTCTCCGGCGTTAAAATGCTTGCTTTTTCCAATGAAGGACTGTAAGGGTAGTGCCTCTCCTGACAGAGCGATATGGCTAAGTAAGTCTTCGCCACTGTCCATGCTGTATGCTTTGTCCTATTGAGTATAAGTCGACTGCAACAGTATATGTTCGAGGGTTACAACGTACCGCAATTATTTGGCCCTCTTTACACAGCTCCGGAGTCCAGTCTATGACCTAGTATGCATAAGAGTCAGTCAAGCAAGGGATACTTTCTGGTAGTTACCCTATGACCCATGTCCTGCAAGATATCCTTTATAAATGTCATGGCTTCCTCCACTGGTGGGTGAGGATGAACGACACCATCATGGGGCATGATGCCAAAGGCGAGCAGAGACGGGTCACGAGCCGATGCCTCGATCAACTTTTGTGTTTTCATGTCGATGTCATTCCTCCAAGGCAGCGGCAACGCAAGCGGATCATGGAGCCACGGCTTCTGTGATAGAACGGCTTTGAAAAGCAACCTCAACGATTCAACACTTGTGGCCATCGGACCAATTACAGACAAGATGGTGTTTTGTCCGTCGATAGAATTCGCCGCTCCTTCATAAGGCATTCTTCCGGCGGATGGACGAAGACCGAACACCCCGTTGAAGGCAGCTGGAATCCGGATACTTCCGCCGATATCAGTACCAAACCCGGCTGGCGATCCACGAAGCGCAAGAAGAGCACCTTCTCCACCAGAGCTTCCTCCACTAGACAGTAGACGGTTGTTAGGATTGTATGTATATTCTATGATGTTGTTTGCTGTCTCTCCTGACATGAGCGTGAGGGGGGCGCTCGTTTTACAGAAGAGGACAGCTCCCAAGTTGCGGAGTTCTCTTACGAGCTCGCTTTCAACCACTCGAGCACGGGAATCATCCTTTCGGCCTTGAAACGTCCCGATCCAGCCCACATAGCCCATGGTTGTGTCGACACCTTTGACATGGAATTGGTCTTTCAGACTCACGGGAAGTCCGTGCAAGGGGCCTTTTGGCTTTCCGGTGGCAGCAAGGTGGTCGTCGAGCTCTTTTGCTACTTTGAGGGCATCTTCGAAGAATATCTCATGGAGACAGTTAACCTGCACGCGGATGAGTCAATGTGTAACATCAACCCAGGATGTCTGGGATACATACAAGCTGATGAGCAATGGCAGCTCTATGGCAAAACGCCTCGGTCACCTCGACCGCGGTCCACTTCCTGGAGTTTGTTTGTGTCGTGATAGAAACGGCATCAGCTTCAGTGATTTCTATCTCGCGAGGATTTAGGAACCTTTGAATGTAGGTGCCCGTGACATCATTCGGGGGGGTCAGATGCTGAACTCTCCACTTGGGGGGAATCGCCTCCAGGATGGCCTGGCGTTTGGCTTCGGCTGCTTTCTGCCAGGTCGACTTTCCTTTATCCATTGTGGTCTGTCAGGGTGAGGAATCAGGGATGGATGTGTCGAGGACGATGAAGAATCTTGGTGTCCGATACCCCGCAGTGAATGTTTGGTCCTACCTCGGTCACGGGATATGCCCGGGCGGAGGCACCAGCATTCTTTACAACACCCATTTCATCCTTCATGTGATTAAGAGACCAATATCCGACATATGAAGAAGGGCTAGGACCGATCAACATGGCCACACGCAGGCCATCGATAGCCTTGTTATCTTTCCAGGAATGGAGCCACAGTCACCATTTCATAACTCACAGACAAGTTGACCTCCAATACGCTTCATCGTGTTAGCCCTTTAATCCACATCTCTACACTATCTTTATGAGAGCTAATCACAATAAAAGTGAATCATCATAGACACCCGACACATCCCAACTTGTTTGATAATGCCCCAGCAGCAGTCGGAGCGGAACTCGCCTTCACCAAAACCTGTGTCCTGCGATTATGATACTCCAGCGCAGTAATATCATCATAACTCGATGGTCTCTGCTCGTTCATAAACTCCGGAATAGCACCTACCATGCACTCGCGATGAGCCTTCAGGAAGAACGCCGTCGAATGTCGCTGGGGAAGAACACATCCACCAGCTCTTTGCAGCTTGGATTGGAGATCATGGGGAGTGAGAAATGATGCACACCGCTGGGATGGAATCATTTGTCCATCTTTGGAATGTGTCGCTCACGTTGATTGCAATCTCATCCGGTTTCTCTCGCACCAAGGGAATGAACGTTCCGGGGTTGCGGCGGTCTTCATATTCCAGTCCGCCTTTTGTGTCTTGGAAAAGAAGCGTGATGGTACCAAAGTCGGTGTGAGGCCATCCTCGACGAGACTTTCCTTAATTTAGACGGGATAAGCTGACAGAAGGGTAATAGTTGTATCTCAGTTCACTGGCTGCTGGTACGCAGCGATTGAGGAATGTGTCTTTGGGCACGTCGCATCCGAGTTCACATGCGGACATAACATCCAGGCATAGTTTTTGACATTGACTGTGAAATGTCTCTGTGAAACCTCGGAAGCCCGGAACGATGTTGTTTGGCCAGCTGTTGGGGTATTTGGTATTGTCTGGTGGCCCGAAATCGAAGTCTTCCTATCACGAAGCATTTGGTGCTAAGCTTTGTGATTCTCATGGTACGTGGCTAGGAAGGATAGTAGAGGGTCTGAATGAAGCTAAGTGGCATATCCTCTCGTCCATACGAATGCTATCAGGGTTTGGGGCGCGCAAGCCAGCCGTGGTTTTCCTCCTTTATAACTGCATCCTCTCTGAGCTTCTGGGCTGGGAGGGTTGACAACACTTGGCTTTATATAAGGTTCAAGTTCGAAGAATCTCGAGTTCTAGACTTGAATTAGCATGCGGTTGCACCATTGAAAAGTGGATCCGGTCACTTACCCATTCCTGTGCCTGCTGAATCGTCTCCAGGGGCATGCCATGATTGGTTAGTTTCACGAAGCCTGTACTCCGCAAAGAGTTAACCAAGGATGTGGAAGCTGCATGCCGTTGGGCTCTAGAACCACGAACTGATAGGTCAAAGCTTAGAGTGGCTAGACCCATTGTCTGACGGTATAGGGAAGTCGATAATAAGATTGGTGGTTTAGGTAAGTGTAGGGCTCATATCAAGTCCTCTCGATGCTCATATACATGGCCCTCCACCTGTGATGATGTATGTATAAAAACTACCAATCCCCTTGCCAAATCAGGATGTCGTGAGATATAACCCTGACACTGAATTGTCTTCAAGCTCTGGTCCTTACCACTTTCTAAGAATTTTCATAGTTCCTAGGATATCTAGACGATCTGAAGTATGTATAATCGAGATTTGTGATCCCTGTTGGAGTTTATCGCGGATCAGAAATACCATCTATTCTGAAAACGAAATCTGAAGCAACCGGCCTTACTCGGTCCAAAAGAAGTCGAGATGTATCCATCCTATGTATGGTAGAAGATCGCCGCAGTTGCACTAAATAACCTTATCTCAGCCATGGACCATTCAACACCACAACCTATCAGAAACCCCTTCAACCATGGACACCAATGGCCGACAGAAACCCATGGAGTCTATGACACACTCAAGGTGGACCCTACCGTGGATCCATTGGCAGTTATTCCTCCCTGCCAACTTGATTCAAGATACATATGGCGTAACCTGCAATGGAGCTCTCCACCAGCAATTTCTTCTCCAAACAGATACATCATGTCATCTCTCAAAGACGTAGGCAGCAAGCTCGGCTCCAAGCTAGCCCTCCCTAACACCTACGTCATCACCGCGTTCCTCTCCATCGCGCTGTACAATATCGTCGAGCTGATTTTCATCCTTTTACTGACTTTCAAGCGCCACAAGGGGCTCTACTTCTGGAGTTTCGTGGTCGCGTCCTTCGGCATCGCCATCTACTCCATCGGCTTCATCCTCAAAGATTTTAACCTCGTCGCCGAATCCCTCTCCTACTTCTATGTCACCCTCATTGTTATCGGCTGGTGCGCCATGGTCACCGGCCAGTCGCTGGTCCTGTACTCGCGTCTCCACCTCGTCGTGCGCCATCACATCATGCTCCGATTCATCCTCATCATGATAATCTGCGACGCTATCTTACTCCAAATCCCAACGACAATCCTCTGCTACGGGACCAACTCCACCGCCTCTGCCGACTTCGCCCTACCATACGCAGTATACGAACGAATCCAAGTAACCGCGTTCTTTGTCCAAGAATCCATCATCTCAGGCGTATATATCTTCGAGACGTTCAAACTGCTTCGATCAGAAGCGTTGGTCATGGAGGAAACGCATCGATACGCGGCCCGGAAACTCATGCTACATTTGATATGTATGAATGCAATAGTGTTAGTGTTGGATGTTGCGATTGTGGTGTTGCAGTTTGTGGGACGGTATGCGCTGCAAACTGCCGTCAAGGGGTTTATCTACAGTGTCAAGTTGAAGTTGGAGTTTAGTATTTTGAATCAACTGGTGGCGTTTGTGTATCATCCTCAGACGTTGAACTCGGGGAGTCCGGAGGGGGGGACCTCGGAGAGGAATCTCTGGGATGTGGGTCAGCAGGCTGAGAGGGGGACGGGGGATGGGCAGAGGCGTCGGTCGAGGAATTGTGCTTGGGCGAGTGTGGCTGAGAGGTTGAGAAAGGAGTTGAGGATTTCAGTGGAGAAGAGGCCGTCGGGGTTTGGACATGCTGGTAGGAGACAGTTTGGGTCTGGTGAGATGCAGAATCAGGTTTAGATTGTTCAGCGGGGGGTAGTATGACAAGAGAATCAGAAATTATTCCTTAATGAGTCAGCCCAATGCCATATTTATGAGTCGGACCTGATTACTTAGCTTATACAAAGCTACAAGCGATCGGTAATGTATTCCCTTTGCACGCAACAGACATCACTCACTCGAGCTCCATTCAGTCGCAGTCCGAGCAAGAGCTTTCTAGGCCTGACACTCCAACTTCCTATCCCCAACATCTGAAAATTTCCTCGACCATGCTATGACGTAGTGACCCCATGACCCCGATTGATAAGATTCGCGCGGAGATGATCTCCATCGCCCGCACACCTGATTGGCCCGCGTCTTGTACAGCCCCTCCGGCAAAAGTCCGGACCTCACGGCAAAACTCCGACTCTACATCTACGATATCCAACATATAGACCATTGACCACTCCATCAACCCCCCTTCACCCATCAAAACAATCCATCCCCACAAACCAAAATGTCCCCCCCAATCCAACCAACCAACCCCCCCTCCCCACAATCCTCTCCACCCACGACTTCGAACTCATCGCCTCCCAAACCCTCACCCCCAAAACATGGGCCTTCTACTCCTCCGCCGCAACAGACATGCTCACCCATCAATCCAACATAATCATCTACGATCGGATTCTCCTCCGACCCCGAATCCTCCGCAACGTGACGAGTGTATCCACCCGTACTACCATCCTAGGCTGTGCCATGAACCTCCCGTTATTCGTTAGTCCAGCGGCCATGGCCACGCTAGTACATCCGGACGGCGAGCTAGCGATAGCGAGGGGATGTGCGAGGTTTGGGGTGGGACAGTGTGTATGTCCACCTTTCCCATTTTTCCCTTCTGATAATGTGGTTAGAAAGAAGAAAGTTAATATAGTGGTATAGATCTCGACGAATGCATCCTACCCACTAGATAAGATAACATCATCCGTACAGGAAGGAACGAATCCATTTTTCTTACAATTGTACATGCATAAGTCGAGAGATATAACGCTCTCTCTCCTCCATCTCGCCCACACGTCCAATATATCCGGCATATTCCTGACCATCGACGCTCCCGTACCCGGGAAACGCGAGGCCGATGAACGCGTCCCTCTTTCCCCAAGCGATATCCAATTCTCCACGCGGTTACCCATGAGCGGCGCCCAAATCAGCAGTGACGCTAAGGGATCCGGGCTCGGACGATCCATGGGCGAGTATATCGATGCGAGTCTCACGTGGGAGGATTTGCGCTGGTTGAGGGATAATACCCACCTGCCGATTGTGTTGAAGGGGGTGCAGACGGCCGAGGATGCGTTGTTGGCGGTGCGGGCTGGGGTGGATGGGATTGTGGTTAGTAATCATGGGGGGAGGGGGTTGGATACGTGAGTTTTCTCTTTTATTTTGTCTTTTGGGGAAGGGAAGGGGGGTAGTGGGCTAATTTGGACGTGATGGTAGAGTGAGCTCATCAATCGCGGTACTTATGGAAATACGCCAGTGTTGTCCAGAGGTATTCGAGCAGTTGGAGGTATTTGTAGATGGGGGCATTCGAAGAGGGACGGATATCATTAAGGCGATTTGTCTGGGAGCGAAGGCAGTGGGTATGGGAAGGGCTTTTTTGTATAGTTTGTGTTATGGGCAGGAGGGGGTGGAGAGGTTGATTGAGAGTATGTTCCTTTTTCTTTTCTTTTGTTTGATCTTTGGGGCTAGGGGCTGGAAGATGCTGACGATTACAGTTATGAAGGATGAGTTGGAGACGACTATGAAGTTGTTAGGGATTACGGATCTGTCGCAGGCTCATCCGGGGTTGTTGAATACATTGGATGTGGAGCATTTGGTCCCGAAAAGGTTGGGGGGGTCGTTTAGTGGGCTGGTTGGGAAGGCGAGGTTGTGATCAGTGTATTGTATTATGATGAAGGAGTGATGAAACGGATTATTGAGGCCATAGTTCAAAGTTATCTGCTGCCATTTGACCAAGTAACGTCTCATCCAAGCCAAAGCCAAACGTTCCTCCGAGATCGTGAAAGTTGTATTCGCCTGCCCAGAAGGCAGTCTCATCAGGCATACCTTGCACTGTAGGCATGGTATTGAGGTCTGGCACTGGGGCAAAAGTGTTTCTGGCCTCTTTATCCAAAGAATGGAACTGCTGCAGCATCTCGAGCATACCTGCCGCGATATGTTTGGCGAGATGTTTCTCGTTGAGACTGGCTGCTACACCCGCTAACATATCGGCCGATTGTTGAACAAGGGAGACAATGTATCGAGTATCTATCATTAGTCCAAGCCGGTTACTCCCATCTCCAACCTCACCTGCGGTGTCTCTTCCCCACGTGGCGGCCATTTTCAAAAGAAAGGTCGCGCAGAAAGCTACCATGGTGTAGGTAAATATAGGCACGTTGGGAAAGGCGAGACGGAGGTCAATTTCTTCCAAGATCAGTGTCAGCGTTGCCATAGCGGCTGCGATGGCCTTATTGGCAGCTTCACGGTGACCAAGGGACAGGTCTGTAGGTACAGGGCCAGGAGGAGCGACTCCACGAAGGGCCAGCGAATTGAGCTGGAATCGAGCGAAATGATAATACAACACCAGAGCTTTGGATGGATATGATCCCAGGATGACACAGTTCTCTGAACGTGGCACCCATTGAAGTTTCCATTGTTCGACAGCCACGTTGAAAACCCTCAGCTTCTCAATATCCTGTTGGTCTAAGGGGCGGTTTGGATCACTGCCAAATGCCATGTAAGCTTCTGTCAAAGTGGCGAACAAAGACACCTGAGCAGCTAGTCTGGCATCACCATTGTTCGCTCCTTCTTGGCTGAGAAATAGCTCAATATTTCGAATAGATTCATCATTAACTGCAGCTGGGGGCCTCCCATGTGCGATGCTAAATTGATGATCGCATACATATGTGGCGTACCATAGACGAACATGCTCCATCTGATTTCTCTCTCCCTGCATGAGACGATGATACGACTGGTGTAGACCGATTTCTGCTGCGATCCGGATGGCCTGACCCGACAGCTTCCAGCTCAGGTTTGCCAGATAGAACGCACCGATACATAGTGCACGGATGTCATCAAGACTATGATGTCTCGATAATGATAAACTGGAAGCGAGCGAGACGAAGACGTTGTAGCTTTGATGAAATGCTTCCGTTCGCCCGGGGGTATGCAGAGCCCCCACTGTAAAAATCACCGCCGTGAGCAGGGATGAAGATCGTCGCACAGAATCTAATGTCCGATGAAGCAGGAGAGCTCCGTCCCAGAGCATGCGGTTGTTAGAATCCACGAACTGATTGAACAAGAAATCGGCTTCCTCCACCGATACAACACCTTGAGAGATAAAGTCCTCGTCTATCAATGGAGTCCTCGGCTTCCAAGCGGGGTTATTCCGGAGGGTTTTCAACCGTGTCAGTTCATACAAACTGCGCATCGGTGCGGTGATCAGACCCGTCGGACCATTCTCCTGAGGTTGCGGAGAATTCTCCCTCGACATGTCTATGGCTGCATCTTGATGTTCGACTCGAGCATCCGACCGACCCGATGGGCTGGTCTGTGATGCAAAACTCGACAACTCCGGCTGTTGCGTATGTCTCAAGAGATGCTGAACTGCAGCACGCAGTAAGCCAACCTCTTCGGTGGTCTGATTCTTCCATCTATGCTTGTCAGACACGTCGTGTATAGTGGCAGCCTACTCACGCCATATCACTCTGCAGAAACTGCTGAGAGACGTCATATGAGACACACTCAAGTCCATGTCGCAGACATCTGCTACATGACGTCTCCCCATGGTTGGTCTCGCACTTGGTTTTTTGAGTCTTACATTCCGTGCCTGCTTGTTATTAGCCCGAGAATAAAAGACAGTAACAACCGCTTACACGCTTTGCTTCTTGTCAGACGCAAGCCCTGTATTTCATTGGGTGGATGGGATGTACGTTGTCGTTTGCGAGTCATGGTTAGAGATTCTCGGAGGAGTTGGAGATGGAATGGAGAAGCCATTCGGATTGGCGGGGAAGGACTACACCTAATCAGGCTAGCGTGAGAAACTACCACTAACCGGAAGAAAACTATGCACGGACATAAACTTATGCAGAGTATGCACAGCCGGATCTCATTAAGATTATGGTCCTAACAGCATCGTCACACACACCAGTCCAAACTACAATCCATCATCAATCAATCAGATTAGCAACGCCGCTGCTGCCGCCGCCACCGCCACTCCTCCGACCCCCGCCCGCCCACCAGCACCCGTCGTCTGTGTCGCCTGCGGCGAATTCAACTTCTCCAATCCGGCAGTTACAGTCACAGGGGCATAGAAGAAATCACTAGAATTATAGGATGTGGCCGTGGTCGCGACAGAAGAGCTCTCTTGGCCGCTAACAGAGGCGAAAACGCCGATTGAGACCGAGCAGGAAGCCCCTTGGGTGGATGAAGTGATGTTGCAGGCGTGGACTTGTGAAGTAGTCACGGTGAGGCCGTTGGCGGAGCCGGTGAATAACTGGTTGTCGGCGTAGGTGGATGGGCCTGCGGTGATGGTGTAAGTGGAATACGGGGGACAGTTGCCTTTGCATTCCAGGGCGAGGACGGTGGTAGCGGAATTTGCGGATACGACGCTGGCGTCGAAGCTTGCGAAGGTGGTTGTTGGGGTTGCGGTTGGGCTTGGGCCGATGTAGAAGACTTGCACAACGGTGGAGGAGCCGGTGGAGGAACTGGAGCTGGAGGAAGAGGAGAAAGTAGAGGATGTGGTGGTGGTAGTGGAAGTTTGGGCCGAGGCATAGGCTGCCAGGGCGAGGAGGAAAGGGAGAAGCTTGGTCATTGTGGAAGAAGCCCTACAAGGTAGAGGAGGTCAGAACGATGGATTGATTGACTGTTCATCTTGGATCAAGTCAGTCTTCTTATACCCATCTTTAAGTGAAAGCACACATGAATCGATATCTAGAGCATACGCAACTAACGACAATCCACGTCATGTCAGATAAGCTTGTCACCCTAACTAGAATACTGATTGGGGCATTGACATATACGTTGGAGCCTAAGAATACGAGCCTGCGGAACGTTTGCCAAGTTGTATCGTCTGTGCGTGATGAAGTCATTCCGATTACCACCGGCTGTCAGATTCCCACCATCTAACCAATCACTAGAGAATATATCTAAACCCGACGTTCCGAGCTTCCAAGTTATCAGAGTCGATCACTTCTGGTCTATCCTGTGCCATGTCAAGCTTCTTGTTCATCCTGGCATGCACGACGCGAATGACAAATGCAAGAATCGCAACCAACAGGGCAATCCCTGCAGTGGCACTGCCACCCGCGATATATCGAGGTCCTGATGACGACGGCCACATGTAGCTTCCGTAAATCGATGCGGTATTTCCAATCATGTTCGCGGTTGCAATCGCAGCCGAGCGTTTGACCAGCGGGCGGGGAAACGAGTTGGCAACCCAGGCAATGATGATTTGATAGGCCGAGACAGCACCCATTGGCATTCTGTTGGTCAGGATTGGAATGCTAAAAATAGAAGATAAACTTACAGAAACATCCCAAAGAACCTTGCTCCGATGTTTGTGGTAGCAGTGCAGATCACACATCCCACGACACTTACCAACATCAGGCAGATGATATGCAGCCCTCGATCGTCCGTTTTGCCAGATGTCCATGTCACAATGAGAGACACCAGAAAGGTAGCAATCCAGACAGGCGCGGTGATAAGGAGAGTCTCGATATTCCCGTAGCCCAGAGTCTGGACGATTGTCGGAAAGAAGTATTGGAAGTTCTGGGAGAGGAGAGACGTATGCTGGATCAGGATGAAAAGGTAAATCCGTTTATCGGAGAACACAAGTAGCAACGCTTCTTTTATACTTCCAGAGTTTGCTTCGTCTGCTTCTCCTGCGTCGTGGATGAGTCGCCATTGCGCGTAGAGCTTCTCTGTCTCGTCAAGCCATGGTGTTGTTGCGGGATAGTTCGGCAGGAGCAGTCTAGCTTGTCAGAATTGGATATGAATATGCTGCAATTCACTTACGTCGAGGTAAGCGACACGCCAACGGTGATGCACCCTTCAATTATGAAGAGCCATCGCCATCCGGCTATCCCATGCGCACCATCCAGATTGCCTAGCACGCCGGCCCCAATGAGACCACCAAATGCGTTGGCCAGAGAGCTTCCGGCATAGAACCACGCAATGCGATGGCTCAACTGGGTGCATTAGCTTTGCCACAAATACTGAGTCAGAGCACTGTACCTCTTGCCTGGTATACCAACTCGACCTAGTGATATAAGTATAGCACAAATCTAATTCCAAGCGGACTCACATCAACATGATCGCCCCAGGAAAGAACGGCGCCTCCACAAATCCCAGAAAGAACCGAGCGAGAACCAATCCTGTAAAAGACTGCGTTGCAGCCTGACAGGCGGATATGACCCCCCAGATAGCCATTGCGCTCCCTAGAAACAAGGACGGTCGGACGCGCGTGAGAAGCAGATTGGACGGGAGTTGCATGAGCAGGTATCCCACAAACAAGATACTGGTTGCCAGGTTATAGTCCGTTCCTTTCATGCCGAGGTCTTTTTCGAGGGACCCTAGTCGTGCTTGAGATAGGTTGCTAAGCAGTCAGCATTTGCCTGGTTGGTCACTGGGATACGTACTTTCGATCCAAGAAATTCAGCAGATACATCACCACGAGGAATGGGAGGAGATGCATGTCGACCTTTCGGAGGAGCTTGCTGGTCATTTTCCGGTGCCATTCCGGGCTCTTCGAAACGTATGTCTGGTATATGACATCCTGTTCTGATTCTTGGACTTTCGGGGCGTTTTCGTGGTATTCAGTGAAGGTGTCTGGCTTGCACATCTTACTGGATTCTTGATAACTAGGATCAGAATTGTAGCAAATACTTCCAGCTATCGCAGTGGTCTTAAATATCGGGGCATGTCCGATGCCCCCCGCATTTGCGGAGGCGGGGCAAGCTCGGGGTAGTTCACCCCGGATCTACACAATGCCAAGAGCCATCTTGTCCAAATTTCACTATGTACCAATTTTACCAAAGCCCTCAAGCCCTGCATCTTCAGGACACGCAAGGTTTAAAAGTAAAAATAAATCAATGGACCCGAGCCTTGAGCCTGCACATCAGAGGCGGCTTCTCCCACAATGAATATGATTTCTGGTTGTACCAATCCAGACTCTCCTCACACAGCTCGATGTCAAAGTTCCATAACACTCGGGCAAGAATGACACGCATCTCTGCGTACGCCAGATTCCTACCAATGCAGTTCCGTGGGCCGACCGAGAACGGCTGCACAACGTCCCGGTTGTCATGGTAAAACGACGACGAAGGATCGTTCTTGGATTCTGGCAACCAACGTTCGGGTATAAATTTGTCGGGCTCATAGAAATTGAGTCTGGATAGGTAGGCTGCCGATTGGTGCACAGCGACCTTCGTCTGGAAGCTATCAGTATAGGATCAGGAGTACAAGAGGGTAACCCACATTCGGAGAAACCTGATAGCCGGATATGTCCATAGGCGTTATCGGTGTGACCCGCTGCAATCCACTAGGAATAGGAGGGTACATGCGGAAAGCCTCGTCAATGCATGCCAGCATGTACGGAAGATTAGCCGTGGCATTGTTGACGGTGATGTCTGCCTCGGTCTGCATGACCGACCGCACCTCCCTGGTAACCTTTTTCAGTGCCTCGGGATTTCGGCACAAGAAATATGTCAATCCAGAGAGGAGAGTGGCTGTGGTTTCGCTCCCGGCAATAATAATGATGCTCGCATTAGCCTCCAGCTCTTCATCAGTCAACCCGTCCTTTTCGCCTCGGTGTCGCAGCATCGACTCCATAAAGTCAGCTTGTCCACGGTCTCTTTGACCGTGCAGCCGTTTTTGCACAGTGATCCGGCTATGATTCTGCTGCCTCCGTCTCGCCTCTTTCAAGTGCTTTGGGATAAAGGGCGCAACGATACGAAAGACCAGCGGGTAGTAATCCTTGAGTTTGATGAAGGCTAAAGCTCGAATAAACTCGAAGATTGTTGTCACCCAGTGATGGTACTCGGATGAATCTAGGCCACCGAACGACTCTCCAAATGCAAGGTCGCCTATGAGATCGAACGTGGTGAGATTGTACCACTTCACCATATTGACAGACAGTTCTGACTCGGCTATATCGTGCAACCTCTTGATGAGCTTGTCGACATACCCGAGGAGGAACGGCTCCTGGGCTTGGAGACCTTTGGCAGAGAAGGCATGGGACATGGCCTTGCGGTATCGTGTGTGGTCGACATCGTTGGCGCTGATGATATCCTTTGGGTTGCTGGCTGAGCCTCTGACCTTTGGCATTTGTCGATGACCATGCCCGTAGATATCCTTCCATGCTTGGGCAGTGATGAAGGAGACCTCATCAGGGCCAAAACGAACGGCCTCGCCATATTTGTTGTGGAACGCTCGGATGTCTATGTCCAGTCTGCCACGGGCATTGGAGATGTAACGCAGGAGGGGAAAGGCTACCCATAGCTTAGGCCCAGGAATACGGTGAAGAGGATGCAGGTAGACGTTCCACAGCACGGCAAGGATATTGTACACAAGGTAAGATATCACGATAAGAGCGAAAATCGATGTCATGGTGAAGTGGATGCGCTTGCGTTGATGGAGATTCTAATGGCTGATCTGTCCGTATATAGAGCGATATTTAACTTTCTTCACCCTCGGTCTGTCCCACCTTGTGCGTAGCACTCTGCCGTCATTTTGCCGGGTCTGCGAGAGTCGCCAACACCATGAGAGGAGAAGCGGGGTAGTGTCGGAGATACGTTGCTGAGCTAGATCAAGCGATTGACGCTGCTACAAATTGAGTCGGTTTAGTACAGGGACAGGATCTTTCTCATCCCAACCATGCTGAATATTTGTGAGTGATGTCTCAAAGCGAGAGGTGCCTTCGAGCCCCTCGGCGTTCCCACCAAGAAGCACGTCAATATCAGCAGCTTGTGTGAGGTGTTCTGTGTAAGTTGGTGAGATGTTGCGTGCCGAAGGAAGGTGGAGGTGGTACTTCAGCAGACCACGCTTCATTGGATGCCCGCAGGTGCATGGGATCGGCAGGCCGGGTGTCGCAGCTCGACCGCGTAACCCTTCCAACCCAATCAGATGGATCCATTGGTAATGACAGGCAAGAAATAAAAAGTGGGTAGTATGCATGTCGGCATCGGAAACAGCCATGTCCGAATCGGATGCCGGAAGTTCCACGGGTCTGTCAAGTGTCAACCTGCACAGCCCCAGTAAACGGATGTTATTCACGTAGGGGCCATAGGTCTCCCTCCTATGGGTCCCCGGATAATGACTTTGGAGAAACAACAAGCTTCCGAGTTAATCGAAACCTTGCACCGATTGATCTCAGGTCACAAGGTTCTTATGGTGGACTGTTTGTCAGGCGCCCCATCGCACGGACCATCGAGTCTGCAGATGCCACCGAGCCAATCAGCATGCTGAACGCAACATGCTATTCCCTGTTTCATGATCAAGAAGATGCCTCTGAATCATAAATCAGGAGCTGCGGCCATTCCTGGCTCTGCCATAGACATCACCAACTCCGATCCAGGTGTCTGTAAATGGCTGTAGGGATTCTTCTCCTCCCTCATCAATCCTGTCTAGCGGCATCCCCAAATTATCTATCGCAACTTGGCAAATGTGGGTCTCCTCGCTTCCATTCTGCAATCGCATGTCCATGTTTACCATGAAGAGGGCGGGAATCACCTGACGAGATGAATATGGGAGTCAAGGGGGACAATTCGGTACACCAATCATTGCGGCGAGCCTGCCATCATTGATCCATGGAGAAATGGTTCCACTTAAGCATTCCATTTTCTGGACCAGGACAAACATGTTATACGCCTCATACAACGGATTGGAATCATCAGTGGGGTTGACGAGAAGCTGAAAGGCCCAGGCGCACATGGCCAGGATGCTGGAAAGGCAGAATGTTGCATCAAGATGATTCTGCTTCGTTGATGAGGGATTCCCGTTCCACCTTATCGCCTGCTTTGGACCCGAGATGTAGGGCAGAGAGCGCCAAGATGACATTCAATAGAAAAGGATGAGACATGGCATCTTTCGGCACTATATCTTGTAGGTCTCCGCTTAGGGAGGGCCTCGGCGGATCTGATCGTGAAGTGTAGGGAAGAATGCTCTGCAGGTCCTACGAGTAGTAGGAAGGTGATGTGAATGATCAGATCCTGCCTACCTGATCGGGAAGAGCTTAGTCCGTAGAACGCATATAAATACTCCCTTGATCCCCTGGGTCAGGTGTAGCTAGAGACAAGCATTTAAAATGGAGTAGTAACCATCTTCCTGGGCTATTTATACTTACATGTCTTGCCAGATCCATGCAACATGGTCAATTCTGGATGCTGACAGATAGGTCGAGGCATGCCAGTGGGAGAGCAACATTGATTCAGCATCCTCGACATGCACGGTGGCCAGGAAGGTATGGTGAGCTTGTTGTCACCTGGAACGTGAGGATGCAGATCTCATAGACGATGCTTCCACAGAAAGCGCCCAGATGCGGCATACTGGCAATCAGCAGTCTTGAAGGCACAGTTCAATCACTTTGGCCTCGTTTTGACACACTAGGGCCAACTACATTTAGGCCATCCTCGTCTGGTCTAGAGCAATGAAAGCTCACTTTCAGACTTCTTCGCTTGCACAGGAAAAAGCCAAGATGTGAGCTCTGGCTGCTTCCATATTCAGTGTCATACACTGAGTCAGTGGTCATTCTCGTGATCAACCGCGTACCACTACAGGAAATCCCGGGTGGAATAACACTTCTCCGGGCTGCTGGTGCACGTGCCTTTGCTTACTCAGTCAGGCCCATCACGCCAGTCCCGATGCGGTCTTTATTTGCGATTGTTACCGTCAGTTGTATCAATACGGGACTCTCTTGCCAAGTGAATGATCAATTCTTCATCATTCTTCCTAGAGAGCCTGGGTCAATCAAAAACTTCTTTCCTCGTTGAAACTATTCTCTGCCGTTCACCAATATGTCTTCTGCTCTCTTTTCAACTCCAAAACACCTTCGTTTCTGTTATCACCATGTCTAGGCTATCGTCTACATATTCTCGAGTGGCCGTGTTTCTAGTCCGAGCTTTGGCTAAACACCGAGGACGCATCGCCTCAAATCCAGATGAAGTACTCTACATTAAATCCAGAGACTGCCACAGATCAATCAAAGTACATATCTACCAACCCCTCGCCAAACTCCCGGAAAAGCCATCTCCCGTGTTGATCAACTTTCACGGTAGTGGGTTCGTGATACCTTTCCACGGCAGCGACGATGCTTTCTGTTGTCAAATCAGCAACCAAACATGCTACACGGTCCTTGACGTCCAATACCGTCTGGCTCCCGAACACCCTTTCCCCGCCGCCATAAATGATGCCGAAGATATCGTCAACTGGGTACTAGGACGACCGACTGAGTTCGATATCTCGCGGGTTGCCATCTCCGGCTTCAGTGCCGGCGGTAACATCGCCTTGGCTACTGCTTCTACTATTTTCCCCAAGCAAACGTTTTCTTCGGTCTTGGCTTTCTACCCGATCGTTGAAGCTTTCGTGGACCCCGATGCCCTAGTTGCCCCCGATCCGAACGGTCGACCTATCCCCTCATTCATCATGCGGTTATTCACCCAGTGCTATGTGCCTCCCGGGTTTGATCCTCGCGATCCTCGGATTTCGCCTGGTCGTGCCAATCTGGACTGCTTTCCTCAACGTGTGATGATCATAACCGCTGCCTGTGATAGCCTGGCGGTTGAGGCCGAGAATCTGGCTGCTCGACTGCGGGATTCATCGGGACGGAAAGTTGTGTGTGAGCGGATGAAGAAGTGCAATCATGCATGGGACAAGGCGGTTCGACCTCGAACGTATGAAAGGGAGGCTACAGAGCATGTGTATGCCCTGGCGAAGGCTATGTTGGAGTCTTGAACTTATTTCATGGCTGGTATCGTCTTAGACTGTTTTGAACTCTTGGGGCGGGAAAGTGCCAGGCTCTGACTTAATGATCCCACCAGAGAGAGAGTTGTTACCTCAGCTCTCCGGCTAAAGAGCAGAGTTCTAAGCTCGACAGTCTAAAAAGCGCATCACTTATTTCTGGAAAGAATCTGCAGTGTGAATCTATGAGTTTGCATTATCAAGGATTGGGGTCTTTTCTTTCTGATATGTACCAGTCCAACGCTACTAGCACGTCATTAAGTGGCACCTATAAAGCTTTCTTCTATACTTCTATGTAATTTATTCAATACGGACAAATTCGATCCAAGGCTTACTCACCATCCATCCAATAGCCTCTGCCAAATCCGGCAAAGAGTAAGCACTTAGATATCTTCCCGATTGCCAAATCACCAATCAGCCTATGAACGAATCAAGATGAGTCAATCCCATCCCCATAATAAACTCCTTCACACCCAAACACAAAAGCAACCGTGTTCACTAGACCGTTCATATCCCCCCGGCACCCCTCACCATTCACCCCATCCCAACATCCACCACAACCCTACACCAACCAACAATGCCCCTCAAATCCACCTTCACCATCTCCCCAGTCCCCGCAACCCAAGAAGCCAGCCGCCACCTCAACTCTATCGAACGCTCCGCCATCCACCAAAGCAACGACACCTCCTTCGTCCGCCTGATGTGGAACAATTCACCCCCCGACGAGAACGAAGACGCCGAATTCATGCTGCAAACAGGCTTGCTTGGACAGTTCAGCCAGGTGGAGTTGGATCCCGATCCTGACCCCCTGGAGGACCCCGACCGATGCCATGAACACACAGGCCTAAGGGCATTGGGGATAGACGCTGAAGACGCTGGGTAGAGGCCTCAATCACGCCCTGGTTGAGTCGCCAGGGCATACACGCATACCAGTATAGCAACACGCAGGTTGGAACCAGGAATGAGAAGCGGAGAGCGGAGTATGGACTCGCAGGCAACTGGTCATTAGTTGCACATTAAAAGTGCCTATTTAGTTGTGTTTTGCTGCGTTATCGACTTCTTCCTATACGCGTGGCTTTGATGTTATTCTTTCACTGCGAGATTTGGGATTTGTGGGATTTGACAGACGTTCTGGCTTCATATTCCTGCTTCAACGGGAAGCACTTACATAGCTAGCATCACATATAGCGGGCTCCATTAGGCTAATAGAATAGGACTTGACTTGACTTGACGAGAACGAAGATGAAGAGGCAGGCAATGAAGACCCCTTCCACGCCATCGACATGCTCTTCAACCCCGCCAACAAATACACCTGGATTATCGAGTCCTCTACCGGGAACGCGGTAGCGTATGGCTGGTGGCAACATGCGAAAGGCAAGACGGAGGAGGAACGGGCAGCTACATACGCGAATCGGTATCGACCCGAGGGGATGAATAAGGCGTTGATGGATGTGACGAGTGGGGCGAGGTTCTTGAAGAGGGCGAAGTTGTTGAATACGCGAGATACGCTAAGTATGCTTTCCTGTGAGAGGGGGGAGGGGGGATGTTAGGGTTTGCGGCTGATGTGTTGTTGTGTGGCAGTTTTGAAGGAGTTGTATGTGCGGCCGGAGTTTCAGAGGCAGGGGCTGGGGGGTGGAGGAGGCAGATCGATTGGGGTTGCAGGCGTATACGGAGGCGTCGAAGGATGGGTATGGGTTGTATGTGAAGTATGGGTTTGAGGAGGTGGATCGGGTGACGGTGGATTTGGAGCCGTGGGGTGGGAGGCCGGGTGAGTTGAACTCGTATGGCTTGTTGATGCGGGCAGCGCGGAACTGAGTGGGGCTATATGGGTATTGTAGACTGTTTTTACTTACAGCTTATGTTTAACTACCGAAAAGGATAAGATGTACGGATGATTACTTTAAATATAAGGGAGCCATATGACATGCCATGGTGGGATTAATCTTAGCTCGAGACAAGCTTCAACCAAGCTCATCCTGCAATGCATGATCTATCACAGTCTCAGAAACCTCTGAGCGTGTAGATCCATTGTCCGCTTAATTGACGATCCTATGCAGGATTCTTGTTGTGGTGCTCATCTACTTCCCAGCTTGGTAAGGATAAGCAGATCACTGCATCTAACCTAATACGTCAACCTATCAAGAGGACTTTGCCCATTACCATTCTATATTTTTAGGTAGGCGCATCAAATACTATCCACTTATTGTATGCCTCATATGCACCCTCTCCTTCTAAACATACTTCTATTGGTCGCGAATACGAGAGGGACGCCTGATGTCTCAAAAGCCTACTAACAACATCCCGCATACTTAGCAGTTGATTACATTGAACACTCTCCGCTTATCTGTACGGCCTTAAAAAAGCAAAATGAGCATAGCTCTACCCATCCAACACATAAATCTACTCTCACCTCGGAGTCTAAGAATCGGCGACCGTGTATATATAAACCTATTCCACCCCTCCTCGTCAACATCTCTCTCATCCCTCCCATTCCCTTCACCTAACCAGCCCTAATTTACTCCGGCACTCACAATCACCATGAAATCCCTCCACTTCCTCCTCCCCCTAACCCTCTACACCACCACAGCCTTATCCCAAGGGATCTACATCAACTCCCCCGCCCCCGGCTCCCAACTATCAGCCGGATCCAGCATAACCGTCCAAGTAGCTCGCTACGTACGCCTCCTCCACCCACCCACCACCCCCACCTTCCTCCTCCTTTTAAATTTCTTGATTAACAAAAATAGGACTTCATCCAATCCGTCGCCGAAATCGGCCTCGGAATCGGTTTCTCCTCCTGCACCAACGGATGTCCCGATCCCACTGCTTCCCTGGGAACTCTGGGCTATAGTGGTGGTTATGACCCCGAGTTCGGGCCTGGGATTCATGATCAGTATGAGAACTTTACTATGACGGTGCCGGAGACCACGGGGCCGGCACAGATTGGTGTAGTGAGGGCGTTTTTGGTGGGGGTGAGTTGTCCTTTCTTTGCTTTTGACTGGGGAGTGTGGTTTGCTGACTGTGGATAGTTGGGGTATGAGACGACGATTGGGAGTGCGGTGGCGAATGTTACGATTGTTTGAGGATAGATTGGTTGAATGTTGATGAACCTATGGATTATGGTATGTAGAGTGGGGATGTATGGAGATAGGGCGATGCGGGCATAATTAAACAGCAAGATGGTAGAGAAGTTGCATTTGTACTTCGTTCAATATAACCCCCCATGCCGACTAGTCAGTTAACCCTTAAACCCATAACCCCATCCAATAAACTACTCACCCCCCCCCTAGAACTAAACACAACCCCAAAATCCCCCAAATGCGCAACATGACAATCCCTCGTCTCATTCAAAAACCTCTCCCCATCCTCCCCCTCCGCCAACTTCACCTCAAACCTCTTAAACAACCTCGCCAAAACAACCCTCATTTCTATATACGCCAACCCTTTCCCAACACACGTATACGCGCCGCCCGCAAACGGCAAAAACGCATGTCTGTTGATCGTCCACTCGGGTTTCTCGTCCGTCCAGCGCTCGGGAATGAATTCGTCTGGGTGGTGATAGTATCGTGGATCGCGCTGGACAGGGAGCACAGGGACACTGATGATTGTGTTTCCCGGGATGAATGTGCTGGTGTTTTTTGCCGTGGGGAGATGAATTCCCTCTGGGGGAGTGAGACGGGGGATTCCCCCCTGCACGGGGGGTTGGATGCGGAGGGCTTCGGTGATGCAGGCGTTGAGGTAGGGGAGGGTGGAGATGGAGCGGTAGTATTCTTCTTCGTCGGTGGTAATGGTGTCTAGTTCGGTTTGGAGTTTGCGTTGGAGGGTAGGGTTACGGGCGAGGTGGAAGATGACTGTTGTCATTGTTGTGGAGGTTGTGTCGCTGATAATCATTAGCTGGGAGTAAGGTATGGGGTGAAGGTACGTACCCCCCAGCGATGACGAGTAACTCGCCCTCGCTGTACAATGCAGCCTTGGATAATTTGAGCATCGAAGGGAGCATTCTACTCATCGCATCAGATTCTTCCCCTGGCTGCTGCCGTTTCTCTTGAATGCGATCCTGGATCCAGGTTCCATAAGGACGAAGAGGACCATCAGCCCCAGGCAGACTAATCAGCAGACTCATGAGCCAGGGCATTTGGGCGATGATTTGCTGGCCCGCGGTGACGGCTTTGACGAAATGCAGATTCGGGTTGAGTTTCCAGTTCTCGATATTGTTGAAAGAGTGACCCCAGCCAATTACCCCCATGAGATCGTAACTGACGAGTTGCATGGTATCTGGGCCGGAGAGGGTCTGGCCGATGCGATTGCTTAGAGCGTCTAGGAATTTGTCTGTTGTTTGGATGACCATTGGTTGGTAGGCTTTCAATGCTGGGGTCAGTTAGTCAAGATATCCAGCTATGAAGGGGGACTAGCACTGTTTGCAAACCTCTAATATTAAATGCCTTATCCCAAAGAGCCTTCCGCCGTTGCGAGTGAGCAGCTGGATCGCGCATGTGGAAAACAGCATAATCGTCTGTCAAATCACCAGAGCCTTTGAGACGATCATACCACGGGGCACGTGTGCATCGACTAGAGGGACCATAGATTGCATCGATGGATTCGGCAGACAGAACGCTTAGTTCTTGGGGACCCGTGCGGACAATATCTCCGTACTGCTTGTGCAGGTTCCAGACGCGTTCAAAGTCGCGGTCGTTTTCGACATTCTGGTATGCGGCCACGAACTTGGACAATTTGAGAGAAAACGGGCCTGGGAATTTGTGCAGACGGTGGAAGAAGGCCCTATAGATGAGAACTGATGTAAAAAGGGGTATGTAGAAGCAGACATTCAGCACAGAAACGGTGCCGATACCGAAGAGCCAGGCACTGCTGCTCAACCATGATCCTTGATTGTGGATTGTGGTCAGCAGGACTGCAGTATTCACAACAAATGTAGAGTACAGGCAGAGACGAGCTGCCTTGTTCCCACGCTCGCCATGGACCCAGTAGAACAGGTGTGCACTAACACCCGCTAATGCTAGAAGGGGGCCTTTGTGCTTGACGAGCTCGAGAAGATCAGCTGATGACGCCATTTTTCTGCTCCCGCACCAGTATATTTCTTTTCCCTGGGGCTCTTAGGAGGGATTAAATATGTGAACGACTATAGTAAGCACTAGTCATTGACCAATGAGGGCTAGCCTATTCGAGGTGATCATGAGGCTGAGAGCCAACTGTCGATACGATGATTATAATCAGTGCAGGATCTGATTGGCTGGTTCGGCAAATTGTCATGGTTCTAAGCCTCCAACTCAAACCATTGTCAGCCAGCCATTGGCTGTTATCGAAGCGTTGCAGTTAATATTATATCTTCTTTCAGCCAAACCAACAACGTACTGCGCCTCAAGAAAGGTTCAATCTAATGACTAGCAGAATCTTACCTCTGTAAGTTTCTCTCGATGAGGGCGACGTAGGGATCATTTGGAAGGCACCTGGCCGGCTATAATTATCGAAAGCATACACACGGGTGTCCGCGATCCCATACTTCCCACTCCATTTTCTATCAGCCTAATAGATAGCTACCGTGAGACAAGCGGATAAGTCAAGGGTCCGCATGAAGGGCTGGCCAAGAGACATTGCGTCAATGGCTACCTCTACTGAAGAAACACTCGGCAAGAGACTAAGGTCAATACTCATCTACGAGGAAAGCACCAAGTGTGTTCTGATTGACTGGAACAGAACGGGAACAGTCGTATGTCCAAATGGTCAATCTACGGATCATGTGAGAGCGTGCATGATCTGCATTAGATGTATATGTATATAATTCGCAATCCTGGCCTACATTGGTCATCGACAACTCGGAAAGGGCCTGCTAAAGAGACATACTAATCGACGATATTGTAATCATCATCATCATCCTCATCATGCTCCCCCCCCTCATCATCAGCATCAGCATCTTCATAATACCCCTCATATTCATCCACCGTGCAAGCACGCCTCCCATAGACCAGGTCCGCCAACTCAGCATCCCCAAACACAAAGGCATCATCCTGACCCCTCTGCGGCTCGTCCAAACACACCTCCGCGAATTCCAAGACCAATGGACCCCCTATCACCTCCACTCGACCACCCCTAGCCCGCCCAACCACAACAGTCTGATCCCGTTCAGCGACGACCTTCACTTTCGGCCCGCCTGTACCAGAAGGCCCATACTCATGAACCTCCTCAGGGACCCATTTCTCGAACCTGACAGTCCCATTAGGCTGTTCTATCAAGAGGATGAAGATCCGCACGTCACCCGAAGAATCAACTAGCCAGGACTCGGCATCCTTCTGCAAGCGTGCGAGGTTTTCTGTCTTGCCTGTCTCCAATACCACAGTCGGCCATTTCTTGGATCGACCCTCCGGGACGCTCCCCGGGTAAAATCGCGTGTCAGGCCCTTCCGATGTCATCGGTGGTGCGCTGCGATTTTTGGAGAAGAAGTCGAAACCGCCCCGGAGTTTGAGGTTCGTTGCACGTTCTATCAGCAGAGATTGCATCGCTTTGGCGAGGTTCCTGCGAGGGGTAACGGGGTTCGAATGCAGGGGGGTTTGGGTGGTGGATTTGGAGGGCATTTTGAGGTTGGTTTCTGGCTTGGGTTAGGATTGCTTGGGATGCTCCTCAGCGTGATGGTGTACTGACCTTGGGTTATAAGGGATGGTGGTGTAAAAGGAAGCGGCTACTTGGTGAAAGGTATGAACGCTGATGCATATTGAGCGAGGGGGGGGGGTTGCAACAGGCTTTTTATGTACGGGCTGTGGCCATATTGAGGAAAGTTGCCTATATCTGCTTAGATTTGACTCTATCATAAAGGACATGCTGGGGAGATTTCTCTTTGTCTCCTCTCCAGATAGACGCAATATATCGTTGTTAGCCAACTGGTCAGAGCTTACCCTTGGAGCTTCACTTTGAGGGAATCCATGCATCTGATTATCTCTTGACGGTACTTACCGCTATGGCCATAATTGCAATTCATATGAAGGAAGGTGCATACAAATGCTTTGTCTCGGTGAGACATGATGGAGATTGAGGATTAATTCACAATCCTTTGTGATACCCATTCGTATTCCTTGAGACCCAAGTGCCGAGGTTCTTGCCGTCGCTGACAATGAATAACGCAGCAACCTACGGAACAACCCGCATGAATACCTAGGTGAACCATGGGGATTGTTCCGAAAAAAGGCCTTGGTAAATTCAATAGCACGTTATCAGGCGGCATACAACAAAGCAATCTAAGCAAATTGTCATTTTTTTCGCCTCAAAGAATTAGTCACAAGGTTCAGTATCTCGGAAAATAAGCATTGTCAGGAATATAAGGATGCCTTCTACCTATAGCTCACGAGGAAAGAAAAATGATCCGTATCAAACAGTGACTACAATATCAGTGAAGGCAAGACCTCCCTTTGACACCAGACATCTTCTGATTAGTGATATACCTCCTTGATTTCACGCGTCACCTCTCTGAACACTGTTCTAGAAATGAGCGTTACCCCAAGTCAGGAGCAATTCTCTCACCCTCAGAACTTTCCACAGCATGGAGGATCCTACTGTCATAGTACCCGCAATCGGATATCCAGTGGCGTTTTTCGACGGGGCGTATTACAAAGACTATGTCCAGAAGAAAAGTCGCAATGAAATAAAAGGTGCATGGGAAGCAGAGGCTCAGAAGGAAACGACAGAGATGGCTCGGGCCACTGGCGACAGACTTTCGTCGCCTTGTGAGACTTGCTTATCGCCGGATCATTCGAAGCAGGACAGCTCTACCCTGGTTGACTCTGAGCAGGACTCCCTTGACAACGTCAACTGGCCTGAAGGCGAGTCAGAATCAAAGCTTCAATCCTTGGCCCCTCAGGCTTCTGCAGAGCAGGAAGGCTCCGCGCCCACGCGAGCAGGTGAAAAGCGCCGGTACTCTGGTACGCGGGCTCAGTCAGAACCGCCGTTGAAGAAGACTTCTGGGCTTTCTTCCCCATCCAGAGATGAAAACGCCAAGTCAGTCATTGATGTGGCGAAAAAGGGAAATGGGGTGGACCCGAGCCGCTATTGGAAGGCGGAGGTAATCTTGACATCAAGAGAAGAGGAAGAACCGGAGGCGGAGAAGCATCAGGATTTTCGAGATGGTACGTGGCTGTGGGCATAATTACCATCTGCATTGCATCCCGCTTCTAGGATACCTATGAGCAGGATTGTCCAGAGTTTTCTTGCGTCAAAGATAGTCTCTGAGTCAGAGTTGCAGGTAGTATCACCCTATGGTGACAAAGGATGGACGGTGAAGACTCCCTCTTTTGAAGTTGCGCGAAGGTTCAGGAGTATTCGTTATATCAAAGTTCATGGATATGAGGTTCCAGTCTCTGTCATGAAACCCGCAGATCCACGGGTTTTTATGACTGACCACTTCGGGCTTCAGGGTCCCAAGGTATTGATGGACGCTCTCCTCCGGGTTCGAGAGATCCAGCGATGTGGCATCCCGTTTTGGGTTGGGATACAGAAGAACGGTGAGATCCTGGGGACTCGGGCTCTGATTGTGTTTGAGGAAGACCCGGGGTTCGAGTCCTTCGATATTCCAGTTACAGGTCCTAATCACGGCCTGGAAAGTGGATTCAGTGCCAAGTTTAGACAGGCGTATCTATATGGCACTATGTGTGATGTTTGTATGTTGAAGCATTCGGACCGCACGGTGGTTCAATGTCCTGAGCTGCAGACATTGACCCCGTCTGCTGATATGGACCTAGGGCGTTGTGTTATTTTGTCATCTGCCCCAGATGTCTCGTGATGTATCTAATGTGAAATTTCCATTTCATTCCTTTCAGTATTCAACTCGACTTGTCGAGAACATAGATTAGTGTAATACGATTTGAATCGTAGCCACCCCCTCCACTGCAGTTGAGGGTAGCCCGTCGGGCAATATCGCTTTGCAGGGCGAATAGAGTACTACGCCATGTATGGTGGTTTATCGCATGCTACGTAGGTCTGGAGTAGTTAGTGACAGAATTCACCAACTAGACCAAAAGAGATACCTCTTAGGTTAGTGGAACAATTCCAAGGTGAATAGGTTCCAACAGTTAGTCCAATCATAATCGCTGCATGGCCTGTTCCGATTCAACGGACCTGGACGGGCACCAGCAAAAGCGATGGAACAGTTAGGAAAGGCAGCTCAGGACCGTCGGAGAGAAGCAGCATCTAAACGTGCCACCAACGCATTGGTCAGAGGCCAGCGCAATGCCAAAAGCACTGGAGACACCACCAGCACCAAATGAGGCTCATCTGTTCGACTCCGATGCTTCAGATGCTTCCGCAAATGCCTGACGCAGTTGACTTTCATAAACCTCTTTTTCCAGTTTCTTCTTGGCAAGAAATCCCGTGACGTCCGGGCTCCAATACGGTGCTATAGTTCGTTCGAACTCGGCCATCCCGGGATCATCGAGCTTTGCAAATATGGGCTGAATGTGGTCCAAGAATATGTTATATAAGCCTTTAGGGTTGTCGAGTGCGTGAAAAAACCAAAAGCTTCCAGTCTCCCAGCCTTTCCTCAATATGTGCGACAGGTTCAAGGCTTTGCCTCTTTTGAGCGATCTTTCTTCTTCTTCAAAGGCATCCATGAATTCACTGTGCATGTCGCTGAAGGCATCAAGATGTTCCCCCTTCTCTAACTGGTCCACACCCCGACCGGTGAGCCAATATGGTGGATGTAGCATCTCCAATGGGCGGGCGCATGTCCACTCTAGGTCGACAAGATACTTGATGTTCCAGTCACTATCGACAAAGATATTGCTCTGATGTAAATCCGTAAGGGTTAGGACGAATGGGCCTCGACGGAGATCACGATTCGTGAAGTGTGGAAGAAGGGCCCGCATGATGGTCAAAATCGACAGCTGTGCTTGGCCATCAAATTCATCCCGAACAGAATTCGGCGCATGGCGCAAGCGACTATCATGACAAACCAAGAGATCGAGCAAGTACGCATCTGTGGTGGAATATGTAAGATCTCTGCCAATACTTGTCGGGATGGACTCGTTCTCTAAATGTTGGAGGCGCAGCGTGAGAGGGCGATTCGTCAATTTGATCACACCGTTATTGTCTAGTGTTAGAGACCCAATTTGCGTGAACGGTATCTGGGCTAGTGATAGTATGATGCGAGACAAGCCTTTGAAAAGGTTGTCTCTTCGTCGCGTGTCATGCCGAAGTGCCTCCCATGATTCGGAAAGCATGACCCCTTCTGTAGATTCAACGTAATCCATTATCAAATACCCAGTCCGTAAACTCACAGGAGCGCGGCGACTGACATATCGACCTGGAGACAAGCATCCAAAGATGGATGACAGGAGTCGACGACTATACCATATCAGTCGAGGGAAGAGTGGGATATGTTCGATCGCGGTGAACTGCAGTCAGAGGAAGAGTTAGAGCATCCAAGATGAAGCCTTAAGAATACCCACATGGTGGCCACCAGCAAACCCGAAACCCCATAGATGAGGTATTGGAATGGATGGACAGTTCTCCTGGATACATATGAACGTTGCAGCCTCGCAGCGAAGCTTCTCCTCCGCGTTCCCGGGGTGTTGTAACTCTCCAACTCTGTAAGGCAACGGAAACCTGATCAGTACACGTTTGGGAGCATTTCTGGACCAGCCTTCAATGTATACTGGTATGCAGACGTTGAAGCTTCCCGATATCCACTCTTTGACTTCTCCGATCCGGCATGTCTGTCTTCCCTACAGCCCGAGATGATACGATACGATAGCTTCGATGGCACTCCGATTAGTGAGAAGATAGGTAAAGAACTGAATTCGTTGCTCGGGGTATTGTAGCTCTTGCAGGATATTGTCGTCGTCGTCCAGGGCCGAGGCCAATGTAATCTGCCTGTGGAGAAGGGGGAGCGTTGGGGGCATTCTGCGGGCCGACCGTGACTAGCGCTCGTTGCATCCTATGCTCGGAAGATATTGACCTGATGGTAGATATAGAAGAGGAAGTCCTTACGGTCTCTGGCGTCATCGAAGCGCAGTCATAGCTGGGTAAGTGTAGATATTTGCCTGTGGAGAAGCAGGAGTGACAACAATCCGTCCAGCAATTTCCCCGGATCGCTCCCGGCGCTAAACGGAATGTCACATGCAAGTGGAGCATTGCTTACTAAGTTACTCTATGTCAAGATTTGTACATGCATAACCTCTTGCTTTATTGCCAACAGGAAAATCACATCCGTATGGTTTCACATATATCAACTTACACCCGGCCTGATGCTAATTTGGATTATATGATATCTAAGCTACATATCTAGACTACTTCGAAGATCGCAAAACCACAACACCATAGACAACATAATTATACACCTGATCCTCTACCAGATACCTGAACCGCTCAACATTTATAACAGTCCCTATATTCGAAACATGGGTTTTTTAGACACCTATATAATGTGACCCGTCTCATTACGATGGTGACAATAGAAACACGCCAAGAAATTCAAATATATAACCGAACAACCATCACGTTCGAGGCACTCTGCCATCTAGAACTTGTTGACTCCCTTGCTGACCAGCGTAGGTGAGCTCCGCATTGACGGTGGTTATTAGATAACTAACCTTTCCCCATCGACACGAGCCGAGTACAGCCATTGACATGAGCACCATTATGGTGTGGATAGAGACAAAGATAAGTCACATCAGGTGGACGTGATAAGGTAGCCGTTTCTTGTAAAGATATTAGGAAATGAAACCGATACTAAAGATTATGAATGCCTTATATTGGGTATGGAACCAGAAAGCCACGGTATGTGGGTTATCGCGCAGATTCACGCTTGCAACGCCCATCCGTGTGGCTGCCGTACCCTTCCTCCAGGTATCATAACCTGGTAGCAATCGCATTAGATCGTCCCAGTGCAGATCTGCCGCGGACGGGGTAATGAACACTTCAGGGTCACATCCCGAACGTGTGCCTCCAGTTGCCGACGACGTCGAGTATCAAGCAGTTTTGCTCAGTGTGCCAGGATGCAGACTGAGGGGGATTTTCCGAGCAGTATTCTCATTGAACCCACCCAAACGTGATAAAGTTCAGGCTCAATGGTATCCCAGCAATAGTAGAGATATCGTCATTGAAGATGGTCCGATAAATGTCGAGTTTATGCGCCACTTGACCGGAATAGAAGACTGCAGTGTATTCGAAAGTACGGAAAGCTGGATGTCGAAAGCTTTCAGCGGTATTTTGGGGAAAGGTAGCAGCTCCCGTTTGCCAAGTATGAGTGAAAGTGCTAATAATCCTGTCATGACTTCTCCTGTGGTTTACCCTCGCTGCAGCGCTGCAGGCATGTTCCACTTCTTTCGAGTGATGGGTGGTCTACTTTGACATATATCTGGCTTCCACAGGTTTGTAGTTCTTATCGAGAACAGCGACCGTTCTTAATGAATGCTTGTGCCGTGACAGCTTTTATAGCCATGCTCATCCCTAATTTACATGCTGTTGTTCTACCATCGCTATGTTTCTGGCCTCTTAGTATGTGGCTCCTCATACTTAACCACCAGGGTAGCTTGTGGCTCATGGTATCGAGCTGACTCCTCCCTTCGTAATGGGCCCACGCATCCCATACTTCCTTGCATCGTTCGTGCCCATGACCGAGATCACTGCATACATATCTTCTGCGTAGTGCTGAGGGTAGTGGGATTCCCTGACCTAGTGGCGAGACCGGTGAGAGTTGGTTATATAACCACTCCCGGACCAGTCAGTATGGAGGAATCAATCAGTCCGCGCCATCGTCATCCCCTTGAAAATGGGAGCTCAAATTAAAGTTCTGTTTATAAATAGACCAAAAACCCGCGTGGTGCTTATTGCAAAAGGCGTCATACCGTCGTTTATCGTAGATGTCCCAGAACTCGGTCTTGGTATACTATGCGCAGGCATATAGCCTTTTCTTGCGGCGAAGAACACGAGCTATTTGCTCTTGGATCTCAGTCATGATATTTTCCAAAAGCCATCATACCGTCGTCTATCTTAGATGTCCCAGAGCCCGGCCTTGGTGTAATATGCGCAAACGTATAGCTATATCTTGCCGCCTAGGACACGCCATTTTTGCTTAGGCCCCGTGCCTGGTTGATGAAATCCGGGCTCATCTGTAGTGACATCATGCCATGGTACGTGTAATAGGGCTATGTATTCAGCGACCCAGAGATGGTCAGGACGATCGAGGCCAGGTCAGGCACAACTCGAGTTTTCCGCCAGGGGGAGCGAGATGGCGTGGGATTGAATCATGATGGAGGACAATAATGCCATTGTGCTTCAGAGTAGATCCCGCCGTGCAACCATGGGCGACCAGACACTTATCCAATTGGGTTAAGCGCAGGCATATAGCCATTTCCTGCTGCCAAGAACAGAATATCTTCGCTTAGGCGCTGCGCCGGGTTGATTCTGTAGTGACATGTCATGGCTGTGTATTCAGCGGTCCTAATAAATGACCCAACTAAGGGAACCCGGTTGATGGAGTTCCATCTCGAATCAATATGTTCGTCGCTGGGCTAGGTAGACGTACTGAAATTCAGCGGACAGTTGTCAAAGCCCCGAGCTGATCCAATGTATATACAATGTGACTTGCCCTGGAGCTTCTTCTCGTAGAGTATCCCGGGACATTCTCCAGAGTTTTTGGTGTCATCAGCGGATGTTTGTTGCATCAGAACAATAGTCAGAGTTGGTGCAACTCAGACCTCAAACTCAATAAAATCTGTTCCTGAATCAAAAGTCGCCGGACAAATAATCCACGAGAGACCCATCACCAAGACACCATTTTTCCTGACAACGAATGAAGCTCTGACTGGGGTTATATAACGACCGTTGCATCATGGGCAAGGCTTCATGCAAGACTCTCGATATCAACGCAATAACCACCGAGGTATTCAGCCAACGCGGACAAGGGACCATGTCGTGGATCCATGCAGCACCAGGGTCGACTGTCGATTGATGACTTGATCCGACAGATACCAGTTGGAGACCGCTCCATAAGACGACGATTCACCCTGACAAGTGTTGCCGTTCAACGTCACGAGACCAATATACTTTAGATCGCATGGGTTTGGAAGGTCGTGCGGTGTATACAGCATTCTATTCTTTTGCGGTTGCTGGGACTTCTTCCTGTGCTGCTGTTTGTTACCCGTTCACAGAAGCTCCCTGGGGGTGGCAGCTGTCTTTTGCATGTACGATCCCATTGATTCCGGATCATTATTGCTGGATGAGTAGAAGAGCGAGTACGAAGCATGCAGCAGCAGAGTGTAGTTGGTTTGCGCATGTATCTCCACTCGGTCTGGTCACACCCTCAATCCCCAGAGTTCATGCATCCCCTCTAACCAAGGTTGCTTGAAGAACTCTGATGTCGCAAGGTATCCCTCTGAGGGGAATATTCAACTCATGGTGATCAAAGTCGACGTGAAGCTGTAGTAAACCACTCTCATGCCCGTCTCTAACCCCACCAGCCGATCTTCGAGTAAAGTCACACAGAACCCCCGATGTAACTGATCCAGGGAGCTTCATCCGCGTCAAGAGGCGGCAATTGCGAGACACCCATATGGAAAGAGATATCAGTACCTGGTATCTTGGACGAGCATCCGGGCTCATAACCTGTTGAGCCTGTGTGGGAACACGTGTATGGGAACACGCGTATGAGGATGCAAATCACTTGGTTCTTCCATTTGCCAGAATCGCGGTGGCGTTTTTCTGAATGAGATACGTCATATAGTGACTTGGGTTGTGAAAGGATGCTCTGGAAGAGGGACACCAAACATCGCAAGCTGGCTGCACTTCCGATGAAAACGCCCTATCATCCTGGACCTTGCGCAGTGTATATAATGGGAATTTCGAAGTGACGGGAAAGAACAGAGCCGGCCCTGGCGTTTTGTGCAGCTTGTGGTGTGGGTATAGCATCATGGAATGCCTGTTTTCGGCCTTTGCGAGAAGCGATCGTTGGTTTGGCAGGCGTGCTGGATAGGTAAGAAGGGGTGCGGAGAATGTTGAGTGAATTGATCAGTGTCAGCATTTGAAACAGAATTTGAAAGAGTTGTGGGCTGGTCAGAGGATGAAGAGGAATCGGCGAGGAACACGAGGGCTTTATATATGGGTCTGGTCCGAATCTCGGAAATTACCTTCAGACAGCTTCCAGGGCAGATGCCACATACAGTCACTTGCAGCGGAGGCAGGCGACGGGTTTTGCTCAAGTCTGTTCCGTGAATCAAGGGGGAGATGCCACTCAATAGAATTAGATGATTAGGCTAGAGCAGATGTGAATCTTCCTCTGGTGGTCTTGATTCTGACAAGGTACAGCTTAATACCAAGAGTAGGTCGATAATGGAAATATATACCGCGCTGATCAGAATTTCCACAGGAGATGAGATCGATCACAAATGAATTCCATTTTGCCCCTGGTACCGTAAATGATCCAGTCATAATATTTCTCTTAGAAAGTCATTCACTCCAAAACAGAGATAGATATTACCATCTGCGTGAATATACACACCATGAATGGAACCCCACACGGGATGTAACACGAACCAACACATGACCATACAAACAGTAACACACCTTGACAATACAACCATCTCCCAAACCGCCACCAAAAAATCCCATCTACATCCATCATATAACTGACATACATAAGGCGATGCTTCCAGTCAAATCACAACAACCGCCCTTATAGCTCAGTGGTAGAGCGCTTGACTTGTATAGCCTACTGTTATCAAGAGGTCCGTGGTTCAATCCCGCGTGGGGGCACTCTTTTTTTCCCCAACAACAACACACCCACCACCCTTTCTTGCTGAATTATCTCAATGCTGTACTCAGACAATTAACATCCCTCTTCATTGGAAAAGCATCTAACCTCCAATTGCCACATCACCCCTAACCGAACAACCTCACTGTCACAACTCACCAGATCCACTCCCCTCGGACCGTTCCGTGCTCTACCAGCCCTGACTCAATTCAATACAGCATGTACCGCTTGCTGGTTTCTTCCAGCCCCACAAGAACAAACAAACAACTGTCATACTCACTAGCGCACACCAAAGTGAAGCTCCACCGTAATGAGGCTGTGAGTAGCACCCACCACTTGAACAGGGACCTGTTTTTCCAACACCGGTCTGACACCCTCGCACTAATTTCTGACCCCTCCGCCTTATTTAACTGACTTCTCTTTTCCGTCTCAATAACATTCAACACAAACATAACAAGCCAAACTCCCCTCAACCATGTCCTCAACACCCCTCCCAGTGATCGTCCTCGTCCCCGGCGCCTTCGGCACACCCGACGGCTTCAACAAAATGCAACCCTATCTAACGCAAGCCGGCTACACAACCCACCCAGGCTCATATCCCAGTTGCAATCCCTCTGATCCGAGCAAAGCGTCCTCGCCCCATGATATCGCTCACTTGCGAGACAACATCTTACTCCCCCTCTTAAACGAACAAGGTAAAGACCTCGTCATCATCGCACACTCCTACGGCGGCGTTGTCGCCGGTGGCGCAGCAAGAGGACTGGCGAAGCAAACCAGAGAATTTCAAGGTCACTCTACCGGCATCATCGGGCTTATCTACGTGGTGGGAAATATCACCCTCGAGGGGGAATCCCTCCTCACTGCTGTGGGGGGCGCTTATCCGCCTTTTATTAAAGTTGATAAGGTATGGTGTATCACAGTCATGATGAATGATAAGGTACTGATGAGGATCTTGTTGCTAGCCATCTCAAGGTCTTTGTGTCATTGAACCAGTGATGGAGATTCTGTATAATGACTGCGACCGTGCCCTTGAATCGGAATTGGATAAGTGTATGCGCCCACATGCACTCCGGGCTTTTGAAACGCCGGCTACTGCCCCGGCTTGGGCGGAGAGGGCGTTTGATGGGAGCAGAGCGTATGTGCGTACGCTTGACGATTGTTGTAATCCGTCTTCGTTGCAGGATGTCTGGTTGGAGAAGTCGAAGGTGGATTGGGAGGTGGTGGATTTTAAGTCTGGACATATGCCGTTTGTGAGTCGGGCGGAGGGGTTGGCGGAGCTGGTGGTTAGGTTTATTGATGGGTTTATGGCGAAGTAGATGGTCGGGTACCTACGGTTTATAGTTGGATTTTGTGGAGCAAAGTCGATCACTTGGGGAATCCATCTTTGCAGTTTTCATCCTAGCCGGAAAATACCTCGTTGATCAAATTGGATACTTTCAACAGAATGTTCATCAACACCTCACTACTACTCAACCTTACCCTCAAATCCTCAACTCTTCCTTATGACTCCCCTCCCACGGCCACACCCTCTCCACATCCCTCACCAACCCCTCATGCTCACTACTCCTCACCTTCAAATCCACCTCAAACGCCACCGGATGACTGATAGTAACAGGAGTGAAATCCACTTTAATCGGCACCTCCTTTCCATCTCTCACCACCTTCCCCACATCTAGCACCGCAATGGCCCTCGCAATTGTCAAATAGATATTCTTCTCGGCGAGGAGTTGTCCCGGACAGATGCGCCGACCGAAGCCAAAGGCATATAACCGCGGATCTTGTTGGGGGTTCGGGCCGAGGAACCGATCAGGATTGAAGGTTGAGGGGTTGGGGTAGCGGGTTGGGTCGTGGGTGAAGGACCTATATTTATTAGTTCTGTGGGGTTGGTGGAGGGGTATGGTGGGTAGGGAGTATACCAAACGTTAGGGACCAGGATCGCGCCCTTAGGGATCATGTACCCCTTGTAGATATCATCCTTGCTAGAGGCGTGAGCTACACTGAGGGGCGTGACGGGATGCCATCTGAAGACTTCTTGCATGACGGCTTCGATGTATGGGAGGCTGGGGCGGTCGTGGAAATTAGGGAGTCGGGTGGATCCTACGACGCGGTCGATTTCCTCTTGGGCTTTTTTTTGAACGTCGGGGTAGAGCGCCATGGCGATGAAGAAGCAGGAGAGGGCGGAGACGGTCTGTGATGGTTAGGGTTGGAGGTTGGGGAGGGGGATGGGGAAGGGGTGAGACGAACTGTATCGGCGCCGCCGCCGTACAAGGCACCGGCGGACCATTTGATCACGAGCTCCTCTTCAGAGCCTGGCTGCACGGGTCCCTTTTCGAGCAAATTGGAGACGTATGAGGGTTGGTGGATTCCTTCGGCCATTTGGCGTTGCACAAACTCGTATGTCTTATCGTGCATGATGATCACGCGGTCTTTGAATTCCTGGGCGGTTTGGTTGGGTTTACCGCCTGGGAACCACGTGGGGAGGTATTTCACTGCGAGGTTAGTATGATGTGGCAAGTAGGATGGGAAGCATACAAAAAGGGATAAAGTTGACGAGCCAGGCGCCTGGGAGAACAACTCGTGAGAAATCGTCCATGGACTGGTCGACTAGATCGATGAGGGGGTCTCGTCCATGTGGTTCAACGGTGTATCCATATCCGATGCGGAGGATGATGGCACCGGCCTCCCTGAGAAGGTTAGATCGGAAATGGGATCTTGATGGGGAGCGTACTTTCGTAGATGGTCGACCAGTTTGCTTGGTGACTCGAGAACCCGGAATAGAAACCGATGCACTTCCTTATCCACTATGTCATTGAAATTTTCCACGACCGTGGCGGATCCTAGTTCCCTGGATGCGGCTTTGCGATAGGCGCGGAAACGGTTCGAGTATGGTAGGAGACCTAGTGTTTTGTCCCATCCGGACCTAGGGAGTTAGTATTTGCGTGGAGCTGAGTGAGGATGGACTAACAGTTCTGCGATGGGTAGTTGGGGACGGGAGGAATGTAAGGCGGATCTCTTTTCCAACAGTTCGAGGGCTACTTCAGGCTCGTTGAGAATGACAATAGTCTGTCCAAAGACCGTGACCGAGCTGATCGGGCCTGTAGATGTTATTTCTGAACGGCTGACAACCGGGATGGTAACATACCATATAGGTCCTTGTGCGAGGCCCAATGCTCCCAGTCTTTGGAGCCCGGAGGTGGAAGATCCTGGAGATTGCCGATGATGGGCTTAGGCGATGGACCCGGTGGAAGAGGCGCTGAGGCCCTTTTTGGCGCGAGCAACGACTTGAGGACGTAGAGGGCAAAAAGCCCAACAACGATGTTGAGTACCAACGACATTGTGAAGCGGATGAGCAGACCACTGCAGTGGAAGATGTGAGAGAGTAAACCAGCAGGTGAGCAGCTGAAGAACCCAGCGAGCGGGGATCGGGGACTACCATTGCATGTGGTCAGCCGAGATGAATGGGATTCAGCTACACAATACACAGACACTATGTCTATACTAGTGCAGGAGCTACTGCACCCCTAGCGGGATAATACACGGGAGCAATCTCCTGGACATGTCATTGGCTGCGATGCAGCTGAATCTGCAGCTATCTGCAGCCATCTGCACGCTTGACAATACGCGAGAGCAAATCTGGAAGGGGAATGCGGGTCGAGATGAAGAATTCCTGGAAGTGGCGAGACTGCGAGATTGCAGTGGGTCTGTTTCTCTTTAGTGCTTTTCTTCTATTGATTAATCAATTGAATGAATCATTCTGGCTGGACGGATAGGGCTCCCCATTTAGTCTTCGTCGGAATTGATTTCCCAGCATCCCCACTCAGTAATGCGTGGGACGAGCCTGGTATCTCTCTGCATGAACTAACACAGACAATAAATGCTTGGCCTGTGATTTGATGGGGAACATGCACGTTAATATATTTATCAGCCCGAGGAGTGGCACTAGGGCATCGGGATTTGCTCAGGCACGCTAGCATCAGCCATCTTCCAGACTATCTGGTGGAAATGGTTTACCAGGGATAATGCCTCAAGAGGATTTCAATTGATTAATCCTCTTGCTATTGAGTACAGAGCCTGGATATATAGGGTGATCGAGAGGCCTTATTACTTTTCACCAGTCTTAGGATGGGATGCGGAATAACTCCAGTCGAGGCTCCTCGAGCAAACCAACCCCGAATAATCCAAGTGGGGCGATCCTGAGGCCACGATTGATCTACAGGTCACAGTCACCAGATCTTTGCGTTGGCATTGCAGGTATCCAGCTTGATCAATCTACTTGCTTACATTCTCATGGCTCGCTTTGGATGGCGATCATGAGGGGTAGAACTGCAGTGTATTCCGACCTAATGCACCTGAAGAACTCTTTTATCCCGACTAACTATTTCCAGTAAGCGAAGGGGAACACCCAAGGAATAACAGAGATGTGAGTAAATCACATGCCACAAAGCCTACAGCCGCCCCCCCCCCCCCCCCTAATCAACACAAACAACCCAAGTATGAATAGTCATCACAAAAAATACATAAAATCCGGATGCTCATCACATATCTCCTCCAACGTCATGGCCCTCTTCCCCGCTGCTTCAGGTGTATTCTGTCGGGAAATCTTCCTCGCATTCATCCAACGCAGAAACACCACCAACCCAGATGCCGCCACCAGCCCTAACACCGAGAAACCAAGCGCAAATGCCTTTCCCTTTTGATATCCCGGGGGATCATCAAAGACTTTCGACCCCGCGATGGAGAAACATTGTCCGATTATGTTGATTGCTGCGAGGGCTCCGGCTCTATTCATTCAATATTAACAGCCGTTTTGCAGGGCAGTAACACAACCCCCTCCCCCACAAAGACAATAAATAGAAAGAAAAAGGAGAAAAAGGAACATACCGTTTCGTAAAACCCACAAAATTCGAATTCATCCACCCGACAGTCAAAATCACAGCGGGATAAGTCCCCACCGCGATGAGATACAACGCCGCCATACACACATACCTCCCCCCACTAACCAGTAACATAATCCACCCCGCAGCAACAACCACATAACATCCCGCCAGAAACACTCCCCTCCGACGAACATAATCCGACGAGAACCCCAGCAGGAGGAGAGATACCACCGCACACGCGTAAATCGGGATCGTGAGGACTTGGGATCTCACGGCGCTGTAACCCAGGGTGTTGATGAAAATGGGAAGGAAGCCCGATAGGGCGGCGAGGTTGACGTTGGTGCAGGAATATAATATGACTTTACCCCATCCCTGATTAGCCTAATTTCACAGAATTGTATAGAGGGTGGGGAGAGGGGGCGGGGAACTCACTATAAAAATAAATCTTCCCATCCCTCCCCAATGCCAACAACTGCCGCGGGACAATCCTTGCATTGTCAGCATTAAACGCCTCTCTGGACCGTCGGATCGCCATTTCTTTCTCGGCGGAAGTAAATCCCCATCTCAACTTCTCAGGGACGGGGGGTAGTACGAATAACACGAACACCCCAACTGCGACTGTAATACATCCTATATCCCAACGTTAGCTACCACAAAACACTGTCACTGTAAATAAGTAAAGAAAGAAATACCCTCAACTATAAACAACCACCTCCAAGCCTCAATCCCCCTAACCCCATCAAGTGTCTCCGTAATCCCATACCCGATTAATCCATTCGCACTCCCCGCCAACGCCATCATAGAGAAGAAGATCGCCGATCGAGAGGCCAACTGCTCACGTTTGTACCAAAAGGTCAGGTACAGGGGTGCAGCTTGGACGAAAGCTTCCGCGGCGCCGATTGCCACGCGGAGACCGGCGAGGGTGGCGTAGTTTTGCGATGTTGATAATCTACCCTCGTTAATATAGATGGCTGATATGGGTACGTGGGTACATACAAAGCAGTAAATCCCCCCCAAACAACCAACGCCCCGCTCAATTGCACAGGGGGTGTGATCTTCCGCAGGAAGATATCCCCCGGGAGTTGGAAAACGATGTAGCCAATGTAGAAAAACGCCACGGCGTTGGCGTATTGCGTTGATGTGAGGTGTAGGGATGTGGTCATGCCAGCGAGGCTGGCGTTGCTGAGGTCTCCGCGGTCCTGTGACATTCTGATTAACCCTGTTCTTACTTTCCAGGGGATTGTTGGTGGGAGCGTACCATAGCAGCAAGGAAATAGATAATAGCTAAGACGGGGAGAATGAGGAGGTCAATTTTCAAAACTAGTTTTCTTTCGACTTTGGCTTCTTCGGGGGTTCGAGTGATGGTGTCGTGTATCGCGAAGCCATTTTTGGTGCTTGTGATGTCTTCGATGGTGTTGGTGGAGGGCTTTTCTTCGGTGATGGGGTCTTTGGGATGGGGTATGGTCATTTTGAATTTGGTATATGGTGGGCTGATGAGTTGGGTGGGAGTTGGTTTCATAATTTAGTGATTTAATCTACTGGTCTGGTGATGGTGATGGTGGTGGTGGTCGGTTCAAGATAGCCGAATCGGCTATCTCAGGCGATGTCGGGTATCGAAGCCGAATTCGCTTGAACACAGCCGATTGTACGGTTGCCAAGAATGCTTTATATTTCAGGTAATTCCTTACTGGAATCGAATAGTAGAAAATAAAGTCGAGAGTGATAAGCAGCCCTCTTGTCATTTTCATTATACGAAAGTCCACCCTATTGTTCTCAACATGTCTACGCAAGAACTCAAAATCCTCACCCCCATAGGCATGCTCGGCTATGGCTTCGACGAGTCCCTCTTCTGGTCCGCCGTATCCAACGGAGTCGATGCCATCATCTGTGACTCCGGGTCCACCGACAGTGGTCCGGCTCGACTAGCCCTCGGCACCATGTCCGGCTCCCGAGAAGCGTATTCCGCCGAAATGGAAAAGTTCCTGCTCGCTGCACATCACTTTCACGTTCCAGTGCTCATTGGCAGTGCCGGAGGGGATGGAGCGAATGATCACGTGGATATTTTCGTTGATATCATTGATGAGATCATTGCCCGGCTGCACTTGAGACCGATGAAGGTGGTGAAGATCTATGCGGAGGTGTCGAAAGATATTGTTCGGTCTGAGCTGGCTGCGGGGAGGATTGTGCCCTGTGGTGAGGCGGTTCCCCAGCTACAGCTGGATGATGTGGAGGATGCGAGTCGGATTGTGGCTCAGATGGGTATTGAGCCGTATTTGAAAGCTATGGAGGAGAATCCTGATTTTGATGTCATTATTGGAGGGCGCTCGTACGATCCTGCGCCGTATGCAGCATTCTGTGTACACAAGGGATTCACGAATCTGGATATTGCTTGGCATATGGGAAAGATAATGGAGTGTGGTGCGCTATGTGCAAAGCCTAAGAGTCGTGAGGCATTGGCTATTGTTCGACATGATAGTTTCGATATCCGGCCCTTGAATCCATCCAGTCGCTGCACGGCTGTCTCGGTTGCTGCGCATACGCTTTACGAGAAAACACGACCTGATATTCTCCTCGGACCGGGAGGTTCGCTTCATCTGGAAGACACTACTTATGAAGAGTTGCCGGATAATCGCACTGTTCGGGTTCGTGGTGCCAAATTTATCCCGGTGGAACAGGGCCAATATACAGTCAAGCTAGAGGCTGCACGAACCCGTGGGTATCACAGCTGCTTCTTTGGTGGATTCACCGACCCGATTCTGATTTCGCAGGTTGATTCTTTCATACAAACGGTCAGAGACCACGTCGCCATGGTTTGCAAGTTTCCGTATGATCTCAAGTTGACGACGTATGGCTCGAGGAACGAAATTAGCATGTTCGCGGACACGAACCAGGGTGCTCTCCCACCCAGTATCGCTATTCATGGCGATGCTAGAGCAGAAACCCAAGCGCAGGCCACTCGGGTGATCCATGCCGCACGCGTTGGTTGTATGCATGGCTCGTACCTTGGACAAGTGGCAACGTCAGGGAATTTCGCCATGCCGTGTGCGCCTCTTGACATTCCGATGGGGCGGGTGTGTGAGTTTTGCATTTACCACCTGATGCTAGTGGATGACCCGACGGCCTTGTTCCATATATCTGCGGAGGTTATACAGCATAGCTCTGATGAAGAACCCCCTGAACTTGTGATTCCAGCTTATGCTCCAAAGGTTCAATCTTCCACAGATGCAAAGCAGGAAAACAATTTGCCAAGAACCACAAGATTGAGCCCTTCCTCTCCACCCGGAATGCGCTACTTGGGCGAGTTTGCGTCGGTGATTCGCTCCAAAAATGCTGGGCCCTATGAGTTGACATTCGACATCATGTTCGATTCCTTGGAAAAATACTTCTTTGCCAAGTCATCCGGTGTGTTGGATGTTGCCAAGTTTGCAAAACTGTATGACATCGAAATCTCAGACATTGTTGCTGCTGTTTGGTGGGAGCCAGCCATGGCACTGAAGGTGACTGTGAAGCGCCCGATCGTTTCAGGGCGGTTCGGGGAAACCGATACGCATGGAAGCTGCCAGCATGCCAGACTTTTGCGGGTCTTGATTCCAGCTATGGAACATGTCCCGGTGGATGATTAGATGTTCAGTTGTATGTGTTGAACCTGCTTTAGATGCTCATGCACTTTTTGGTCCTTCCAGCTTGTCCCTTAGCTAGTCAGCGATATCAAGAATCAAGAATTGCCAACCAAATTTTCCCAGTCCTCAAAAATGTTCATAATGTCCGAGCTTTCATTGAATAGGAATGCATTATCATCAAGGAGAAAATCCACAGGAAGCCCGGGAACATCGGCTGATCTCATCGGTGAGACGTGATGAACATCAGCGAGGCCAGCTCTTAACGACTGATCCGGATCTTGAATGTATACCACCCGAGACTTCTGCTCCTCTTCCAAGATTGCATGCTTACTCGCCCAGATCGTATCATATGTAATGTTGGCCGCCATGCGAGATTTAACAGCCGGTTTATAGAAAGGACTTCCAAACCCGGACTGCTTTTCCTGCCAGGATCCCATAGACCACAACGTTGGAAGGGACTCTTTCTGATTCTTTCCGAGCTTGCGAGAGAGATATTCCATATGGGAGCAAAAACGTCCAAAGTTGTCTTTTTGGAACATCGACCAAGATTTGACCAAAGTCACGCCATCCAGGATAGTTTGCTGCAAACGAGCTTGTTGCGATGATCCTGGTTGAGCTATACACGCTAGCCGGAATGCCATAATTGTGGCGTACATCGAGGAGTGTTTCGCGAAGATTGGCCAATAACGCGTCTCACTCGTTTCCATGGCAGCGAGTTCAAGGACGCGTTGGGAGGCAGTCGAGGCCCGGTCATAGATGGTCAAAGCTGAAAGATCAACGGCGAGCATCGAATCGGGATAGTTATCCTCATCCAGAGCAAAAGAAAGTATCTGGAGCTTGGTTTCCAGAAAGAAGGCCTCTGCCAAGCTGGACCATTTGGAACTTAGGCTTTCGCGCATGGTGGTCAGTTTCTGGTCAAAGGTGGTGACCAAGGGGATCGGATATTTTGCCTCGCCGGTGGCAGATGATGCATCGTCCCCAAGGGCCTCGAGAGCCTTCATTCCAACGTATGCAATATGGGCGTAGTGCAGCAAAGGTGCTGGTAGCTCAGAGGTGGAAATCTTGGCGATCTCGAGTAGAATAGCATGGCCAGGCTGAACCGCTGACGGGGTGCCCAGTCTCGTGGAGATACTAACAATAGAAGTTTAGCTTTCGACAATGCCAGCGAGCAAATGACAGAGTCATACATATGGTTAACAACAAAACAACCAATCCAAGCTTTCCTCCGCTGCAAATCGACCCGATAATTTGAGCCCGTCGCTCCGTACTCCCAATGCATATGCTGGTTCGGCCGATGCAAACCTAGCTGGTAAGACAGTTGCGTAGCGAGACCACAGTACATAGGCGATGGATCATGCGCGGTTTGCTGGAACGGAAAAGGCCAGATGCATAAGAGTAATAGCGCTTGGATTGTTTCAAAATGTCGACTTTGCGTATTATACAGATCACCCGCAAGCCTGCGGACCGGGTCGACAAGAGTGACATATAGATGAGTATACTGCGCTGATTCTTTGCAGGCGACGGCAATAACTGTCCACAACAGAAGCCTATTCGCATTGTAGGTTTTGATGAAATCAGGGAGCGATGGGAGGATAGGAAACAGCGGGTGAAGCGTCGCATAAAACCTGTCCGAATCAGCCTCGTTCTCTTCCACGAACAGGTAGCCTGTTACTCTTTGATGAGAGCTAATATCTCATGACCCTGAAGGGTAACACTTTCCAGCGTCTGGGATGTCATATTCTGGAGTGCGGTTTCCTCCGTCCAGTCATCCCATTCGTTGATCTCAGATGCTTCATGCGAGTACTGGGGTAGGGGAGTGAGTGTATTTGCCGCTTCCATCCTTTGCTGCATGCGCTTGAATTCATTTTCCAGTGTGTCTAGACGCCTATAATGAGATAAGCAACCAGACCAGCAAGGAAGCAGTTCAAACATACTGTTTATTGGTCGTCCTCCTATAAACCTGCCCATCTGAGCAATTCTTCCCCGTTCGCGTACAGCGAGTACAGCTCCTCGAGGCCGTAGTAGCCAAATCGCATTTCAACTGCCAGGATCAGCACCATCGCCTCCACACATTACTCCATACTAACCTTCATGTGCCGACAATGCAAGCAAGCCGACCCCTTCTTCGCCCTCTTCGCAGGCCGAGATGCTGGACCGTTATCCATGGCTCTTACCAAAGCAGACCCGTACACCAACAGAGAAACAATACGATCCACCACGCGAAGGAAGTCCAGGAAGCCCCTAGCATGCAACCCAGCTGGTGAATCGAGATGGTGGCTGACCTCGGCTACCCGGATGCCAGAAAATGCGGGGTTGGATCAGGCGACCAACTCGATTAGCCGGACAGACCCTGCTTCATTCGAACATTCCCCGGATTATAGTGTCGGAGATCATTAGGCGGGGTACATTAGCTGAAGGAAGGATTATAGTGTGATGGAATTATAGAATAGTTGGGTTGTTGTGGAGTTCGGGGGAAAGTCACCCCACCGTTGGCGGTGACGTAGGGGTGATGCCTGACGCCTAGGGCGGAAATATATTTGTGTGTCTGTGCGTCGGTCTTTCATCTTCTATCGGGTTTAGTGATGCCTTCAGGTTACTTGACGTTTTAAAGGGCCTCAAAATTTATTACCAGGTATTCTATGAATTCGCTAGAGTTTTGTCTGGTGCGTGTATATTGGCACACGTCCTATGCCTAGGAAAAGTCACATATGAAAAGGTAAGTGTCATTATTCTTTTAGAAACATAGTAGTCATATGTGACATTTGCATCAGTGATGTAAAAACGTTGTAAGACCTCTCGATGGGCCATGGATACATGTCCGATATTCATGATAGGCATCTCACCATGCAAGTGAACCTTCAAGTGAAGTTTGAATCAAAGAAAACAGGACCAACACCAGGCTCGAGTCTCAAACTGAACATCAATTTGAAGCCAAAGAGACTGACCAACGTCAAAGACATGTAAAGTTCCAAAGAGATGGCCGATTCTGACCAGCCTACGCGCTGTCGGCGGCGTCGATAAAGTCAGCCCCAACTTGGAAATGAACAAGAGACGTTACACCTCATTTAGCCTGCTTCTCCTTCTTCTTTCTTCTCTCACCTTCAGCTTTCTTCCCCTTCGCCTCCTTTCTGAGCTCTTCCTGCATCTGATGGTATGATCTGGCATTATCAGCCCAGGTGCTCAAAAGATCCGGCTTCTTCAAACACCAGATGACCACGTCTCTGGTAGCAATAGCATCCTCAACCACACTCCGTCCTTTGCGACCGCCTTGGATCTTGCGAGCAAGCATATCGCCTGCCAAAGCCTTCAGACCCCAGACCCGCGGGAGAGGTTCGGTTGGACGGATGTTGTTAAATATGGCTTCTGCTGTGAGGATTGACGAGTCGACGACCCGGGAATGAATGATTCCCAAAGTATGCAAGTCATTCTGTAACGCATGTCCGATCAGAACCGTATCACTATCGACAAACTCCCACAAGGCCCACCGCGCTCCCAACCATCCACGAAGGGCTTCGCCACTTTCGATCGCAGCTGCCATGGAAGCGGGCGTGATACCACTGACTTTTGTGTCCCAGCCAGTCACGCGGTACTGAGGCTTTACATATTGACTCATTAGAACTTCACCGGTGAAGAAGTCGACGGCATTGATGAAGCCAATCTCCTGTCGGCCGCGGGTCACCTGGACCATCTTGCAATCGATGACAACCGCTTTCCTGCCTTTTCGGTAGCCAAAGGAATCGGGCATCGGGGGAGATGTGTATCTAAAAAGGTCGCGTCTGATGATTCCCTTCCCTGATCCGCTCTCCTCCGTGGGAACGGGTGACATGGTGTAACCGTTTGTGTTGAGACGAGTCAAAGGATGGCAACGTGACAGAAGGGACTGCAAAATGATCTCTTGCTCTTGGACGCTTGAGGAGATTTTCAATTCATCGATGATCTGTGCTAAAGAGGAAACTGTATTTTGAAAGCCAGGTTAGTACAAATCCGTCATTCGAGATCCTTATCGCGTGATGATCGATCATACCTGCAACCACTGTTTTGTGGTCTTCATTCTGCTCAATAGGCAAGGACGTGTTCGAAATACTGGTTGCTGACGCGCACGAAGGAACCCCAACCGTGGTGGCAGACGGCGCCACTGCAAAAGTACCAGCCTGGAGAGTATCCTGCGGCTTCTGGGCTATCTGAACGTGTTGAGAAAGTGCCTCAGACGTGACGAATCGTTTATTGCAGTGAGGACAAGGGAGTTTGTGTCCAAGCAAGGTCTGGTGACTCCGGAGAGCCTCGAGGGTCTTGAACGTGCTGTCCTGACACACTGGGCAAAAGAGACGTGCCTTTGTCAAGCATGGCTCCTGTTGATCTAAACGGATGGGTTGTGAAGCCATTTTCAGCTACTTAATATGAAAGTGCATTGATCAAAGTGCATGAGTGGTGAAGTTGAAAGGAGAGAGTGTTAGGTAGGCGAGAGAATCTGGTGAGCGGCATGATATGACTCACAAGAGATAACTTGCATAAGATAACGCCGACTAATCAGTCTTAACGCGCATTAATACTCACCTCACCTCGCCACCGGCGTCAGCACTAACTACCATTACCAAGATGCAGTGTAGTGAACCGCCAAACCTATGAGATATTCTGTGAGTCTATGGTGCCTTGTTGCCTCATTCTTTGGTACTTGCATTAACTCGTAATCCTTGTCAGGCTGGTGATTGAGTTGATTGGTATCCAGCTACGAGAAAGATAATGATAATAATATCTTCCAGAGGTCTAGACCACAATTAGAAACGGATTATATGAAGGTAGTATCTAATCTAACAATTGTACTCTGTCGTGCGGTGCTTACTGTGTCTGGCCAATCAGCGTGCCACGTACGTTCCAAGCAGGTACTAGATACCGTAGCCTGTGTAAACCATTTATTCAGGGGTTTCATCGAGCTGCAGCAGTCAACTTGTTATTTGTGGTGCAGAATCCATTATCGGTTTACCGCATTCGGTGCGCAGCTCCCTAAAGCAGTGAGAACTCTGCATTCTTATCAAGCCCAGGGTATTCAAGTATCTATCTACCTACCAAGTAGTAATGTCCAATCACGACCTTCAATCTCCAGTAAACGTTCAGGCTGTATTGAACAACTGTCGATGCAATCGGGTTTGCATGGTACGGGAGATATGAAGGTTTCATACCACAGACGCGCCATCACCATGCAATCCCATAGACCTGACGGTGATATAGATACCATTCATATTCTGCGGGGGTATATTCCGAGGTCCCCGTCCAATCCGAGGTAAAGTGAAAGCCTTGACGGATGGCAGATGCGTCAAATTCTCGGCGGTGGACAAAAACCCCCCGGCTACACCAGTAGTAGTCTGGATCGGAGTTGCTCGCTACGTAATAGTCATAATCAAAGCAGCCGGCTTGAATAAGATTTACAGGCTCGCCTGCGGTCTCGATTGCTGATAAAATCACTTTCGTCAGGTATGGCATCTCTTGAACGTGCTGGAGAACCGTCTCCCATGAACCAGATAGAAGGTTCACTTTCTCCAAATGCAACTCTCTGATGCCGAGATGATTTCGCAGGAAGCGTAGGAGTGTGTTAGACGTGGTGTAAATTCTGAGGAGCCAAAGCCTTTCGAGCTGGGGAAGATGAACCTCCTCGGCAATAGCATCAAACAGCTGGCAGTATGGAGAGGTATCCCCTACAACTGTACGACGCAGACTGAGAATTAAGGATTGCAGGTTCGGCATTCTTTTCAAAAGACGGGAGACACCAGGAAAGTTATTCTCCGAAATGGCTTCAGGGTGCACATCCGATTTTAGGCTTCCCAGGGTCGAAATCTGGGCCCAACGGTCGACGCCCTCAAGCCGGTCAGCTTGATCTCGGTGCTTCATTAATCTTTCTTGATTAGAATCCACCCGCATGGAGAGATCAACTGCGAAAGATGTGACGGACTGGCCGGGAGAAAAGGCCCATCCTCTGGTATCGAGGTTGTCCATGTAAGCAGTTATCTCGTTGGTAGGCACAGCGCAGCATATGGGCTCCTCATAGATACTCAAACTGTCCACCACGATGTCACTCTGAGCGAGAGCAGACAGCGATTTGGTAAACCTGAGTTGCTTTAACCCAGATCATGTGCCATTCGCCCTTGGTCTCAAAGGCGACTGAGCGGGGGACGGTTGTCACCATGGTCTCCAAAGCAATAGAATCAAGCTGCCCGAGATGGTTAAATAGCGTAACCAGTGCTTTCACGATATCATCCTCATTGACAAGCTGGGAGTTGAAAGATCTCTCCTCCAACCACTGTATGTCTGATTCCACTTGGGCCAGCTCATCCTGGGTACAGGCCCTAGACTCTATAAGATTACCCGTTATCACTTCGTATTCCTTTGTTCGCGAGATTCTCCTTAGAACAGAAAGATCATAGACATCCGCTATGATAGTCAGCTTCTTGACGCCTGTGCGTAGGTAGGGATGACAATTAAGAGCGGTAAGAGACTGAAGGCTTCGTGCAGTTAAATCTGTGACTTGGTGGTGAACAAAGGATTTGAAGCGAGGGCCCAGACATAACTCTCCCCAGGCCTTATTGGTAAGGCACAAGGATTTGATGGTCTCCAGATTGAGATGTTTGACAATAGCGTCCACTACAAGCAGTGGGGGGAAAGACATCCTGCTATTAGGGGAGCGCATACTGTCCATGGTCGTAGCACATGTGGACTTATCCTAAGGCTGTTCTCGAGTGTTTGATGATGGTGGGGTGGTAAGGATGCTGTTATCATAGTTATAATTATACATAGGAAGGACGATGTGCCTGTCTATCACATGAATGGAGCTTAGGGTATATCCGCGCCATCGGCAGACAAAGTCCTGCGACCCCGGAAATTCTGCAAGTTTATGAATGGGGGTGGGGAGAGTAACAAAGAATGAGGGAACAGGGTCTCACGAAAAGGAGGTTTCCATGGTTGGCCAAATTGATGGCTTCTTTGTCTCTTTGTGAAAGCGGATGATTCCTTAGCGGAATATACTGGCCGAGTACAGTAATAATAGGATTGTCCCGCAGGAGTGTCAATCGTTTCAAAACACGAGACCGGAAGGCTCAGTGGAATGCGGGTAACGCCCGAGAAAGGAGGTAATGAATAAACTCCAGTGTAAGAACCATCTACCAATGCTTCCTAGGAAGCTGCCTACCTTGAAGACGCCCACGCCAGGTTGTGCTAGACGGATCCAGATTCTAGTGTTCAGGAAAAGGACGATCGTCTAAACAAACCGAGATACTGTCTGCGCTTAGTATCATGACAGAACTAGCCTTTGTGTAAAACAGCATATGAGGTTTCACCTGCAGGGGTATTCCGGCAGTATCCATGTTCTCAGATGTGGCCCTGAAGCCTATAAACCCCTACCTGGAGTCCTGCTGATGTGGGAAATTCTCATCCCATTGCAGAGTGTACTTCGAATTCAAAGCATCTTCTATTTGCTCATTCTGGTATCGGCCTCCAAACCATCTTGTTCCCCATATTGGATCGCTTCCGTCAACTCATTTCCAACAATCGTCAATTCCGTGATCATTCACAATCATGAATCTCCAAAAGATTGTGGCTCCCAGAGAAATGGACCCCTACTACAAAGAGCACCAAGACCCCTATGGTCCTGGCGATGTGCGTCCTACAGCATCACATATCATAGCGGTTAATGGTATGCACGATAAATGGCAGGACAAGGTAGTCCTTATTACTGGAGCTACCGGCGCCATTGGTCTGGAAACCACCATAGCTCTTCTTCGAACGGGTGCCCATATATTCATAACCGCACACAACGAAAACGAGGGCCAAGACGCGGTGGAAAAGATCCTCAATCGATGTGGCCCCAAAGCGAGAATCGACGTCCTGCCACTTCGCATGGAATCTCTTGATTCGGTGAAGCAGGCGGCTGACGAGTTCCTGAGGCGCAGTCCTACTTTGAATGTTCTGATCAACAATGCAGGTTAGTATACCTACCTATCATGCTCTGCATCATCACTAACTAGCATAGGGATTCATGAAGCCCCACAGGCTCTAACAATGGAGGGATTCGAAAGCCACTTCGGTATCAATCACCTGGCGCACTTCACTCTCATCACGAAGCTCCTCCCCGCTTTGAAGGCCGGTAGTTCAAGTGCCTTTCAGTCGCGGATTATCCAGGTTTCCGATGATGCCCATGACCTCATGCCCGTTGACTTTGACGATGTCAATTTCGCAAAGAAGAGATATATCCCGTTTCTGGCATATGCCCAGTCCAAGACGGCGATGATCTGGACCGCCAACTACGTCAATACCGTGTACGGACCGGCTGGGGTGCACGCACTCTCGGTCAATCCTGGCAAGGTGTTGTCAGGTCATTACCAATTTTTGGGACCTGAATGGTCGACCTCGTTGACGGATGGCAAGGGGGCCAATATGGTAAAGAACCCGAAGCAGGGGGCTGCAACCACGGTGTGGGCTGCTGTGGGGAAGGTCTGGGAGGGAAAGGGTGGAGTGTACCTTAGTGACTGTCGGTTATCAAGGTGTCCACCATGCTTCATTGACGGCCTGGAAGGATTCCATATGCGCTGGACGCATGATAGGAAGAATGAGGAGAGGTTGTGGAGGTTGAGTTTGGAGTGCATAGGGATGGCAGAGCCCTTGATTGAGGGCATGACACCTAGCTCCCATTGCAATATCCCAAACCTAGGTCTTCCGGTGGCGATGGAAGAATGAGTAGCATACTGATTGGTTAGCAGTATCAAAGGTTGTTCAATTCAGGAATTTACTCATTTGAATCTGGCGATAACAGTTCACTTCATACATAATGTAACCCTCATTGTATTGAGTCAGTAGATAACGAGACACCCCCATGTTGATCCATACACTTCCATCCAGTCCATACTCACTAAGAAATTCCCCAAACAGTAGACCCAGCAAGTGGATCCAGATCCAGCGGCCCGATAAACCCGGCCCTCCCGAATAGCGGATCCGCAATCAACCCTCCTATCACAGCAAACCCAGATGGAATTTAGATCCCTCAATAAACCAATCACACCCCCCCATATTCCTTCTTCCACCACCCCCTAAACATTCCCCAACCCTTTCACCGCCAGGACACCAGATACGTGGACTCAATCCAGCATACTCTCCCAAATAACTCCTCCATCAACCCCCCCCCCTCAATCTCCCAAATCAACACAATGCCCCCCCCACAAACAACCCACATCTTCACCCTCCGCGTCCAAGCAGGCACCGAATCCCTCAACGCCAGCCACCCCCAATCCAAAATCTCCCGACACATCACGTCCCTAGTAGGCGGATTTCTGCGTGGCGTTCCCGGCACCCGAGCCGAAGGGTTCAACGCCACTCTTGTGACGGGCGGCAGTGACTGGGTTCTCCGCGACGAGGCGTCGAATATTATTCATCTCGATGTGCGGACGCAGGGACGAACGGACTCGGGGGATGGTGTGTATATTCAGTATAAAGGGCATTTGGTGTTAGATAAGCAATCTCGGAAGTTTATGAGTCGGGATGGTGATGCCGAGATGACGGCGTTTGGGGATCATGATTGGTGGGTTGTGGTGGGGTTTGAGGTTAGTGGTGAGTGTTACTGTTTTTTTTTTGGCTTTGTTTTCTTTGTGGTTTCCTTCTTTGTTTGTTTTTGTTTTTGTCCTTTTCTTTCTGTTTGTGGACGGTGCTGATTAGTATAGACCCCGGGTATGAATGGGTTCAACGGACGATGTTCTTCGGAAGAGGTCGGTTTTATGTAGAGGGGGATCTCCGGGCGGTGGAGTATGAGGTTTTTGCGGTTCAGAATTGATGTTATACACGGATTTAGCTGGGTAATCGGGTTTCCATTAACGGGGGAGTGGATAAGTATTTGTATCTTCATGGGCAAAAGAAGATGGATGGTTTAGTTGTGGACCAATAATTCAACTTAGACTTTCAAATGGTCTTTCAATATAGACTGGGGAAATCACCTTGACAGTTTGAACGGAAAGGTGGAGTAAGAGACTTGAAGCAAAATTCCTATACGCGTATCCAGATGGAAATATTTCCCTAGCCAATGAGACTGGTGTGTGGAGTGGGGCGTTGAATCCGTGATTTGTGTGGCCTGTGCATACGCGTATCGCTATGGCCTTGCCCAGTGCCTCAGGCCGCCGCATCAGATCCGTGGGTCAAGGTTAAATTCCAGATTCGACCCATGGTAGTATTCTGTTTCAATAATTCAATGGTGCATTATATTGGGAGAAGGACTGATTCATTCAACCAGCCAAATGGCTCATACCGCTTCAGATTTCTTTTTCTCGATTTTTGTGAGAGTCAAAAATGGATAAGTTCGGGTATCACATAATATATATATAATCCAAACAAACAGATACAAACAAACTGAACAACGAAATAAGAAACATTCAGCGTCAATACACACACAGCCAAGATCAGCATACACAAAGCAGATCATACCCCATCATATCCAGTAGGGGCAGTAAGTGGCACACCGGTATCCAAATCCAAATACCCCAGCAAGCTATTCGGATACCAAATAAAAAAGACAATCATCACAATCACCATCGGTACACTATCAAAGATATACATCGTCCACTCATGTTGCAACGGATACCCACCATTACCCATGATATACTCGATGATGCGAAAGACCGATCGAATCATGATCAGCGAGCTGACCGCATACAGCATATAGATGGATTGTCGCCAGGGCAAATCCCGATTCAGCGACTCCATAGTAGGCGTCCGACGAATACGTCTGAAGAAGACCACGGCAGTCAACCAGAAGATAGCGAAAGATATGAGCTGAATTGCCAGGCCGACAATCACGCAGATCTTTGAATATAGTGGATATCCAAGAACAGATAGCGAAGATGAGTTTCCTTGGACGATGAAGGATAGCACATCGCCCCAGACGAAGGTCTTGGTGAGACGGGAGATTCGGATGACAGAAAGATGTTCGCCTCTCACGGAGCGGATGATTCGGCCGAGGGTCATGTAGATGGAGGCGGCGAAGAGGGTAGGGCCGAGGAGGATGAACATTTGGGATACGATGTACGGACCCATGGATGTGGTGTTGCTGTGGGCGGCTGCGCGGCCGATGTAGCCGATGATTTCGACTGTTTGGGTCAGTAGGGTTAGCAGGTGTGCGAACAGATTGCAGCAAGGCTATGGTGGAATGGTAGACATACACACTCCGCCAAGGGTAAAGGATATGCAAAACCATGTTCGGGTTGTGAAAAGCTTCCAGGAATGGAGGGCCGTGAGAGCGATGAACAACAGTAGGAAAACTACTGCTGCTCCTATGGAAGGAATGTAGTACCAAAATTGGTAGGTACCACGAGTTTGAAGTTCAGCCATGTTACTCGGGTGTTAATTAAATCAAACACGAGAATGATATCAAGATTGGATCAGAAGAGGAGAATAAAACGGTATAAATAGGCATGGGGGGCAAATCTCTGTGGATAACAACAACAAAAGAAAGGAGGTTGGTTTTATCCTTACCCACTACGTGTGAGATTTCAATCTCAATCTCACAACCATGATTATATTTAGAAAAACATTGGAACAGAATTGGTTGTATCTAGTGGCAATTTCTGATGTACTAACTTTGCTAACCATTTCAGGTGTTTCTATACGCGTATAGGGCTGCCAATTGTCCGGGTGGATCCACTCATCGGTTTTAAGCATATCCTCTGCACCAATCAATCAGACTGCACCAAATCATGTTCCAAACTTTCTCAGTCTTGATAAGACCACTAGACGATGTACTTAAATCGCACCATGGAACGTTTAATCAGCCTCATCAGTCCATGAAATTTCTATCTTTGTCATCAATAAATAAACTATCAGAGACTACTCTAACTCTTTTCGACTACGGGGCACGAGTCTGCTGTCACTTCTTGATATAAATTCTTAGGAAATTGTGATATCCATTGCATCATCTGAGAGATCTATTTCCGCCGTTGTTTACGGGATTTGAATACAGCCATCGTGTTCGTTCTTTCCTTCTGTTATATTGGTTCTTGTGATGATCGAAAACTGTAGTGTTTGAGCTGTCTGTTGGGAACCATTCGGTTAGTATTTTTTTCTTCGCATTAGTGTGTTTCCGCCTTGGGACCTTAATGAATCGCTATTGGGTAGTGAATTCCAAGGAAGAGAATCATTGGAGATATTTCTAGAAAATTCGAACAGATAGCAGAGAGCTTTATTTATGTTGAGGTCACTAGGATTTATTTAATCATGGTACTTGGAGAGCCCTGATCGTTTTCAGAAGGCTGGGTGGTGTCTTTTCTCAGAAGTTATCATGCTAGCGGGATTAATTCCATGTGGAAGACACATTGTAAATGTCAAGCTGGACATCCTTGGTATATCCACCAGTCGACACCAACCGGGTATGAATTGCATCGCTGCTTGGGAAGATCTGAGCCGTTAGGGTAGTCTCGCCCCGACCACCGAACACCTCAACGCTGGACCTATCGACATAGATGCTGAGCTTCACTACGCCAGCGTCACTCGGTGCAAGAGGTCCGCGATAGACACTAGCGAATGTATCGTCGAACGATACGTCTCCAGACTTGGTGCGATCGACAAAAACCTCCTTCGTGTCGAAGTCGTAACCCACAAGGGTCTGCTCGGTGAAGTTGGCAGAGGCTCGCACAGAAATTGCGAACGTCGAAGCATTTGAAGCAGCAGAGAAGCTCAAGTCTACCTTGATTGTCTCTCCGGTGGTGTTCACATTGATAGAGCCTTCCGGGACGGATTCGTAGGTGTGCGAATAGACCGGAGCCTTGCTCAAGATAGAGGACCAGGCTTCTTGGGGCTGTTGCACAAGGGTTGTCTTGTTGGCGATGGTTTCCAGAGCCAAGTGACGAGGAATTGCCATGGCACTGCGCCAGGGGTATGTGGGGATGTTCTCTCCATACTGCCAGTTATTCATCCATCCGATGTGGACGTGGTCGTCAATGGAGAGCCCATTGTAGCCAGCCGCAGCATAGAAGTCCGGACCCCAGTCCATCCAGTTGGCCGTCGAGTTGCCCGGATATATACTGTCGGCGTCAGGAGTGAAGGTGGTGCCGTCAAAGTCACCCACAAAGTACTGGGTTCCGGAACCGACAGTGCCCGGGGGACCACCAGGGTTCAGCCCGCCGGTAATGACCCATTTGGTGGACTTTCCTCCGTCAAGGGGCAACTTGAAAAGTCCGGGACATTCCCAAACGCCGCCTTGTGCGTTGTAAGGTCCGAACTCACCCACTAGCTTCCAATCTTTAAGGTTGTCAGAAGTGTAAATCGCCAGTTTATGCAGCTCGGCCAGACTCGTGACAACGACCCACTTGTCGGACTCGTCGTGCCAGAACACAAAAGGATCACGAAAGTTTTGGTATTGGGCTTCGTATGGGGTGGGAGGGTTGGGAATAACTGGATTGGCAGCATCGTATGTCGTCCATGTCAGACCGTCATCAAGACTGTAGGCGATGGACTGTGCCTGCTGGTCCACCTGGACAGCCTGACCACTCGGCAAGGTCTGCGCAACGGGGTACTGGTGATAGCGTTAGTATATGCAATCCAGGGGTTATTCAATGGTGGCTAGGCGTACGTAGGAAGTGTACATGGCGATCAACGGGGTCTTGCCATCCTTCCCAAAGCCACTCGTGTTATTCACATCAGCAACGGCGCTTCCGCTGAAGTACATCTCGGTGACGTTGCCGCCAAATCCCCGGGCCAGAAGGGCAACCGGCTGCTCTTCCCAGTGGGTGAGATCCTTGCTGGTAGCATGACCCCATGAGATGTTTCCCCACTGGATTCCGCCGGGGTTGTATTGGAAGAACAAATGGTATGTCCCGTTATGGTAGAGGAGCCCGTTGGGATCGTTCATCCAATTTTCCTGGGGGGAGAAATGGTATTGGCCACGGAAAGGTTGATCATAGTTGAAAGCATTTGCGATACCTGCCAAAAGACAAACGGGGACCGCCTTTGAGAAATGAACCATTGTGAAATTTATGGGAACGCAGTTTGTGAGAGGATGCCTGAAAGTTCGCACGCAGGGTGACCATCTTTATATGAGCCAGCCAACTCCGAGCCCATCATGCCAACTCAGTCCGGATGGGTCTCAAGAGCGGTCTAGTAATCCTAGGCAGACAAACCAATCCTGCGGGAATTGTGAACGCTCTTGCAATAAACTCTTTGTCATTCCTTGGCAATTCGTCGTAGGCTCATATCTCGGGTGCACCATTGCGAGCCAAGGTAAATAGCATCCCGCGATGATGTTTCCAGGTAGGCAGACCCCCTGAATCTGAATTGAAAGGTACAGCAATTTGATGTCTTTCTATCAGATCATGTCTTCTGTAGAAGAAACGAGTTGCTCTCACTCCCACAATATCGTATAGATACCCACATTTGCGTTGTCTGGCTGACTTCCAACTCCAGGGTTATGACCCACAGGAGGAGCCCACGCATCATACGAGGGATACAATGTGGCATCGATGAAAGACCTACCCCTCAATAAACGGCCTTGGTCGTCAATTGTCACCCCACACCCTTGTGGGTAACGAGGGGATTAAAAGCTCCCATTATTCAGGCTACCATGTCCCAGAAACCCAATTGCGTCTCAGATTGGACGGCTTTCGAGGCCAATGCTAATTGTCCCACCAAGCCACTGATATCACCTTCCTCATTAATCATCGGGACGTCTTCAACAATGAGACAATAAGGACTGCCAACTATGCAGTGCCCCGCAATCTTCACATCCGAGTGTACCGCTCTGGGTTACTTCGGAGAAACTCCACGCTTCGCTCGGCGAAACTGACTGCATCCCACTCCACACTTTATTCCATTGGCCCCGGATTGCGGGGATTCGCCGACTGCGGAGAAATATCGGGGTAGTTCGGGTCATGGCCAATCAAATTCACGGAACTACCCCGGGACCGATGTCGGCAAGAAGCGCTTTTTCGGCTATCCGGAGAGAGTTGAATGATTGTGAGGGGTATCAACGGCGGGGATGGAGAAGCAGCCGGCTATAGATGGCAGTGGAAGCACTCCCTCGCCAGTGGGCCGGCATTCACTGATGACTTGAGCAAGCAACCTTTGCGAACGATCCCTCCATTCGATCGGTATCAACGTATATGCTCTTGACATTGGAGCCTTCCTGTCCGGAGTGTTAGATTGCAACGAGTCGGGATTCCTACAAGAGGGCAAGCAAACCAGTCATTCTCTCGATTCCGGGCTCCAGTCCCCATAGCGACCTTCGCTAAGCCTGCGCCGAGGAGTGGGGGTAAAGAAAAAAACCAATTTTTGCACACTGTATAGACCCCCAGAGACATCCTTAGAAATAGGGTCAAATATATGGTATGACCTCAGATATAGTCGTGGGTGGGTCGCGAAAAATATCTGACTCGACTTTGAGATGCATTGGGCAGGAGCGAAGAGCAACTAAAAGAATCATACCATGTCATATGTGTACATTGTTGTTTTCTCGGAGGAAACTGTGCAATTAGACAAATGATGAAGAGCCAATTCCCATACGTGAAGTTTCTTGGTAAGTTCACGGTCGGAAAGACTTTTTGTTCTGTTGCCGCCAGGCTCAAATGGAAGAATGCAGAGTTCCCAGATTGCTTCATATGAAAGGGATTTTCTTCGGTGTAGTATGCAAAGCCGAAATTACCACCTGGTTTTGACTCTTCTTCTATCGAGTCGTGGCCATCCATTTGTAATCATATCTACAACCCGTCAGACAGTCACTCCCATGTAGATATTCCAGACCAAGTACCTCGCATCAACAATTGAAATCATATCCTAACTGCCTGTCACTCGATAATGAATGTACCAAATTTCGGACCTGCATCTGCCCACACCTCCAGATATGCTTCGGCAAGTCCAACGCGTCTGCTAATTCCATTTCGTGTCTCGAGTACCATAAGCTGGATCTTGAAGGCGATCGCTAAACAGGTTCGAGTCTCAAACACTCGAAGTGCGACTCCTGCGGAATCTTGTGCAAGGACGTTGTTCAGTCCAAATGCGCGCCCGCTTTCATAGTCACCCAGCTTATCTTTGGTATAAACATCTTCCAAACCGAGTGACAGACTGAGCACATCATAGTGCATGTTACCGTCAGAGGCATTCCTGTGAAGCCTTTCCTCGTCCACCGCACGTTTCGTACACCAGGCAATAATACGACCATCGTCATTGCAAAGCTCTAATGACACGGCCCTCACACCTCTGCCCTCAGGACACGGCACCGGTTGCAGGCGTAGTGACTGCGTATTCACCAGGATTCTCCCCGGTCTAAGACATGCTTGATGGATCAAGCGTATAGGGAAGCTTTGACGGATGTCCTCGAGATCTTCGTTTGACGTGTCATGTGCCTCATGGAATAACATATTCAATGACTCCCACGTGGAGATCATGATCTCGATGTAGTGATTCCAGGTATTATCTAGACCGAAGACAGCGGGTAGTGACGCTGGAAAGCAGTCCTTTTTCCAGGCTGTGATGATGCCCAAGCCATAGGCCCTGATGTGAGGCATTCTCTGGTCGTCCCATGAACCGCAAGACTTATTTGTGATCGGGTTGTCTAAATTTATGATATGTAGTTTCTCATCGTTTCGGCCACGGGGAGAGATTGCCCATACCGCAAGTGGGATGAATAGCCCGAGGTGTTCAAATTCAATGACACCCATTCGACTAATCCATGACCATGATGGAAGGACCGAGTCTCCTGGCAAGGTTCTCTCTCGTTGGTCTTCGCTCTGTGTCATCCATAGAAGAGATTTGGTGAATCCAGACAATGGCAGGAAGAAATAATGGTCTTCCCCATGAATGGCATGGAGGATTCCAGAGAACGCGCGAAGGATATCAGACTCAATGGATAGGGTTCGCCTCGAGTAAGCGTTGACAAGTTTCCAATAAGAATGCGAAGCAAAATTCTTGGTGAGTAGAGTTTGGTCACGGAAGATGGTAGGGTCTTCACATTGGATGGCTTTCTCTTGATAACCTTCCATGAAAACCCAAGAATCCGAGAAGTGTATCATCCTTCGAGAAAGGTATGCTTCTTGTAAAGTCCACCCCCTAGTCGCCCATTTGGAAGCTGTAAGGACTTCATCAAAGCTTGGCATTTGCGCGATAAAGTGGATTCCCTGGGATGCAATGAATCCATTGGCCTGGCACCTTTTCTCAGATACCCCGGGAAGTGCATCATGAGCATTGGTGGCAGATATAGCAACAAGTGTGACAACGGACTGACCATAAATTTTATCCATTTTGTTGATTTGCTGTAATGCCTCGTTTGCGGCGCCAGGATCTTGTAAAATGCACAAGCGATCAACCCACAGATACCGTATGCCGAGCCTGATGCATGCAGTCATAACATCACGTATGGTCCGTGGGATTTGCTGCTGAAACTTTTCAAACAGACAGCCTTTCTCTCTCAGGGCTTCAATGTTGTTTGTGGAGGCCATAAGCTCTCCCTCTCTGGGTTCTCCCCATACATAGCTCAGGGTGGCATATTCGCACGGCGACGGAGCTTCCGTCACACAACCATGTTTTGTATCAACGACTCGGAACTGGGGTCCTGCGAATAATGCCGGCTTTGACGCTCGGTCGGCCTTGGTCAAATCACCGTATAGCCAGGTGGAAATCCTCTCCCAGTCTACCATTGGCGGAGGCACGTTCAACTTATTCCCAGGACCCTTCTCCACAACCCCCAAAAAGCGGTATAAATCCACAAACGTTTCTTTATCTGACATGGTTTATGGTTAATGAAAGGTTATGCAACAGTGTTTGCCTTCTATCTTTATTGTGGTTTCTTCCAATTCACACAAGTATGATATGACTTACAATATAGCTCAAGGTCGACCGCGAAGCGGTTGCCTTGAAATATATTGTCCTTCCGTTCAAAACGTAGGACTGCTTTCACACCTGGAGTAGAAAAATCGGCTATATTCATGGCCATTCCCTGTAATAGTCCACGACAGATTGCGCAGTGCGAAGAGGGACGATGTATGTCGTCTAGCCTTCCGAATTCGAACAAGAAACAATACTCGTAGAATGTGTGGATGGCTCCGAGCTTCTCCCAGAATATGCAGCTACAAAGGTGTCCAAGCCGCATGTGTTGACATATATCACAAAGGCTATCTGAGAGGCCATTATTGGCATCGCAGTTGGAGCATGGTCTGTGGAATATCTGCTTGCGGTATGTCTCACTTTGTTCAAGATCCATCGTGGAACAAGTGGGAGTCACCTCTATGGACACGCAAAGTGGGCATGTCATGATAGAAATACGGTCGTGGGCTTTGCGGAAGGGTGGTGAAATGGGGCGATTCGGATGATCGACCATGATGAGATCAAGGCCCGATGGTAAACCCAAGGTGAGAACTGAATTATGAAGAGACGGCGTGACGTTAATGAGGGGTTGTCAGCCAAGGGTGACGTGGCACACCGGATTGAAGCATGCATTATCCCTGGGTGGTGATACAGGTTAGAGTAATGCATCCCGCTGTAGCAGTGCGTACAACATCCTCATCGCTGATCTGTAAACCAACACTGCAGATGAGCTATGATCCACCTCCCCTTTACCACGATCGGCGTCTTCCTAAGTGCGAAAGATGAGATAGTAGCCGTCGTCGGTCAATCACACTTTGTCCCCATTTCTCAAATATAACTGGATGCGACAGCCACAAAGAAAGGGCATCTTTGTGATATTGCAAATGATGTGTTATATTGCGCGTGTCGAATGTGGAACTTCTGAAAGAGAGTGCCTGGGGCGAGGAGGATCCGGATTCATATAGAGGCGGGGAAGTCACTGACGCGGAGGTTCCGGTCCATGAATAGATGACGATTCCGGAGGGATTCGAAGGCCTTTGGGGAGCATTACCGCGCGGCTTTGTACATGGCACGTATTGAGGTAATGCATAAGCAAAGGAGATGGAAAGATCCAGCAAGATGGGAAATCGGAGAGACCGGGTTTTGGCATGTCCCGAATCCCGAATCCTGAACCCGAATTCCGATTGGAGCTGACCAGAAGAAGCTCTTGAGGGTGATTGATCAGGCCCAAGATGTCCCCCATCACGAAGACAAAGACACGAAGACCCCCAATCCAGGGAGTCGGAGGTTACAGCTGCCGACCACCGACTTTCATTTCTAAGGTCTGATTAATCCCAATGGAAGTTTGAAGTCATTGTTGATATTCCAACTATACCATCATCAAGAACATAACGACATCACCAACATGACCACCACAATTCTCCCCCTCACCCTGTACGGCAAAGGCGGTCCCAACCCACCCCGTGTGGCTACCATCCTCACCGAGCTCTCCATCCCATACACCACCTTCGCAATCCCTCTATCCACCGTCAAACAACCCTCCTACACCGCCATCGACCCCAACGGCCGCCTCCCTGCCTTCCATGACCCCAACACTAACCTCACTATCTGGGAGTCCGGAGTCATCATCCAATACTTGATCTCCAGATACGACAAAACCCACAAGATCAGTTTCCCCGAAGGCACCAGCAAGAGCTATCTCACCGCGCAGTGGATATTCTTCCAGGCTAGTGGACAGGGGCCTTACTAAGCAAGCGTCGTGGTTCAAGGCGTTTCATCTGGATAGGGTGCCGAGTGCGGTGGAATGGTATGTCGGGGAGATTAACAGGGTGACGGGGGTTCTGGAGGGGGTGTTGCAACAGATAATGGAGGATGGAGAGGAGGAGCCGTGGTTGGTAGGACGGAAGTGTAGTGTGGCGGATTTGGTGTGGATTAGTTGGCAGGTTATTATCACCAGGGTGATTACCAAGGAGGATGGGTATGATTTGGAGGAGTTTCCGGTGGTGAAGGGGTGGTTGGAGAAGATACTGGAGAGGGAGGCTGTCAAGGAGGTCATGGCGGATAACGGGCCGGTGGTGTAACTGGGGCGAGTGGTCTAGGGAAGAGTCTATCAGAGCTAGGCCTTGCGCTGGCTGGTCGTGGTCTTGTGCGCCTACAGAACTCCACTTTTGCTCCTCGTGGGCCCTATTTCGGTACCTTGTCCGAGCACAGAGATATCTTAGAAGCCACGAAGAAGATAATACCTCCATTAGCAGGCTTATCTACAATCCAAAAGCTCTCCAGACCTACACTATGGCATACCGATCTTCACATGGGCAATATTTATGTTTCCGAGGAAGATCCAACGACCGTAGTCAGTATGATCGACTGGCAATTCACCTCAATTATGCCGGCATTCATGCAAGTCCAGTGGCCAACCTTTCTCTCTCCACCAAATAACTATGAATATTGCCTGGTCAAGCCGGAATTGCCCGTAAATTTCAACGATATGGACGAGGATGAAAAAGCCTTCGCTAGGAGTGAAAGAGACTAAGCCTTTCTCTCCAAATGCTACGAGACAGCACTGGGAAAATACCATTTAGCATCATACGTTGCGCTCACTCATATCAATTCTCCCGTGCGGCATCTACTCTCTTTTTGTGACAACACGACAAAGAACGGGATTATACCACTGCGCGATTCTTTGACTGAGATTATTGAGAATTGGACGGAACTGGGTCTTGTAGACACTTGCCCTTTCCGAATTGACGACTACGATTTGTCGAAACATCAACATGAAGTGGCGCGATACAAAGATTGGCAAACGCTCAAAGGCTACACACAGGAGTTGCTGCACACAGATGATGATGGGTGGATCTCCCCTCAGCTGGATTTTGACAAAGTACGAGCAAGACACGACGAGCTCTTCCAGCTCTACATGCAACGAGAAACAGAAGTCTTATCTGAGGAAGAAGCAAAAAGGCTCTGGTTTTACACCGATAAAGCTGAAGATGGCTCCAACTCCACAGCATGTGCGAAATCTCTCATGTAAGGTGTCGCTGGATGCGTTGAATTTCCTTGGTTCGGGCTGGGACAGGGGCAATCAAGGCCTACATGAGCACGTCAGACATTCGATCATCTAAGGTCCAGTTTCTAATCGAGTAGCTATACGTTCAGCTCGGATTTCGGGTATATTGCCTTATATCATCAAAGACGGTTAACAGCCCCCCCAGCCCCACTGTACGCCTCCCAGTTGTCCATCCCCAACGATGATTCTTCCTAACTGCTCTGATGCTTCGGCCCATCGGAGTAGAACAAGCAATCGAGAGAAACTACTAGCATACTAGCGCTATCTAGCTGGACGAATGGCTCCAAACCCAAAGCCGTGTTTCCGCGCCTTGCATAGGCGCGAAGAGTGAGCGGCTATATCTTCCCGCTCACTCGCGACTGGGAGGTGGCAGCTTTTGCATTAGCGTCAAATTTACGCTACCCCTCTTGTTGTGCTGTCTTAGAAATTCCACTCCTTTCATTCACTGGCCCTACCTAAATAATATTGACCCCTGCATCCGATGACGCGTTCCTTCCACCCTGTAGGCACTGACCTATTTTAACAACCCACTCTCCATTATATTTAGAAAGTCCGGATAGAAATGATGGGACTGAGGTTCATAGTGCCACAACATTTCAATTTTAGTACCGAAACATTACACAGTAATCGACCCCTCCGTAATCCTCCGGGGTTCCCGCTACACGCCACCGACACCTATGTTCGTGTATAGAAATGACTTCTATTTTTAAGAATTCTAACAAGCCAAACAATGTAAAGGTTTCTATTATAAGCTTTCAATGTCATCATGGACATATATCTTAGCCCCTTTTGAATACTGCTAACTTCAGTTTGTTAAGATCTCAAACTCAAAACACTTGTTTGGAGAATCCTGCAGATGCCTTAAGTTTCAGGTGTTGATATACTAGAAATCTGACTTCACTAGGAATTTAATACAAACTTGGATGGTAAAAGCCGTATATAAACGCATAAATATCATTAGATTTTTAAAAGATGTAACTCATATCTGTGAAATCAAGTGTGGTCAGGCGTATTTCCCTAAAGATACCGTCCCGTAGTCAACCCAAACACAATATGGCGCATATGCTGAAACAACTCCTCGTAACTTGTAATCCTTTCCAGCAACATGCCCACAAACTCCGGCCCGAACGACCTCTTCTTTTTGATACCCACATAGTCGAACCCCTCCGGGTAGATCCCTGAATACCCCCAATCAATCAGCCATACCATTCCCTCCCCATCGAGTATCAAATTCCTGGGCATAACATCCTGATGTGTCAAAACCAGCTTGTCAAAATGAAAAGAGGGAACGTCCTCCGGAATCCTGTTGAATAATCGCCCGACATCCAATCTCCGATCAAACCACGCCTCCATCTCCTGTATCGAGGCGAATGGCCCAGCACCCTCATCAAGGAACATGTAACCGTGCGCCAGGCACCGTATATCACCCTTAGGGCCAGGAAGCTGCTGATACGCGTCAGGTAGCGGAATAGAGTGCAATGTATCCAACATCAAAGCCACTTGGTCGACAACGTCGACGCGCTTTTTCTGGCTCAATTCATCCCAGCAGCGATCGAGGGTTGTGCCGTTGATGAAATCCATTAGGATCAAGCATTTCCATTCGCCCCAAGTTTCAACTCTTTCGATATTGAAAAGCCGATGGACCCTAGACGCCCGGATTCTACGTGCTCCATTTTCCTCTCCTGCCTTGGCGATAAAGTTTAAGATGTTGGCTTCGCCCGGTTGTGTGTTTGGACCGCCCTTGAGGATCAGTGTTTGTGACAGGCGGACAATTTTTGTCCCTCCAAAATTGTGATCAATAGGTGCAGCTTCAAACAGTTTGGTTAGGGTCTCGTCGGAACTTGGGAGATGTCACAGCCATCGAGGGGGAACTTCTGGGGCTCTGTTGGAGCTTGGCCAGTCGCAGGCTTTGATAGTACTATTTCTTAGCTTAATCACAGGGGTGAGGTGAGAAGGAGTTCATTCACCTCTGTTGTAACATGGACGTCTATACTAGCCATTTTGTGGGTGATTTTACATAGAAGCTAGAACGTGTTTAAGGAGATGAATCGATGAATTGTTATGAACTGTGAACAGTTGTTTGGGCAGCATCAATGCAAACTAGGCAAACATGGCTCAGCAGCAATTCAGTCAACCCTTTTTTTTGGAGGCTTCGCTGACAACTTGATTCTAATTTATATTACTCTTGAGGGCACATTCGTGGCTCATGACTTAATATACTCAGTAGATTACTTGCCATTCTGTCCGGCGCTTCAGCTCAGCCACAGACAACAAACACTCCTCTCCCCCGCCCCTGTGGAGAATGCAGAACCACCCCAATCTGCTAGCCAAGATCCAATCATCCTGCGATATAGAAGAAGTAAATCTGTACAATCGGTGTGGATCATGATCTCTCTGCAACTTTACCGATATGGCAACTCCATGATGTAAGATATTTTCGGTGGAAATGAACTATATGATAAATATAAATGGACCTAGCTGGCACAGTATAGGTGAACTAGGAACATGACAGATCTATTGTTTTTATATTCTTGCTTATATATCATCAACGGCTCGTGACTTTCCGGTTGATCTATCAATACTCATCACCTAGACTTCCCAGTGCCGTACGATCTTTTTGCAGGCCTTTAGATGATTTGGCACCTGTCCACAAGGGGCTTTGTTGGTCATATAGATGAGATACACACTGTATTACTACTAGAAAGAAGGGCAAGGGTACGACCACCAAGTAATACTGGTTTATAACACAGCCAGCACCAAAATATATATATGAGCCTAGCAGCTCGAACAGTTATTAGCTGGATAGTTCTGAGTCATTGAGGCATTCCCTGGCAATTTTCTTTTTTCAAAATACATTTAGACGGTTGTAACACATCAATAGAACATTAACACAAAGATAATAGTAATCAACCAGGTGACCATCACCAACAACAAAGTACCCCTCACTCCACATCTCCCACCACCCCTCTACACATCCTCATCCATCATAACCATCCCCATCACCAACATCATGAACATCCCCTCCCCTCCCTTCCACCCCCTCCAATTCATCCCCCCCACCCAAGAACCCACCATCCTAACCCACCCAATCACCCACCTCCTCATAACCGCCCACGAACCCCTCCCCCGCGGCGGCAACCACTGGTGCATCTACCTCAGCACCACCACGCCCACCACCTCCATACAAATCGACATGACACCTTCCTACACCGTCCCAGGAACCACCAACCCCACCGGCAGCAAAGGCATCATGATCATCAGCACCCAACCCTACACCACACCTCCGCGCGCAACAAAAGCCTTCCGAATCGATATCCACCCGGGATATAAAGTCAAAGACTTGGTGGACTTGTTGACCAGTGAAGGGAGACATCAATATGAGTTTACTTCTGAGGGCGAGGGGTGTAGGTTCTGGGTGGATCAGGTGGTCGAGTTGATTGCGGAGAAAGGGTGGGTGGTTGATGATAAGCAGGTGGGGGATGCTAGGGAGGGGATTTTGATCAAGTGGCCGGCTGGTGGGAGGTATGGGCTTGTGGTGGGGAGGTATTATGATTGAGGGGGTGTCAAGGAGCTTATATATCTGGCTTCAGTGTGAGGGGTTTCTGGATTCTATAATGAACGGACTGTGTCGGATATAGGGGTAGTGGCAATGGTTCATGTCTCGCTGGAGGTATAGCGACTGGGGAGGTGTTTACAAGGACGGTCTGGTTATCCAAATGCCTCGGGATATGGAAAGTCGGTGCTCGCTGCTTTCTAACCCATGAATAAGAAAGAGCCAATGTCTATCCCAAGCGGCCCTTTACTTACTGGCTTCGGTCCCCGCGTTGATGTCGGGGAACTGGAGTGTGAGTGTTATTCATATTAATTATATTAGTATCAGATGTATAAGAGTAAGTATTATTTTTTGGTTGATTATGTATTCTACGGTAGGAAGAGATGGTGGATGTATTACAATGACTGAATGCTGGCTACTTATGGAGAAGACATTAGGAGATGATGAAAGGGAGGGGCTCATGGAATTGTCTCTTATTGTCTTGGGTCATCTAACCCGGTTGATAGATGTTACTGTTATTTAGGATATAATGAAGGAGATAGAAAGTGCTAAGATGTAATGACAGGCCATCAGATCCATTGTTTGGAATACTAGCGTTGCTCTTGAATTCAATTTGATTTCTATATATGTTGTGTGTGTTCCCTAGGTATAGTTGACCATGCTGAAGGAAAATATACAAGCTTGGTCATACCGAACCCTCGAATACCATCATCTGGTTTATCCAACAAAAATGCAGAAGCTTGGTATATCATGATGGCTGCACTCTCATCCCGCAAAGCTTCCTACCAGGTCATACGCGCCAAGCAATACTCTAAACCTGAACATTCTCCATTAAACAAGATGGTCCAATCCTGATCGGGGTTCCAATCAAACCATGGGGTGAGGGGGAACACTTTTCCACAGCCATCAGGTTGCACCGTACATCCCTTGGGAATGCGGATCAACAAAGCTGTCGGAGCTAACTCGCATTTTCTGCAAATGTAGTTTTCGGGTGGCACAATAGCTGGCGCGTATCCACACGTCAGGTGGTACCAAGCAAGACATTCGGAGCAGCATATAAGAGGTATATCCGTCTTTTTGCCACAGCAGGGAATGGACGAGCCAAATTGTTTGACCTGGAAGTTAAACTGAGATACGGTGCAGTTCCTGTAGTATGATCGCTCCATTGCCGGAGATGCTTGTGCAAATGCGATAGTATCCCTGGGCTCTAGCTCGCAGATCATCAAGTCCAGAAGCTCGGGGGGTATGACTCGCTTCCATGATTCATTGACGCGAGTATGCGTCCCGTAAGGGGATGTGAGGACTTGGGCGAGTGCACGGAATCCGGGCATGCACTCCTCGGAAGACGTCGACGTGAGTAGTTCCATTGTTTTGGTTGATGAGAATCCGTCGCTGCATACATGTAAGAACGCAATGTGGCGCAGAGAGATGACGATCACACGCACGGCTTGCTTCCTAGGGTGGAATTCATTGAGATACAACTTAGCACGCTCAATGGCCCTATTTTTTGCTGTCTGTGAGGCGATATCATCCTGGAGAACGATGAGATGCTCGTGAAACCAGTATATTCCTTCTTTGGGATAGTTCCAAGTTGGAGTGGGTAAGCTCTCATTGGTCCGCCTTGGTTTGCATTCACGGGCCGCTTCGAAATCCCAGGCAGCAAGGCGCAGAAGGTCCATGGTTAATGCTTGAAAGACACCGGTATCATAATTCCATGTTCGGGGATCGTCCACGTATATTTGCCAATGGGATTTAAAGTCTTTGAAGAATTGTTCCTGGACCTCATGCATAGGCTCCGGGCTGCTCAGACCTAGATTGAACAGTTGGGCGGGGAGCGGTCCGTCACTAGTAACATTCGATGGAATGGGGCAGTCATCGAGGGCATCTATAGGGGGCTGTGCTAGGGCATAATTTATCGCTTCGTCAGAGATTCCGCAAAGATTCATTTGTACGGATCTAGGTCTTGGGTCGGCGAATTTTGTGATTGTGAGAGACCCTGCATCCAGATCGGCCGTGTATATGTAAGCTCATTCTTCATTTATGGGGCTCGGAAATGGGATTCCCTCCCAGGATTCGAGACCCCTGCGGTCATCACCGTAGTTCTTTGCACTAGCTAATATCTCCATCATCTCCTTGTCCCCCGGGAGTGGTGCCAAGGGGGTGAAAGGTATCAGTGGTCTCGGTTTGTAGCGACGATACCATTTTCCTGTGAGATGTGTTAGTAACTTGACTGCCCATGGCCGACTATCACAGACCATTGATTTGGAGGTTCCAAAGTACGTTAGGACGTTCTGGAATTCTCATCTTTCCAATAGATTCTTGTTCGTTGAATGGGAAGAATAACTGCCCTCCTTGTACACGGCCTGACTTTCGCGGGATGCGTGACAACTGCGAGCACAACGTTTGTTGCAAGCCTGATAGATCGGTGACGAATCTTTGTGAAAGGAAGACAAGGAAGTGTATTATATAGATGAGCACGGTGACCATCTGACTCAGCAATGCAGTGGCGTTACGGAATTATCCTTGTATGTCAAAGAACATTTGCCGAAACTTTCTTTGTATACACCAGATGCATCCATATGTTTCAAGTCTATCCCTCTCCATATGCCCATCATCCGCCAGTTTCTTCTCCATCGGTTAGTTGCGACCTCAACAGAAACAATAAACGGCACCTGCTATTCAAGCGACCACAGGTTATCGAACGTCCATGCGGATGGGTTGCCAAAGAAAAACTCTCCCAAGGATAACTCAGGGTTTTCAAAGCCATCCTAGCACCTGTTAGCGGAGTTAGAGTTTTGACAAAGGAGACATCCTACCTGACTTATATTTGGATCGATAAACGACGCATTTGCCATGTCAGTCGCCGTTTGTCCCCAGTCATCTGGTGCCGCCATCTGTATGGTGTGAGTAAGTTGATCAGCGTGATTCCTGGAGATCGTACCTGATCTAAACGCAAGGGAAATAGAACTTCCTTCGCCTTGTGTAAATCTTCCTGGTGTGCTAGGATCCGGTGGTATTGCCTGACCACTCGCTCGATGGCTTCCTCTTTCCGTCCAGATTGGTCTGTGGGGGAAAGAACCAATTGAAGGAAGGTATACGCTGCGGAGATGTACCAGTAGTGGGTGTAGCCTGTACCAAGGCGTGTTATTCTCTGGGAGAGCAGGTCAAGGGCGCTGTTGACGTATTGAAGAAGGGTGTTACTGTTGGAACCGAGGAGGTTGTCTGTGATGTGTCAGCACACCAGAGTATGGAGATCAGGGGCAAGTATACATACTCTGAATCGTAGCTGAGATATATAAATTATGGCAAATCATCAACGCTGCCCTAAAGTGATCAACCCGCAGAAGAAGAAGGGCATGATTGCCCGATTTGCTCAGCTGATAGTGCCTCTCAATGATCTCACAGGCGGCATTGAAACACACCATCTTCGACAATGTGTGACGTGGATTACTATCAGTTTGCCTCGCAAACGGTGCATGAAACATGATCAGGCAATGACGCAGCTGGATTTCGAGGAGAGTTCTAGCCATTTCAGAGGATCCGTGATCATCCCATTTTGGGAGTCTCCGGAGCTCATTCGTGATCTTTTCTTCTTCATCCATAACATCATCATATGTCCATCGAGATCCGATGTCATTAACCTTTGAGTTGATGGAAGTCCGAAGCGAGAACGTAGCTGCTGAAATGTGTAGAAACGAGCACTTGGTGTACTTTCCCCACGGCTTCGACTCGGGCAGTAACACCCCCTCCACCAACAATTCCTCGTCGTCAATATTAAGCGGCGTGCTGCTGTCGGACGTGATGCCCGTCATTGAAGAAGGCATGCCCCGCTCTGTCGAAGCCTGGAGTTCCAATTCCAGCATCGTAGCCCATAACCGTTGTCGCATCTCCTGATCAAACGCAGAAACTCTTTCCCCCAACATCTTGGGATCACGATGGAATCCAGCCGACATGGCCGTTCGAACCAGCGTCCCTGCCCCAGTCCACGCCTGCTTCTTCTTCACGGCATTCACCTGTTTGGCCAACACCAACAGACATCGAATCTGCCATATAGCCAAATACACATGCTTCTGGCTCTGACAAGACAGCCACCATTCGGAAGCCTCGATCCACAATGCCGCACGCTCTCGACCCATTGAGCTCTCCCCAATATATTGCGTCTGCCCATCGTCAGAGATACAACTCACCGACGCCATAATCAGCAACAACAGCACCACAAACGCCGGCTTCGCAGTCCTCCAATCCTCGCGAAACGTCTCATACTCTTTTGCAAAGCTCGGGTAATGCAGTATGCGATACAACGACTCAAACGTCTCGAAATATACCCTAACATGCTCATCAATCGTGGCCTGATCCGGAAGAAGCCCAAAAAGCTCCCACTCGGATTTCGGCACTAATTCAGTCCGAGCCGTTTTCCACTTCGCCTGCAATGCTTTCAATTCGCGCTGAAGAGTCGGCAGTGAAGTCCGCTGCATGATCGTCTCTTTCATAAACGTGCGCAGTTCCTGGAACTAAGCCCGTTAGTCTCCACCAACCTTACACCACACCACAGTCAAGACTCACATGAGAAATCAGACTAATGGGATTACTACTCCCATAATACTGCGTCATGAAATTCTGGCCCCGGAAAATCGTCACCTCAGTTTCCCCAGCCCCGCCCTGCTCATTGCGAGGAACAACCTGCACGATTTTCTCCACCCCCGAACGAATAGCCGGCCGCTGTTCATTCGTCCCCGTCGCACTCGACGTCGCCCCAAGTAACTGCCACGTCCCTGCATTCGGAGTCGCCTCTAATGAAGACGAAGCTAACCCCGAGGCACGTGCTGCAGGCAATCGAGCCACCTGTCCCACCGCTTCCTGGTTCACAGGCGTATAACACGTGGATGTCGGTGAGGGATGTCTTAGCACATCTGCGGGCTCATCGTAGGAGCAGGAATGCGCTTGCCCGGCGTTTCGGCACCGAGTACATGCCGGCAACTCCCGATCACATTTGAGTTTGCGCCGACGACAATCGTAGCATGAGAGGGTTTTGCGCTTTCGGCGCTTGCTTTCGCGAGGTGAATGCTGGGGGGATTGGGATCTCCGAGGTTTGGGGTGAGAGGACATGGTGGTGAGATGTTGTGGTGGGTGAGTTAGATCCGGGGGTCCGAGGGGAGCTAATAAGGCTCGGAGATCGCGGAGATGGGCGGAGATTCTCGGACTTCGGGTCGGATTTTGAGGTTGGCTTATCAGATTAACACAAAATCAAACAAAAGCTCAAAAGGATATACTGACTCAGAGACATTCGAATATTCCTGAACGTTTGCAGTTTAAAGTGTCAGCATCTTCCTATCGCAATATAGCAGTAGAAGTGTTCAATTTCCGCACCATACTAAGTTCACCACGCTGGACCAACACTTCAGAAGACGCGATTACTATATTCCACCAAGTTACAAGCATGTAGACTGGTCCATATAGCTACTGCTATTTCAAGCCCAAAAGCGACCGCTAATAAGCCCCAGTGCATGAGATACCCGTCTGGATCTATTTAACCACCGCCATCAAAAACCCATCATACTGCTTCGCCCCCAGCGTCTGCATAACCACCGCCTCGACCCTCTCATCCTTAGCCACCTCCTCCACCAACGGAACCACACTCTCATCTCTCTCCTCCGGACCCACATGACCATAATCCAACATCGCCAGGACCACGTTATCCACAAAAACCACACTTCCCTTCCCGGTCGCCAATTTGACCCCGTAGTCGAAGTACTTCCACTGGTTCGGCCAGTCCGCATCGATAAAGACAAAGTCGAACCGCTGGCGCTCTCCACGCTGGATCTCTTCGTCCAGCTTAGGAAGAACATCCAACCCGGCGCCCAGCACCACGTCCACTTCCTCCGGGACCTTGATACCCGCGTTTCGCAGATTCTCAATCGCGACTTCGCGTCTGTCTGGATTGATTTCAATGCTGGTGACTTTTCCTCCCGTGGAACTGATGGCTCGTGCGAGCCAGATGCTGGAGTAGCCGCCTAGAGTGCCCAGTTCGAGGACGTTGCGGGCTCCGCTGCATGACGCGAGTAGGTTCAGGAACTTTCCTTGGTTGGCGGAGAGGGCAATAGGCGGGATGCCGTGTTTGAGACTGTTGTTGCGCGCATTGAACATGCCTGGGTCTTCGGGAGCAAGGTGAGACTGGACGTAGGTCTCGACGGTGTCGGCTTGGGTGGCTCTTTGGATGGACATTTTGGTGGTGCGCGGAAGCTTTGTAAAATAATACTTTGATGGAAATGTATCGATAAAGTAAACCAGGTGCTGTTGAAGGTTTGAGTGACGGTGAAAGAGAAAGATCTTATTTCTTCTTCTCTCTGGCTTTATAGGTTTGCTATTCAATCAATGTCCGAGACGCTATCCCGAAGCTAACATTATCAAGGCTGTATATCTCGGGGTTGCCAGTGCCAAGGGTCGGTTTCTTCGGACATCGAAAGTCTCCAGCTCTTCATTAGCGCAAGTCTGTTATCAATCAGCAGCTAATCAGGGTATATGCGCGTTTTCCGTTATCTCCGACACTAAGCATGCTCATGTCTCACGTCATGACGTGACCGACACGAAGACGGCCCGGCTTAACCTGCAGTCATGCCTGGATCATGACATCCGGAAGTATCAGATCCGAATAGCTCTTATTCCACCCTGTTGGCACTAGATGGGGGAGCACAAACGGGGTCATGCTGGTCCGAAGATCTGGGCTGTACAGGTGTAGCATCCAGTTCTTGAATTGAACCGGGCAGTTCGGGTGGAGTGTTGATTACATCAGATACTGACGGCATTCTGATAGGAGTTGGCTGGGATGACGTGGCTCCCTGTGCCTCGCTAGGTGCTTCAGAGGGCAATTCAACTGCCCGTTCAGACACTACCTCCGACGGCAACTCAGAGGGAATTGCTATCGTGACTTCAGCGGGTGGTTCCTCCGAAGCCAACCCACGACTCAGTTCCACGCCAGTGTCGTTGAAGACGTCCGATTGCAAGGCACGCATGAGCGCGCTGGCCTCTTCGGGTGGAGGAATTTCGCCGCCCAGCAACTCAGGTGCCTTGGCTTTATTTCCGTACAGCTTCCGGTTCGCAAGTCTACTCTCGACTAAGAGGCTCAATTCGGCACTTACACCACCAAATAAACCTTTGGTCTGCGCATAGGAAAACATTCCTATGACCCCACCAGCGCTGACACCGCTCGCAATCTCCCCATTCCGTCCGAGTGTACCCAGAGCCAGTGACACATTGATGCCCAGGGTTAAACTTCCCAGCTGTGCGAAGGTGCGTACAGCAAGGTCGTTCTGAAGAATGAAGACGAAGTCTGTCAATTCCACGCCGATTTGGCCCCCGAAGCCACCTCCGAGGGACATGATCGCTGACGGCGCAGACCAGGAGCCATCTTTCAGGCGCGCAACGAGGACACCAGAACCGATGCGGCCTGATCCGAGGAATGCGACCTTGGCGACAGTGAGGATTGCCAGGCCCTGCCAAACCGCCAGTCAGTTCCGCGGCCATGGGAAAGTATGACCAGTGGACTTATCGATCACCTACCTTCGCGCCGGTGAGAATCTTTCGTGGGATGGTGTGGCCCGGGCTATTGAAGGCATCGGGATTGGTAAAAGACTCGATGATCTGGGCTGCCTTGTCACACTCGCCTGTTTTTGTGCGGATCTTTGTTAGTGGCGGCAACTATTGTCTTGTAGCTTGGAGCAACAACATGGTGGAATCCAGATTGGTAGCAGTGAATAGACATACGTACTCTGCAAAGACGAGGGAAACGGGTTGTGGATTCCTCCAGGCATTGTGCAGATGACTCTCGCAACAAAGAGAGTGAAAGTGAAAGTGGGTGATTGTTGACGAGAAAGGTCCAGACCGTGGCAGATAAGGCTGGTTAAGGGGCACGTGTGGAGGTCACGGCTTGTCCCGATGCAGTAAGCTCAGGCTGCCCACAAGGCTTTCTGCATTTCCCTTTCCACTCTAGCCTGGACCCTGGGCCGCTTGGTTCATTTCCCTCCTCATTTTCTATCTTCTAGCAATCTCGTCCATGTTACGTGAAGCACAGATATATATCCGACTCATAACTGCAAAATAAAAGAGGCAACTCTCATTAGTGACCACCACGAGGGTAGCTGATGGTGTACGAATCAACCCATATATATATATAACCCGAAAACAACAGGAACTTGTCCACTATATCCGAATGATGAACAAAGTCTAAGCAGCAGACCTCCCCAGAATCCAAGTAGCAATATCGTCAGCATAGACTGGGACATTCTCAGGCAAGTCCGAATGCAAAAGATGGCTCCATCCATCGTAGGACTTGTGCAACTTCTCCGTCTCAGGTACGCGAGTCGTCTGCTTCTCAAACCACCTTTTGCTCGCATCGTAACTGGTACAATTATCCCCAGTTCCGTGCGCCAAAAACACAGACTGCACGCCATCAACCAGGACCAGCTTGCCCTCATCTAGGGCGATCATACGATCAAGCATATTAGCAAACATTTCCAGGGTTCCCGTGGCATGGTTCAACGGGTCCTCTTTCAGGCTCCGCTGCACCTCCGGGTCGCGCACTAGGGTTTCCACGCGCATTTTCTCCACGAGCTGGAAGCGCGGCAGGACCTTGCCTGCTAGTCGGCCCAGAAAGACCGTGACAGAGCTCGGGGTCTGCTCCGGAGTAAGTCCCATCAACGGCGCCAAGCACAGGATACCACGAAGGGAGGATACGAGTGGTTGATACTTCGGAGTCGAGGCGAAGGTGGCCACCAATCCACCGCCCATGGAATGATCACTGACGAACAATGGAAGCTCAGGGAAGACGTCGGTCTTCTGCGACTCGATGAAGGCGGCCATATCGGCCAGCGTCAAGGAGGTTGGCCCTGTGTTTCCCCGGTCGGACTTTTTCGGGGCCGAGCGGCCCCAGCCACGCCCGTCGATGCCAGAACAGAGGATACCATGGCGAGCCAGCAAAGAGAAGAAGTCGTTGTAGTTGTTGATGTGGTCACTGAAGCCATGGAAATGGGCCAACTTGGCCTTGGGGGTAGCGGGCTGGAAAGAGGTCAGAATGTCGCCGACCATGACGCTTGCTGGCATGTGACGGGACCTGACTTACCGACCACGTCTTTTGGTACAGGACCGTGCCGTCCGGGAGTTTAAACTCGCCTTCCGTTATAGTGATGTCGGCCATGTCGGAAATAGATGACGGTGTATAATATGAAGGGCCGATGAATGGAGATCTCAATGAGGGAGGATGCAACAACCGGAGTTGTCGCAATGGGTTGAATGACGGTCAGGACCAGCCTCGGTCGGCGTGAAAGAGATCGACGCGAGCACGAACGCCGCCAAGCTTGGTCGCTGCTGGCGGGCGCCTCAGGTGTCGAGTCCAGATCACGCGAAATTTGCATGCCAATTGCTATGCAAAGTGACGCCAGCAGGTATGAGGAGCATGTTTAATAACATGGTCACCGGACTACAGAGCATGGAAAAAACCCCATGAGCAGGCTAGCTCGTCATCATGCATTAGCGGGGGTGAGATGGTCCTCAGCTGCAGGGTCCCCCAAGTCCAACATCAGCAGTGAGTGGGGCCCAATGAACCCGGGCCTGGGGCATCCATGGACCGGTAAACCCGACTCGGAGATCCATGAGAGGTTACATGAAATTTGGGGTATTCAATGTTTCTCTATTACTGTGCCTCGCGCTGTTGCAACCGATCCTCCAGCTGCTCCACTGGCGACTTCAAATGAACCTCTGGAAACCTGAGGTCTTTCTTCCAGGGCAGAAAATCCGACGACCCAACTAGCCACCGCATCACCTCTGCCTCCAACATGCGCGCAATGGGCACTTTGTTCGGTTCCATCGCCAAATTGCGCATTTCCTCCGGATCATTACGTCTATCGTAGAGCTCTGCCGGCTCATACAGTCGATAGATGAACGTCCATTCCGGACTCCGCAAACTAATGGCCTTGCCCACCAGCGCCGTATCACGATGCTGAAGCGTCGACTTGAGATCATACGGATACGGTGCCTGTTCCAACAACGGCTCTTCGGAAAGAAGAAAACCGCCCTCAGAAAAGGCATAGTCCTTGTGCTTCTGGCTCGGATCTTGTAGAACGGGCATCATCGACTGCCCATTATGCGGAAACTGTTCGGCTATCCCGCACAGCTCCAACACCGTAGGCACAAGGTCCACCATTTCAGCCATCCCATCGTATCGCTGCTGAGAAGGAAGTCCGCCCCCGGCGATGATCAACGGCTCATGCACCAAGCTATCCGACAAGCCCGACGGCCATTTCTCAATCAACCCATGATCCCCAAGATACTCGCCATGGTCGGTAAAGAACATGGACACCGTACTATCCCACAGCCCTTGCGCGTCAACCTTCGCTATTATCTGTCCGAACTGCTCGTCCAGTCTCGAGATCATCCCATAGTATGTCGCTTGTATTTCGCGCCAGATCTCATCCGTGGCCCGATGCGTCCCGTACTCCTCCCTGATTGCCGCCATATACCGTGGCTCATACCCCGTCTTCTTTGCCGGGTTAGCACCAGCCCCAGTCATTCGGTCACGAGAGTGCATAGAGAAATAAGGCTCCTCGACCTGAAACGGACAATGCGGGAAGATCAACGGCATGAACAAGACCCACGGCTGCTCGGGTGGACAATCCAACCAGCGCAGCGCAGATCGCACCACCGCGTCGTCGTAGTCCCTCGCTTCGTCTGCATTCCGGAGTCCCTTGTAGAATAACCGTCCCCAGATGCTGTCGTCTTTGGCGTGGCCTCCGCCCCCGAACTTTGGTACGTAGTCCGGTGTCTCGATGAAGCCGTATTCGTCCATGCTGAGCTCTGTCACGGTTGGCGCAAATGTGTCTCCGCGGGGTGCTAGACATGCCACATGGTATCCGTCCTCCTTTAAAGTGCGGAAGAGGTTCGGTTCCCAGGGCTTGATGAGGTTGTCGAGACTGCGGTGACCGCTGACGTGTGGGTAGGTGCCAGTGAACATGCTGCATCGGGACTGGGAGCAGACTGAGGCCTGGACGAAGCAGTTCGTAAATAGAGTGCCCCGCGCGGCGAAGGCGTCGATGTTGGGGGTCTTTGCAGGGTGGGTTGGATTCGTGCAGCTGAGGCTGTCATAGCGGAGCTGGTCGGGCATAAAGATGAGGAGGTTCGGTTTGGAGACCATTTTTGCGTGATCGAAGTTATTTGTTCTCGTATTGGGGGGCTGGAGGCATTGCGATGCTGGGTGAGGGCGTTGTTTTGAAGGAGGAGGTGTGGTACATGGTTGCAATGTCGGTTGTCGGTCCCGACAAGTCGGCTGTCGGTGGTGGCCGACGGACGGCGCGATCAACCACTAGTATTGGATGGAAAGCACGCAAACAGGGCCCACGATTGAGTTATTACCATATGTAACATGATTGAAATCCTAAATGTTTACATGAAGTACAGCTATGCCTAGTATCCCATCCCATCCCACTGCATCTGCCGAATGAGGTCAAATCCAGCCTGTCCTTCCCATCCATCGACTACGTTTCCGTCGAGCAACCACACACCTTCGAAAGGGCTGACATCAAATCTGGAAAGCGTGGGTAATTGACCATCAAGACCAGACGACTCATTGTGATGCTCAAGGCCCGCAGCAGAATGTCCATCTGGCAAAGGAAGCTCTTCAGTGTCATCGACAACTACAGAGCGGCTGATGAGATTATGGATGGATAGAATATGTCTTGGTGTAGCCATAGATTTCATGACTCCGCCTGATTCATAATCCTTTGGTGCTGCCTTTTGTTCCCCAGATTCTTTGATTAAGGAGTTCAGATCGGCTCCCTGAAAGAGTTAGTATGGAGAAATAGTACGTGCCTTGCTACGCTTACTATTTGCTGCACAGCAGGCGACGTGTCTGAGATAATCCTGATCATCTCTGAGCATGAGTTGGCATATGCGACAAGTCGCTCCCGGGTGAGTTCACGGGCTGTGTGGATCAGTAGCCGAATACTCTGGTACGCCCAGACAGCAATTTCCATAGGTAAGACAGGCAGCTTTGCACCAAGCTGGAGAAGGGAGGTGATGATATCTGCCACCTTTTCAGCGTGGAATGCGCAACGATCTTGACACTGGAGCAGAAACGTGGGACTTAATTGCTCAAGCGTTGTATCTGGGATTGACTCCACTAGGGCAGGGGTAAGACACCTATAGAGGTCACAATGACACTGGTGCCATAGAAGATGAAGAAAGGCGTAGCGACACAGCCACGGGGAATGTGCTCGGAGCCGGAGATTTCGTCTCGAGTATAAGTCCGACAGGGGAAGACGGCGATATAATGCTTGAAGTTGGTTCTCAATTTCATGTATACCGTGCATGATTCCACTGGGTGTGTTTGCATCTGCCGCATACTTCTTGGTGGATCTAAAGATGGTGAGCTATATCGGAGAACAGAGGAGAGCAACGCCTACCTCAAGATTTGATCACGTAAGTATGCGACGCAAATGTCTCCAGCTAACAATCCCGGGATCTCTGATATTGAATGAAGTTGCACCTCCCGCGACGGACGAATGTCCAGCTCAAAATTCTCCTCCCTACACGGTAAAGGAACATGAATAGCATCCGCGGGACAGGTTGTGAATTCCAACAGCCCGGCCGCCCAATGTGTATCAAGCATGTAGATAGCCCACATTAGCCGTCTTCTAGTTTCAATGGCCAAAAAAGAAGCACCTGAACTCTGATAGTTGAGGCGAAGGGAGAAAGCCATGCGAGATAACATGGCAACCTGAGCAAACGCTAACGTGTAATCCCCGATGCACATCTTACAGCGAATCACCAACAGGAGGGCCTGTGTCCTCATGATTGACGGTTGGCCCAAGTTGGTCGTAACATCTTCCTCGGCCTTTGTAATACATTGTATCGCGTATCTCCTGTTCAACGGATCTGTGTCTGTTAAGAGTATTGATATAGCGGTGATTGAGAGTAGCAGGCACATATCAACATCCTCTCGATCTAACCGGTCATGCAACGAAGCCCGATGAAGAAACGCATATCCAGGCAGGGGATGAATGTGGGTGAAAAAGACGTTCAAAGCGAGTTCCAATCTCTGCCGATCAGGAAACTTGAAGGGTCCAAGCTCTCCGCTCCAGGGTCTTAGTATCGCGATATATAGCTGACATGTGCCGCAAGCGCAACTCACATTGGCTCCGAACCCTGCTCGTCAACGACCCCATCTGGACAGCTTGGCTCCTGGACAACGGCATTCTGGACAAGGTCGTTCTTAGGGGCCACATTACCAGCAGCCGGTGATGAGTAGATGCACTCCCTTCCGCGCTTCTGACATCGGACACATGCTGGAGCATGTCCACTACATCGGACCTTCAACGAGTGACACCGAGTGCAAGCTCGTCGCGCGCGTAGTCGCCCAGGTCTTCCCAATGAAGTATTGACCCCTTGAAAAGAGCAGGTAAATTGTAGGCGATCACAGTTTCCACAAGTACCTCGTCGACCGTCGCATCGGACCTGCAATCCTTCAAGTCAGCCAACCATTATTCGTCACATTCACCTGGTCCTTGGGTACCTTTCTAGTTCGACACTGCTGACATGTCTTCATTCTGCGGGCTGCTCTCAGAGATGATGCCATGACAGATGAACCTTGGGATATATGAGGAATGAAGGAGGGCGAGTGATGGCATGGAGTACCTAAGTGTGGAAGGCGACCGTGACATGGAGAGGGGCATTGTGGTGATTGGTGAAAGCACAGCCGGGATTGCGGGGGTGGAGACCCAAATGGCGTGCTTTTAGTCCCAGTCTCTTTTCAGTCCTCTTTTGATTAATCGTTTCTTTCCTCCACAAGTCCAAGATGCCAGTCTCTATTTGGTCCGGCCAGCTTATCAGCATCCACCACAGAATATGGCAGCCACCTCGGCCCTGCATGCTCACGGACCTATATGCTGCCAGAATCAGCTTCCATCTTGCCTGAAGGTGCTCGTAATAGCAGATGTAGTGGCTTGAAAAGAGAAAAAAAGAAAAACCCAGCCAAAGCTAAGGATTCCGTACCATCGGTTGATAGAGTCGGCATCGTCCAATACATCGACACCGACAGCCGACATTCTAGCACCAACATCAGGTACCTCGCAGCTATCAGCAACCCATCCCAGTGGTGCCTCGTGGTGTCAGTCGACACTAGGATGGTATAATAGCGGTACCGTTATCGAGATGCAGATCAATAGAAGCCATAGTCGGGCTCATTGCGGGTGTTGCGGGCGCTGCGACACCGGTCAACATTAACCGACAGCAAGATGAAGCTTCCTTCTGGATTTCAATACTTCAACACCAGACTCGCAACAGCATGCTCTCTCATTGCAATTTCTTCCTTGAACTATGGCTTTGACAACCAAGGCTTCTCCACTACGGAAGCCATGGATGCGTTTGACCGGCGCTTCGGCGAGCTTGATGCAGCAACAGAGACTTACGCATCGGATCCCTCCTGGCTATCAATGTTCAATAGCCTGAACTACATTGGGTTTGCAGTTGGCATGTCTCATTTCAATAATGAGTAAGGATGCAGTATGACTGACTCCTCAGGCGTGTTCATCGGCAGTGTTATCTCTTCGCGATTCGGTCGTCGATGGTGCATGTTTTGCATGAGTGGATATGCTCTCATCACTGCGACGATAACAGTAACTTCCCAGAATCGGGACCAAATATTAGCTGCGCGTATACTAAATTATGTCTATGTGGGAATGGAGCTAGCTGTCGTGCCAACCTTTCAATCAGAGATAGGTAATAATATCACCCTATCTGTATTCAACACAGCTCACACCTGCAGTTCCTGCGCCTGTCCGCGGCCTGGTTGTTGGAACCTATCAGTTTAGCATTATTCTGGGTGGCCTTATTATCAACTCCATTTGCAAAGGAACAAGTGGAATCCAGAGTGACCGTGCATGGAGGATCCCGTTGGGCCTTTACTACATCGTTCCGTCTATTATTCTCTGCTCGGTCTCGTACCCGAAAGTCCGCGGTGGCTCTTACAGCGTGGACGGACGGATGAGGCCAAGCGAAGTCTTTATCTCCTGCGTGATGGTTGTTTCAGTAGAGAGAAGATCGAGGCGGAATTCCACGAATTACAGGCAGTGTTAGAGCTCGAGGCAAGGTCTGGCCTATGGGCAGACCTGGTGAAGGGAGCCGATCTCCAACGTACTGCACTTGTGGTTATGGTGAATTTCTTTCAGCAGGCGACTGGGCAGGCCTTTGCATCACAGTATGGGACGGTTTATATCAAGCAGCTCGGGACCGTGAATCCGTTTACCATAGGTGTGGTCCTTGCGGTGATCAACCTCGTGTCTATGTTGGTTACGCTGGCGTGTACTGATAAAGTTGGTCGCCGGTGAGCTTCCCAGCATCTTTGTATGCCAAATTAATACTAATGATGGAGCAGGCCGATGCTTCTGATTAGTTCGGCTGTGATGGCAGTCGGAATGCTAACCATGGGGGGTTTGGTTACAGTGACACCCCTCACGGTTCCTATGAAGAAAGGGATCGTGGCCATGTATGTCTTCCTGGCAGTTGGGTTCTCTCTTGGATGGGGTCCCCAGGCGTACATCATGGCCACTGAGCTCCCTGCTTTGCGGTTGAGAGACAAGACCCTGCAACTGGGATTCATAGTGAACGTGATTTCAAAGTACGTCTCTTGTCCCTATGTTTTCAATTGAGACTAACCGATCCAGCTTCGTGGTCAACTTCACGATTCCCTATCTTGTGGACGCGGAATATGCTAATCTGGAATCGAAGGTCGGGTTTATATTCGGGTTCCTATGTGTTTGCGCTTTCGTCACCACATATTTCTTTGTCCCTGAATATCGGGGTAAGACACTGGAGGAGATTGATGTGATATTTAATTCCGGGGTGAAGCTTGGCAAATTCGGGTCCACCGACGCGTCCTTGTTGTTGGCACGACCACAGAGCAGCAAGAACGCAAAGACGGAAACCGAGGTGTCAGTAGAAAAGCAGAGTGATTTTGCGGCTGTTTGATTACAGCGCTGTTAGAAATACCACGCACGAGATGAAGCTTGGCCAGTTTGATGGCGAAACAAACAAGCCCCGGATAATGACTAATCAGGCATTGGATGGTGGTCGGGATCCGTCGTATGTTTCCCACCAACTCCGACTTGTTCTTCGATGTGTTGAAAGCCCATAACCTTGTGTGCAGTTCTCACACGTGGTAAGGGTGGATTAGAATTCCAGCTGGTTTACGGTCGGGTGTCGGCTGTGCCTGAGTCGAACCAACCGCGCTAAGGCCACCCACGATGATGGCGTGCTGCTCCACTTCAATGACCTCAACTCGGGGTCCTCCGCCATGTCATTTGCGATGCGGCGCCTTTTCGCACTCGCACCCCTCCGTTCACTCGCCTTGCCCCATGAGGCCTAGCAACCATCACCCGTGTATCTCCCCTGATGGTGTCATCGCCTATCCGGGAATGACATATTCAACAGCCAATACCAATGCTTCCAACCAGCTACCGAGGGGCCAGTATTTCCAGATAAGCGGAAATTTTGGGATGGCTGTTTGCGTGGGCAAATAATTTCTTTTCCCGGAACCGAAGTAGGGTCCGGCAAAAGAAACCATATCAGTTCCTGCTCCCCACGACAATCTCTTTCCGAGCTTATGCCACGAACTCGAATCACACTTTTGCCAGCTCTGCAACGCATGAACAGCACTCGAGGAAGCCAGAAATCCGGATATAATGACTGTAGCGGCTTCCAGTCCAGGTCCGCTGGGCGCAATTGTTGATGAGAGAACTCCTTTGAATACCTCGACCCAGGACGCCATTCAGAGCACAACCGCACCTAGCTACAGCAGTGTTGCAAAGGGTCCTATCAGCGATGTTCCCAGCGGCCATGGTAGCGATGAAGAGCGATCGTTGCTCTCTCCAGCTAAGACGCGTGCCAACGATGTGAAAACATTGACTAGCATCAGTACCGTTGTCGGCGTGTTGTTGCTAGGTAAGCCTTGCTTGCAGCTTTCCGCACTGCCATTGCCATGAGACTGACATGAAACTAGGCGAGTTCATTTCGAATGCGGACATGACACTGGTGATGGCAACAACGGGCAAGATATCCTCCGAGTTCGATCGACTGCGTGATGCGAGTTGGCTAGCAACAGCGTACACCTTGGGCTTATGCGCTACTCAACCGATGGTCAGCTCTCTTCTACAATTGTGGGAATACAGACTATACTGACGATAATGATTCAGTACGGCAAGCTGAGTGACATACACGGTCGCAAGCCGCTGCTTCTCTGGGCTTATGTTTTCTTCGGCATTGGATGCGTAATCAGGTGAGTACTCTCTGTGGTCTCTTACTCGTGGATCACGCTGACAGTAATCCTTCCTAGTGGTATCGGTCGAGGAATGGCAACAGTTATCTTGGGACGTGCGATCAGCGGTATTGGGGGTGCTGGGACAATGGCGATGGGTTCGATCATCATCACGGGTAAGCTAGGAGCCGACGATTGGCGCATTGTCGCTGACATGTGCAGATATTGTCCCCCGGCGAGACGTAGCTCACTGGCGAGCGTACATCAACATTGCGATGACCCTGGGTCGTAGTGCAGGAGGTCCGATCGGTGGCTGGCTGGCGGATACAGTCGGGTGGAGATGGTAGGTGTCCAACATAACAGTTGCCCGTGTCGTCCTTAACATCAATTAGGTCGTTCATTCTCCAGGGACCTCTCTCCGCTATGGCTGCCTTGCTGGTGATCTGGAAGCTCAAGCTCACCAGCCCAGTCACCGAGAAGAGTATTCGCCGTGTCGACTTTCTGGGAACGTTCCTCCTTGCCATTGGCATTATCGCAACGACTATCGTTCTCGACCAAGCTGGAAGGTCCTTCGCATGGGCGTCTTTGTCTACAGCGATCCTCACAACCACAAGTGTATCAGCATTTGTCGCCTTTGTACTTGTCGAGCTCTATGTAGCTCCCGAACCGATCTTCGAACTTCGCATCTTGCGGAAGCCAAATGTGACACCCAGTTACCTCATTGGGGCGCTGCAGATAACGGCTCAAGTTGGAATGATGTTCTCGGTACCTTTATATTTTCAGGTCACATCGCAAGCCTCAGCCACAGTGGCGGGAGGACATCTCGTCCCGGCGGTGATTGGTAACACTCTGGGTGGTTTGATTGCGGGAGCCTTTATCCGTCGCACTGGACACTTTAAGGTGCTCTTGATTCTGGCCGGTCTGATTGCATCGGTCGCGTACTTACTGATGTTCCTTCGTTGGAGCGGTCACACTGGTTTCTGGGAGTCCTTATATATCATCCCTGGAGGTCTGGGCACTGGCTTCGCCTCTGCAGCGGCTTTTGTCAGCATGACAGCGTTCCTGCTGCCACAGGAGGTGGCTATGGCGACGGGAGGTTATTTTCTTCTTTTTAGCTTTGCCATGACAGCGGGTGTCACCGTCACAAACAGCGTGCTGGGGACGGTGTTCAAGCGCCAGATGGAGCAACATCTGACGGGCCCTGGAGCCAAGAAGGTATGTAGTAATGTCCCGCTTCTTTGCGCCATTTCTAATGCGCGTCTAGGTCATTGAACGAGCCCTGTCCGACACGAGCTACATCAACGGTCTTGAAGGACATGTCCGACAGATAGTGGTAAAGGGATATGTGGCTGGCCTGCGCTATACATACTGTAAGATTCCTGTATGCATTCAAGCTTCATGGCTAATTTTCTTTCAGTGTTCTCCCTCACTCTTTCGATCCTAGGATCGTTCATCGCCTGGACGGTGCGCAAGCACCAACTCTAATTGATCAAAAACAAAACGCATAATGAAGGTCAATAAATTCACTGTCGATGCTGGCATTCGATAAATGACCGGTAGACCCGTCTTTCCGCAGTATACTATACTACAATGTCACTAATGCTTGTGCATGATCATCTCGTACGTCACAAGGCCGATGGCTGAATCCATCCACCGACCGGAAACGGGAACGCCGAAGCATGTGAAGAACGGTTTGCTCAGAGGGCTGTCGGCCATCATAATTTTCTCAACCGCACCATGTTACTCGTTAGGCCAGGCCTTCAGCCAGGCCTGCAGATTCGTACATTACCCCGCCGGAGGCTTCATCATCCTGCAGCTCCGCTGCAACCCGGGGTGTGGTTTGACTTTGCGTAAATGTAAAATTAATCTAAATGCCCTGCACCTGCAGGGCCCTGGGGCGCCAGCCGAGGCCCGCTGCAGGAAGTCATCTTGCTTGGGCAAGCGAAGGCCCTAACGGCCAACCTGCAGCTGACCTACCAACTCCGGGATTCCACTCTCCGGGTCATCCTGCCAGGGTCGCTCCTCTTACTTTCATTAAGATGCGCAGTCAGCTAACGGGAATAGGAGTGAGTCGGAGATTCGTTGCTCTGTAACAATGAAGGGGACCGGGGCTAAATCCTGGCCCCCGAGATGATCGGAGCCCTGGCCAATGAACGGCCTTGTATAAACCCGTTCCTGGCAGCTGGCTTGATTGCCGGGCGTACCCAGCATCAGATGGAGTGAAGAGTACGAAGTGGTGGTTTTGCCTTGGAGGGTCGCTGGGAACTGAGAGCTGGGTTGCGAGCGATATTTAAGATGGCAACCTGGACATCTTCTCCTGGATAATCAGGCAGAGTTTGGAAACACTTTGGCAGCTACGTTCTACCTCGCCACAATGAGAATATCCACGCCCCATCTTTTGTTCTCTGCGCTCCTTCTTGGGAAGTTGGCCCTGGGACTGTCGGCTGCAGAATGGCGCTCTCAATCCATCTACTTTCTTCTCACGGATCGGTTCGGTAGGACGGACAACTCGACTACGGCAACGTGCGATGCCGGAGAGGGTGTATGTTAATCCTTTAACATCAGGCTCATCTGTTAACATTGATAGATCTACTGTGGTGGAAGCTGGCAAGGCGTTATAAACCATGTAGGTCTTCCGTCTGCCGTCCAGGCTGATCGCTGACATGTTCTAGCTGGATTATATCCAGGGCATGGGCTTTACGGCTATTTGGATCTCGCCAGTCACGGAACAGCTGCCCCAGGACACTGCAGATGGGGAAGCTTATCATGGCTACTGGCAGCAGAAGATGTATGTATTGTCTCTCTCGCTCCCCATCCACCTTATTGCTCCATTCAAGCGAGGGCTAATCGTGGCAGATACTCCGTCAACTCCAATTTTGGCACAGCAGATGACCTCAAGGCTCTCTCCGACGCTCTCCATGCTCGCGGAATGTATTTGATGGTCGACGTTGTGCCAAACCACATGGTAAGCCCTTTCCTTACCTCCTGTCACCTACTTACGCACATACTGACTTTGAATAGGGCTACGCAGGTGACGGCAATGACGTGGACTACAGCGTCTTCGACCCGTTTGATTCATCTTCCTACTTTCACCCATACTGCCTCATCACCGATTACAGCAACCTTACAATGGTCCGTGACTGCTGGGAAGGCGACACCATTGTCTCTCTTCCGGATTTGTACACCACCGAATCAGCTGTGCGAACAATCTGGTACGATTGGGTTGCGGACCTAGTGGCCAATTACTCTAGTACGACCCTTCATCTCCTTACATACTCGTCCCATGCTGACACGCCCAGTCGATGGTCTCCGCATTGACAGTGCCCTCGAGGTCGAGCCCGACTTCTTCCCGGGCTACCAAGAAGCAGCAGGCGTGTATTGCGTTGGAGAAGTCGACAACGGGGATCCCGCCCTTGACTGTCCATACCAGGAATATCTTGACGGCGTGCTCAACTATCCCATGTACATCACTCACCACTCACCCCTTCCCCCCAGCCTGCGAATAACATCGCTAACCTTTAATACAGTTACTGGCAACTCCTCTACGCCTTCGAATCCTCTAGCGGCAGCATCAGCGACCTCTACAACATGATTAAATCCGTGGCAAGTGACTGCTCGGACCCAACCCTACTCGGCAACTTTATTGAAAACCACGACAACCCTCGCTTCGCCTAGTACGCCCCCTCCCCCTTCTCTACCAACCCAACTAACCAAACAGCTACACATCCGATTACTCCGAAGCCAAAAACGTCCTTAGCTACATCTTCCTCTCCGACGGCATCCCCATCGTCTACGCCGGCGAAGAACAGCACTACAGCGGCGGCGACGTGCCCTACAACCGCGAAGCCACCTGGCTCTCCGGCTACGACACCAATGCAGAACTCTACACCTGGATCGCCACCACCAACGCCATCCGTAAACTCGCCATCGACGTAGACTCGGATTACATCACCTACGCTGTTCGTCCCCTTCCCCCCTCCCCTCTTCATCCCTTAACCCCCCTTTCACCTTCACCCTAACAACAATCCCCAGAACGACCCAATCTACACAGACAGCAACACCATCGCCATGCGCAAAGGCACCTCCGGCTCGCAACTCATCACCGTCCTCTCCAACAAAGGCTCCTCCGGATCCAGCTACACCCTCACCCTCAGCGGCAGCGGCTACACCTCCGGCACAGAACTAATCGAAGCATACACCTGCACCTCCGTAACCGTCGATTCAAACGGCGATATCCCCGTTCCCATGGAATCCGGCCTACCGAGGGTTTTCCTCCCCGCAAGCTCCTCTTCTTCCTTATGCGGTGGATCCTCAACCACTACCAGCACTTCCACTTCCACCTCAACCTCCACATCCACGTCCACATCCGGATCAACAACAACCGCAACATGCACCACCATCCCCATCACCTTCGAAGAAACCGTAACAACGACCTACGGCGAGGAAATCTACCTCAGCGGATCAATTTCCCAGCTCGGAGACTGGGATACAAGTGATGCGGTGTTATTGTCAGCGGGGAATTACACGGCGAGTAATCCCGAGTGGTACGTTGAGGTCACCCTTCCGGTGGGGACGAGTTTCGAGTATAAGTTTATTAAGGTGGAGAGTGGGGGGAGTGTTACTTGGGAGAGTGATCCAAATAGGGAGTATACTGTGCCCGATGGGGAGGGGGATTGTGGGGGGGTGAAGGTTGTTGATAGTTGGAGGTAGGTTGTTAGTTTGGGGTTCAGGGAGATTGGGGGTGGGGGGTGAGGTGGATTGTTGTTTACTTGGGATCTTGGGATGGTGGGAAGAGTTGATGGTGTTTTGCTTTTTGGATCTATGGGATATTGTTCGAAGTATCGGTTACATTTATCTTAGTATGTCAGTATGTATGTATGTATGTACACGACTGTGTGCTCTAAGCAAGAAAGAAAAAAGGGTTCTCTAGATCTCGTTGGAGTATCCGCTAGTCTCGATGAAGTTCGAGGAATATTTAACAGAAAGAAAATGTAGAAAAGCAAACAAAAAGGGTATTAACATCTGAGCATGGGCTCATCATCGAAGAAATCCAATCATAAGAGAAGACAAAACCAGCTCTTGTATGTCATAAGATGTTCCGGCGGTGGGAATGAAAAACTAAAAGTGGTCCGGACGGTAGGGCTGCACTTGTGGATAGTCTCTAGGGAACATACTCCGTGCTGGTGACCCATTGTGTTCAAGTGGCGCTGTAATTGGGGTCGTTGGCGTCATTGGTGACCTAACGGATGGACTGAAGGCAACATAGTCATTCGACGGTCTCGTCTCCTCCACATCTGCAGAGCTTTCAAATGGGTTCTCCGCGGCGACAACCGGTTCGGTGTGGTGCTCCTTTGACGGTCTGTGCTCCGGCTCCGTGTGTGAGGGCGAGTTTTCTGGGTTGAACGCAATGTAGCCATCATTTGTCGTTGGCGAGTCGTTTGGGCTGAGCAGAGATACAGGCCTGGTGTCTGAACTATGTTCTGGCTCCGCACTAAACTCTTCATGATGTTCGTCCGAGGGCAGAAAAACGCCGGATTCGGTCGACTGCCTAGCCGCAGGGTTGAAGGCGACATAGTTGCCATGAGACTCCGGGACGTCATGAAGGCTATCCGAAAGAGGTGGTGCATCCAAGCTCTCTGCAGGATCGGCAGCGACAAACTCATGGTTATGATCTTCGTTTGGCACATGAGAATCCGCATACTCCATATGCTCCGTGGACTCGAAATGCGACTCCACGCTGGTCAAGGGGTTGAAAGCAATATAATTATGTTGATTTGGCGCTGCTTCGGCAGAGTCAATCGGAGAAAATTGCCTCACGCCGGACTCATGGGCTATATCAACATGCTCATCACCATGGTGCTCATCGAATGGTGAAGCAAGGTCCGAGTCTGGAGACAGGCGATCTTGCTGAGGATTGAACGCAACATAGCCATTGCGCGGTTCTTTTGTGTCATATGGATATTCAGCATGTCCATGGGCATATTCATCGTGTTCCGCAACAGCATCACCGTTGAATGGCATTGGTGAGCTCCTCGCCGCTGGGTTAAACGCTACATAACCACCTGCACCAATTGATCCAACCGGCGAGAACGTCCTATCAATCATACCGTCGGGTCCACCAGCTGGAGAGCGAATACCGCCGGAGCTGGATGGAGTCAGTGACCTCAGAGGATATTCATTCTCATGCGGAGGATACGGAAGTCCGTGGGACTGGCTCAGCGGTGAAAATGTTCTATTGGGAACACCCTCACTAGGAAGGACAGGCCCAGAGGTCAGAGATCGAGTGTACGGATCAACCGCCGGGCTGTATGGTCGGAAGGGAGTACCCGATGGAGGAACATGAGACCCGTAGGTTTCGAACGGGTTATATTCTTCGGTAGGACCTCGTGATCTAAGACCCGATGGCATACTCGGCCCATATGTAGCAGGTGCTGGGGTGAAGTTGGTCCGTGGCACGGGGGTCTGGTTGTGTAGTATTCGAGGTGCCGGCGAAGCACGATCAACCGGGCCGTAACCAGGCGCTGGAGGGATATTGGACACAGGAGTCTGCATATGTGGTATCTGTGGCGCTGGCGAAGCTCGATCGACTGGACCGTATCCTGGGGCTGGGGCGAATTCCGACACTGGGGTCTGATTGCGGAAAGCTTGTGGTGCCGGCGAAGCACGGTCGGCTGGACCATGCCCTGGGGCTGGCGTAAAGTTCGAAGTCTGCATGTGTGGCATCTGTAGTGCTGGTGACGCTCGATCGGCCGGACCGTATCCAGGTCCTTGAGGCCCCTGAGTAAACCCTTGCCGCGACACCGGAGTTTGCAAACGTGGGACAGGCCCCGGCATCTGGCTGGGCAAACGAGTCGCGGGAGCCGTGTCCGAGTATGACATGGGGGTGTGCGATCGTGGCATGGACGGCGCTGGTGATGACCGCTCCATGGGACTATTGTATCCCGGACCTGGAAGCGGCTGGTTGGCATTCTGTCGGATCCTGGGCGTCTGAGCGCGAGGCATCGGGGCAGGGCCCTGATTGGGAAGGGGCGGCACTGGCGGTGCGCTACCATGTCGGTCGAGGGGGCTGTATCCTGAAACTGCGGTGCTGCCCGATAACGAATATGCATCCGAGTATGCAGACGATTCGGTCATGGTTCGGGTCAGCGAGTGCTTATCGTTAAATGCCCCAACATCCGGAAGTGTAGGCTTGCGATCTGGAGCAGCTGTCCCAGGGCGCGAGGAGTAAGCCGGCAGCGTGGTTTGCGTCGTGGTGCGCGAGATCGTCGTAACGATGGGTGTCTTGTCATCATCAGCGACTCCCACCGAGGGCAAAGTAGGCCGCTTGTCCAACCCCATGTTCGGATTGGTGGGTTTTCGGTCTTGTAAAACGACGCCTTTGGCCAAGGCTTTGTTGACCTTCCTTCGGACAATACGGGTGAGTCGCGTGTTGATCTTGCGCCGACAATAAGCCTTCAAAGAGCCATCCTCCGAAGGGATATGGTGAAAGAGAAAGATGAGATACAGAACGACGGCCAAGAACAACTTGAGCATTGACAGAACCCAGATTACCAAAGTGAACAGCATGCCGATCAAGACCACGGCGCGTTCGGTGTTGTCCTCGGCCAGCATTTTGATGTTGTAGAACAATTGCGAAGCCGTGGATCCGCCCTCGTCGGTGGTGTTTTTCCCGCCGGGGAGCAGGTCCATCTGCATCACCGAGTACAGGGTGATGGCGTTGACAACTTGCCGGGGTCCGTCGGCGAAAATAGTGCTCATCCAGGCTGGACTGTGTCAACCCCCGTTATCATCCAAGCACAGTGGGACTCACATTCAAAAGCAAAGTAGGCAAAGAGAGCAACGTATTCAGCGCCCTTTTTACTCTTGGCTAACTCTGCAAAAACCAGGAATCTCCTCCATCCGCGGCCATTGCGCCCCATGCGAATACTTTGGATGCGCACAGCGAGAGAGTCGAGGAAGCTGTGCGCGATACTGCCGGAGCGCATAGCTCGGATGGCGCGCATCCACCGATACGCCAACAGTGCGAATGAGATGATTATGCACACGGCGAAGATCCATCGCGAAATTTTGAACGGGATTGCTGGCTCGATTGACCCGGCCCATCGGGAAAACGCCAACAAATTGACGGCGGTAAATGTATCGACACCGTACACGGCAATCGAAATCGCCAGGAAGACGTAGAGGAAAAAGTACGAGAACGGGGAGAGGCAAGACTCCGATTTGAAGTCATCAAGATTCTATGCACAAGCAACATCAGCGATCTTTCTATCTGGGTCAATGCGGTCGACTGAACCCACAATGTAGTCCCACTGCTCCTCCAAGGCCACCGGCCCTTTCTCCCGGTCTCCGGAACAGAACATTTGGATTAAAATCTGGTCCTGCCTGGGCCCCTGGTCGACTGTAGTTCAATAACAGTCAGGTTCGGTGAGGACGGAAGAGTACTTCGTCGGTCCAGCCGGGCGAAGTGACGATCGCGACGTAGGGGAAATGGCAAAGAGCGGAGGCCCGCAGGAAGGAATGGAATCTTTTGTAGAGTACGGACGGCGCCAAGTAGAGAGCGACAAGAAAGCGTCAGCAGTAGAACCAGCGGCTATCGACGACAGTCACGCATAACCGCTGAGAGCTATCGAGGTCCGAGGTCAACAGAACGATCTGTCAATCAGCGCGGACCCATCTCGAATGGCCATTGAAGTGGTCTGAAAGGTTTTAATGACGCTCGTGCAGCGACGCCGGCGGTTAGCCTCAGTGGGTAGGGAACGTGCCAAGATAGGGGAAGGGGGTCCTGGCGCGTGCTGCTGCTGCAGTTGCGGTCGCAATGGCGGGCGAGCACAAGCAGATGGCTGATTGGCATGAAAGTGGTTGTGAGAGAGGACAGAATCGTAAAAGAAGGTGTGGTGGTCTAACGGAAGGTTGACAGATGACCGACCACGCGAAAACGAGCCCGAGGGAGAGATAGATATTATTGTATGATGAGGGGGCTGCATGGAAGAATGTGGGTCGGGGGGGGAAGCGTGGAATGAAGAATGAGATTATCCATGGTTTGTCGGCCCAAGGTGAAACACGGACGGTATGGCGGGAATGAAACAGCACGGCGCTTGGGAAGAACTACTGGTCACTATTGAGTGTTAGTCGGATCAATTTCCGAATCAATCCGCCATGTCAGCCCAGGAGGGGGGAATTACTTACTGTGTACTCGGCGCGTGGGCCTGATAACGGAGGGTCTGCGCGCAACAGCCAGTCAGCGAGTCAGGGCGCCTCCCGCTGTTCCTGGTTCCTGACGGTTCCCAAATTTGCCAGCCGCCGTTGGGGATTGGGATTGGCGATTGGAGGATGGAGACGGAGATGATGGAGAGAATGATGAAGAGACTGATGGAGACTGCCGCCCTGGCAGCCATTGGTGGCCCGTCACGGACCCCCGACCGACCGACCGACTGGTCCCCGTGTGATCCACCCCACTGGTCACTCCTCAACGGTCAATCGGTGATCTATTCCTGTTGATGTCCTCCTTCCTCGATGCCGATCCTCGGAGCAATAAATGTCATGACGAGAACTCTTCCAAAAAGCCATATTTGAGCGAACCAGACCTCAAGCCACACACCCCACACCCCTCAGGTTCGCAAACATTTGATGGTCAAGAAAGAAGGAAGTATAGACAATAATAGATGGTTGTCTCCGTGTCCCCCCCCCCCCCAATTGCAAGTAACGTTGTAGCGTTTGAACTCAGACATATCCTGATTTGAAAAAATGAAAACAAATCGCACCAATCCTCACCAGACCAGAAGATAGGAACCCCGGATCCAGAGGCCGTCCCCCGCAGGAAATCAGTGCACAGGTGGCCGACGCCTGCGCTGAACCAGCGCTGGGTTGTCATTCGACTGCGAAATGCGCAACTTCCGCGTCTTTTCCTCTAGCTCGCGGGTCAGCTTGTCCCAATTTATCTGATCCTCTGTTCGCTGCCGTTTTTCTTTCTCCAACAGCTCCCGCAGATCTTTAGCCTGCTCCTTAAGCAACTGCTCGGATGGTCCAACGATCCCTTGGGTGGCTTGGCTCAGCTGGTTGCGGAGGTGCTTGATCTCGGACTCCTGTTCCGAGATCTTGACACGACTCTGCTCCAGGGCACTGGTGATCGGCTTGAACTCGCTAGTACGGGCCTTGGGCGTCTCCGGCTCTTTGTCTTTGTCCTGAGCAACCTCCTTCTTGTTCATGAGCTGCTCAAGAGCAGTCTTGGCCTTCTCCGCGGCAGCAAGCCTCTCGCTGGATCGCTGTAAATCCTTTATCGCCATGCGATTTCTAGTGGTGAGAAGGACGATCTGCCCTTCAAGGGTCGAGATCTGATCGGCAGTCGATTCGGCAGTCGATGCGGCATCCGCTCGTTCCTGCGCCAGAATCGAGTCGCAGGCTGCCTTGTGGTCACGCATTGACTGGCGAAGGCCCTCTTCGGATTGCTGGGCACGGGCCACGGAGTCCTGTGCATCCCTCACCATAGTTTCGGCAGTTGCCAGCTGTGATTGGAGGCTAATGATCTGCTCCAATGCACTATCGCGCTCCTGCTGCATTGTCGCTGCGGGCCCCTGAGCCTCGGCGTACATTTGGTTCACGATCTCATAGCTGATACACATGTTCTTGTGTTCAACCACAGGCTCCTGGTTTACGCCAACGAGCTCTTGATATTGGACAGCCAGCACTTGGCCTTCAGCAACTAGTGCTTGGTTTTGAGCTACCAGCTCTTGGTTCTGGGCAATGGAGTCTTGGTGCTGCACACTAAGCTCTTCGCACTGCGCAGAGATCTTCTGATTTTCTTGCATAAGCGCTTGGTATTGCACAGCGAGTTTGATGTTATTGGATGCGTAGTCCTCGTTCTGGGCTGCCAGTTCTTTGTTTCGACCAGTGAGCTTTTTGATCTTAGCAACGTGCTCCTCGTTCCGATTCAAAAGGTCTTGGTTTTGTACGGTGAGCCGTTCCTTGTCATGGTCACGGGTCTGCTTGTGAGAGGCGAATTGTTCGTCATGATTGGCCAGGCTCGTGTGTTCAACAACAAGCTTTTCATTCTGAGCCGCAACATCTTGGTACTTGGCGGCAAGTGCTTCATTGTTGGCAAGGTGCTCCTCGTTTTGGGCCAGCAGTGCTTCGTATTGAGCGGCGAGCTTTTGGTGAATAGCAATCTGCTCCTCTTTCTGAACAACGAGCGCTTTGTTCTGAGCCACAATGCTACTGACTTGTGTCTGTTGGTTGCGATGGTGCTTCTCACGTGCCTCTGCGGCAGCCAGGTGGTTCTCGACAGAGGCCAGCTGATCGGTCCGGCGCTTGATTTCAGCCTTGAGCGATTGGATGTCCCTCACGGAATTGTTCTCGGCCAGCTCTCTCGCATGTGACAGCTGCTGTTGGAGTCGATCGATTCGGGTCTGGAAATTTCGCTCTCTCGCAGTGGCAGTGGTCTGTGCATCTTTCAACTCTTTCTGGGCCCGAGCAAATCGCCATTTCGCCTGGGTCACATCATCGCGAAGACGTTTCATGGTAGCCTCATTTTGAAACTGGGTAAAATACTCATCCACATCCATGGGACGGGCAGTCGGCTTCTCGGGTGTCCTAACTCCCTCGGACTTGGCAGAGAGAAGATGTCCATGTTGCTCCAAGAGAGCGACGCAGGTTTCAACCTTTGCCGACAACGTCGAGATTTCCTGTGCAGTTCGAAGCTGTGATTCTCGGTCGGCGGTTTGGTTTTCGATCAGCTTTTCGATCCACTTGAACAAAGTCATACGGCGGATGGCCTTAACCAACATTGCCCCGGCGCCGGCCAACGACATGAGTCCAGCTGCGAAAATGAAGATATATATGCCTGCAACTTCCCCACCCTCATCATATAGTGGTGGAAGGACACTCTCAGTCAACTGACGCCAGTCAATGCCGGTCCCCACGCCCTCGCAGCGGATTATCTCGAGTGGGGCAGCATCGCGTACGGCATCGAAGCAATATTCCCACTGTTCCCAGCCGCGATAACCTAGCCCGCCGGTGAGGCCGACTAGGTAATGAGCGACAGGTAGCAGAATCACGTTATACGTAACAGATCCAACAACCAGTGTCATCGTGACACGAGCCAGCGAAGTACCCTGACAGTTGAACGGAAAATAGTAACTGAGCACGGCGCTAAAGAGGCAAACAGGCAAGCAGTTGACAAGAGCTTTCTTAAAGCCGCCATAGCATAAAATGAAAAGATCACGAGGAGAGCGGACGGTCACGAGCAGTTTCACGGCGGCGACGATCCCGGAAGCGAGCCCTTCCCAGCATAGAAGAATGATCACGAGCATGAGGGTTCCAGCAAAGACTATGGATGCTCCAACAGTCAGATCCAGATACTCCATGATGCTGGATTCCTCGGCAGAGAAGGTTTGCCCGTAGAGGAAGATCTCCTCCGTTGGAGTCGACATTTTCAGTACAAGACGTGAAAAAAGGTTTCGGAATGAAGAGTTAAGCACGAGAGGCTCTGCAGGTGATCTGCAAAGATTCAAGAGGAACAGTAGTGAGGTGGGAAATGCCAGAGGAACGGTGGGGAGATGGAAAGGATGGCGGAGAAGAGAGGAAAACAGGGAGAGAAGAAAGTGGGAAAGGCCACAAAGGCCCACCGGCGAAGAGACTGTCGGTTTAGTGAATGAAGCCTCTGGCAGTGATACAGTGTTATTAACCTCAGCTCGCTGATGGAGCGAGGGGATGCAAACCCTACTTCTAGAACGTGGAAAACTAAATGGAGGAATCAACAAGATTGGAATTCTCTGGGAAAAAGCTAAGTAACAATCCGAGACGAGGGGCGGGAGAAGAGGGGTATTTATAGGCAAAGGGCGTGACCAGAATAATTGGGATTATTCGGAAGTTTCCTTCAAATGTCATAGAAATCGTGAGCCGTCCCAAACCGGCAAGTTCCTGAATTTCTTCAGTGAATTCACGGAAGACTCCTCCTAATCCCGTCCCGTGTGAAGGAGTACCGTACGGTTACTCCATTTCCTCCCTCTCATTCGCCAGTGACCGTGAATGTACGTAGGCTCCAGGTAATGCCTAGTAGGGGGACCTGATCAAAGGTGGTCTGCCTGGAGGACCTCTACCCAAGTGCCTACCAGCTAAAGAGTTCTGTTGGAATGAATTAACTAGATCAAATGCCATGTTGCATGGTTGACTCATTACATTCATTGCCAGCGAACCCAACGCGAGTAGACTCCTAATCCCCGTATTCTACCAGTAGTGGTTGGTATATTCAATCCCATCTCTTCTCATGCGATCCCGTCGAAGCACCCATATGGTTGTGCCAGTGGTGGTCTGGTTTGTCTGGCGAAATCGGTAGTGGTGGTCCATCCCAGCCTTCTGATGATATATATTATGCTTTGCTTGCTTTATATATATGTAGTAAGGCGTATCAAGATGGCATGCGGTTAGGTGGAGAGTTCGCTAGAGGGAATAATCAGCATAACGATCGAAATGTAGAACCGAGATGAGATGGAGAGCGACTGAGGTCAAGAGATAAGGAGTTATGGGTGAGAATATTATATAAGAGTAGTGTTGGACAATAAAGGACAAAATTCGCAAGGACGAAGTAGATTGGGAAGCATATGAGCCAAAAAAATGGACAAAAGACTGTGATCCTGATCGATGTAGAGGAAGAGCACCCAGGGGGGATCGAGGGGCGATGATGGCATTATATAGACACCATGGCATTTTCAAGGAGGGGTTACAAAGGTTTGATTACAGGTATGTTCCATGCACAGTTTGTACAGTCCCCGATCTTGACTACATTTTGTGAGAGGGATTCTCCTACGCAGGCACATAGTATGCAGGTGAAGTTCTCCAGAAATGGCTGTCATGTTGTCGGGAAATGGCTACTGACTAAGCACTTACCTCAGCAGATTACCACCATGGCCTCTCATTGGTGATCGGGCCTCCGGCATCCGCCGTCGCGCTGGGGGACCTTCGCGGTTTCTCTGGAGGTGCTGCTTACCTCGTACGCGCATCAGCCTCGTCCAAATCATGATCTGGGTCTGCAGCAGGTGCAGGAGTTGTTCCCGGGGTGGTGTTTGACAGTCCCTTCGGCCTCATCGATCCGCCATAAATTCATGGACGAGGGAACCAAAACTTATTGGCACGATCGACCCGATCCAGGCCGGCCAGGCGACGTCACCGAACGAACGCACTGATCATTTTTCCGAGAGGGCCGCCGCGCCAGTGTCTGGGCAGCCACTGGACTGCCTAGCCGCGTTAGTCTCTCGCCCTCTCCCTTCAATTCCCCCCATTCAGCTTAGCCTGCGCCTTTGCTTCAAATATGTCCCTCCTGTAGCCTTCGGGCCTCTCACTCTTTCTTTTCCTCTCGTCCATCGGTGATGGCTATATCTTCGGCCACGCGCATTCTGGCCGCCCGGCCTCTCGTCCTTGGTTTAGCCAAACTCTTCTGCCTCGCCCTTCCTAACCTGCCCGTCATCTCCGCCGCCCCAACTTATCTCCTCAAATCCGATGTCGACCCCAAACCCCCGGGCGATCCCAGCCTCTGGCTGTACCTGGGTGTCGCTGCCGCCCTCGTCTTAAGCGGCGGTGCGTTCGCTGGTTTGACCATTGCTTTGATGGGCCAGGTACTTCTCCTCATCCCTTTTTTTGGCCTTATGAACCCTGCTGATGTGTTCGGTTCGAAAATAGGATGAAGTTTACCTACAAGTCATTCAGACCTCCGGTGAAGGCTCGGAACGCAAAAATGCCGCCAGTGTGTTGAAATTGTTGCAGCGGGGGAAGCACTGGGTACTGGTGACCCTGCTGCTCAGTAACGTTATCACCAACGAGACTCTTCCAATTGTGCTCGACCGCTCACTTGGCGGTGGCTGGCCTGCGGTCCTCGGCAGTACCGTCTTGATTGGTATGCGAAAATCCCTCTTCTTGGCCCGTGGCATCCTTGCTTATCTTTTCCTCGTTGTGTCCAGTTATCTTCGGCGAAATCGTCCCCCAATCGATCTGTGTCCGTTATGGTCTCCCCATCGGTGCCTGGATGGCCCCATGTGTCCTAGCGCTCATGTACATCATGTCGCCTGTCGCTTACCCGGTCGCCAAACTGCTCGATAAGCTGTTGGGCGAAGATCACGGCACCATTTACAAGAAAGCCGGTCTCAAGACCTTGGTGACGTTGCACAAGACTCTGGGTGAAGCCGGGGAACAGCTAAATTCGGATGAAGTCACCATCATCAGCGCTGTGTTGGACCTCAAAGACAAGGCGGTCGGAAGCATCATGACTCCAATGGAGGATGTCTTCACCATGTCGGCCGACACTATTCTCGACGAAGACACAATGGATCTGATCCTGTCGCAAGGATACTCCCGCATTCCCATCCACGCACCGGATAACCCGATGAACTTTGTCGGCATGCTCTTGGTGAAAATGCTGATTACCTATGACCCTGAAGATTGCAAACGCGTGCGTGACTTTGCTCTGGCTACCCTTCCGGAGACTCGCCCTGAGACAAGCTGTCTGGACATCGTCAACTTCTTCCAGGAGGGCAAGTCCCACATGGTCTTGGTCTCGGGATATCCGGGTGAGGATCGCGGTGCCTTGGGTGTGGTCACTTTGGAAGATGTGATCGAGGAATTGATCGGAGAGTACGTACCAGCCCTCCATATTGACCATAACACCGCTGACCGCTCACAGAGAAATCATTGACGAGTCCGATGTCTTTGTGGATGTACACAAGGCCATTCGCCGCATGGCTCCGGCTCCGAAGTCTCGCGTTCCCAAGGGTCGGATTGTGGAAGATCCCCCAATGCTTCCGCCTGAGAACACTCTAGTCGAGGTCGAGAACGAGAACGAACCCCCAGCCCCACCGAATGGCGCAACGAAGGACCACCGCCGACTTTCAATCGAAGCACCCCTGCCCCGGTTCCAGCTCCGCCGGCCTCAGTCCGACAAGAACTCGGATTCGACCGACGGTTTATTCACGCAAAGGGGGACGACGGATGAGATCCGCCAGCACTTGAAACATCTCGGTCCATCCAACTTGGCTAGCCGACCGCGCCAAACACGGTACCAGAACGTCAAGATCAAGCGAAGCGTCTCGCCATCCCGGTCGGGGCAGACTGATCTTGAGTCTACCCAGAGTATATCCGATTCGCAGACGAGACACCCCTCCATTGGTTTGCAGGGAGGCATCGGCGCCGGGCTGGTACAAAGTGGTATGGACGCCCGCGACGGAGTCCTTGCCGTGCGTACGGGCTATGGAACAATGAACCATGCCAAACCCCCTGCTGATGCCGGTACTCAGACGAAGGATGGACCCCCGATTTCCATACCAGAGCCGGTGCATGAAGAGCAGGATGACAACCCACGGTCGGCGGGCAGCCGAGCGGGTAGTGCCCGGTCCATCGACTCGCAATCCGAGCATCTCAAGCCCGGCAGTTATTGCCACCGAGGCCCCGCCCGCAGTGGCAGCATCACGGAGCAGGTGGTGGATGTCAACGGCATTCGCAAAGTCGTCCTCCACACCACCAGCACGAGCTCCTCTGAATCCGAACGACCCGGGTCAAGGGAGCATCCCGAGTTTCCCGTCCGCCAGGATGGAGAGGTCGTTGACCTCGGGGAGAATCCGTCGGGCGGGAGCAAACGCCGTCGTCGTCGCAGAAAACGTGGGCAGGCGAAGAATGGGGAGTCGGGGGAGAACACCCCTCTTCTGTCGCAATGACGAATGTAAATCGACGCTCGGAGTGTTCTGCTGGCCAGAGCGACAGGTCGACATGTGGATAGTTGATAGAATGCTGGGACGGGTTGTACACCGGTACGACCGACCAGCTGGACGTGTGTGATGCACATGCTCACGAGGAGGCGACGGGGATTTCAATCGTATATTCGTACCCACGCATAGCCACCCTGCCTGCCCATAATGGTCGCTGACAAATGTCGTGCATGGAGGGATCTGGCGGTGTAGATGAATCTGGCATTTTTATGAATGGCATTCTGTTAATCCTTGCATCCTCGTACGACCTGGTAGTCCTGCCGCTATCGACTCACATCTAGACTGATACCTTTTGAACACTAACCCGGTTCCAGTTTAGCAGCTTATCCAGTGTGCTTGTCGATCCCCAATAGATAACAAACAGCCTATCGATAGGATCGTAATTCCCCACGCATACTATCTCTGGTCCGGAAATATATACCCACCTGCCTACTACATCTACTTCCGTTGCCCGTGCAGGGAAGAGTTCGGTTTCTGCTTATAAAACGCCTCATTAATCGTCTAATGAATCCATGTAGCGTCACTCGCATGCTTGTATTTATGATCCATAATTATAATCTCCTCTACACCGGATGCCTTGGTCTCTGGTATTGACATTTACTATAGAGAATAGCAATGTCCCTACCAGATTGTGTCATTCATGAGAGAAGGGCTTGCTCGGACGAAAACATGCATTGTGCCGGTGGCATGAGTCGAGCCCCTATTATTGGTCCGACAATCAATCTGTTAGACTCTCCTTTTTCCCCTTCTCTCCATGTCTCCAAGTCTCCTTCTTGCCCCTCCTACCGTTCTCACCCCCGTGCCCACCACCGCGCCCTAGGTAATGTGGTTTGATCTGCCATGAGCTTCCACCACGCTGATGTTCTCGAGGAACATAACTGGGTTGGCGGAGGACTCGACGCGTCTATCTACCACGTGGCTCCAACTATTGTGGTAAAAATGTTCGTCGCGACCGAACTCCCGAAGAAAAGGCAGCGGAGCATCCTTTTCTCAAGGAGATCTCGTTTCACAAACGTCTTAATGAGTGCCGCAATCGATGTCCCAATATTGTGGAATGTTTTCTCATGCTCCCGGACTACCTTTTCCTATCATACTGCACGCATCAGGCAATCGCCCCTCGCTTCTATGAACGCCAGGAGCGAGAGACAGGAATAAATGGTCTTCATGGGCGTCTTCTCAGGGTCAAGGAATACGAGGATCCCGCTCTCATCGCTCGGTGGATCCAACAACTCACCTCTGCTCTTGAGTATGTAGAGAAAGTGGGCTTTTGTCACAATAATCTGCATGCGAGCAACTGTCTTCTTGACAGGAACTTTAACTTGAAGCTGACTGATTTTGGCCGTGCCACCACCATTGGACAGCCACTTGAAGGTACCTTACCTCCACGAGCCAGACCAATACTTGCTGGACCATTGAAGGGCACATACGGGCTCTGTTCCGCCAGAACTGAACAGTTTGCGGTTGGGACCCTTCTATACTTTATGGTATATGGCCATGAACCCTATGACGATATTATCCTCAGCGCCGCAGAATGGGATCGCCGGTTCTGGGAAATGGAGTTTCCAGAACTTAACCGCAATCGAATTTTCGATGGTCTTATTTCTGCTTGTTGGCACAATGTCTATCCTACAATGGCCTTGCTAGCGTACGACTTTAAGCGCAAGACAAAGGATATGATCGGGAATACAGATCACATCGTTATTGATTCTGCAAAGGAGACAAAGACCTGTGAAGCATTGGTTCTCCAAGGCTTGCTGGGACCTGAGTTGGCTCTCCGCTTTCAGCCGGCCTGGCGAAGATACCTACATGTTATTGTGAAGAGAAGCATGTTTATTTGGCAATGCTTTCTACAGAGAAGATTCTGGATCTGGTCTTCTTCATGATTGGTTTGGGGCTTGTACCACTTGAAAGCTGAGGTGCTTAGACTCATTGTCTTAACCGGAAAAAAACACATGTTATCGTACGGTGGCTGTTCCATTCAACTTCGCGATTCTCAAACAAGAGGTGCTCTTGTCTTGATTCTATTTCCTACGGGATGGATCGGAATCATTTTCACCACTTGCACCCAGAGATTCTTTCTCGAACCCCATTCCGAAACACGCTAAGCTATTTTTCGACAGGTCAAAACGTATTGAAAGGCAAATTTACGTGACAATGAGTTCTATTATACCAAATGAATGCATTGATAGCGCAAAACAAGCTTTTTCGCCTTATACATACAAAATCCTTTCTTGTATTATGCAGATATTTGAAATTCCTGTCATGTTACACTATGATGCAGGGGCCCGCTGCAAAGTGCTAGAAATCTGATCTTAATTCGGCATGAACCGGCGTGGTCGATTGACTGGGCATATTCCGGTGCATATCCTCCTGTCTTTGAAAGTGCAGCCTTGTCAATCCAGCCGTTTCTCACTGATATCTACGAAGATGTTGTGTTATCCTTTATTCCACATTACCCTTCATGAAGAGATGCAACTCGATTCTATTGCATATCTATTCTTCGCTAAGACGGCAACAACAACAACAACAACACCTAAAAGATCCAATTAGACATATCAAAGACACCATCATCACCTCGCAACTTACCGTATCGAAGTAACCCATCACTTCAACCTCAACTTCCCCCTCCCACTCCCACTCCCAACCCCCCTCTTCCTCCCCTCCTCCCCCTCCCTCAGTCGCCTCGGAACCATCTCCTTATCCGGAAACTCCAATTTCTCACTAGGCACATCATACCCATCAACGCCCTTAAACGCCCTTCTCATCTCCCGTCGTAATTGCGGATCCGTCCCGAACAACGAACCCGCATCCTGTATCTCCTCCGGACTTAATCGCGCATAGTCCACCACCATACCCGTGGAACTAAAACTCCGCAGAACACCATCATTGCAAAGACACACGAGCCCTTTTCGCGACGGTGATGATCTCAGGGATTTGATTTTCTGGCGGATTTGGTCTGGTCCGTGGGGTGGGGGCTGATGTTGAGGTTAGTGTATAGGCCTATCTTTGAGTGATAAGAGGAGGTTGGGGGGGTGGGGAAGATTTACTTACCTGGCGGGACATTGGGGGTGGGTTGTGTACAGTATGGGATATATCATATGATGAAATGTATTGTGATAGTAAGAAAAAAAAAAAGAAGAAAATTAGAAGCAAGCATCCACGATCCTCCGGAGTAATATATCGGAGTCAGTGAAGGACAATGAAAACTGACAGGAATGGGGTTTGCGGGGCTGGTGTCGGATTTGGCGGCCGGTCATAGGTTAATTGCGATGTGACAGGATGGGATCGTGCAGGGTCTGGGACTAGGCCTGGAATGGAATGAATGGCCTTTCGAGGTGGCTTTAGTCTGGTAGGGGTGCTGTGGGAAGGTTTTGGCGAGGCGTATACGTTTATGCAGGATTAGGTTCTTCTTTGTTCCTCTAGGTTCGTGGGTTTGGGTGATGGTGTTCTTTTCTGGAGTTGGTACCTTGCAGGTGGGTGGTCAGGGTTGATTGATACTTCGGGGGAAGTATCGATACTAGATATTTTTAGGATGGAGTTGTGTTGGTAGGGGGGAGTTACACGACGTAATCTTGTGATGATGGTGGGGGGGGGGAATCTGATCTAATCTCTGGGTTCGGGTCCTGAGGTTATACTGATCATGTACCGGTAGCGTTGCGAATATGGTACTGCAAGCATGGGATAGAAAGTCGGAGAGGAAGCGTTCAATTGATTCAATATGCACCGTGTTTTTCAATGGAGTCATTTTACATTTACTATACTTTCAGCCACTCTATGTAGAAACGTAATGTTGGAATTGTGCTGCTTGCTTCAAGACATGGGTATTTATTATCTTGAAAAAATGGCGTATGTTGCATAAAACGGCTTCATTTGATATCAACTAGCATCATTGGTCTAGTGGTAGAATTCATCGTTGCCATCGATGAGGCCCGTGTTCGATTCACGGATGATGCACTCTTCTTTTTCTTTTTTCTTTTTCTTCCCTGCTGCTTCTTCAATATCTGAGCTCCTTTTTTGCTCTTGACTTGTGTGGATTTATGCAATGGATTTCTATTGATCATGACGGAATTTTCCTCAATGAACTAAACTGGGGTTGCACTATACCTATTGTTTTTGGTGCGTCTCCCCAGTTGGGAATCTTCGATTACAAACAGCTCTGCAGACTGCTCCGATAGATGAGAACATTGTTGACTGCATGAACTGTCTTCGTATAATGGAGATGAGGTCAGCTGCTGCGGTGCTTACAGCGGTACGACTATGCATCCAGGGCAAGAGTGCTACGGAGTACAGCAGACCAGCGGATCATGATCTACTCTATTGATTCACTACTTTTGTCATAACAAAGCATGTGCCCAGCCCAACTCCAGAACAGATGCCAACAGAACACGGCAATGCGGAAACATAAAGAAATACCCTGAATGATTCATATACTCATCAACATACGAGGCAAGACGAAATGTATGAGATCATTGCAGGAGAGGATCCTAAATACGATATTAGCGTCATCCATATAAAGAAAGTTAGGAAACATACTCTGAAGTGTTTCTGGTGGTTGGCAGCCCGGTTGAGACGTGCCGTGTAGCGCAGCTCTTGCCGGATGGCTCTCTGGCGCTCCTTGCGTTCACTGATCATCACGTCTCTCTTCTGGGAATCTGTCGTACCAATCATACCAGTACCGCCGTTGGCACGAGTGATAAGAGCACGGTTGAGATTGCGGCCGCGAGGCTTCTGCTCCTCCTCCTCGATCTCGCCGTTCTCGATGGCGAGCTGACGCTCCGCACGCTCTTCGGCGGTAGGGTAGTTGTGCAGGTTCTGGCGGTAGTACTTGGCGAGGGAGCGGTGACCGACACTCCGGCCAGAGGGCAGATGCAGCTCATACTCGGTGGCGTAGACAACGGGCTGGCTCTTACGGTTGTCCAGCTCCTCCTCGTCATCCTCCATCGAGGCATCCGTCTCCCATCCCTCATCTTCCCCAACAACCTTGACACCACCTTCCTCGTGCGTCTCGCTGCCAGTGTCCTCCCACTCATCGTCCGAGTAAGTGCTCCGGAAGTCGTAGTACTGGCCGATTTCGATCTGCTCGTCCTCGGACTCGAACGCGATCATACAGTGACCCTTGTCGCGCATGTGGGTGCGGATACCTTCGGGAGTGTTCCGGATCATATGGCAGTAAAGACATTCGCTGTTTTCGACCTTGCGGTGCAGGTAGCGGAGAAGACCTTCAAGGTCGGTGAGGTAGTCCTTCTCGGGAATGAACATGCCGTGAGCCTTGAGCATGTGTTCGGTGTTTTCTTGGACATCGGCGGCCTCCTGAAGACAGAAAAGACAGGTAGTCGCAGAGAACGAGTCCTCGGCCATCTCCTCGTCTTCATTTTCCTCCTTGATGGTGGTGTCCTTGAGGGTTTCGGCGACCTTGGCAACCTCGGACTCGCCGACGCGGGGCTTGTTGATGGGTTCTCCCAGGGAGAAGGTCGAGCTCATGACGGAGGAAGAGTCGTCGGCATTGTCCCGGTTCATGCGGGCCTCGCGGGCCTTGTGCTTGGAGCTCTTGACATGGTTCTGGTAGGAGTTTTCGCTGTAAAAGGTCTTCTGGCAAGCGACGCAGGTGGTTTCGAACGAGGCCTTGGCGGCGGCGGCAGTGGTGGTGGCTTTGGCGGCGAGGACCTTTTCGTTGAAGGTTTCCTGGGACACTGGAGGGAGAGACGCAATTCGACGCTTCATGTTATACAAGCTGTGGGATGGATCAGTTTCTGCCGCATGGAGGGACATGAAAAACATACTGCCAATCTGTGCGCATGTGGTCCCGCTGCGCATCGCTGCTACGGAACGCAACGAGGCAGGTGTTGCAGGTGTAAGGGAGAGTAGAGCCGTCCATTTTGAATCGAATCGGAGAAACAACGTAGGGGTATCACGAAAAGAAAAGGTCGTTAAACGATTGTGTGGTCAATGAAGCGGGGTATAAGTCCAACCGACTGGGACCGCTGGATATAAAGAGCGCCGGAAGTCCGAGTCGTGACTCGAGCTCGATGCGGGATAAAAATTTAATCACACGACTGAGTCAGAGACGGTGGGGGAAGGATCAGGATACGATGAGTCGAAATGAGTCTTGTTGCCCCTCGACGCAGAATTGATAATCAGATTTGCGCCGCCTTGCCGCTTTGGGCCCAATGACGTTGGGCACGTGCGCTTATGCATCAGTGTATGCTAGCTTAGTCATTTACACATCACTGTGCAGAGGTGCTGATAGCGACAATAATTTCTTGGTCATTCTACTTCAGATTGACTTGGTATTCATCTCTGGAATAACAAAACTATTTAATGGCCTTGGGTACAACCTTCCATTTGGTGGGTTCAAACACTAAAGTAGAATACTGGATCGTCAACTGTCATCCGGCTCAAGATCCAACCACAATATATTTGCGGCTTGCCTGGGCAACACGTACACCCCAATGTTGGTAACAACGCTACTGCACCATGTCTCACGGCAAAACATAGCCACCATCAATGAGAACATCGCTACCAGTCATGAACGTGGACGCGTCACTGGCAAGGTACAGATATAAGCCCTTGATTTCCTTCACATGGCCCTGCCTACCCAATGCCGACATCCGGTAGGCCTCGTTGATCGCCTGCGGACTGGCACCCATCTTGGTCTCGAAGAAACCCGGCGAGACAATGTTGACACGGGCAAATTCTCTCCATTCCCGGGCAAGAGACTTGCCAAAATGAGTCACAAATGCCTTACTGGCATTGTAGACTGGTTGATCAACGGGAACATTGACAATGTGACCACTCATGCTGGAGGTGATGATCAGGTTGCCAAAGCCCTGTCGCTGGAAGACCTCTCCAACGTATTTGGCGCAGTAGAGAACGCCATCGACTGGAAGAATCAGTGACTGCTAGACTGTCAAGGGCAAGGGTTCCTACCATTCACTGACATCTGCTTCCGATATTCTTCCAGGGTCTGCTCCAGAATAGGCTTGGAGATAGCCATTCCTGTCCAGGTGTTAGCAACATCCCCTCTGGTGAGAAACAGCTCCTACCAGCATTTGCAACAAACACGTCGATCTTGCCAAAGTCTTTGACGACGTCTTGAATAGCTTTCTGGACCACGTCCGGATTTGAAACTGGAGAAATTAGTATTGCAGATCTCCGTAGCGAAGGGCAGGCGTACTCACCATCAACCTTGTAGGCAGTAGTCTGGACACCGTGAGTGATGGCCAGAGTTTGTGCTTTCTCAACGGCTATATCGTTGCTGTGTGGTCGTCTATAAGCCATGTGTCTGGTAGGGAAAGGGTGCAACTTACGAGTTGTACCACATGGCGATATTTGCATTTGCTTCAGCCATCGCTTCAGCCACAGCGTAGCCAATGCCATCGGCAGCTCCTGTGATGATGACGACCTTTCCACTTAGACGAAGCTGGGCTAAGACATTTGTTGGGGTGTTTGGGAACGGACGAGGGAATCCCTCTCGGACCGTCGCGCTGTCAGTTGTGCTCATAGACATCTTGTAAGTTACGATGAAGAACCCGGGCTTGTGAAGAGACTGAGGGTCGGATAACAAGGGGCTTAAGCTTAGATGAACGACTAGAGTCAGTGACAGCTTTTCCTTTTGAGCATACTTCCTTTCGAGGGGACTTAGTAGGAAAGGGCCTGCCCTTGTAATTCTTGCTTCCCTTTAGCTTCACACGACCTGATAGCGGGGTATAGACAAACTACGAATGAGGTATTCAGGAAATGCTAACCTGCCCCGCTTGTTGAAGGACCTGGAGGATGGCTCGATATGGTGATGTGACGTTTTCTCGGTTCACTGTGGTCCGACCCTGTCCTGAACCAGCACTCCATCACGGTCGAACCATTATGATTGGCATCGCTATTATCCAGGACTTGGTCATCTGCCACTCTTCCGCGATTGAGTTTGATGAACGGTGCATCTATATATCTCACATCTGCCCACATTTGAGAGGAAAGCAGAAGAGCGGAATAGTAAGGACCGAGGTCGATCTCTGCACCCCGCCGGAGCCCCCGCATTCATCCCACCCGGAGGTCCGTGTCCCCGGTACACGCATCTGCGCAAGGCCATGCGAGATAAGATTGCCGCACGTGCAGATCTGGGGGATAAGATGACCGATTATGATACACTGATATCAAACCCGCAGGCGATCCGCTACGTCGCCGAATTCATGCTGCAAACAGGCTTGCTCGGGCAGTTCAGCCAGGTGGAGTTGGATCCCGATCCTGACCCCCTGGAGGACCCCGACCACTGCCACGAACACACAGGCCTACGGGCATTGGGAATAGACGCTGAAGACGCTGGGTAGAGGCCTCAAACACGCCCTGGTTGAGTCGCCAGGGCATACACGCATACCAGTATAGCAACACACAGGTTGGAACCAGGCATGAGAAGCGGAGAATGGAGGCAGAGGATGGAATCGCGGGCAACTGGTCATCAGTTGCATTAAAAGTGCTTATTTAGTTGTGTACTGCTGCGTCATCGACTTCTTCCTATACGCGTGGCTTTGATATTGCTCTTTCACTGCGAGATTTGGGATTTGTGGGATTTGACAGGCGTTCTGGCTTCATATTCTTGCTTCAACGGGAAGCGCCTACATAGCTAGCATCACACTTAGCGGGCTCCATTAGGCTAATAGAATATGACTTGACTTAACTTGACTTGACCACCCGGAGGTCCACCAACATAGTGTATACGACACAACCATTGCTCCTTCTGCAGTCTACTAAGCAGAAGTTGAAACGGGCATATCGATTACTCTCAAGCAGTCTTTGGGAGGCAGCAGGTAAGCCGAACTCAGTTCCCGTCGTCCATGCTTTACCAAACTATCCCCGCAATTGGGATTATCTTCGCCTTCAAATTATGAAATTCATAATCTAGATCCATTGTTTGTCTTGATATGTACCTCTTTCCTCTATTTGAGCCACGTACCATAATTCTGGAATGATAATCCCATAGGAAGTTGGCAGCTGCGATCTTCCGATACTGACCCAAGCACAGCCAACAGCCCAGCAGTAGTCTATTCAGACAGTCACAGAGACCATTAACCGCGATGGAACCAGAACGAAAAGTCCCTCCCATTCCATGGATGCGCCTTGGGGATCCCAACCCAGAGTCATCTCTCACGCCCCCTCCCGCGCCTTTTCCAGCGAGCAACACTGCAGCCGACAATGCGAGGCAACGCTTCGCCGTGACCGGCAATGCCGTCTGTACATCTCCCCCAAACCTCTCAAATCCCAACCGAAACACTAAGACATGCAACAGTCACCGGCGGCGCCGGCACCCTAGCCCTCACCTCAGCGCGGGCTCTCCTCGAACACGGCCTCGGAAGGCCTCGCGCTCCTCGACCTCCCCACCAGCCTCACAAAGAGTAAAGACCAAATCCTCTCCCTCGAGCACGATTTCCCCTCCGCCAAAATCCTCTCCATCCCCTGCAACGTCACCCTCGAGACCGTAGTCCAGTCCGCAATCGAAACAGCAAGCACCCACCTCGGCAATCTCAAAATCCTATGCTGCTTCGCCGGCATCGTCAACTGCGTTCCCTCCATCGAAATGTCCCTCGCCGATTACCAGAAAATGCAAGACGTAAATACCACCGGAGCTTGGATCGCCGCACAAACTATCGCTAAGTATCCCTCCCCCAATCCCCATCCCCCTCGGTTTTAGACTAATACGAAAAGAAAAATGATCCACACGCACACCCGCGGCAAAATCCTCTTCATTTCCTCAATCAGCGGCCACAGGGTCAACTACCCCCAACCGCAACTAGCATATAACATCTCAAAAGCCGGCCTACTGCACATGAAGAACTGCCTCGCCGCGGAATGGGCCCAGTACGGTATTCAGGTAAACTCCATCTCGCCGGGGTATATGGATACCGTGCTAAATGAGGGGGAGGGACTTGTCGAGCATCGGGGGGTTTGGGCGGATCGAAACCCAATGAGGAGGATGGGACAGCCGAATGAGTTGACAGGACCGGTGGTGTTGCTTTGTAGTGATGTTGGGGGGAGTTATTTGAATGGAGTGGATGTTGTCGTTGATGGTATGTTTTGGTTTTGGTTTTTTTTTTTTTTTTTTTTTCTTGCTTTCTTTTCTGGGGGGTGGGGGGGGGGGGGGGAAGAGAATTTGGAGATGATTGCTGACGAGGAGTGAGTTTAGGTGGAGGATTGGTTTTTTAAGGGAGGTGGGAGAGGATGGATGGGATGGGATTGACGGGGGATGGTAAGTGGTGGGAAGAGTAGAGGGCTGATGGATAGGGATTGGACTTATTATTGGGAATTCGGTGCTCTAATACAATGTTGAATTTAGTTCCTGCTGTTGAATTCAGAAACAGGCACTGAGTTAGATTTCAACCGATAGAAGCTCTATAATATGCCAGCATATATCCTAGTTCCATCCCGTCAAATAACTAAGCAACCGCCGACCTATATCCATCCAATCACTCCAACTGAGCTTCTCATCCACCGAGTCACTGGATTCATCCGAAGATTCAGCCAATCCATACATCTCGGCAACATCACGATCCAACTCCCGAGTAATTCTCTCACACCACTTAAAAATCTCCAACGTCTCATCCAAAATCTCCTGCCGTTCTCCCTCCGTCAAAAACTCATCGGCCTCCACCACCCTCATCCGAAACTCATCCCTCACACCCCCATCATCCCCCCCTCTTTCCCCCTCGACCTGCCAAAATGACAAAGGGGGCGGATACCGCCCCTCCTTCCACACGTGTAACTGTCCCTCTTCCAGGCCCCAGAACTTCGGGCCCGCGTCACACAACAACCCCCGAATCCACCGTCCGCCGTTGAATAAAGCAGAGTACATGATCCAGACATATGCGACTAGGAGATGGGGCTTATCTGAGATACGGGAATTGATATACGCCCGGAACTCTTGGCCTGTGTTAGTGTTGGAAATGTTGGTATTGGGCAGGTTGGGTAAAAAGTTGAGATCGGCCTTCACGCGATTGGAGCGATGTAGTTCCGGAATGTAGATATTGCGAAGGATGGTGCGGATTCGTTCGTCGGGGGGCATGGAGGTCTGGCTGGGGGTTATTGGGGGTGTAGCGAGCTGGGTCTGCCAGGCTTCTTCGAAGCCAAGGTAGATCTCGGCATAGCGGGAGAAGCCGAGGGCGTAGAGAGAGGGAGAGGTGGCGTTGGGAGGGAGACAAAGGGGAATTCGGTCAGTGTTGAGACGGTTGACCGCGCCGTGGGGTTCTCTGGAGAGGAAGAGGTTAGGTAGAAGTGGTATATGAGGAGAGAGGGACGTTTTACTTGATCACAGTGCGGATCTTGGAAGGGAGGTCGGGGTCGACCATGTTGATAATAGGTTTGAAGGCTCGAGTCTAGGTATAGGGACGGTGGGTGCAAGTGCCCATGAATGAATGAGAAATAGGGTATGAGAGCCATCTGTTCACGATGCTTTTATACTCCGCAGCGGTGGCTGTTGACGCTGAAGCTGAGGTCCAGATGCAGAGTTACCTCATATCACATTATCACATCACAAAACAGGTCACCGTCGGAGATATCATTGGTATTCGAAATGGCATTGGTGGAGCTCTTATCACACGATGGGGTCATCATCTGTAGTTCCTTTTCCTACGGTGGCAATAAAGCAGTGTAACATGGACTCAAGTGAAGCACCGAGAAAGGGAGTGGGGAGGTGCAGACAGATGATGCCAGTCGACAGATAACCTGCTGGAGAGAAACAATTGAGCTGAACACATCCAGTATTAGCAATCTCACAACAGCCATGTAGACTCAAGCTGCAGAAACCTATAGATAGTATTACCGAGCGGGGTAGGTGGAAGACGAAGCTAGTCCAACTCCGGGGATCGGCGAGCTTGTTTTTCTGAACCTAAATCCCTCATGGCGGAGTTGATTGGGAGTAGATCGACTTCCCCTGCGATCATAGTCATGTCATGACAAAGGGTGCAGGGCTGCAAAAAGGGCATGTATCAAGAAGAATGAGAGGGCGAGGCACCTCGAGGAAGCCGTTGACCCGTGTATTAAACGTAATAAGCGTAGTACAGCTGATATACAAACATGTCAAATCTCGTCCTCTCCCCTCACCACTTCCTCTCGGTAAATGTCAACGGGCAGTTATCCTGGGACACAAGTCAGCTTCTGCAGCATTCCATTCTCACCGACATGTCACTTACCATGGGGAAGATGGTCGCAAACACTTTGATTTCTTCCGACAACGGGGTCGCGTGGTGTGTCCAGTCCAGCAACAACGACGCCTTGCCGATCAACAGCACCAGATTGAGTTGTGCGTAGTGCTGTCCGATGCACACGTGCGGTCCAGTTCCAAATACCAGGAAGTTCTTAGCCCCCTTCTCCTCAGCATCGCCGGTATAATAACGCTCGGGGTTGAATTCGTCGGGGTTCTCGTATACATCGGGGTCGCGCAGAGCAAGCCACGTGGTTGGGATAACCATCGCGCCTGTGGGAAGTCAGCATTGATTGCAAATCGCAGATTCAGGATGTGCCACTCACCTTTGGGAACAGTGTACGATTCAGTGATGGGAAAAGGCTTCTTCGCCATATACGGCACCATGATCACCGGGGGCCGGTACCGCAGAAGCTCCTTGACAACCGCGCGGGTGTAGGCCATCGACTCGAGCTCGTCTAGATCGACTGGAGCACGAATGTCACCATTGCGGACCTTCAGGTTCTCCTCGCGCACTCGATCAAGAACATCGGGACGCTGTGCCATCATCTGGAAGAGCCAGGTGGCTGCGCTGCTGGTAGCGTCCTGAGAAGCAAAAAGAAATGCGAACACAGTCTGCGCGATCTCATAGTCGGCGAAGTCACGTAGCAGAGGTGATGGCTTCTCGAGGTTCGCCGTCGACAGCCCCTTGGCCTCTGCCTCGACCCATTCCTTCGACGCCAGAATGTTCTTGACCCAGGCGTCCATGATGCAGGTCGGCTCCTTGCCGGCAGCCATACAGGCCTTGCTCTTGGCGCAAGCCTGGCAGAACTCAGCTAGAACCATCTCACTCGCTTTTTTCCCGTACCAAGCCTTCGTAAAGGGCAGGATGATAGGGAAGTTAACCAGCTCCATTGCCTCTGTGATCAGGTAATAGTCATCGGCGATTTTCTTGACGGCCTCATCGGAGATGTAGTAGCCGCAGAAGGTCCTGAGAGATACGGCGCACATCAACTCGCGGAATTCGGACATAAAGGTCACCGGCTTACCGCCGGCGTCCTTCGTGATTCGACGAAAACGTTCGAAGTACTGGTTGTATACCGCCTCTTGGCCGGGAAGATAGGACTGAAGTGCCTTTCTCGTGAACAGACCGTTAAGGCCCTTGCGGTAATCGACATGGGGCTTGCCGTCCAGGAAGACAAAGTTGTCGGCACCCAGGAGTTTATGAGCGACATCGACGACGCAGGGCTTCACGAAAGTCGGGGAATTGAACACCTTCCGCGCCATGTCACGAGTCGAAGCAATCACAACGAACCTGGAGTGGACTTGTCAGTCTTGCGCATTCCATCGAATCCGCAGGCGCTGCGGGGACGCACTTGTGGAATACAGAGACACAACTCAAAGGGCCGCTTGTCCATTTCGCGTAGTATTCCTCGAATTTGGGGTTGACGGATTCTAGAAACGGTCCGATGAAGGGCGTCTTGAAGGCCGGGCCCACGATGTTTCCCTTGTTAAGGATGTAACTGACTGCGAGACAAGCGGTGTCAGATTCAATTCTTGGGCCGTATTCATACACATGAGTGACATACTCTGGTCATATGCGACAAGAATCGCTAGGATAGTGAAAGCAATGGTCCACAGACTGGCATTGCTGACAGCATCCACAACATACTCGAATTGAGAGGGAAGTGAGAAATGGCTGTCCCGGACGCTGGCGAGCGGCGACGCGAAGCTGGGGGCGTTGACTTCCATCTTGTGTGGACACTGTAAGTTGTAGCTCACAGAGTGATTAGGTTTCCGGTGATTGCCGATCGAAGCTGGAGCTGGGCGCTGAGCGACCGAGCAGGACACAATGCCGTGCCAAAGATGAGAAGTCGATGGCGGTGGACAGGTACACGCAAAAAGTTAATGGGACGAGCGCCGCGCCGGAGGATCGAGCCTTTTATTCATGGGACTGAACGGATCCGGAACCCCCTGATTAGTGCCAGAATCCTTCGTGGCTACCCCCATCTCAAAGCCCTTGGCCGGCATGGGATACGCAACCCTGGGAGGTTCCGGAAGTTCGGAAGTTGGAGGGCATCTATCTATCCAGCCACCAACACCGGCGGCGCGATTAGACTACCATAGAAGACCACTTCGCATAGCGATAATTTTGTTTTCCTTCTTCAAAATAATCCAGCCGCGAACTCTCTGGGGGAGAAATCCCAGCCACTTGCTAGTGCTGACACGCGAGTTCACAATCTCCTCAAACAAAGCGCCGGGGTTCCAGCCAATCAGGCCACCCCGGGCGCAATCCGGCAGCAACCACCAATTGGGCCACCCTCAACAGCGCGATCACGAGAATTCGCCCAACTCCATCGGTTTCAATCCTGACTGATTTGATATGTGTTATAGCCACCTGTATGAAGGGCTGCATTAATGAAGATGAAGTTAAGAATTTGGCGCTTGTCAGAACCCGGACCATTAATCAGCAGAGACAATCCGCTGATGGGGGAAACGAAAGAAGGATTCCATTTGGTTGGTAAGATTTTTCCCGGCATCATCGCTATCGGCATTACTGATCGCATCAACTCCTACTACTTACTATATAGGTAGAGCATCAATTGTTCACCATTGCCAGGTGGCGAATGCGGCCATAACCAATGTGTCATGGATTCAGCGGGGCTCCGGATGACAGTGGGCCGACCATCATAATCACCTGAAAATAACCTTATCTTGACCCTCATTTTCTACCCCAGACTAATAGCCCGTCATGGCAAAGCAGTCGAACAGAAAGTCAGGCCCACCGGAGCTTCGTGCAGTAAGTCCCCCGCGTACGCAGCAAGCTGGCAGAGAATTGATGGCAAGCAGTGTGCAGAATGCCGGGTAAGAGTGAGCCGGATGTCGGATGACTGCTGCTAATCAGGCCCATGCACGTTCCAGAAACGAAAGAGCAAGGTAGTTCCTAAATCAATTAATTCACTATATCCTTCAGTATTAACAATCGGCTAGTGCTCGGGTGCTGCTCCATGCTCATACTGCTCTCGCACCAAGAAACGATGTCGCTTCGACCGCGTACCGTCACGTACCCCTTTGACTCGGAAGTAAGTGTAACTCTTTCTATGCCATGACTGCTTTTCCAACAATAGTAGAAACCTCGATGAAAAAGAGCGGCTTTGCGCAAATCTGGTCGCCCTCATCCACAGATTAAATCCGAATGTCGATATCGGAGAAGCAGTGAAGACATTGTCAGCGTCCGACGAAGGAAGCAATGACAATGAACCAGGCCCTGCGCTACCGAGCCTGGACCCAACAAGGGGAAGCCCTACCCCTTCAGGAAACTTTGAATGGAATGAAACTCCATCGTCCTCAACTCATCTTCCTGATAGGTCTCTCGACGGAATGGCATCACTTCCAACAGGGAGATCGGAATCCGGTTACCTAGGTAGGCAAGCAGAACTTCTGGTACAAACTAGTCTAACCATACTACTTCAGGAAACAGCTCTGGGTCCTGTATACTGAAGACCATCTCGGATTTGCTCCCCGAGCACACTACTCCCCAGGCTGCACGGAGAGAACGACTTCCTGCAGATTTGCACCACATAGAAAGTCCTTCTTTGTCAGCAGAGCTGGGCAATACCGCCCTCCTGGATCGTCTCATCGATGCCTACTTCGTATGTTATAATTCATCGTTTCCCATTCTGCATGAGTGGATTTTCAGACAGAAATACCGAAACAGAGATCATATTCCGGACGGCTCTACTTGGCACATGATATTCTACCTTGTTCTGGCAATCGGAGACTGGACACTCTCTGGTGGCTCGAAGGTTGAGCAATCCAAATATTACATGGCTGCACGATCCCGCATGTCAATACATCTGCTGGAATCAGGGTCACTTCTCACGGTTCAAGCCTTCCTTTTGATGGTTAGTCCACTCATCCGAGCCTTACATGTCCCATGACTACTTTCTAACATTATGTCTCTCAGGGGAACTTCCTCCAGAAACGGGATCGGCCAAATACAGGGTACAACTTCATCGGAATCGCATATCGAATGGCCCTAGGACTTGGACTGCACCGCGAACCGCCTATAGAAACAACGGGAGATACTCTAGCGAATGAAAGACGAAGGGCTGTATGGTGGATTCTATATTCGTTCGATAGTGGATTCAGCCTGACAACAGGGAGGCCTCTCATGTCATCAGACTGCTTCATCGAAACCCGGCTTCCACAAAACATTGAGGATTCGGTAATAGCCATTTCCCAGAGTTACAAAAAGCCTACTAACTCCATTCCCAGGGATGTAGGCTGGATTCCACGCTCCCCGATGCTGTAGACATTCCAACAACCTACTCCGCCATCATCGCACTAGCTCGATTAGCACGTACCGGAAACATGGTCTACCTCAACGTGATAGCAGCCCCAAAGAAAGATCTAAACCTGAAAGTCTCGCGCTCGCTCGATCATCAACTCAAAGCATGGCGACTATCCCTACCGGTCTACTTCACCGCACACGATGTCCCAACCTGGTTTCGCGGACCCCGAGCAGTAGTAGGATGGAAAGAGCAAAACCTACGCATGATGCTATGGTGGGGAACCCACCGCCTCTGCATCTCTCCTTCCGACACCGAAGAAGCCCAAAACATGTGTCACTACGCCGCCATCGAATGCATCCAGGACATAACCACCTTCTGCATCGACTACCCAGATACCCTTCACAACGGTCTAACCTGGTACGCGACATACTTTCTCTTCCAAGCCTCCGTCGTTCTCAGCATCCACTACCTCCGCCCACATCAACCCCTAGACACCAACCTAGCCGCAGCCAACCAAGAGCTCTGGCTCTTCTCCATCTCCCGAGCCCGCGACTGTCTCGCCAATCTCAGTCAAGCAAACCAAGCCGCAGCACGATGTCTGGAAGTCCTCGACCGGATCCGAGATCAATCACAAGCCACGCCCACCCCCGGGGCGGAAGCTTCGGCAATGTATGACGCTGATGCTGCGCAATTACCAACCATTCATGATGCAGCGGGTATGCGACAAGCCATGCTTCCCGTTGACCCTTCCCTTCAGATGTTCTTTGATGCCACCTCGTGGAATAAAGATATCTTTGAAGGCCTTCAGGGCTTCCCCATCACCGATGAAGTGGAATCGTTTGATTATGTCTCGGGAACGGCTTTTGCTGCGGATATTGCGGAGGATTGGGCGATGCCCATGGATCCGAGTTTGGAAGCCAGCTGATCTTGTTTAGCTAGGTAACTTCTTGATTACCTTACTTAGCTACCTTTTTTTTTTTTAAAAAAAAAGGATGCACACGGATGAACCTGTCTTTTAGCATACTGAAGTCATTTTGGTGCGAAGGGAAGGCAGAAAATTGAAGAGAAGAAAGCGTTCAATCTAAAAGTTGTCTAGAGAATTTTGTACGTGGTGGACTATCGGGGCACGGTCGACCGTTGACCGGGTCGGATTTCCGCTCTGACACCATCATGTTACCGATCCAGCATGAGTGTGCCAGTTATCGTACAAATACTGAGAACCAGGTGGTCCATCTGTCTCCTGCACTTTCCCCTTTTATCTGCTCCTTCCCCTTTCGGCTTGTTAATACTCATCGGATTGTTTCTGCTAGGATACAACGCAATTGATTAGAGATAACCATTAGCATCCTACTATAGCGTTACCCAGATTGATCGTTCACTACAAATATCATCATCATCATCATCATCATTATCATCATCATCATCATGGACGCAACAGCCACCAACCCCTCATGTCTTCTGTATGGCCCACTCGACGCCCGCTTCGAAGACCGGCCGATCCCCACACTTAACAATCCCCACGATGTGATTGTTCGCATCGCCTATACTGGCGTTTGCGGGAGCGATGTTCGTATTCCCCAGACCACTAATTAACCCATCTCATCCAAACTAATACCTGCGACCAGGTCCACTTCTGGCTCCACGGGGGAATCCGCACCTACGTATCCCCAACCCAGCCGCTAACCATGGGCCACGAAGCGTCAGGGACCATCCACGCCGTCGGGTCCGCAGTCACGTCTCTCGTTCCCGGAGACAGAGTGGCAATCGAACCCGGTTATCCCTGTCGACACTGCAATCAGTGCAAATCCGGTCGGTACAACCTCTGTCCGGAGATGAAGTTCGCTGCGGACCCGCCTGTCGTCCATGGGACCCTTACCAAGTATTTCATGTTGCCTGCGGATTTCTGCTACAAGATCTCGGATAATGTGAGGTTGAGTGAAGCAGTTTTGCTAGAGCCACTGGCTGTGGGGATTCATGCGGTGAGGTTAGCTGATGTGAAGCCCGGGCAGAGCGTCGTGGTGTTTGGGGCCGGGACTGTGGGGATGCTTTGTGCGGCTGTGGCGAGGGAGTTTGGGGCGAGGGTTGTGGTGTCGGTGGATATTATGAAGCATAAGTTGGTTTTCTCGAGGGATTTTGTGGGGAGGGAGGTTGCGAGGCAGATTATACCGGATGGGAAGCTAATTGTGGAGGATAATGCGGCGCGGATTGTGAGAGAGAATGATCTTGGGGATGGGGCAGATGTTGTGATTGATGCGTCGGGGGCTGAGGCGTCGGTTCAGACAGCGATTTTTGCTTTGAGAAAGGGAGGGACATATGTTCAAGCTGGGATGGGGAAGCGCAAGATTGAGTTCCCTATCTCGGAGATGTGTGAGAAGGAGGTTGTGGCGAAGGGGTGCTATCGATATGGCCCGGGGGACTTTGATTTGGGTATCTCGTTTGTGGGTCGAGGGAGGTTGCAACTGGGGAGCTTGATCTCGACGGTCTTTCCCTTTGAGAAGGCGACGGAGGCGTGGGAAGCGGCGAGGAGGGGTGATGGCATTAAGATGTTGATTGAGGGACCCAAGGATGCTCGGTAGGCAGGGATGGTCACCTGGTAGTCACCTGATTTCTTTGGTGATTTCTCTTCGGCGGGCTTTCCCTCTTCCTCTTCCTTAACAATGTTCTCATCGTCATCGAATTCTATTGGGTCTCAAAGCTGTCGCTGAGCCCACGGTGCGATATTCTCGATACTTCTTAGTCCCACTGTCCTGATTAATCCGAGTAGCTTGGAAAGAATCGACACAGATGGTCAATCTTACACCGCGGATTACAGGGTGCTCTATAACCAGCTTGATGGAGAAGCAGAGGTGGGGGGGCAGTTCTGCTTTTTCGGCGCCATGCGGCTTGCGTTTAGCGCAGGCAGGAGGGCTGTCAGACACGTCAACCCAACAAGCCCCGCGAGCTGAACGCGTGCGTTTTCCTCACAGCTCCACTCACCACAGTGTCTGGCCCTCAGCCATCTGCCATTTATGTCGGTCCTTCTCTTCGCCTTCCAAGTGCCCCCAGGATATGCGCCTTCTTCGCACGAGAGCTCCAATGCTGGAACTTGTAGAGGTCGACAAGGAACAGATTGAAAGCGGAGAGATACACTATGCGATTCTCTCGCACAGATGGGGCGATGATGAAATCACATTTCAAGATATTCCCTATCTGCATAATGATGAAAAGAAGAAGACCAAAGGCTACCAGAAGGTCAGGCGCTTCTGCGAAAAAGTCGCAAATCATTTCGAGTATGCCTGGATAGACACTTGTTGTATCAATAAAGACAGCAGCGCGGAGCTGTCAGAAGCCATCAACTAGATGTTTCGTTGGTATAAACGGGCGGGCAAATGTTATGCTTACCTGAATGATGTTTCGCCGAGTGCCGATCGGGAGCAGCTATATGTCAATATGAAGCGAAGTCGGTGGTTCGAACGCGGTTGGACACTCCAAGAGCTGATCGCACCCTCTGATGTCATGTTTCTTGCCAAGAATTGGACTGAAATAGGGTGCAGGAAGAGCCTCAGTGCATTGATATCGGAGATAACGCTTATTGATGAGTCCGTACTGCAGGGGGATTCGCACCTGCAAAGGTTTAGCATTGCGAAAAAGATGTCATGGGCCTCTGGCCGAGTAACCACGAAACGTGAAGACATCGCCTATTGCCTGATGGGCATTTTTGACGTTAGCATGCCATTGTTGTACGGAGAGGGTGATAAGGCCTTCATAAGACTGCAGGAGGAGATCATGAAGGACTCAGACGATCAAACACTCTTTGCGTGGGAGAACTCCGCTGTTTCGATGGACCACCCGAGTGGCCTGCTTGCTCGATCCCCGATGGACTTCAGGAACTCGGGAAATATAATCCCTTTCAAATTCTCCAAGGCAACCATGCCATTTTCGGTGACCAATAGAGGTATAAGACTTGATTTGCCTCTACTGAGAGCCCCGGATGTGGACGTACAAGAAGCGGATACATGGACACCTGGTGTTGACATCCTGGCTCTAGAGTGCCGGGATGCGTCGAACTCCTTTTTTCCGAAACCAGTTGGTGTAAAGCTCAGACAAAAGCCCGGCGGGCATAGCCAGTTTCTGAGGGTCCATCCCAGTTTGGAAAGAAACATCCACTTGAGTCAGCTGTACTACACCAGGTCCACTACGATCTATGCCGAAAAAACGATGACAAGAGAATATGTCGAGTTGCCAAGAATGAGGAGGCAGAACAGGAATCTGATTCTATGCTTGGACGGTGACAACAGCCAGAATTTTAAAACCGGAACCCGCTCTAACATTCAGCTCATCCATGAATTGGTAGGTGACACAGATGACTTACAAAACTGCTATTATGGGGAGGTCGGTGGCAGTGGCAGTGAACATGTTCAACTATGCGTGATGAGGGCATACCAAGTTAGCTACATCAGTCCCCTCATAGCAGCCACGTTTCCGGCAAGGCTAACCCCTTTTATCAAGTGGTTGGCGAGAAAATATAGCGACAAGTATGATATTTTTATCTTCGGATTTGCCAGCGGAGCCTTTGCGGCACAAGTCCTTGCACAGATTGTTGACAACGTGGGAATTTTCCAAGTTTCATATGTTTCCAATCACCCGGAACGCATCTGGGATATATATGAGGACTGGTACCGTGCTGTCATAGGTGGCGAGGGCGGCGACGAGTGGGAATACGAAGATACTGCATCATCGCTACTTCGCATAAATAAAATGCGCACGAAGTACTCTGAGCTAACAGACAGGGTTACATTCCTGGGCTTATTCGATACGGCTATGGCCACATCGGACCTAGGAGTTAGGTTGACCTTTCACACTAGTTGGGGGCGGCATCGCAATCTTCCCTCGGAAATTTCCCATCCTGCTCTTATAGTTCGCCATGCAGTAGCACTGGACGAACGACGAATTGCCCTGCACCCGATCCTCGTTGGAGAACCGATGTTTGAAGGCATACAGGACGTTGAGCAACTCTGGTTTTCAGGTAGTCATGCTGTGAGAACCTTACCTTTTATAATAGTTCACCTGGTTCAGACACTAATCACAATACTTAGGACATCGGAGGGATTGCATACTCGGCCAACAACCTCCCAGTAGCCGGCGAAAAAGGTGGGAATCTTAGTCTAATCCCTCTAGTTTGGATGATCTGCGAGGCTGCGAAAGCGGGCCTAACCTTTGACCAAGGAGCTCTACGACAACTCTTTGGTGGAAACCCGCAGAAAACCATCAAAGCGGCTTTAGATAATGATGGTGATCATATCATCTACAGTGTGGTTCCAAGTGATAGGCTGAGAGAGACATGGTACCGAATCGCCACAGTAGCCAATAAACACCAGGAGGATCAGTCTCTGCTGTCATCCATGAGCGAGTTTGCCATGAGTCCCCTGCCCTATCTCAAAGTCTATTTGCAGGCGTTTGCAATGGAGGGTTGGCCCCCTTGCTTTACCGGCGAACTATCCCTCCCGGTAGTGCCGTGCATAGCACAGTTTTTCACAGGATGGACGAACACACGAACTATTGTCCGGTTAACCTGATGAGATCAAGGGGAAAGACAGGCATATATACACAGTGGCCAGCGTACAGAGTGAGATATAGGGGGGATCCTGTCCGGGAGTGTTGCATTTTAGAATCCTGACCCTTAATGTACACCGTATTCGGACTAGCCCGCTCCTTATCCTTATCCGGTAATGTAGTTGTTCCTGCCGACTGACTTAGCACCCGACCGGGTCTTGGCGCCTGAGGCCCCCTCCGACGGGCGTGAGTGATATCAGCCTGGCCTGTCCCTCCCTAGGCCGGACCCCAGAATCAACAAGTCACATCGTCACCACCGCCTACAATTTCTCCCCCCTGAACCAACTGCGCAGATCTACTCAGGGAGCGAGCCTCTCAAATCGGTACTCTGATCCGGTAGCTGCGGCATGCTCCGCAGTCTGTCAAGATGACCAGGCTCCGCGGAGCTTCCGTGAGCTCGTACGAGGTTTCGCGTGGTGGCATCGACAGGCCCCAGTTCCACCGTTCCAAACTGCCCCCTAATGCGCCCGACGTGATCGCCCAGAATACGATAGATGTCTCCGACCCTGCTCAAGTACTATTATGGTGTAGAGATGAACGACGTCGTCAGTTCAACCTTCTGGTCCGCAGGTCAGTCTTTCCATGACGCCATACCTGTGCTGAGCCGCTGACGGGATATTTTTAGGTACAAGAATCAACTCCTCTACGGATGTCAGGATCCTGGCTGCCAGACACCCACCTGCGCCAGTTACCGGAAACGCGTCACAGACGGCCCATTTCGTCGATATACGGAGCTGAGCGCCCGCACGCTGGCTTGCTACTTGGCTAGTTTGGATAATGCGGAGGATGGTCTTTGTCGCAATCTCTCCCGGGTCCCCTACGAGCTTTCACCCCATGACAATCAACGTCGATCAAAACGTCGAAATCGTGCCTTGCCTTCGAACGATTCCGCGCGAGAACGTACAGAGTCAAAGGAAGTGGGTCATACTGGTACTGATGAGGTGTCCCGGTCTTCACCGGCTCGGGATATAGGATCACCAAGCTCGAACGACCGAAATGGGAGGAGTCCATCTCCTGGTTTGGGATCTCAGGATCAGGAGCTGGTCATTGTGGAAGAGGACGCACCTGAAACGCAGCGACTGAAAGACCCGAAGTCGTTCACTCAGAACTTGTTCGATACCCTATCTCTCCGGATGATTGAATGGCTGCCTCTACGACGGTCGCCAAATACACTTGGTCCGGATCCAGGTCGCTTAGACATTCGTCCTGAAACTCGATCACCAAAACCTGCGCGCGACGGGACACAGCCCTATTCGGATAAAGCACGGCCACAATTAACCCGACAGCGGACACCGCAGCATATCATACCCACAGGTGGTGCTCCCCATACCCCTTCATCGCGCCATGTAAATGGTCAGACTACCGCGTTGGAGTTGAGGCTTCCGAATCAACGGGTCAAACGACTGTCGCTTACGGAGGTGGATCAGTGGCGCCAGAATCCCCGCGCGAGCTCAGAGGAGAAATCCTATCAGGAGTTGAAACCCGCTCGCAAGCTGACCGTCAATACGCACGTCAGTGGCGATGAACTACACAATGTGCCTTCTCCGCCGGCATTACGACATCGTCCGCAAAAGCACCGGGGTAGAACGGGTGACGGAATTTGCGTTCCTTCGCAAGAGAAGCAGAAGAAGGGGCGGCGTGTTTCATGGGATGGGGCGAAGTATCTGAATAACGTCCTACTCGACGGCCCCAAGAAGACCGAGCCCCCCAGCGACGATCAGCTTCCTCTTGAGGCCCAGTCCCCTAGTGACAGCAAACCGAAGCGTCGAAGTTCCAGTCGGAAACGAACCATCTCGGCCATCCAGTCATTGACCCATCTCACGGGTGAGATAATTGATGGGATGATGCAAATGATGGTTGTTTCCGAAGACGAGGCTGAACGGTGGAGGGATGAGCTGACCTACATGGAATCCACCGGTAGCTTTGAAGAGTCGGAGTGGCGCTTCGCAACTCCCCGCCAGCGTCAAGTGTTTACCTTTATTGCGCAAAGCACTTTTTACGCGTTGAGTAATACCAAACAACTTCTTCTTTCGTTCCGACAGAATACGGCCGGACCGTCCGAAACGAACGAGGATCATAACCGACCCAATCTTGACCTTGCACAGCTACAACCATCGCTCCATAAACTGCTCCGTACCTGCCCCCGGGACATTGTCTTCCACAGTCTCTGGAGCGCAACGGAAGCGATGTTCGTCCCACCCAAAGAGCTTTCGATGCCAGGAAAACCTGCCCGCCGGTCATCCCAGAACTCGAGTGCCACATCCACCACGCCCATCATTCGTCGATCGGATTCTGGAAGCAGTGAGCAGCTCACTGATTCAAGTGCAGCAGATATCGCAACCGTCGCTATGTTTGCCTTGGCCAGCTCGCTCCCCGAGATTGATGCATCCACGTGGCGAACAATTCTCCGAATGCGTGCGGCTGGAGGAGTCGCCTCAAGCTCGGATATGAAAAAGCTCTCTGTCGCTAGGGCCCGTCTGATAGTCGAAACCACCGATATGCTTGAGCATGAGTTAGCGCTACGACTTCTAGGTCGCCTGGTGCGCGGTATTGGCGCACGATTGGCGTACCACGAAATCTCCAAGGCCCGGCCGGTGTACTCGCGAGACCTACCACAACGTAAGAACAACGTTCTGGACATCATCGTGAACAACCTCAGCGAGCATTACGGTGCAATGACAGCTACCATCAGCGACCCGAATACGACTCCCCCTCCTGGCGCACCAGCCTTTATTACCGAATGGCTCCGGACGCTTCTCCTCAAGGAATGGGATGGCAGCGCGGAGCTATCGCGATGTAGCTCAGCCGGAGCAGCGGTGCGGATTCTATCCACACTGTATAAGGAGCGCGACCGTCTAGGTCTGATTCCAGAGGACTTTCAGACGCCATTTCTCTCCGATCGGCTAGAGCCCTTGGACATGCCTGTGGAGTGGATTGAAAGCGGGCCCAGTAACAAGACACTGCATTTACTCTCCTACCCCTTTCTATTCCCGCCGTCGGCATTGGTGATATACTTCCGTGCCCTCAATTATGCCGCCATGTCCAAGTACTACGAAGCCGCCATGACGACGACCAGACACGTGACACAGACCGCGTTTGGGCCGATTCGGGTCCAAGACGACGTTGGCCTGCTTGCACAGTTGAAGACGTCTATGTCGACGTATCTGGTTCTTGTGGTCCGCCGCGACAGTCTACTGACGGATGCACTCAATCAGCTGTGGCGACGTGAGAGACGGGAACTCATGCGGCCGTTGAAAGTGCAAATGGGGATGGACGAGGGAGAGGAGGGCCTGGATCATGGTGGTGTCCAGCAAGAGTTTTTCCGAGTCGTAATGGGAGAAGCATTGGATTCGTCCTTTGGCATGTTTACGACGGATGCGCGGACGCGGATGTCATGGTTCCAGCCCTGTTCATTGGAACCTCTGTACAAGTTTGAGCTGCTCGGATTGTTAATGTCCTTGGCGGTTTACAACGGGCTCACCCTTCCGGTGAACTTTCCCACGGCGTTTTACCGCAAGCTACTCGGGCTCAAGGTGAAACATCTGGAGCACATCCGAGACGGATGGCCCGAACTCACCAAGGGACTGGGGGATCTCCTCACTTGGGAGGACGGTGACGTGGGCGACATTTTCATGCGGACCTACGAGTTCAGCTTCGAGGCCTTCGGCCTAGTTGAGACGGTAGACATGCAGAAAGTCGACCGAGATGCCCCATGGCCTGCTACATCCACGCCAGGCCGTGGCCTCAGCGGATCCCGGTCCCTAGGGTTCTCACCACCATGGTCGGAGGTCCGCCATTATACCGATCACGTCAACTTGAGCCCCCCGTCTTCGATGGCGGCTGAGACCGCGGGGTCGTACGGGGACACTACGAAAGCCACCGATACGCTGGTACCTGTCCAGTCACCGACCCCCCCGGGCGATGAGGCCTGCCTTGTGACTAACAACAATCGGTCCGAATTTGTCAAGGATTATGTCTTCTGGCTGACGGACAAGTCCATCCGTCCGCAATTCGAGGCGTTTGCGCAGGGATTCTACACGTGCATAGACCGAACGGCGCTGTCAATTTTCACCCCAGAGGCATTAAAGACGGTGGTCGAGGGGATCCAGACAATCGATATTCGCGAGCTGGAGCGTCACACTCGCTACGAGGGTGGGTTCGGACCGAGTCACCAGGTGATCCGGGACTTCTGGAGTATTGTCCGGCACTACCCGGCCGAGAAGAAGGCGCAGCTGCTGGAGTTTGTCACGGCCAGCGATCGGGTTCCAGTCAATGGGATTGCGAGTATCATGTTTGTGATCCAGAAAAACGGGGTTGGGGATGCTGTAAGTGACCGGTAGTTCTTGAATGAGCTGGGGAATGTTACTAACTCTCGCAGCGCCTTCCCACCAGTCTGACCTGTTTCGGCCGGCTGCTGTTGCCCGAATATTCATCGCGTAGTGTGATGGAAGAAAAGCTGAGCAAGGCGTTGGAGAACGCGCGGGGATTTGGCGTTGCTTGATTTCGGGATTGGTTTGCATGGAACGGGATTGGATGTTTTTTTTTTGAGTGGATCCCTGGTGTATATGTCGTACTTCATACCCCATTGTTATCCATAGATAGTGAGAATCTTAGCGTGGCAACGACCACTCGATATAGTAGTCATCGGACGAGGTCTTGTTCTGTTGTGGTAATGGGCTCGCCCGAGTTGCCTGGCGCGGAGCCGGTCGGGCCACTTGCCGGGAAGCCGTTGGGAGCAGCCACGCCGCTGGTGCCGACCTTCAACTTCTAATTCCTGCCTGTCCTCGTATCTCCATTTCACGTTGTCGGCGTCCCCCCATCCCCTGTCGAAAATCTCTGCGCTCCATGTGATCCACTCGCTGACCCGGCAACTCGGGGCTGGGCAGGAAATCCGGACATCACTGCGCCGGATGGCCTCGCACGGTTGAGTCATGGTTGGGCGACACGGTGCGCTGTGGTCCGCTTGGATTGGCAGAGGCCATCCACGGCCCTTCGTCGCGCGCCCCATATAAACCAACCGGTCTCTCCTTCACTACTATCTATCTACTCCGTTCACTGCCAGGCATCATTCCCTTCCAGATACCCGTGCACGGATTCCCGCTCGACGCTAAAGGTCTGCAAGCTGCTACTAATCGCTAGCCCCGCTACCCCACGTTCTGCTCCATCGGCCCTGACCCCTCTCTCCTTCCTCCTTCCTCCAGCTAACCTCCCGCCATCCACAGACGCCACCAAAATGCCCCCTATCATCCACTGCGTCCGCCACGCCCAGGCACGCCTACTACCAGCGGATTTCCTCGTTCGATGCGATCGCTAACCTCGCCCAGGGCGTCCACAACCTGAACGTCGCCAACCATGTCATCCATGATCCCCTCCTCACTAATCTCGGCAACGAACAATGTCGTCAACTCCGCGAAAAGTTCCCTCGCCACGCTCAGATCGACCTAGTCACGGCATCCCCACTCCGTCGCACCATCTACACAGCTCTGCAGAGCTTCGAACCGGTCTTCCAGACGCACCCCGATATGAAGTTGATCGCCCTTCCTGATGTCCAGGAGACGAGTGATGTGGCGTGCGACACGGGAAGCGACCCGGAAGTGCTGCGCAAGGAGATGGAGGAGAACAACGTCCCGATTGACTTGGGGCTAGTGCATGAGGGGTGGAACAACAAGGTGGGTGGTGCTCAATTTCCAGCCAGGGAGCAGGGAATGAGCTGATGTTTGTGTGTACCTGTAGCAAGGCAAATACGCACCTACCCACAAAGCCATCAAAGAGCGGGCGCGGGCAGCTCGCCGCTGGCTGAAGGCTAGACCGGAGAAGGAGATTGTGATTGTTACCCACGGAGGTTTCCTGCATTACTTCACCGAGGATTGGGAGGACAGCAGCCAGTACCAGGGTAGGTGGTTGAGATGGTGTCGATGTCGTGGATAAAGGCTGATGAAACAGGAACCGGTTGGGTGAACACCGAGTACCGGACGTATGAGTTCACAAAGGAGGTTCACACAGATGACCTCGAGGGTTACGAGTTGGACGGAGACAATGCCACCTTGGTGGAGACCCTTGAATCGCGCCAACGGCGTGGGAAGTCTGGACCCATGTCGGACCGCGAGCAGCAGAAGACGCTATACAAGATTGGAACGCAGGGCTGGGACGACCAGGGCTTGCAGTTGAGTATTGCGGAGCGTGAGGCGGCCAAGGTCCCGGAGGGTAAAGAAGTGAACGGCACCCGGGTATAGATCCATTGTGGTGGTTCTTTGTAGAGTATAGAATGAGACGCGGGGGACATATAAAGGGCGATATAGATCAAAGATCTCATACCTCAAGAACACAGCTGATGCAGCACGGTTCTTTGTTGTGTCCAGCGCTTTATCCACAGCGAACAATGGCCGTTATCTGTAGCTGGACCCGAGAAGGCAAAGGGTGAATGGATTGTCATTGCCAACTCTACTATAAGAACGTAGCATCGCCTTTCTGCGATCACTGAGTTGCAGCTCACCGAACTTGACTGAGCACCTGGGATACGATTCGATTCAGTCAGTAATCAGTTGAGGATAGATCTCGAGAGGTGAATCGGCACTGCCTGCTGTACCACATCACCACCAGCCATGGTCCACCGAGTCCATTATCCCACGTACGATACCTACATGCATCATTTATCGACCAGTCTCACAACAGGCCATCCGCCACCATTCACCATTAGGTTTACCACCAAACCTTCCAGTGGTAGATCCACGTCACCCGGGCCAACCAGCAAACCTACGTGCATCCGAAACCTCGAATCCCAAAACGAACCAACTGTCCCCGCGTCAATCAGCATCGAGGTACGTCAGCGTATTTTCTTGGCTAACGGACTGTAGGCACCCCAGCAAGGACTCGCACCTTATCGCGGTGCTGGGGTCTAGTAACCTGTCTTGGACAGACGAAGCGAAGACGAGTCCAATTAACCCCGAATGCTGCTGTCTAGAGTGGATTGCTGTGCCTTGCACGGGGCCTGCTGTTGATTACACGCCCGGATCACCGATCAATAGCAAGCCTCGCATGAGGTCATGGGAGATTTTCCCCTTGCTTATCAAGGCCAAAACATATCTGCCTGCAAGGCTTACTTTTGCCAGAAGAGATGAAACTTACCCCACAATATTAATTGCCTACCGCAAGATCAGGATCTGAAAGTCGATGAAGAGGCAGTGCCGATTGACCGACTATACGATACTCCGGAGATCGACAGTTTCGTCATGCGAGTGGAATCCCGGTGCCTACGATGATTGGGACCCCTTCAGGGTCGTCTGCATACCATTCATGGCTGCCTATGATACGCGTTCCCGTTCTTTCCCGTACCGCGATGGGCCGCGCCCAGCAGAAATGCCTGCCAAGGCACACGGCAATACCGGGCAGTACCTGGTTATTTATAGCGGTGGGGCATTGCCCCGGACCGCCTGAGGCACCGATTCGTGGACATCGGCCTTTCTTTCGTCGTTCATTTCTCTCTCTCTCTCTCTCTCTCTCTCTCTCTCTTCAATCTCGCCTCGCAATCCATGTTATAAGACGAGCCCAATGGCATTCGGACCACGGGTCGTGCAGAGAGTTCCGTCGAATCATTCCATCCCTTCCCAGAATTAAAGATGCTAGACGAGAACCTCCCCAGTATGTCTCTCCTTCCCCTCCCCCACTCCACTCCTGGATGCACCTCCGCTAACTCCAGCAGCCTTCTACCTCAAACACAACAAGCAATCCCAGCTGTGGTCCGTCTACCTCTGCCAGCACGGGAACGAACCGGAACCCGCCTACTCCCTCCGCTATCCGGATCCCTCCTCTCCCTCCTCTCATAACCGCTACGCCTCCGCTCTTTACGATCCCTATGTCTCCGACATCCTCTTCGGCGAGGTCCTGATTATTCCCGAATGGACCCAGCCCAGTCTCTCCGCGGAATCTATCCGACAGAATGGTGGTGTCGCGCCCCCTCCTGAGCCTATCCTCCCCTCACGCTTCACCATCAACCTCTACAACCCAGACCAACAAGTGACCGTGCACTTCAAGCCGAAGACCTGGAACAGCCCCGCAACATGGAACTTCGAGATGCCGCAGCACAGTTTCAGGCAGCCATCCGCGTCTACCCTGGACCGCACCCAGACCGACCCGGCCATGGCTGACACAACGCCCAAACTCCGCTTCACCTGGCGCAAAGACAGCAAACTGTCCAAAGACCTGACCTGTCTGCTTTCCGGGAAAACAACCACCTTACCCGAATCCAAAACGAAAAGTAAAGAACCTGACATTACGGTATCCATCTTCAAGAGCCTCCGCGAACTCACACTCTACGAACCCAACCTCTACCGCGTCGAGATGGAAGACTTCAAAGGCCTAGAAGTCGTGCTCCTCCTCGGCGCAATCACCATCCGCGACGTATACTTTGCATCCATGAAAGACGCATTCCACGTCACCAAGCCCGCTCACATGTCGAGTACACCCTCGCCCACCAAGGCAAACGGCAAACCCCTCCCCACTCTCCCAGCCGCATCCGGGGCATTAAACGCCGTCCAACCCAGACCCGAACCACAACAGCAACCCCAACAACCATCCCCTACCAACCGAAAAACCGAACAACAACGCGAAGAAGAACGACGCACCCAGAAGCTCCTCCAAGAAGAAGAACAAGCGCGTCGGAGACGTCGAGCCGAGCGGCAAGCCGACATCGACCGCGAGACCCGCCGTCTGCAAATGCTCTACGGACAAGAGGAGCAGCAAGTGCGTATGCAGACACCGTCACTACCACCCCGTCAACCGGCCGGATCCACCCTTTCCCTACGACCAGCCAACCAACCTCATCATACCTACCCATACCAAGATGGCCGCTCTCGCCCACCAGCAGGTCCATACATGTCTCCGGGCCCAGATCCACGGCGCCAATCAGCCGTACGATTTGCCCTGCTGGCAGAGACACCCGGACCCGCTGCGTCCACACCGGCCCTGCAACCCAAGAAAAGTAGTTTCTTCCGTTTACGACGGTCGTCAGCAGATGAGGCGAAGTTGAGCAAAAAACGGAGTTCGATGTTTTGATTGATTCATGATTTGTTCTTAATGTTTGATTGTTTGTTTGATACCCAGCTTGCATTCAAGTATATAGATTTTTTTACCTTCGATTTCGTCGAGCTACTCGTTTTGTTAATGCTCAGACTTCGCGGTTTTTACGAGGAACCTTGTCTCGGTCTTACTGAGCTTATAAACAGTCATCTTATCTAAGTCACCACTAAAAGTATTCAATCTGCTATACCTTACACCCAGTGGTAGTAGTTATTGCTCATCTCACTCGTTCCTCCGAAACAAACACATCGAAGTCCAAACCCACAGACCTTCGCCCCTAATTTTCGCGACTAAATATAAACGACTGATTGAATGTACAGAACCAACCTCCAAAACTCCTATCATCCCAGCTCCAACTTCCCATTCCCATGAGTTGCGAAGCACCAGCAATACCAAGTTAGGTCCTGCTACAGAAAGTCTCCAGCTCCAAGACTTGTCATTAATCCAGAGTATTTCACAGATTCCATTTTCCTATTGGCCCTTTGAAGATACTGTTAAGTAATATAGATAATACCAGTATTTACCACTCCAACCAGACAAGGGGGATAGGACTATGGAACTTGACGCCTAAACAATCACAAGGCTGGCGGCTAACCCAGCATGCGGGCTGGGATCACACGCATCGATGGGCTGTTTTCGAAGCAGAGTCTGTTTTAGCTAGCGCGAAGAAAAAAGTGTCGATACCCTATCGTTCAGGAACTGGCTCGTGGTTTCTTTGTTTGGCGCCGGGGTTGATGCGTGAATTAAGCGCCTTATGGTTCGGGTGGAAAGGTGGGATGGTCAATTCAGACGGCGGTTAAGGTTTTCAGGCGGGGGCTTTTCCATTAGGGGGGTAACACATGTGGCAGGCGCAGCCTGGAGGTGCCTGCCTGCCTAGGTGGACTATGTCCGACGCCAACCCCCCGGGGTTGTCCTTGCATCCTGTCACTTTCCATCTTATATCTACCTAGGAACGGAATCTTCGTTTATAGCGCACTGTTCATCATTTCTCGCTTGTTTCTACCCTGAGGTCCCGAGTGCGCGGCAACACATCAGATATAGAGTGTTTCAAGGAGCCTGGTTGTCAACCAAGTGTGACGAATCCCGTACCATCACGCATCCTCAGTATCTGTCTGGTCCTGCTTTTGTTGCAAAACACCTGAACGATGCGCTCCGACAAAGACCGCCTGTATGTTGTTCTCTATGCACGAGGGGGGGCGCCTACCATGCCAGGACTGGAGGATACGTGAGTACATGATCCAGAAAGAACTTCGCTCTGAAATAGATTGGGCAAATCTGATATCTCGTCCGGCCTAGATACCACTGGGCGCACATGGTTGGGCCCAAGATTGAAGGAGGAGAGAAAACCACGGGCGTTCTATACCATGCAAGGGAGAAGCCGAAGGCTGGGGGGGCGCCCGGATTTGAATGGTCGTTCGAGAACCGCTCCTGTAGTCTTGCCCCTACCAACATGTTGCTTGTCCGTGTCATGATTGGAAAGGTGACGGATAGCAGCCGCTTGACCGAGATTCTATGCAGTACGCCTGTCCGAGGGGGGCAGCCAGGATGGAATTGCATTTCTTGGATAAGAGAGGCGCTGGAAAGGATCCGGGCTGACAAAAAGGCCCTGGGGACGAGTGTCACTGAGTGGGATACAATACGCAACGCCGCCATGACTTATTGTCAGCAAAAGAAAGACCAACACCGGTTTGATGGTCAGGGTAACTTTAACATGTCAAAGGCTCCGACATACGACTTGATGCAGCAGAAGGAGACCATTGTGTAACTAGAATGATCACTTAGAGGTCTCCGAAGTACTTTTGACGAATTCCTTCCATGGCGAGTTCCTCGGGCATTGGTTGCAAAAATTTGTCAATTTCATGGATCCAAAAGGAGTTCTGCGGATTGACTTGACTGGCAGTAGTATATTCCCAGTACGAGGGATACCATCCAGCAGTTTCCCAGTCAACAATGCCAACAACCTCATCATCGCGAGCCAGGATATTTAGACTGCTCAAGTCACCATGTGTAAATACCAACGGCCAATCCTTGCCATGCTGTTCGATGAGGGCCTGGATTTCGGGGTCATGTCTAGTATCGGCTTCTACGCCCATACGTAGATAGCGATGGAAATCCTGCACGGTGTCAAAGGGCCCAAATCGTATTGACTCGCTGTGGCTTAGTAGGCGGCAGTCATATAGTGATCCATTGTCAACCGACGCTACACCCATTCCCTCCGGGGGCTTGAGTTCTCGCATCTCACTGATCATCCCGGATAATTGGGAAAGCATCTTGGCTTTGGTCTTCTCCGGTCGTTTTACCCAGCCCATGCCTATCATATCGCCGTTGATTCGTTCCATAATGATATAGGTCCGCCCAGAACGAGTAAAGGCACAGTAGACTTTCGGAACCGGGATGGATGTATGCTCGGCTATAAAGCGCATTGTGGAGGCTTCAGATAGATGCACATGGCGTCCATACTTCACACATAGTTTGTCAGTTAACATGAGAACGCCCCCGTAGTATTGCCGAGTGCGTTTAAAGAGTTTGATGGCAAGAAGGGTGGAATATCGATTAAACGGGGTGTCATTTATCGGTGTGGATGTGTTCATGGGCGAAGAAGGAGGACTCTGTTGCTTGGATAACATTGAGGGTATGTGTGCTGAAAGCAGTGAGTTAGAGAGGGTGTTTCGTTACTGATATGCGAGCAAGTGACTTCATAATTGAGCTGCATTAGATAGATTGTCAATAGAACCAACAGTGAGAGCTGATTGACGATAAGGGGATCGGCACGTGATTTCGGACCTGGAAGATTAATGCTCCGCTGCTTCTCTCCATTCGTCCCATGTCAGCACAGACAAATATACTCTCAATGAGTGGATCAAGATATGACAGATACAACACCAAGATTAGTCCAGTCGACAGATCATACGTCTTATACGTTCTTTTACTCTCCTCCACCGAGACGAGGGTCGTGAACCGATATCCCGTTGCAAAGGCACCGAGTAACTGCAACGATCCAAAAACCATATCCTCAAGAAATGAGACTCATTGTTATCCAAACTTACCCCCCATGCCAGGAACATGATACTGCTCATCCAAAGAAACAGGGAGTTAGCCTGACGCAACCAAGCAATTTCCCTGGCAGTTAACGTACTGGCAACCGTCCTTCTATTCATGTGCCGGTCCCCGTCCACAGATGGAATTCCAGGATATGGATAGTCAGAGACATCCACAAGCACCCGATCATGTCCAGTGTCCAGTTTATATCCGCGCCTGGAATATCCTGAACAACCACCGCGCTCAGCATCCGCAGTAGAAGTGCAGTTCCTACGGCTGTGAACATGTTTCGCATAACTGGGTTATTGAACTTAGGCCACACATAACAGAAAGATGTCCATGCCTCCCAGAAAATGAGGTAAAGCGCAGCCCACGGACCAGACAAAGCATAAACGATTAGGGGAAAGCTTATCCAGCTCCCCATCCACCTCCTATATGCGCCAGACATCGTCAACATCCCCGCAGGGATCGGCCGATAGGGCTTATTGATGATATCCTCTGCGACAGATGTGGTCTGGTGTGCAATATCAAACACGTATGCGTATACGAATGATACCACCATAACCCTGACTACCAGCAACAGCAAATTTGGTGAGTCTAACTTGGCTGAGGAAGCTGTGTATCGCTCATATAATCCGGTAAGGATTGGTCCTACACAGGCGGAAAAATTGGACCAAAGGAGTAGGACTGTGATGTTTATCTCGTGTTTGATCAGCGAGGCCAGTCTTTGAGCCATCTTTTCCAGAGTTCTGAATCTCAGTAAGTACGATACACTCCTTTAAACACTATAATTGGTACTCGCAGGGGAAAACGACTGGGAACATAGTCCAAAGAACTGCTTCCTTCAATCAAATTCTCAATGGCGACTTATATCTTGCAGGTTGAAAAACATTACATGAATTCCATTCCCCAACTACCACATTTTCCCATAGTTGATCAATCTCCAAACGGATCATGAGCTTATTCCTCATATTTGTATAGCGGTATTTACCAGTATTGATCGAATTTGAATGAAAATACACTTTTAGCTTGCTGCTTGTCTCAGGCAATGCCTGACATGCGATAAGACATCAATACGGTGATTGGACCCGTTTCTATCACTTTCAAGGGGCCGTGCTTCGTTCGCCATTTATACCAACCAAGCATTTCACTTAAACTATTCTACATGCCGGGATAGATTTGATCGGGATACCCCCTGACCAGGTTCTATCCGAGGGAATGGACTCGGTCTTTGAAACATGGCATGTTCGCCTTAAAGTCTAGCTTCTCACAGTTTGATGTATCAACAAGTCTGAACCCATCATTCCGCCCTGCATTCACCGGGGACTATAGCGGCCATCGGGCATATATGACTGGAAATTTGATATCCCGGTTGCGCTCTTCGAAAACATCACGTGATCACTGCATATCTTCAGGTGCTAAGAAGTGAAGTCCTTTTCTCCCTTATCGGTATAGGAAATTCTCAATATTATTCTATATGCTACTACCAAGCATGATATTAGAACCCATGATTGAGCAGCTACAACGTTCCCTTTGTCTTCATGGGTGTCCATCTTTGTGGGAAATTCCCACGGCTTGCAAGACGCATACACCGTATAGAAGATATATAGCTTTCCTTTACAGCAACATTTGTTCGAAAACTTTTTGAAATTTAGCGTGTGTTAATTCTGGGCTTCGGAAATTAATGAGAGACTAAGCTAATACGCACTATATCTGTGCACATGCTAAACTAAATCTCAAGCATAGCAACGGAGAGATGGATCCCATGTTTAAATTCTCTAGCAGATTAGAGAGTATGTTATGGCGCGTAGGGGAATGGCAGTGCGGGTTTGATAGTTTGGATATATCAAGCGGCAACCACAAGATTCAAGTGAGGCTTTCCCGTGATTGGGTATTGGTACGGAGATGTCCTAAATAGATAGGTGAAATTTATTGTTGTCCTTTGATTGAGGGGATAGCTTCCATGAGGGGAGGGAAGATGAGGAGAACAAAGGAAGGATGTTGGATGTTAGCAAAGGATCAATAGAGATATTGCAGGCGGGAAAGGGGAGGAGCACAAAGAACCGGGGCAGATAACATAGAGCGAAAAGCTCAACTCTACATAGGAAGTGAGAAAAAAAAAAAAGGGCCATTCCTAATGTGATTGGAGACCTCCGACACATGACGTTCATGATTGGGCCGGTCAACAGGAAGCAATACCCATCACGGAGTCTCGAAATGATAGGTACTTCGGTTGTTACCCGACAAATGCTGGTTGATTCCTTTCTTCTTCCGACATATTCGACAGTAATGGGTCCATGTGACATGAGAATGAGGGGTATATTAAGGCCAGTAATCCCTCTCTTTCCTGCAAAGTGTTCTAGCAACCTTCACTGTCCTCTACAGCTCGACGCTATGGACACCGTGCAGAAGACCTCTCAGTACGAATCTGACATAACCAAGCTTCTAGATAAAGCGGGTATCCCCAATTGTATCTGGGGGGAGGGAATCCTCCAGCTGATGGGTGCAGGCGAACAATTCAACGTACATATCACTCTTCATTCAGATATACAATAACGTTAGTTAATGTCCCTTAGAGATTCAGCTGGGTAATCCCCGATGAAGAGATCCACAAGGCAAGTAAGGCGCTCTCAGACGCGAAATATACGAGACAGAACCGCAGCAGGTCCCCTGGGGAGTCCATGGGAGATTGCGTCTACCTCTACCCGTCAGACCATATGATAGAAGTACATCTCTTTGCAAAGTCGCGACTGTGTTGGACTTTCCCCGATCTTCCTCGCGAAGCCCCACAACCGGATGATGAGTTCTACATCCTTACCAGTCAGGTACAACGGCTGGAAGATAACGTACCATGCGTGCGCGATTATCCATCCAAGGAAAGCCATCCGGTGAGGATGCCGAGGCCCGAGAAGTTTCTGGAGGCATTGGTGCTGTTATGCTTTCGAGACCTCATTCTACAAGAGTTCTTTGATCCTTGGAAGAAACAACTGAGAATGATAGCTAAGCATCTGTTCAAAGGATTCCGGTGCTGTGGTCTGCATCCGGTCTTTGCGGATTATCTGATACGGTTCAGCATACGGATTGGGTCCGAGGATCGTAAGAATCAGAGCCTTCCTGATCCAGATCTGCATTTGATGTATGTCTGTTTGACGAGACTGGGGCAACTTCCGCTTCCGGAAAAGGATGTTCCTAGAGATGCTTGGCCGGGAGAACAGGATATTCGAAAGAGGTTCAGGAAAGTGAATAAGGCTCTTGATGTGTGTTCTTATGATGGGCCCGCGCAAGGGACTGTGATGTGGACCCACCAAGAGGTGGTAATGACCCTTGAGAGTGAGATGTGGAAGTGATTCGGAGATGGCATCCGACGAAACCTCAGTGTGGAGCTTGTGGGGTTTATGATGAACATGGCTAGGTTCTTTTTTCCTCCTACAGCGGTGGAGCAACGTCGGAATGCACTCGTTTACCCAGATAAGAATTGCAACTATGATTTGAAAATTGAGACGTCTTCGTATTCTGATTTCCGTACTTGTTTGTTTATGCTTTATTGCGTCTGAGAGTATACGTAGGAACCTCTCCATACTGTTAGGTTGTAGCATGAACATGAGATTAGACAACTTGAGATTGGATCATGTTGAGATACAAGGCTGACTATTGCTCGACAAAGTTGATCTGGTCCATCTAGGTAGTACCGAGATATCTTATACCTTTTAGGATGATAGATAAACGAGATATATGCTTTTGTTCTATACAGTAGTAGCCGCGATATTAAGGCAAGTCGTGAGATTTCCCAGAGCATACTTGTAGTTCGTGGAGGGCTTTGTGATGATACAGCTCGATATAAATGAAGTCGCGCTGGATAATGAGATCTTCCTTCGTATTAACAATGCTCCTCCTCATCTGATGTAAGGTCTATCTCTGTCTAGGATAATGACCGACCCTCTACTCCCTCGACAGTAATATTCACCGGCAGGATTTCCCCGTTGTCGTCAAAATACATCCGGTCCACACACACCACCCGGTGATCCCGCGCCGTATCATTGAGATACCGTCGATGATATACTATATAATAGTCCTCTCCATCGGGTGTAAACACACTGTTATGGCCTGTACTGGTTCCGACGTTGTCATTCCCTTGCAAGATCTTCTTCGGTGTCGTTGAGAATGGCCCCGTGGGAGACTCCGCAGTGACATAGCTAACTCCGTAAGAATTGTCGCCCCATCTGTGCAAATCCCAGTTAGCAGCGATACAACCAAGAGACAAAGGGATGTAACTCACCCTCCCACTGAGAACATATAATAATACACCCCATTTCGCTTCACCATCCACGGCCCTTCCACATACCCTTCCGGAGTAATCTCTAGATAGTCTCCCTTCAAACTCACCATATCCTCTCCCACCTCCACCACCACCGCGTGACTCCACCCCCCAAAATATAACCAGTTGCGTCCATCATCATCCTGGAAGATCTGCGCGTCTATAGCCTCAGCCCCGTATATTGTGCGGTTAACTAAGGGCTCCCCGATGGCATCCTCATATGGACCTTCTGGGCGGCCGGTGGTGGACTTGGCGACGCCGATGCCCGTCCCGTCGCCAACGGAGAAGTACATAAAATAGTCATACTCCTCTTCACTATCATCATGCTTGTGCAAATTTTTCTTCGTGGAGGAGCGAACCTTCCGGCCTACGGACGGTGCCCAGGCCGCACGGTTTGTCGACCAGGGGATGTTGGTGATGTTCAAAATGGTGGGGTGTTTGGTCCAGGTAAGGAGGTCAGGAGAGCTGAAGGCGTCGAAGAAGGTTTGCTCGCTGTAGTCGGCCGAGTAGGTCGGGTAAATCCAGTATTGGCCGTCGAAGAGGCGGGCTTCTGGGTCAGCGTACCAGCCCTGGAAGACGGGATTGCCAGCTAAGGAATTCAGGGACGCGCTGGAGGTGAGGAAGTTCTGAGGAAGAGGTTGTTGCGGGTGTGCGGTAGTAGAGGGGAGGAGGAGTGGGAGCATGGCAAGATAGAGGGGTGTCATGTGGAGAGGAGCCATGGTCGAAGTGGTGGTGAGAAAAAAGTTGCAGTAATGGCAACAGAGGGAGGTGGTTGGGTATATAACCAAGGGGATCTGCAAGAATGCGGGTGAGAATGCGGGGGTCCGAAAGGTGCATGATGGGGTCGCCTGATTGCAATCTCGGGGATGCTGTCAGGGAAGGTGCACACTAGTCCACTTGGCACGGCGACCATCATCTTAAATGTCATGCAATTTCAAACTAGTCGTTATATACACGCTAATATTCCAGGGATTCCTCCAGTAACCCCCGCAACTCAGCCTTCTCAGCCTCGAGCTCCCCGCTCAACGTCGGCGCAAGCGATAACACCCGCTGCTGTGGGATTGTGCCCTCCACCAGGGAGTCAATATCCCCCGCCTTGAAGCCCAGATCCTTCAGGCCTCGGGGCTGGTCGCCAAGCCTAACCAGGAAGTTGGCCAGCGCCTCTCCCAAGACCTCGCCCGCGCTCTCCCGCTTCACGTTCGAGATATCCACCCCGAATGCCTCCGCGGCCGCCAAATGTCGGTCCGGGTTGGAGGCAGCGGTGAATCGGAAGACGGCCGGTGCAGTCACTGCCACTGACACACCGTGTGGAATGATTGGGTGGTCCACTGCGTAGCCTGCATGCTTATATCCCGGGTTCTGGCTGGAGATCGGATAGCTCATGCCGTGGCAGAGATGGACGCCTGCGTTACCAAAGCCAACACCAGCCAGGGTGGCGGCCAAAAGCATCTGTGACTGCGCCTCAAAATCATCGGGGTCCCTGACAGCCCTGGGAAGGTACTTGACGGTGCTCTTCAGTGCCTGCAGGGAGAAGATGTCGGAAATAGGGTTCGCACCCTGATATGCGGGGCGGTTTATCGGATTAGTCGGACGAGGTGTCCGTTCGTTGTAGGGAATCGCCGTCCACGACTCCAGCGAATGGCAGAGCACATCCAGACCGGAGGAAGCATGAACTGCCGAGGGCATGGTGCGCGTGTTGATCGGATCGCAGATGCCCAGCGTCGGCTTTAGATTCCGGTGCGCAATGCCGGTCTTGGCCTTCTTGGATACCAGATCAAAGATGGCAGTGCCTGTGGTCTCCGAGCCGGTACCTGCGGTGGTCGGCACAGCCACCAATGGCTTCAATGGCCGGTCAACCGGCAGCCCCTTACCCAGCGGGGCATTGACAAAGTCGAGAAAGTCGGCGTCCGGAAAGACGGTGTAGAGGTTCATGAGTTTGGCGGTGTCAATAACCGATCCACCGCCTGGGCCGTTAGCCGGATCAAGGGATGACACGGGGTCGATACTCACCTACGGCGAGGAAAGCGTCGGGATTGTATGGTTTGGCAAATTCGATTGCTTCCTTGACACTGTGGAAGTCAACAGGTGAACGAAATGTATGACTGGGTGACACACGAGCTATCCTTGGGTTCCACGCGGACCTTGTCGAAGACGGTGAACTCAATCCCCTCCCGTGTCAGGCCTTCCACCGCTTGTTTCATGGCATCCAACTTTAACACATTTTCGTCGGTCACAATGCATACTCGCTTCGCTTTCATGTTGGCAAAATCCATGCCGACCTCCTTTGTCGCTCCAGGGCCAAAGCGGATGCTAGAAGCGGCCATTTCGAAGGCGTATTCTTTCCGACGAGAGGGGTCCGTGGGGGTGGCCATATGGCGGCGCACATGGTCGGCGAGTGTGGGAGAGCGGTGGTGATGATGGTGGTTGGGATTTGAATGACAGGGACATGAAGGAGGATGAGTGTATTGGACGGTGCGCAGCAGGTTGCGAGCTCTGCTGGCGGCCGAGGGGGCGACGCGGACGGCGGAGACCATAATGCGGGGTCGTGTGTTGAACTGGAGAGGAGGAGATCAAAGCAAATTGTCAATGAATTGAAGGAAGTTGAAAAGACGAAAGAAAGCAGTAAGGCGAGTCGGAAGCAGAGGGAGGAGAGAAGAAGCAGCCGAGGAGGAGAAGCTGGAGAAGGGAGCAAATGCGGGGATCCCGTTCGGACAGAAAGCCGACCCCGGTAATAATCAGCCTCCCTGCCATCTTCGTTCTTCTTCAATCGTCACTCCCCACGCCTCGAACAGTGTTTGGATCGGAACGGTTTTCTTCATTCGCTGCAGAGGTCGAATGATGCAATCGGCTTCACATTGCCCGAAATTAAGCACAGGGATGATCCAGACGCAGTCCTCGGGTCGGGCCCGGCGATACCCGAAAGGGAAGTACCGAGGTCCTTGATTGTTCGTGGACATTGGGCCTTTGTATATCGACAGGCCGCCCGCCTCATCCTGCTTGGGGCTCTCCACGCAACATCTGTATCCAGGCATCTTGGGGATCATGTCAGACGACATCGGCACTCACGCCATGGCCCAGCCTGAGCTTAGGCCTCCGACCAGCGGCATCCACCAATGACCGGCATTCCGCGGCCATCCTGTTCCGCACCCGCAGCCTTGACGGATTAGCAAGAATTACCCTATCGACCTGGGGATATACATGGCCCCAAGAGTACCAGACCAGGGGGAATTAGCGGGGTTTGTGCCTGACAGTCAGGTCGCCACAGTCGATCCTTCAACTACTGCGCCTCCCCGACAATTCCCCCTCTCCATCCACCATCATCACCTCCCAGCAGAACATCACCACCATGACACGAACGCCACCCAACTCCTTCCAGCAGCTGGAAAAGGTAAGCATCACCACCGCCCGAGCGACACTCAATTCCAATATCCACTGACACCCCCAGCTCGGCGAAGGCACCTACGCCACGGTACCTCCAACCCACCACCACACCACCACCAGACAACCCCACTAAATCAAGATAGGTCTTCAAAGGCCGCAACAGCCAAACGGGAGAGCTGGTAGCATTGAAAGAAATTGCTCTCGACACCGAAGAGGGCACACCCTCGACCGCGATCCGTGAAATCTCCCTTATGAAAGAACTCCACCACGAGAACATCCTCAGCCTCCACGATGTCATCCACGCCGAGAACAAGCTCATGCTCGTCTTCGAATACATGGACAAGGACCTGAAGCGCTACATGGACACTCACGGCCAGCTCGAGTCCCCGATCATCAAATCCTTCGTATACCAACTTCTCTGCGGCGTCGCCTACTGCCACGACAACCGCATCCTCCATCGCGACCTCAAACCCCAGAACCTCCTCGTAAACACCAAGGGGCAACTCAAACTCGCCGATTTTGGCCTCGCGCGCGCATTTGGCATCCCCGTGAACACCTTCTCCAATGAAGTCGTGACCTTATGGTACCGCGCACCAGACGTATTACTCGGAAGCCGAAGTTACAGCACGAGCATCGATATCTGGTCCATCGGATGCATCGTCGCAGAGATGTACATGGGGCGATCGTTATTCCCGGGCTCAAACAACGAAGACCAACTGCAGAAAATCTTCAAGGTGATGGGCACGCCGTGTGAGGGGACCTGGCCCGGTGTGTCGAGGTTACCCGAGTACCGGGCAGATTTCCCGCTCTACGCAGCACAGGATTTGAGGGGGCTGGTGCCGCGGATAGATGCGGTGGGTCTGGATCTCATGAAGAAGATGTTGAGGTTGCAGCCTGAGAGGAGAATTAGTGCTGCGGAGGCGTTGAGACATGCTTGGTTTGATGATCTGGAATGAGTAAGTGTGGATGAGAGGGTTGGTTGCCCTGGTGTTACCTCTGAGCTGCTAGGGTACTTTTGTTGATGCGAGGAGTCATGCGAGGACTATTCAGCCTGGAGGGATTGGTTTGAGCCGGATGTCGGTAGTAAGTAAGGAAGAATTTGAAACCGAGGGGTTGGTTGCGGGGGAACTTCTTCAGCCGGTCACAAGGGGGCTCTCATGCTATCGTTCTCTGAGACACCCACTGGTAACGTACACCCGCCAATCACTGCCCTGCCTGCTACAGTTTTTGGTTTTGCCGGAAGTTGCGAACCGTCTTGACCTTCTTCTATATATGTCATTCAAAACGATATCATGTCTGGAATTCTGTCAGGGTATCGCATTGATGAACAAGAACTAGGCATCTATATACATTTCGATGAAAGGTCAAAGGGTCAAAAGAGTGGAGCAGAAAGGTTGCTAGAGAATAATGTCGGTACGTAGTGCCACGAGCTTTCCCGCCAGGTTGCTTGACTAGGTCGGGATAGCAACTAAGCTTTCCCTGCCTCAACACAAGCCTCATGACCACTGTAGATCGTAGTTTGAGTACCACAGGGATCGAAGAGTGTCCGATCGGTCGAGAACGCCTCAGAGGTCGCCGAGTTGAGCTGCCTCTTCTCGGGTTCCTGTGAAGAGGTCCGGAGTCGGGTCCAGAGCTTGACGTTGAATAGTGGTCGGATATGTGACAGACATGCAGCTGTTATTCCCACTGCTGCTTCCATGCAGGTCCAGACTACGACGGGGACTTGGTTGTCTTTTGTAATGGTCAGCGATAATGGTATAGATGGATAGGGGGGGAATAGATAGAGGCTTACAGGTGATATCTGGACCGGCCTGGGTGAGCTGGATCATAGCGACTAGACGGACGATGTCGAAGCATAGAGTCCTGAGTTGGTTAGTATGAGCGTGGGTCGGGCCATTGGAGAGGAGTCATACAGGATTCCCACGAGAAAAACTCCCGAAAGCAACAGGCGCTGTGCTTTTGAGATTGGCAAAGCCCAGACACTCTTCAATGGCATGACCAGGAGGACCACATCCGTGAGGATATTGGGGATTTGTTGGCCATAGTAGTAGCTGACTGTGTCGACGCAGTGTCCCGGGACTGTGCGGTCCCAGAACTTGTGCACTGGGACACAGTTCAAGACACCGGCAATGCTGACACTCAGGGCCCAAAGAATAACAATTGTTCCGACAATGTTTACTGAGATTGTCATGCTCTTGGCTGCGAACAGCCGCTTGTAGACTGCAAGGATGGATAATTTGATGAATGCGACGCAGCAGGTGTAGACGAAAGAGTTGGACCATCCGATCTAGGCGCAGTTCGTTAGTTGAATCCTTAGCTGAGCATTGGGTACAAACCTTAAAGTAAACTGTCAGGTTTTTTTGTGGAATCATGGTGATGTGAGATCCCAGGCCGTTGAACAGAACTGTAACCGGTTAGAAAGTAGGGATGGGTTGGGGATGGATAACTCACGAATGGTAACACCGATCGAACAGCCATATTTGAAAAGCTTCCACAGACCGTTAGTATGATTCATTGGAGCGATGCAAAAGACATACCAAAGCTATTATGATGAGGTAGTCATCCAGGTACAACTTGCTACCAGTGATCTTTCTGGCGAGAAGGCGCAGGGCTACTGCAACGGTGGACAAAATGAAAGCGAAATAAAGTGCAATGATAACCGACCGGCGGAGATTCTGATTGGGATGCTCAAAGTCACCCGAGGTGCCACTATCTGAGACTTGATCCAACGACATAACGGCGGTGGTAAGGATAGACTATGGTCGGGTAGAATGACTGCAGGTTGATGCTTGCAGGTGATGGATAGTTCGTGGCTGCAGGTATTTGGAATCGGAGGCATTGTTGCAGACAACGATCCTCATAAATAATTCTTGACAGGCCTATTTTTGGGTAGGGAGAAGGGCTGGTAGCCTAGGGACGTTGGACGTATCCTGATCTGCATGGTTACCAATTTGCAGCTGCATATTCAGCGTCCATACATCACATTTGTTCCAAGGCACAGCCAATGACAGACACGCCACAACAATGGGGAGGGGCTAAACGGCCCTAGAAACCCACAATCCAGGACCCCGAGCGCAGGGGTACTGGAGATCATAGCAGGGATACCAACTCCGTACATGAGTTCACCCTCGGTGAGGCAGACAGGGCTGCGGGGGGCAACCCGGAGGGGTAGCCTCGAGGCTCGGATTCGACATGTATCAGTGACTTGAGACACAGTTAAACCCCTGTCAAGTGATAGACTGACAGGCTAACGAGGAGCATAGTTCCAGCCTTGTCTGTGCGCTGCAGCCCTTGCTTCCAAAGTTGCCGAAAACCGGGCCAGCCTCGGCAGGTTGGAAGTCAATTGAAGCCGTGGCACTGCTTCATCTCGCGTGGCTGATTGTGATAAGGTTTGGCAGGCACCGATCGGATGTATCAACTCCCAGACGTGATGCATCTTCTTTTTGCCGAACCCCCACTTGCTTGCAGTTGCAGACTCACTTTTGAGTTCTGCTCGCTTAGGGGTGGCATAGTTGAATCCTTCGAGATAATTATTTGGCAATGTGGCCCTGTGCTGCGGGTAGACGACCTGTCTATCCCTTTTGCCATGGGAACAGGACGGTGCCTTTTTAGTCCAACTTTCGTGTCTTTGTGTTCTCCTTTTCCTCGCTGCAGTATGAAGAACTAGCTTGGATGATGCTTTCGCCGACTGGGCCTTGGAAGTTTTGTTTCCAGAACAAACTCTTGCTCAGTCCCGTGACCGTCGCCATTCTCTCGGGCTTCTTTTCGCACATCACTAACATCAACATTCTAACATCTTTTCAGCAGCCCCCCTACAACTAGCAGCCGTTATCTGTCAAGGTGATCCACTAAAGTGGCAAAATGAGCAATACCGGGTCATCCTTTGTTGCCTTCAGCGTGCATAATGACCTGTCAGCAGTCACCCATTTTCGGACGCCCGCATTTTCTTGGTCATATAAAGAGTCGAGCAAGTCCCTATCAATGTTTATACTTACACAACGCTATATATGCTAATACCGGGATTCGTTTCTTTCAGAGCACCATCTCCATGAAAACGAGTGTTTGCGACGGATATATGTCTATCGGTTCCTCTCAGAAAAACCAAAGGCTGCATAACCCGGGCTTATCACCTCATAGCAATGATTCAGACGGCTCTGTGACTACTATCCTAGAGACCCTTCCATGGTAGATAATGGGAATATGATCACAAATGGACTACTCGGCTATGATGATCTCTGTGTGCGGAGTCCAGGCCACAGACACGGTGCCAGACAAGTAGCCCGGCCCAGACCAGCAAATCTTACTCTTTTGGCTGCGTACCTTCGTTCAACGAATGAAAAGAATCCTCATGATAAACACCATCTTTCACACGCAAATTATCATGACAAGCAGGATCCACTGCGTAAGCTTCACGGTAAGTGGAAAATAACCTTCTCGTTGCCAAGAACATCAGCTCAAGTTATAGTAAAACAAGATATACCTATAGTCCCACCCATGATACCATTCCATCACAGAAAGCAACGAGGACATGCCAGTTTTCGTTGCGATGGATTCAACGCAACCAGCGCGATCATGATCTTGGACGAGTTTTGCGAGACGGTGGGCGAGCGGTTTGGAGCGGAGCATCAATGCTCGGCCCCCACTGGCCCCCACCAGCCTAGGCGACGCGCTAGCAGCAGAAGGGGTTATCACCAGTCGATCTTATTGGCCTTCTCGAGTACGTTCAGTTATCATATCCTGGCTACCCACCCCCTCATCACCATGTGTCAGGCACCAGGCTGAGCAATTGAACAAGGTCTGTAATGCTGCGCCATCTTGGCCGTCATTCAAAAACCCGCAACTGTATACAAATTACTCAATTACCCGCCTCTCAAACAGGATCAGATACTGCCAGCACGCTAGCGCCGCTTGGGGCACATTTCATACAACCGTCGCTCAGCCGCGTGTTAGTCCAGTGGGACGGCTTTAATATACCTAAAAGCCTAGCCATCTTTCTCCTAGCAGGATAGGTAGCACACGCCCCCTTCTCAACTCATTGCCAAGCAAAGTCCCATCACCGATATTCAGTGCAATGCCGTCCAAGCGATATGGGACCACCCACGTATTTATGTCAATGCAGACCCGACAGACATCCTTGTCCCTGATTCCCCATGTTTCTCAACAGGAATACTAACACACTTCTCTAATGATCTTATCTGATCCAAATATTTAACAATAATTTCCAACATTACGCATGGCCATCATGTTACTCACCATACTTCCCCTAACCCTCCTAATCTCCCTTACCACCGCACGCACCTGCTACCACCCCGACAAATCCATTGCCACTTCCAATGTCCCCTGCACCTCCGACTCGACCACCTTCTGCTGCGACTCCGGCGCCATCTGCATGACCAATGGCTATTGCATCGGCGTCGGCAGCCAACCTTATCTGTTGTTTCGGGGAGCCTGCACGGACCAAGACTGGGGTGATAATTGTCCTTCGCATTGCGGTAAGTCCTCTTCATCCAATTGTCTCTTGTTCTTTCACCTTCCTTATATACAATTCTCCCTGCTTGAGATTAATGCTAATAATGAACAACAGCAAACAAGAACCCCACTGGCGGCGCCCCCATCATCGGCATCGGCTCCGACAGCTCCGGAAACTCCAAATACTGCTGCGGATTTCAAGTCAAGAACAACGGGTCATCGGAGTGTGTGGACGGTGATACAGCATTTACGCTGGATGACGGGGAGATGATACTGGGGAAGGCAGCGCTAGAGAATGTCACCAGTAGCAGTAGCAGTTCAGCTACCTCGACTTCTACGGGGACAATGTCCACAGCCACAGTGGTGGAAACGATGTGTTCTGCATCAGACAACGGATCGCATTGTGGGACTTCGAATGCGACGGCAGTGGGGGCCGGCGTGGGTGTGCCCTTGGGTGTGCTGGCCGTTTCAGCGGCGATTTGGGCGTTGTGGGAACGGGGGCGTCGGAGGACAGCAGTTGCGGCAGCGGTGGCTGCTGGTGTCAGTGGAAGTGGAGGGTATGTGATGGAGCACCAGGTAGGAGCAGGAGGCATGCAGCAGAATGGGCATGGGTGGTTTTCAGGGAGGATGGAGAAGACGCCGTTGGCGGAGTTGGGGCATGGGAATAGAGGGGAGGTGCAGGAGATGATGGGGAGTGGGGGATATCGTCATTCTTGAACTGTCAAAATATACCGGTTCCCCCAAAAATGTAAAACTCGTGTTTATTCCGCCTCTCATTGGTCGACGTACACAGGTAGCTACAGTGGTCCTGTTCCTGCCATATATGTACTTCCTCCCTCTACTTCTACAGGTATTACAGTCTCCTGTGTGATTTATTTATACTTTTACTGTTCTACTGCCTTCTTTCTTTTTATTATTATATATATTCATATTATTATTATTTTAATTATATTATCTCTTCTTTAATTATATCACCTCTTTATTATTATTATATATGTTTATATTATTGTTCTTTTTTTATATTATTATTCTTTTCTTCTTATGTATTCTTATTTTCTCTCTCTTTTTTAATTATATTATTGTTACGGACCCCTGCTAGCTAAAGGGACTAGTGAGGCGGTTACGTCAGGCAGAAGGGCTGTACTCGGAAAGATGCAACCCTTATCAGGAAGAACCCGAGCTGGGCCGCTACGTGTCACGAGTCACGTGACTGCGGGTATACGAGAGGGTATATGGTCGGGTATATGGTATATGCCTATGGTATATAGGACGGTATATGGAATGGTATACAAGGAACGGATATATAAGGACACTCCTTTTTATACTTAGTTAGTTCTGTTCTTCGTGCTTAATAATACTGTCTTTAAGTAACCTACGTTTTGGTAGAGCTTAGCGACAACACTTGTCCGCACTTACTTACGGATAGCTGCGCGGCACTATCTGGCTTTACTTCTCTTTTCTTGTTCAGATCAAGATATCTTTAGATAGTCAACAGCCTGACTATCTTTGATTCAGTTCACAAGGTACGTATCGGAACGGGAGCTAAGCTAATAGGAACAGGGAGAAGTGATCCTAGGGTTTGATATATTGAGTACCAGTCAGTATGAGTATTATCCAGTGACAACCAGTCATTATATTGATTATATTGAACACATCACGAGTGCCTCAGCAGCAGGGCCCGACAACCAAGAAACTAATGGACATGGTTGGTCAGCTATAAGAAAGCATCACGGCCTTAGAACAAAAGAACCAGTTACTCAAAGATTGCTTATTAGTTAAATCTGTTAAGGTCCGACTACCTGAGCTATTTAACAGCAAACGAGCGAAGCTCAGGGCTTTCTTGACCCAGTTAGACTTATACCTCAACATGAATAAGGAAAAGCTTAAGAATAAGAAGAACAAGATTTTTTTTATATTTATTTATCTTACCGGAGTGGTATTTAATTGGTTTAAACTATATATCTATAAGTAATAAGAAAAGTCAGTAAGTAATCAGGATAATAATATAAAATGATTTTTTACTAGTTATACTAGATTTAAACAGTGTCTTAAACAGATATTCAGAGACATTGATGCGATATAAAATACTGAGTAAAAGTTATAATGACTTAAGTAGACAGAATCGGTATTTATATATGCTTTAGAGTTTTAGCAAGTTATCAGTCACCTGGATTAAAATGATAATACTTATATCTTACAATTTAAAGAAAGACTTAAGATAGAGATTCAAGAGAAGATCATTTGGCAAGAATAACTAGACACCTTGACCAAGATAATTAAAGCAGTAGTGAAGATTGATAACAAGCTATACAACTTTAACATAAAATAATAAGAGAGTTAGTAGACCAGTGGGTCTATATCTTGATATAATAACCAGCCAGGTTACTGAGCCAATAATAGAAGGTCGGCATAACCTAGAAGCTTGGGATACGAAGATCCCTACAGGCTGAAGCCTATGGAGCTGGATGCAGCACAGCATCAGACTCAAGAGACTCGAGTGTCTAAAAAGGAACTCAAACAGTGTAAAAGAGACTGCTTGTGCTTTAGCTGCGGCAAAGCAGGTCACCAGTCAAAGAACTGCAGTCAGAAACAGCCTTAGAAGTAATTAAAAGCTATGAATCAAGATCAAGGCAGAGGAGCCTATAATATCACCGCTATTCAGCACAAAGTTTGGACAGAATCTATAATATAGATATTAGGTAGCAAGAAGCTATATATTATTTAGTATGATTAGCTGTCAGAGAATAGGATATACTGTAATTAGTTAAGATAATAAGCTATTCTAGATAAGTTAACAGTATCACTCAGTTAATAAGAGGATTGATGATTATCTGTACTATTAGTTTGGACTATAGAAATCAATAATAATAATTATAAGCCAGTTTTAAGGAATAACTATCCCAGTATAATTTAGAATAAAGATAAACTGTTAGATAAAGAGTATAATATACTACTTAAAGATCTTAAACCTAGTAAGAAAAGACTCAGTAAGATACTTAATACTTCTAAAAAACCTCTATCAGAAATTAGTAAACTCTGTCCATCACAGTGAGATGAGGATAAGAAAAATTAGAAGAATAATTAAGAAGATATTACTTATTAATTAGACCGCATTTTGAAGAAGATCTCAGAGAATCTAGCATGATTTTGTCTAGAGCTTAAAATAATTATATAGCATTGTCTATATTAAGATTTAAAATATTAGAAATCATAAAATAAGACTTAGAAATAATATTTACAGAGATGCTCTTGTTACCTAGAAGTTTGTTTAACATATAGATAAAATAATATAGATTATTATTACTAGTTATTAAAGATTAGTTAGAAGATAAACATTGCTGGAACAGAGTCTTGATATGATAAACCATATCTGTATGTTTATTTCAAAGAAAGTAGAAGTTACTGAAGATATAATGAACTTCCTTGACTCATATACTACATGAATATATGCTTAATATATTATGATTAAAAGTACATTATTAACTACTGATCTAGAGTACTGGAAGTGGTTAAGACTAAGGCAAGTCATTATCTATATAATATCTTTGGTTGCGTGTGCAAAGAGTATTAAAGATATTCTTATTATAGATTAATATATTGACTAGCATGTTTTGATGATTAGTATATAATATATTATATAATAAAGATAAAAGGCTTGAGATTTCTAAGAAGATACTTATAGCAGTTAGGACTTAACTGGCCAGAATAGTAATTAGCAATCATAAAGTCAGGACCATATCTGAAGATCCAAGCAGTTATATTAGATTAACTAGTTCAAGTACTAGTAGATTCTGAAGTAACTGGGAACTTCATGAACCCGTGATTTATATAATAGCTTAAGATACTCAGATAATAGAAAGAAGAATCTGAATCAATCACAGGACTAAACAAAGAGAATTTGGAAACTCTTATATTGATAGTTAAGTCAGGAACTGTATTTATGACTGTAAAGGATTACTATAAGTATATAGATTTTGATATAACATCTTTAAAATAGTATGATATTATATTAAAGATTTTATGACTTAAGAATCATAACCTACAGATTAATTAGAAGACTGAGAATCTCTAATTCATAAATTATGATTATCTAAAACAATACTAGCAAGGACTAGATATGGGGTCTGGATCCATATGGCCTGCTACTTAGCATAGAGCTGAAACAAGGACTAAATAATCTAGTAAGGGAAGGTTGAGATCGCTATAAAAGCCTAACGTGCCAGATATTAGAGATAACTTAGAGAAACATAACACCTCAAGTATAGTTGCACAAGTAATAACAGTAATCAAGCCATTATAGAAAGATTAGCTTATAAAATTATCAGAATAGATATTAACAATAATAAAAGAGTACCGCGAGTATAGTATTAACAGCTTCAATACAGAGATTGAGATAATTATCCAGAAACTAGAAGATTTATGGAAACTTCTAGCTGCGGTCAAGAGTAATGCGCAGATTCCACCATAATATAAGAGATTTAAAGACTTATTTAAATAACTAGAGCAACCTGAATTATCTTAACATGGAAAGCATGATCATATTATTTTTATAAAGAAAGAAAAGTTACTAATATACAGAAAGATTTATCTAATATCTAAAAAAAAATCGCAGGCATTATAAGAATATATTAATAACTAACTGGCTAAAGATAATATCAAGCCTTTAAAGTCACCAGCAGGACATAAAGTCCTATTTATACTAAAAAAGAACAGCAGTTTATGATTATACGTGGATTATCAGCCACTAAATATTATCATGATTAAGGATTAACATCTGTTATCTTTGATTTTGGAAATCTAAGATAAGATATAAGGAACAAAGTGATTTACCAAACTCAATATTATAAATATATATTATCATATACGCATCATGGAAGATGAAAAATGAAAAACCGTGTTTAAAATAAAATATAGATATTTTAAATACTTGATTATATTATTTAAGCTTACCAACACACCAGCATTATTTTAGTAATATATTAATAAAGTTCTTAGAGAATATCTTAACAGGTTTATGATTATTGTTACGGACCCCTGCTAGCTAAAGGGACTAGTGAGGCGGTTACGTCAGGCAAAAGAGCGGCACTCGGAGAGATGCAACTCTTATCAGGCAGGACCCGGACTGAGCCGCTACGTGTCATGAGTCACGTGACTGCGGGTATACGAGAGGGTATATGATCGGGTATACAGTATATGCCAATGGTATATGGAACAGTATACGGAATGATATATAAGAGACAGATATATAAAGACACTTCTTCACATACTTAGTTAGTTCTGTTCTTCATGCTTAATCCAATTATCTTTAAGTAACCATACATTTTGGTAAAGCTTAGCGACAACACTCGTCCGCACTTACTTATGGATAGCTGTACAGCACTATCTGGCCTTACTTCTCTTCTTCTGTTTAGATCAAGTCGCCTTTAGATAGTTAATAGCCTGACTATCTTTGATTCAGTTTACAAGGTACGTATCGGAACGGGAGCTAAGCTAACAGAAACAGGAAGAAGCAAATCCTAGGATTTGATATATTGAGTATCAGTCAGTACAAGTGTTATCCAGTAA